ATTCTATTATTAAAAAAAAAAAGACTTGGTTTGAAAAGAGAGAGAGTGTGTGTGAATGCATTAAACAGGTAGTATAAATATGGGGTAAGTCGAAAAAAAAAAAAAATGCTAACCGAATTTAGAGCTGTTAAAATGGAGAAAGACTTCTTCTTCTCCCTTCGCCCAACTATGTATACATGATATATACAAAAGAGCATTGAGCTGGAAATGCTCTTTTTGTATGAGCTATGAACCGGACTGCATTTTTTTTTTTTTTTTTTTTTTTAACAATATTATTAAAGCTGGAAGGAGACAAGCTTGTTCATCTGATCATCATCGCACACTGAAGGCATCATCCAGGGGGACAGAGGTCGTCGAAGGGTTGTAGTCAGGTTAGGAGACGAGGATAGACTAGGAGAGAGAGTCGAACCTGTGTTGACGTTGTTGGCTTTGGTAGTAAAGCAAGTCGAAGAAGAAGAAGAAGAAGAAGAAGTAACAGTCAAAAATGGATCTGAGACATGAACAGCATCCGGTGTATTGGGGATAGAGGACGACGGTGTGACCAAAGTCGACGAAGACATTGTTGGCAAGAGCATCGGTGATGATGCCACAGACGATGGAGAGGACGAGGACGTTCGGATCAAGCGCGACATGGCAGAGAACATGTTGTTGGCCGGTATAGATCCACTTGAAGGATTGTTACCCGGTAATGAGGGAAACAGCTTGTTTTGCTTGTTGAAATTGCTCATATTATTGCTATTGCTATTGCTATTGCTATTGCTATTGTTGTTATTATTACTGCTGCTGCTTACATCCTTTGCTTCGGATATTGAGGATGCAGAGACAGAGACAGAGGTAACAGCATTTTTAGCACCAGCAGCACCAGTAGCGCCAGCGCCAGCGCCGGAAAGAATCTTTGAGGAGGAATCTATGGCAGAAAGGGGTTTTGAACTGGAATTGTGGTATTGACGAGCGTGGAAATGTATGGAGGGGTCAGCGACGTCTAAGAGGAAGGACATTATGGATAGATGGAAATATGAATATTATGGAGTGATGGGGATGAGCAATGTTTTTCTTGAGAACAAAAGTCTTAAGTTGATGGAGTGTGAGAAGTAGGTGTGAAGAAAAGGAAAAGGAAAAGGAAAAGGAAAATTAAAGAAAGAGAAGAGAAAGGAAAGGAAAGGAAAGAAAAGGATTTGTTTTTCGCTTCTTTTATTTCTTTTTTACTTTTTTTTTTTATGAATGGGGAAATGAATGAATGAATTGAAACGAAATGAATGAATGATTAACAAAGAAAGGAACTCTTTCAATGATCGTAAAGAAAAAAAAGGGTTTTTCTGAATGTTTGGGTTATTTTTGGACCATTCAGGTTGAGTCAATCATTCAGCCTACTCAATCACTCTAAATTTTTTTTTTTTTTTCTTTATTCAATTACATTTTTTGTGCCTGCTTTCCTGCCCTTGCCCTGCCCTGCCCTGTCCTTCAAGCACGGGCCAAGATCTCTTTCACCTTTCCACCCAACCCCCACGCCAATCTTCGCCACATTTGTTTAATCTCTCTCCTTTCCTTTGTTCATCTTGTCCCTTGTCACGAACTAGTCTTTTTGAATGTCAAGCCAGGAGTCAAACGGAACAATATAAAAGAAAATAAAAAATATTTGTTGTCAGCCTCCCTATGAGCGATTAACAACGTCTTTTGATTGCTCTTTTTGTATGCTTGCTGAATGATTCCCATCCTCATGACCTTATTCATTCATGTGCTTGATTCTTCTCCTATCCATATGCCCATCCCCCTAGACCTGCTCATCCTATTGCACAATAGAAAATAAATAAAAAAATAAAAAATAAAAAAAAAATAAAAAAAAAAGGGTGAAGCCTTGGGTGTATTGGGTGTAAAGGCCTCTGGTAGAAACAATTGACTAAAGAATTCTTTCCAGTGCGCAAGCGGGAATGAGCAACATTAACAGGTATTTTAAAACAAACAAACAAGAGACAGAATAAATGACGATGAGCTTGCCACATGGCTCAGGAGCATCTTGAATCATGATCGAAATACTTTTCTCCGTGTACATGTACATGTATAGCAACATCCATGTAATACAATATAATATTGTATATAAATTAGTAACGCCTGTAGTCGTTTCCTGTCATCTTCATTTGTCCATCGAAAATAAATTAAATGCAGCTGTACCTCCAATGGACGTGGCGCAAACTGGTGGATTGGCTCATTTGGGACATGCTTCGTTTGCAAATGAAAAGGAAAGCAGACCGACCTTGTTCCTAGATAGAAAAAAAAAAAAAGAAAAGAAAAGAAAAGAAAAGAAAAAAAAAAGAGGGTAGTGGTGCCTTGTAGCCTAGGAAGTAATGTAATGCAAATGCATCTAAAAGCTCTGTAATGGATACATCATCAAAAGCTCTTAAGTCATCCAAAGGACTATTCTCCCATTCTTTCTTATACATGATCTGTTCAAATGCCCCAACATGACCCTATCTCTACTGATCATGATCACTCTTGTGCAAAGTACCATCCATACTGGGTTTTATTAAACCACTCTCAATTCAAAAAAAACCTGATACTCCCTAATTTAACCATGTCATCTCCAACACGTGTAGAGCTAACCAAAGCCAGATGTTTATACATATTCTGTCTGTTACCCATAATAATAAACGCGTCGAGACAAAAAAAAAAAAAAGGTTGCTCATTCAAGCCTTAATATATTATATATACAAATATATATTATCAGTATATACATTTTCCTACAAGATATTGAAAAGTCAACAAGTGGATTGTTGACATTGTCCTTTTTATGCATGCCCAATGGGACTTTTCTTGGATCCAATTCTTTGGATTTGACAGAATCAAGGTCCAAGCTGTGACAAAACCCCGAAAGGCTTCATCATTTTCTTCTTTTCCCTTTTTCCTCTCTCCATGCAAAACCAATGTACCAATAGCAAAAGCAAAAGAATCTAATAGGTACGTTAATATGCGCTAAACAGGCCTTCAGCTGGGGTACCTTGACAACTTTAAAGGTATGCCACATCAAATCTGTCTAATCAAGAAGATGTAGCATCTGGGTTTCGTCTATAACGTTGCACATTACAGGCGAGGACAATGAGGGGATCTTCTTCATCTTTCTTGCCCGCTGACAAGCACAGGGATCAACTCATCTGGGTTTAAATAGTCTTTTTTCAAACCATAACCAAAAAAAACTTTACGGGACCTTTTCTTCTCCGCATCCTCAACATTTGGCCGAAGACCCTTGAACACATATAAACTCGAAATAGGGATCATCTATATATTATGTAGATACCATACATGATACATGGACCACGAACGAACGGCTACAGAACTCATTTATCGACCATGGTGAAGGATAAAATATATAATGCACCGGACCCTGACAACACCATTTTACCGTCCTTAAATCACGTTGAATCAAAGTGCCGAATGTACCCACCCAAGCCCAAATTTACACTCTGATCAATCCGAAGTACGACACCAATGTAAGGCCATTCCATTCTCACGGCGCATAAAAAAGGTACAGAAATACACATATACACTAAACTCCTTAAAGTAGCTCCAAGAGTAGTAGTCTTGACCGTTGGGGATATGCAACCTATGGGTTGTGGAGATCTCGCGTAAGCCTTTCACCATCCAAAGCTAAACGTGTACTTACAGTTGCTGCTTGAATCCAGATTCAAGACGGACACTCACAAAGCTTCGTCATACTAACGGTGAAGTCTTGTGAACCTTGGCCGGGGTAGGCTTCCTGCTCGTCTTTAGCTCCTACATTAAAGCTACACACTGAGCTAATGCTCTAATGAGAAGTTGATCATTTGGAAAAGTATACAGGAAAAAAAAAAAAAAAAAAAAAAAAAAAAGGAACTACCCGACTAAGAATCTTGTTTCTTTCTGTAGCCACTACGGGAGCTCTCCTTTACTGGTGCCTTATTAGAGCTCTCTACTACCACCTCGGACTTTTCCTCTTGTGAGACTTTATCTTTGACAAAAGAAGGAAAAAAAGATTAAACTCATTTTGAGATACACGCGTGCAAAGTTAAAGAGATCTCCAGAGGCGTAGAAGGAAGATCTGTGGAGTGTTCTCATGCATATTTACATGTCTGTATTTGGATTTTAAATATACATGGATATACACACACATAAAATGTGTATGTATACTTGTCAAATACAAAGAATCTGTTTTGTCCGAGATCAAGGTTTTCCATTTCCGTGACGAGCAAGTTTTTGTTATCGGGCATTGTGGAACACATCATATGGGTCATCGCGCACTCTCCGAGCACACACACAAAAGTCATCGTGTTTTGTGATAAAAAAGGGTCAGCAAACTCCGAGGCAAACAACACTCCACTCTTTTTTCTTTTCTTCTTGTTCTTCCGAAGTTTTTTTTTTTTTTTTTTTTTTTTTTTTTAAACTTCTCATTCATCTTTTTACTCATTTCTCCATTCCATCCTTCTCACTTGCCCACCCCTCAAACCACATTTTTATCATGTCTTCCTTCCTTTCAGCAGCTGCCTCGCAGGTTGCAGGCCAAGTAAAAATGCAAGTATCTGTCTGATTCCCACACGTTGTTTGTCGTAACATCAATTGGGTTATTTTTTTTTTTTTTGTTTAATGTCCACTAACATTATCAAGACGCGTAAAATATACCTATATATATATTTTTTTACCATCTTGATCCCTACTTCCAGTCATGGCAAAACATCTGCTAGATCCATCGCTGTACAATGCCATCGCTACTCCACAGGATCCGGCAGCTCCTCAAACCAGAATCTTAACAAATACAGTTCCAAGATCACACAGCCAAAGTCTCAGGGTGCCTCGCAAGCCATGTGTAATTGATCCTTCTGCTATTTTTTTTTTTTTTTTTTTTCAGATCAAAGGAATGATATGGACGTGAAGGACAAGGTTGTAATTGACTTTTTTTTTTATTTTATTTTATTTTTATTTTTTTTAGTGTACGCCACGGGATTGAAGGAAGATGATATGAGTAAACCTCAAGTTGGAATCTCTAGCGTGTAAGTGATCTGAGCCCTAAACCAAATCAAAAAAGCAAGATGTGACCAACATGACTCAAAACTGACCGTTTTTATTATTTTCTTTATTTTCTTTTCCTTTTTTCTTTTGTGTGTAGTTGGTATGAGGGTAATCCATGCAACATGCATTTGAATGATCTTGCAGCAAAAGTCAAGGAAGGTGTTCAGAAAGCAGGCCTGGTCGGCTATCGCTTCAACACGATCGGTGTCAGTGATGGTATCTCAATGGGTACCGCCGGTATGAGCTACTCACTTCAAAGCAGAGATATCATTGCGGACTCTATTGAGACGGTAATCATATGGTTTATCTTGCCATGGAGACCAATAGGAACTTTTTTTTTTCTTTCTCCTACTCCAATGTGACTACTGCATCAAAAAGTCTGATCTCGATTTTTCTAATTTTTTTTTTTTTTTTTTTTTTTTTTTTTTTCCGTTTTGTTTCAGGTTATGAGCGGGCAATGGTACGATGCCAATATCTCCCTGCCTGGATGCGACAAGAATATGCCTGGCTGTTTGATTGCCATGGGACGTATCAACCGCCCTTCGATCATGGTCTATGGAGGTACGATCAAACCCGGTAAATCCTCTTGCAGCCAGGGCACTCTTGACATCGTCTCGGCCTTCCAGTCTTATGGCTCTTATCTTGCCGGAACCATCAATGAGACTCAACGTCAGGACATTGTCCGCAACTCCTGTCCCGGAGCAGGCGCCTGCGGTGGCATGTACACCGCCAACACCAGTATGTATTATATTATACCATCTTATGCACATTTTGCAGATGCACGTCTTGATCAGGGCGATTTCATAAAAAATACTAACAAACTCTTTTTTATTATACTTTATGATCATAGTGGCATCGGCGATTGAAGCCATGGGAATGACCCTTCCCTACAGCTCATCCACTCCTGCAGAGTACCCCGAGAAGCTCCAGGAATGCTTGGATGCCGGAAAGGCCATCCGCAACTTGCTTGAACTTGACATCAAGCCCCGTGATATCATGACTCGCAAGGCTTTCGAGAATGCAATGGTCCTTACCATGATTTTGGGCGGTTCCACAAATGCTGTTCTCCACTTGATCGCAATTGCACGAGCTGTCAATGTAAATTTGACCATCGATGATTTCCAAGAGGTCAGCTCTCGCATCCCTCTTTTGGCTGATCTCAAGCCTTCCGGCAAGTATGTCATGGAGGATGTTCATAAAATCGGAGGTACTCCCGCTGTCCTCAAGTACCTTTTGGAGAATAATCTGATCCACGGAGAATGTTTGACAGTCACTGGAAAGACCATTGCAGAGAACTTGAGGGACGTTCCTGGCCTCAAGGAAGGTCAGGATGTCATCCTCCCCTTGGAGAAGCCTATCAAGCCAACTGGACATCTCTGCATCCTCAAGGGTAACCTTGCCCCTCTCGGCTCTGTGGCCAAGATCACTGGTAAGGAGGGTCTTTTCTTCGAGGGTCCAGCCAATGTGTACGACCACGAGACCGACATGTTGCGTGGTTTGGAGAACGGTGAGATCAAGAAGGGTCAGGTTATTATTATTCGCTACTCTGGACCAAAGGGTGGTCCGGGTATGCCCGAGATGTTGACACCCACTTCTGCCATCATGGGAGCTGGTCTTGGAAACGACGTTGCCTTGTTGACCGATGGTCGCTTCTCGGGTGGAAGTCACGGATTCATCATCGGACACATCACACCCGAGGCTCAAGAGGGAGGACCTATTGGTTTGATCAAGAATGGTGATATTATTGCCATCGATGCTGAGAACAAGACCATCGATGTCAAGGTCACAGACGAGGAAATGAAGGCCCGTCACGCCACTTGGGTGGCTCCTCCTTTCAAGGCCACTCGCGGAACTCTTTACAAGTATATCAAGAATGTCAAGAATGCTAGCGAAGGATGTGTTACCGACGAGTAAACAATAACAAGGAAGGAAAAAAAAGGAAAAAAAAAAAAAAAAAAAAAAAAAAAAAACAACCCCCCCCCCTCCATCTTTATTAATAAACTACCACTTGTAATTTTACCATTAAAAGTTAAAAAAGAATTATGAATGTTGTCTTGACTTTCTACGTGAATTTTTGTTGGTCTTCAGGCTGTTTGAGTTTTAAGTCGTTTGGGATTTCTGGCTTCGTCCTCGACAGTGTTTTGCTCGGACTCTATTGACTCTGAATGCTTATCGATGCTGTGCTTGGAAGTACTTTCAAGTGGTTTACTGCTTTCATCACTAGTACGATATACTGGCAGAGGAGTCCCTGGATGGTCTGCGAAAAGGATGCCTCGAAGTAACTCGGCCACCACCCAGACATTCAGGCTATTCCCGAGCAGTTTATACCGTTGTAACGCTTTCAACTTGTGTGGAAACTGTAAAAATGGTCCCTCGGGTTTACGTGCCAGTTGAGGATCGAATGGTCGGACGGTCGTCACAGTTTGCTGTGAGTTTGGGTGTACTTGTGTTGTTTGTATAGAATCTGCATCTTTATCATTTTCAGAAGTGCTGCTGCCGTTGGTTTTGTTATGGTTGTTACTGTTGCTGTTGCTATCGCCATCTAGCCCGTACTCATGCTCTTCTTTTAAAGGAAAGACGTGTAGTCGTGCTACCTCTGTTGGAGAAAAGAACCGGAGACCGAGTTCCGCAATCGATTCGGAATTGCCAAAGTCATAATCCTCCTGTTCCATTTTAAGTGTTTGCAAAAGACCACCACCGCTAGCCACATGATGGCCTCCATAAGCCTTTGTGAAGCAAGACGATCTATTTGACGATGGTCGAAGGATATCTGTAACACAAATAATAATAATAAAGATATTAGTCCCTGCTTTGTCTAGATTGTACACAAGATACAACTTAGGATTGTAGAGTCCCCTTACTCACCGAAACGAAAGTTTGGGCGTTCAAGAATCAATTGTTTAGAGAGTAGATAGTCCTTCACGTGGGTTTCATCCTTATCCAGGAAATGTCGTAACTCTGGCAATTTGAATGAGTGTTGCTGTACTGGTGTCTTCGGATCCTCAACAAATGCTGGGAATGGCCACGTTGTATAAATTAACTCCTTTTCTGGATCAAATACATCTCCTACCAAAGATTCGGGCGCGGTAGACGAAGAAGTAGCAGCAGCAGCAGCAGTAGTAGTAGTAGCAGTAGTGGTAGTAGTAATAGTGGTAGTAGTAATAGCGATAGAGCCTGTGGGAACTATTGTTGTGTCTTGTTTGAAGCTCGAACGTAGCCTGGCCATCAAAAAGTAGCGAAGCCGATCGTTAGGGACTCCGAAATTGTAAGGTGCTAAAAGACATTCTCGAAAAACATAGCCCATTTTATTAAGTAGACGGACAAGTCTTTCTCGGGAACGGGAAACCTATTGTTATTATAGAAAAAAAAAAAGAAGTTTTTCTTTCGATCAGTCTACCGCAATGTGTTGGGCTATCTGTAATCTTTTTTTTTTTTTTTTTTTTTTTTTTTTTCCTTCCTTTTAATAACTATAATCGTGTACCTCGAAGTTCTTGACATTTTCTAGGAAAACATACGTTGGTGGTGATGACATCCTTTCAAGCTGATCCAAGAGATGTAATAAAGGCTTCGCCCGATTGTCTTGATCATCAAGTAACTTTCCTCCCCGTGTGTACGGCTATATTGTTGATTGATATTAGTTCGATTGATCTTTATTTCTTTCTTTTTCTTTTTTTTTTTTTTTTTTTTTTTTCTTTCTTTCCAATGCTGCTTTCGTGATCCACATATATATAAAAAGATCTTTCTTTAAGAGTACCTGACATGGTGGACTCATTAGCCAGCAATTTGCGTTATATCTTTTTTTTTTTTTTTTTTTTTTTTTAAGAAAAAAAGAATTAAAAAAAGAAAAGAATGTCAAACATTGGTTCATCATACTTTTTTGTTGGTAACTCCCAAGTTTCCTTCAACTCCTTACTTTTCAATGTCCTTGACCATTAATCGATCAATTCCTCTCTAAATAAACATACACAAAAATAGAAAAATCCCAGATAATATATCCTGTTGAAGTTATAGTCGGATCAAATACTTTATTCAGTCATAAGAGAAAAAAAAAAAAAAAAAAAAAAAGAAATAGAAAAAGCCCTAATTCAAATCCTCAATCATTACCGATACAGGTTTTTTGCCAAAACTTAATAGATATGTATCATTAGCCTGCTGATTCATGTCGAAGCTATCCAAGACCTCGCCTTTAGCACCACTCGCATTGAACCCAAAATGCTATTATATTTCGGTTCAACGAAACAGTTAGCATCTTCCCCGACCGCCCATCCTTGTGTTTCCAATGTGTAAAAGCAATTGTATAGAACACGCACTAGTCCTCCGATCCCGCTAAAAAATTCTAATGCTCTGATGGTTGTCATGGTGTGTTGGTTTCCCGTTTCAAAAAATAAAAAATAAAAAATAAAAAAAAAAAAGAGATCAGACAAAAAAAAGCTCATTTTAATTAGTAGGAAGAGCGCAACAAGATCATCAATCTGTGGACATTAAATATGGCTAAAGTCATATAGCAATAATACTTAGAAAATTGCCCATCAATATTCAGCTTCAGCCATTGGGACAAGTTACATTTGCGTCTGTGATGGTTTTCGGTGACGATTTATCTTTTGCTTTCTGATTAAGCTCAAAAAATTTTTCCAATGATACACAAAATGGACTGCCACCTGGGCAGTTGTTTGTTCCACCCTTTCTCTCTTCAACAAATCTTTTCGACATGTCTGAAGTCACTGACCTTGCCATCGGAATCGATCTCGGGTATGTCGATATCCCACCACGGATAGCGGATGAAGTGTGAAGTGAGAAGAGAAGAAGGAGAACTAGACCATTTCCCTCGTTGAAAAAAAAAGAAGAAAGGGGATAGCGACTAAAATCAAGATAACTCTTGTGGATATTCAGGAAATGATATTCTACTCAACAACAAAGAGAGAAAAAAAAAAAAAAAAAAAAAAAAAGAAAGAGGAAAGAGGAAAGAAAATCGATTCAGGCACGAATACATTTCAATAGGAATTCTGATCCAAAGTTCAATCATGGAATTTTGATTCCATTCCCATTATGCAACTTTTATAAATTTGCTGTTGAGCAATTTGAAAATCTGGGATTTGGTTTGAATCGACATCTTGGTTCGAATTCAGTGCTCACTTTTTGTCGGGATGCTTTTTTTTTTTTTTTTTTTTTTTTTTTTTTCCTTCCTCCTTCCTCCTTCCTCTCAACCAACCCTGGACCATTTCAATATTATTACTGCAATATGTGAACAACCAAACATCGACCCCTGATCGCCACGCACTGCTGGAAAGAAAATCGTATCTAACAATCTGGAACAAAAAAGCAGCAATCATTATGAATTGCTATACTTCCAAAAATTTTTAAAATATTGACCCATTTTCCACGCTTTGTTCCTCTGTCATATTTATAGTACCACCTACTCCTGCGTTGCCGTCTGGGAGGGCGAGCGTGTTGAGATTATCGCTAACGAGCAGGGTAACCGTACTACTCCTTCGTACGTTGCCTTCTCCGAGCAGGAGCGTCTCATCGGTGATGCCGCCAAGAACCAGGCTGCCATGAACCCCACCAACACCGTTTTCGATGCCAAGCGTCTCATCGGTCGCCGCTTCGATGATCCCGAGGTTAAGGCTGATATGAAGCACTGGCCCTTCACCGTCATCGATAAGGACACTGCTCCTTTCATCCAGGTCGATTACCAGGGCGAGAAGAAGGAGTTCTCTCCCCAGGAGATCTCTGCTATGGTCTTGGTCAAGATGAAGGAGATCGCTGAGGCCAAGCTCGGCAAGACCGTCACCAAGGCTGTCATCACCGTCCCCGCCTACTTCAACGATGCTCAGCGTCACGCCACCAAGGATGCTGGTGCCATCGCCGGTCTTGATGTCCTCCGTATCATCAACGAGCCCACTGCTGCTGCCATTGCTTACGGTTTGGACTCGAAGGAGACCAAGGAGAAGAACGTCCTCATTTTCGATCTCGGTGGTGGAACGTTCGATGTTTCCCTCTTGTCCATCACTGGAGGTGTCTTCGCCGTCAAGGCCACTGCTGGTGACACCCACTTGGGAGGTGAGGATTTCGATAACACTCTCTTGGAGCACTTCAAGGAGGAGTTCAAGCGCAAGCACAAGAAGGACATCTCTGGTGATGCCCGTGCCACCCGCCGTCTCCGCACTGCTTGCGAGCGTGCTAAGCGCACCTTGTCCTCATTGGCCCAGACCACGATCGAGGTTGACTCTCTCTTCGAGGGTGTTGACTTCCAGGCCAACATCACCCGTGCCCGTTTCGAGGAGCTCAACTCTACTCACTTCAACAACACCATCGAGCCCGTCAAGAAGGTTCTCAAGGATGCCAAGTACACCAAGAAGGAGGTCGATGAGATCGTCCTTGTCGGTGGTTCCACCCGTATCCCCAAGATCCAGTCTCTTCTCCAGGAGTTCTTTGATGGAAAGGAGTTGAACAAGTCGATCAACCCTGATGAGGCCGTTGCCTATGGTGCTGCCGTCCAGGCCGCTGTCTTGACCAACCAGGCCGGTAATGCCAAGACCCAGGATCTTTTGCTCTTGGATGTTGTCCCTCTCTCACTCGGAGTTGAGATGCAGGGTGGTGTCATGGCTGTTGTCGTTCCCCGTAACACTGCTATCCCCACCATCAAGAAGAAGACCTTCACCACCACTGAGGATGGTCAGACTACTGTCCAGTTCCCAGTCTATGAGGGTGAGCGTCCCATGACCCGTGATAACAACTTGCTTGGCAAGTTCGAGCTCTCTGGCATTGCCCCTATGCCCCGTGGTACCCCCGAGCTCGAGTGTACCTTTGAGTTGGATGCCAACGGTATTCTTAAAGTCACTGCTATGGACAAGGCCACTGGTCGCAAGGCCAACATTACCATCACCAACGGAGCTGGTCGTCTCTCTGCTGCAGATATCGAGCGTATGGTCTCTGAGGCCGAGAAGTTCAAGGATGAGGACCGCAAGAACGAGGAGATTGTTCAGTCCAAGCAGGACCTCGAGTCGTATGTGTACCAGATCCAGGGCACTCTCAATGAACCCAATGTTTCCATGAAGCTCAAGCGTGCAGACAAGAGGGCCGTTGAGGAGGCTCTTGAGGAGGCCATGGCTGCCCTTCAGATTGAAGAGCTCGCTGAGAAGGATACCTTCGTTCTCGCCCAGCGCAAGCTCAAGCGTTCCGTCACCAAGGCCTTTGCTTCTCTCTCTCGTTAAGAATTTTTCAGCTTATCACTAATAAAAATCTGAACTGTTGTTGTTTTTTAATATATACAATTTATTGTTATTGCGAATGTTTATTTTCTTTTCCTTTGTGTGTATAAATATAATGATGTACATACACATTTGACTAGGCATGAAAAGAGACCATCTATTGTTGCTCTTTCATTTTTCACTTTTTTTGTAATGTCAATGTCAAATCCTGTCTTTTGTCAGATCTATCCAAAGATGGGGAAAGGGGGATCATCGTTACACCAATTGGGAATGCGGCTTTCTCCTCAAACCGGTACTTTTTTTTTTTTTGTAATGTTTCTCAGTTCAGAAAGTCTGTTCTATTGTTTATTGAGTCTGTGTCCTAGCAAAAAAAGAAAAAAGAAAAAAAAAAGGACCTGATACAACGGTCAGAATTGTTTCCTTTGTTCAAGAATAATTTGTTTATTAAAACCTCATTTGCCCTGACCAACCTTCGCACGACAACACACGACACAGGACACACGAGACACGACACACAATAGGCACGAATGTGGATGGCTCTTGTTTTATTTTCTTTTTACTTACTTAGACGAGAGAGCCAATTTCATTCTTTTGTGGAGAATGCGAGGATGCAGGAGAAGGGAGAAGCAGCAGATTCTCTCTCTCCACAAAAGCACTCACCTGACAATCATTTCCTTAGCTCCAACAGTCATTCAGGGGGAGAAAAATGGTTTTTATCATCTCTTTTTGTTTTAAATTCTCATCTCATTCCTCATTTCTTATTTCTCATTTCTTCACCTCTCTTTCTCTCTCTTTCTCTCTGTCTTTCTTTAAAAGAAAAAGAAAAAAAAGAAAGACCCTTACATCATGGCAAAAGGTGATATCGCCACTCCTCCAGGCACAGGCTATATTGGATGTCTGACCCCTGACCAGAAAGTCCTTCTCAAGCAGATGTGGGCCCAGATCTTGCAGCTCACTGAAGCTGGCATTATCGAGCCTTCTAAAGACCTTCCTTCCTCAGATCCTGCTGCAGTGGGACGTATCAGTCTAAAAGATCTTGGACTTGACAAGGAACACCTCCGCCCTGCACTCTGGAACAATATCCTTGGTGATCACCCTGGTAAATGAAATGGACCATTTATGGATATGCTTGTAGATTTCGATGGATCATTTCATACATCCTCTGTTAATCAAGGACAAAGGAACCCAATTTCTGAATCTGTACCTTTTTTTTATTTATCTTTATATTTGTCCAGATTCTCTTCTCCTTCGTTTCCTTCGTGCACGCAAGTGGAATGTGACCAATGGCTTAAACATGATTCTCAAGGCATTCAAGTGGCGTATTGAGGATGATATCGAAGAAGTCAAGGCAAAGAACGAGGACGAGCTCAGTGCCAAGTACCGCGGTTTCAAACTACAGTTGGAAATGGGCAAATCGTATTTCCATGGCACTGACAAGATGGGACGACCTGTTGTGTAAGTCTTTTTACTTTTTTTTTTTTTTTTTTTTTTTTTAGCGAATATTTGGGAGGGCTGCTTATCTGTGTGTGACGGAATTTTTTTTATCTTGGGGAAGCAGGAGATCATATTAATATTAAGCTCATCAATTCTATCATGCAAAGACTGTGTGAAATAACGAACAGATCTCAAGTGAGGCATTTCTTTAACGATTTTTTTTTTTTCCCCTCCCTTTCTTTATATACATTCAAAATGATAGCTATATTAATGTTCGCTTACACAAGCCTGCAGATCAGGATCAAAAGGCACTGGAAAAGTTCACCATCTACGTCATGGAGACTGGTCGTTTGATGATCCAGCCCCCTGTCGAGACTGCCTGCTTGGTCTTTGATATGACTGGCTTTGGACTTTCCAACATGGACTATAACTTTGTAAAGTTCCTGGTCCAGTGCTTTGAAGCCTACTATCCCGAATCCCTTGGTATCCTTATAGTTCACAAGGCACCATTAGTCTTTTGGGGTGTCTGGAAGGTGATCGAGCCCTGGCTTGATCCCGTGGTCGCTTCCAAGATCCGGTTCACCCGTAGCGACAAGGAATTGCTCGAGATCATTGACCCTAACCATTTGCCAGCCAAGTATGATGGTGGTAAGGACAATTTCACATACAAGTATGTGTCTCCTGTCCCTGGTGAGAACGAGTGCATGAACGATGCAGAGATGAAGGACAAGCTGACGGAGGAATGGAAGAGCATCCTCTGGAAGTTTGAGGCCGTTACTCAGGAGTGGATCCAGAGCGGCAAGACTGAGGGCGGAAGATCCGAGGCTGAGATTGAGCAGGATCGTACACAGCTGGCTAGTGAATTGAGAGTTGCGTATTTCAAGTTGGACCCCTATATCCGTGCCAGAACTCTGTACCACCGTTCCGAAACCCCTGTTCTCCAGCGCGACGGAACTTCCACCTGGACTTATAGTAATTAAGACAAGGACTTTATTTCTTTCATTCTAGAGTGCTGGTTGTGATCTGGTAGTGTAAATAAATAGACATGAGCAAAAGAAAAAGAAAGAAGCTTCCCCAACTTGTTAAGGAAAAAAAAAAAAAAAAAAATGTTTTTAGAGTGAGTGCATACAGTTTGTGTTTTTATTTTAACTCTAAATTTGCTCGACAGTAAAGGATGCGAACGAAGAATTTGAATTCTAGAATCATTCATCAATTTTTTTTATTTTTATTTTTTTTTATTGTTGATACAATTACACCTTCAGAACCTGCGCTTTCCAGTGATAACCTCGTACCACATCTTCCAATCGCCCATGAACTAAAATGTTAGGGAATCATTTTTTTAGAAATTCGTTAATAAAGAGAAAAAAAAAAAAAAAAAAGTAAAACATCATCTTTTTTTTTTTTTTTCTTTAAGTAATCACTTGTGAATAACGCATGATAACTTACAGAATAGATGGGATGCTTAAATGTCGCAGGCTTATTCTTCTCAAAGATGAAATGTCCGACCCATGCGAGTCCATATCCTAATTAGAAAGAAACCAAAAGAGTTTTAAAAAAAGGGCTTTCTTCCTATCTCCTCCAAAGATGAATGAACAAATTGTATACATGCGTGCTTTTTTTTTTTTTTTTTTTTTTTTTTTTTACCTTGAAGAAGTGTGACCCACCAAAACCGGAGTTGCCTCGTCATAACCAAATAGCCAAGAATGGCGACTACATTCGTCGTTGCTTTTTACCAAAAACCAGGACAAAGAAGAGCATTCGATTATTATTCAGTCAAGAAAGAGGTTTTTGGTTTTCGTTTTTTTTAAAAAAAAAAAAAAAAAAAAAAAAAAAAAAAAAGCGATGGTATAAAAGTGTATCTTTAATTACCAAAAAGATGCAGACGTCGGTTAATGGGATTGCAATGCTCTGAGAGATAGTACGGATAGAACTCCTCAAATGACGAGTATCCTCCGACCTTGTAGGCCCTCTTGCTGTAGTTGTGGTTGGCGATTTCTTTGCTGCTCTTTTGAACACCCATGGTTGGTTTAAAACAAAAAATAAAAGAATGAGACTGAATAGGAATGGTAATGGTAATAGTAATAGTAATGGTAATGAAAGAAGAAGAAAGAATGGAGAAAAAAATGGAGCCGAAGAAAGGAGCCGAAAAGAAATAAAATAAAATAGTTCATGTTGGTAAAACTTAATTAAAAAATTTTAACCGAAACATGCTTAAAGAAAAGGACATCAACACATCTGTCAAAACTAGTATGATACAATATCGCCCACAGCGCTTTCTTTATTCAAAACTGTTCATTGATTCAACATGATGCACTTCTTCACGTTGAGCGTTAGCCAACAAAAATGTCGCAGATTCATCGCTTTGTGTACTTGTAATACTACTAGCATCATCATCCTCAGCATCTCCAGGACTATGGCTGTATCCATGGCCATCCGTCCCTTGTTCTGTAGCCGTAACATCGTTGTACCGTGGGTGTCCATACCGATCCAAACTCGAATAGTTGGGTGGGGGCGGCAACATGGTGCCAATCGAGATCCGGACCGGCGATGCTGATGTCCGATCACCATTCTGTATCTCAGCTCCAGAGTTTGAGCCAACACCTTCGCCAGTTCCAACTCCATTTGTCGTTGCCACTCGTGACGATAGATCCTCGAATCGTGATGCTCCTGCGCTGTGTACCCGTGTTCTGGAAGAGCCTGACTGAAGTATCGGTCTACCTCTAGAAACAAGTGAGCTGCCGCCTATGGAACCCAAATGATGATTCGGATCAGATCCCGCTGCCTCCAACAGGATCGAGCCCATCTCACTACCATATGCAGGAGGAGGGGCCAGTGATCCACTTGCAGGTGCTAGACCCCATTTCTTGACATTGGCCTCTACAAATACAAATCCTGACTGCCCAAAGTTTACATGTAATACACATGGCCCTGTTGCCCCCACAGTCGGAAACAGATTCATCCTTCCAAAACCCGTGTAAGCATCTTCGATACGTTTGCCATTGCGTGTGAAAAAGATAGTACCGTGCCGTGGTCGGTATCCACATCCAATAACATCTCCCTCAAAGTAAATGGGACCATATGTGTGACCACTCCAGAGAGAGTTGCAGTATTTCTGTCCATTGTGAGAAAAGTATCCTGCTGAATGACGATTCCATCCTAAGGGAAAGAAAAGGAAGAAAAAAAAATTGAACAATAAAACTGGTATTAATAATAGCAAATTTAGAGGCTTTTTTTTTTTTTTTTTTTTTTTTTTCTTTCATAGTATTTTGGTACAGCGAAGCATAGTGATGATCAATACCTGGTAACCTAGTTGTTGGATAGGGCTTGGTGGTGACACCGACAGAAACAATGGTGTTGGGACTCTTTTCAAACATCTTGACTTCCCAATAGTATACCTCCTGCTGCTTTGGTAAAGGCAAATTAGTTTGAACACACGCGATCTGGTCAAAGAATGAGAGCTCCGTCCTGTCGTGGACATAGAGCTGATGATCATAAGACGCCTCAAACTCCCATGCGGAAACGCCCTTTTCCTGAATTGAGAGGTATTGAGATAGCGAGATGTCTGTAGGTATACTGTTGGGTGGATGGACTAATTGGAAGGCTGAAAGATTAAATGAAGATATCATCATTGTGAATAATAGAGCAAACAAACAGAAAAAGCACTTCAATCCGTGATACAATTGCATTAACGCCCTGTCATCCCTGTCGTATCAGCTGACAGGTTGTCCTAGGCCGCAAGGAACCACATGGTCCAGACTAACGTTTCACAGCATAGCTGCCCTTGATTCCAAACGTGGTATATGAGTAGGTGATTGTTGTGCAGTCCTGTCTTTGCAACCGCATTGTTCCCTTGCATCTTGATCTCACATGTGTCTTTCGGAAGAAAGAAAAATAAATAAATAATCATTTTTGTATAATTACTCACCATGTGCAGCATCATATGCTTGTCGTTCACTATCTGACAGGGCAGCCAGCCTTTCTTCAGTCGCCTCCGGATCCTCTTCCCAATTTGGAATGGGGTGCGCTCCATAACCTCGACCTCCTCTACCTCCGCGCCCAGCACTTCCTCCACCATGACGACTGCTCTGAGATGATGACTGCGACGATGATGAAGATCCTGTGAGCCATCCAGCCTTTTGGCCACAGGATCGAATAACAGTGGCGATTGTAATGATGATAGCTATCGCGAGAAGCAAGATCACGAACCACGTAATGTCTTCGTCATCCGACACTGGAGGTGAAGGAAAAGACGGTTGCTGTGGATCGCTAATTGGATATTGTTCAAGTGAGCTTTGGAAGACTGTAGGATAGGTTGATAAGGAAGGGGGTATAATCGACGATGATGGTGTTGAGGAAGGAGAGGCAATTATAGTAGGTAGTTGTATGAAAGGTTGCTGATGTTGATAGAGAGGAAAAGATTGTTGCCCCTGTTGTTGTGATTCTTCATACGGCTGTTGTTTATGCTGGGACAAAGATTCCTGATTTTGCTGTTTGATGTCTAAAGTTTGTTCTTGTTCTAGTTCGGGAGAAAAAGCTTTTGGCCAAGGGTCGTTGTTGTTGCTGCTCTGTAGTAAATTCGTATCCGGTTTCCGTACCTGTTGCGGAAGTAGAACTTCGGGAGCAGCTGGGAAGGATGAAGGTAATGGAAGAGGCGGAGGCATGGCCGTAGAAAAAAAAAAAAAAAAAAAAAAAAAAAGAAAAAGAAAAAGAAAATGGGAAGATAGGGGATATATATATAAGGTGTTTCTATCTGTCTTTACTCTTGAAGAATAAAGAAAAGGGGGACGGAATGGAGTGAAAAACAGCAGTGGACTAAACAAGGATAGACATCCACACACCACAGAGCACCCAAAGTGTGTACATACACACAAACACACGGACACAAAGACAAGGATGGTAGTTTGTCTGGCTGACTGACTGACAAATGGACTCTCGTGCCGCTTGTTGTTGTTTTTGTTGTTGAATTGGGTTTTGCCTGTTCACTTTTTCATGATCCGTGTGCACAACTAATGTCTGATCTCGTGTTTATGAAGACAAAAAAAAAAAGGAGTATGAACAATAAAAAAACTAAGAAAGCTCGGATAGCAAAAAAAAAAAAAAAAAAAAAAAAAGTAGGGGGAAATGAGTTGGGAAAGAAGAGTGTAAAGTAACAGAAAAACAAGAGAGAAACGACTAATGAGACGAGTCGTCACTTTTTTCTTTTCTAGGCATGCACAGCACATGCGAAGGTCGAAACGCCTATGGGTTTTTTTTTTAAAGTGTAGGCTCAGACACACAGCACAGTCTCATCAGTATGAGAACATTGTTGCGCTGCGATTTAGCGCCTTCACCCTTTCCTCGGACTTAACCTTACCACCCGTCAATCACACTCAGTCAGTCGACCGCCAGATTGGAGATGAGCTATCAAACGTTCCTGAACCCCAAGAGCCCGAATCTTATTATAGTCGTGTTCGGTCATGTGATTATTTATGACGATTAGTATGCAAAGCTCATGTAAATGTTAATTTCTTTTGCAAGAATAAAGGTTGAACAAAAATTTGAAATATGTGAATCTTTCACTTTTGTGACATGTAAGTTCCTCAACCTATTGCATTTCAGCATTTGATCGTTGGAATAAGGATCAACTTTATGGGCTCGGGATCAGCATCAGCATCGGGATCAAAAGTAGAAATCAGGATGGTGGTTTTTCTTTTATGACTATATACTGTTGCCATAATCATGATGACAGGAAGGATATATTCTTTAGTCATTGGAATGCCATTTCCTCATTGGGATCCCTTACGAAGCGATTCAATACTGAAAAAATCATGAATCGACATTCACTATTGTCGGCACTCCATTTCAAACATATGTTGTCTGGTCATCACCATCGTCATCATCATTACGATCATCGAGCTCTTTTTAATGTGACATTATATTCATCCACATTACATACTCCATCGACCATTCTATCATTAGCGAGGACGTCTACTCCCAAGTTTTATACAACAATGTCTGAAGAAAGAGATGCCGCTAACCAGGTCGCTGAGGTTGAGGTCGCTGCCGATGCCTCTGCTCGTGGCCAAATGTCCGTTGAGGAGGCCCTTCAGGATGTTCTGAAGCGCGCCCTTGTCCACGACGGCCTTGCCCGTGGTCTCCGTGAGTGTGCTAAGGCCCTTGACAGGTAATTGGGCTAACATTCAAATCATCGCAATATGAATCTATCGCTGATACTGGGTTTGACATAGAATGGAATCCATTGTCCTTTACTTCGAGGGACTAATTTTTTTTTTTTTTTTTTTTTTTGCCTCAACATAGACGTCAAGCTCACATGGCTGTCCTTGTTGAGACCTGCACTGAGAAGGAGTACATCAAATTGGTCGAGGCCCTTTGTGCCGAGCATAACATCAACTTGATCAAGGTCTCAGATGCCAAGAAGCTCGGTGAATGGGCTGGTCTATGCAAGATTGACCGTGAGGGCAATGCCCGCAAAGTTGTCGGTTGCTCCTGTGTCGTCGTCAAGGATTTCGGTGAGGAGTCTGAGGCCATGAACGTTCTCTTGGATTACTTCAAGACTCGTTAAGAGTGGCTCAGTTCTTTATTGAGTTCCTTACTGTTGGCGATAATTGGTCAAGCAAGAAAGAGTGAACGGACAAAGATTATTAGAAAAGGAATAGAAAAAAATATATATTTTTGCTCCTCGTCCTTGTTCTTTCTCAAAACTCTCTTGTCAAAAATAAAGCCTAACCGAAGCAACAATTGATTTGTTTTGTGAGTCTGGAGGTTGTATGCAACCAACAAGAGCGATGCAGGCCTGTCATGTTTCCATGAACTTAAAATACTCCTTCTTTAAGGGTCTCACCTAAGCATCGTTCAACTCATTAAACATCAGTCTGAACTGTCGCTTGCTGCCATCCCGTCTCCGAAGAGGCAAGCCATAAATCATTCTACATTCTTATCCTCCCTCACAAAGGAAATTACTTTCAGTACTCACATCACCACCATACCATGCAAGAATAAGAACAAGGAACAAAGACAATGAGTTCAGAGCGCAAAAAGGTCTTTGCTCTGCTAGAATTACGCCAGCGCCTCGAGAAGGAGTACGTGTCGAGTCCTTTAGAAGCCACCAAAGAAGAACTGGGTTCTATTGATACCAAACTCTCCCAATATTTTCGATGCGATAGCATTGATGACATGTTGAAGCAGTACCCCACTGCCGAAGACATGAAAGTCGCGGCTGAGAAGCAGCGCTATTTTGCTTCCCGCAAGACAAACCATCAGCGTGTGGGCGGCGAAATCTATGAGGATCTGCGTCGAAATGGGACCGATGAGGATTATCTGGAATTTGTTCGAGTTTCTAAATCAGCATTTTTCAGTATCTCCTCCTCCATAATGTGTCAACATGAAGTGTTCATGAATCGCTCCAACAACTCTCAAGAGTCTGTAGAGAAACAATTAGCGATTACTCTTTGGAGACTTGGACATTATGGTAACGAAGCTGGCATTGGAGAGGCATCCAAAATTTTCGGCCTATCGGAAGGCTCCATCATGAAGTGTACCAAACGCTGCATACAAGTCTTGAAGGAAATCTCGTCTGATTTAATCACTTGGCCTAGTCAGGATGAGAAACGGACCATCAAATTGAGGGCCAAAAGTTTAGTTGCCTCAGCTGTCACGGCTACTAAGACTACCACGACTATTCCTACGATAACCTTTCCCTATAGCGCACCCATACAGTTGCCTACTGTACTATCACAAAAAGGACCAAGCTCGAAATCAGCTTCAAAGACAGGCGGTTATGAGGAGACGCAAAATAGTCCATGCGAGATTTTAGATACTGTTGGAATTTTGTCAGTTTTTTATGTTCTTTTGGCTTCAAGGCCATTGCTCAAGAACACAGAAGATTATCTCATCCCACTTCATCCATCTACAATAGCCGCAGCACAAACACTGTCAGAACAAGGGCAAAAAAGTAGTAAAGAAAAGCGGCGCAATCTTAAGTCTAATATCAGATTAACAAAGGATTCTAACAAAAACAACGGTGCTATCCAAAATAACGGGACTAGAAATAGCAACGACAGTAGTTCCAACAAAGACAATGGCGACGGTATTGATAACAGCGAAGGCAGCATTAACTACCAGAGAATTAAGAAGCTAAAAATCTCTAGAAAAAAAAGAGGAAAGAAAGCAGAAGACGAGGACGTTTATGAAAACAGGCAAGAGATACGGCCAGAGATGACAATTTATCCAGAAGAAAATATTCTTTCACCTGTCTTTCCTGCTCCAGTTAACAATCAATCCGCAGATCAACCAGCAGCACCTGTTGCGCCATTAGCTGAAGGAATGGCAACGCACCAGCCTGGCTTTATTAGAATAAAGTATCTCAAACGAGATTACGGATACAAGGTCCTCTTTGTGAGTGACACGACAACACGCATCCGATTCGTGGATGCGCCTCGTCCTGCTGGCTGGACAAATCAGCAGACCTTGATGTCAAGTCCACTATTGTTAGAGTCAACTAAATTTTTTGAGGATAATGAGTATCTGGTGGCTGGCCCAGAATTTGAGTCAAGTGCGAATGTGGTTTCAATGCACGCGGATGGAGATGCCCTTGGTGGAGCACATTTGCAGCTCTCTGTTACTATGGCCGATAGCGCTGCACAAACACAAACATCACACTATACTCAAAATCACGGTTGTAGTATGGATATGAATTCACACAGGACATTCGAAGAGAGCTTAAGGACTATCCAGAAGCGCGCATTAGACTGTCAGCGAACATTAAAGGCTCGATTTCCTAGTCTCGTGGAATTGCGACTTCAGGTCAAAGACGATATAACGAGTTTGGAGAATGTACGAGAATGGATCGAAGCATGTATGACAATACATAACCTAGTTTTGGGTGATGAGTCATCATATAATATGGCATGGGAGGAGCAGCTTAGGGAGAAGGAGCTGTGGATATTGAAGCAGCAGGAAGAACAAGTGCGGTTGATGTGGAAGCTGGAGCACAAGCAGAAATCATAAAAAAAAAAAAAAAAAAAAAAAAAAAAAAACAGTAGCCTAGTCTAGCCTGCTGTTAGAGGAGAGTGGTAATTGCGTATGAATGGTGTCGAGTGGCCGCGGGACATAGAAGCTCCAGGCACCGACGATCATATAATGCCGAAGGCCTACAGGACCAAAAAAGCGAGGAAGAGGGAGAGTCCGAATCGAAAGCCTTCAAGCGAGAACGAAACAATATCATTCCCTCTACTTATCTGTCACTAAGGCTGATGATCAATAATGCCTCCTTGGAAAAGAGACATGCCGATCATCAGCCAGCATTATAGACTGCACAAAGCGCAAATTGATACAATAAAACATGCATTCAAGACCTTAGATATTGACTATCCTGACTAACCATCCTTAGCCATTACAAGATATGTGGATGCGAACTTGGTTTATTTTTTATTTTTTTGCGGTAATGGCTACTGGGGGCTACTGTTTGGTCTCATGTCGGTCATGACCGTGAATCAGCCAAGAGAGGTGGATCATCATGATTTGGACTTCCTCGTCAAGAACGCGGATGCACTGCAATTTCCAAGAGCGATCGTGATTACGTGGCAGCTCAAGCATCCACTTTTTTACCCAGGTTATCCATTCATAGACCTCTGGTAGTTGTTGGAGGTATGTGCGTGCATCGATTAGATGTTCCAGGTTTTCGGTAAGCTGTATATCCTTAAACAAGATTGGGTCCTTTCGCTTGAACCTGGTAAGCACATCTAGAATATGAAGGAAGTCCTTGGTAAGAGGTGGCAGGATTGGTCCCATTTCTTACTTTTGTTGTTATTGATAGTATAGTTGGTGTTTTCTGTTCTACTTTGGTATTGAAGGATGTTGCGGAATGTAGAAAAAGATGGAAAAGAAACAAAGGTTGGGTCATGTTGTGTTGCGCTGATCATAATTTTATCAGCAGCGTTGCCACCTTTTTGACCAATTTCGGACAGCTACTGATCCACCATTCTCTTTTACATAAATCTGTAAGCCTTGATGCACTTTTGAATAAGACTTTTCCTTCATAGCAATAGCAAAGAAGTGCATTAAATGCAAGTCTGACGACTATGAAAGTTATATGCTGTTTGAAATACCCTACTGAGATGTCGAAACTTTTGTCGTAAATGTATACCATACCAGTACCTTCAGCTGCTTAGAATCGTCTTCGTTCACAGGTGATCCTAATTATGGTTCTGGTCCTTTTTTAATAGGCTGCTACTTCTCGTAGTTTTATTCAAAAGACTACAACGTAAAAACCTTGCATCCCTAATAGCTCGTGTTACGGGGAAGACACTTCAAAGAGTATAGATCCGATACTATGTTACCAGAATCTGAGGAATATCAGTTGAGATGAGACCAGTACCACTAGGCTTCATGAATATTACCAAATCTTTTTGTGCATTCCACCGTACATGAGTCTTGAATGCATTTGATAGTGTGTTTAGAAAACACATATTTGAAAATAACAACTGTGTAGAGCTCGGGTTTTAAAATGTACTATCGCCCTTATTTGGAGCGGCAAATAATAAAAAAAAAAAAAAAAAAAAAAAAAAAAAAGATTGATCAAAGTGCCTGAACTGACTGCTTTAATATTCTGTCTACAAAGATGAGAGATATTAGTTTTGCTTTAGCATCTGAATATAGCGAGTAAACTGGGGCTTTGGCAATTATTTGGCCAGCGAGGCTTCAAGATAGTTTGAAGCATGTCGAACACAAGGCTACGAAAGAAAAGAGAAGCTAATTTGGAATCCTCTTTATTTTGAGCCTTGGTGTACAGAGCCAAGCTGGGGAACGATAAGCACTTCTGACAGTAATTTATCCACTTCTGTAGCCACGGCCACTAGCTGCACTATTTTTTCTGGAAAAGGAGCGACAAGAAGGACTGGTATCAAATCCAGTAGAGAATGGACGTGCCTTCGAGTTTGTGGCGGGACCGAGACTTGATTGGATAGGACAATATAGAGGAGGCTCGCAAGGCTATTATGGAGCTTCGTCTCCGCTACCTCTACATAAGTTGCCTCCACCCCACGAATAGAACTCAACATGGCTTGGATCTGCCGCGTATTAGTCGTAAAGTTCTCAACCATTTTTTTTTTCTTTTATTTTCGTGCTTGTTCACTTGAGAAGGATTTGTCTTGATACAATGTCTTTGGGCACAGTAAATGAAAGCGCAATGGCCGCAGAAGGTAGAATCAAGCGTAGTGGATCGAGCGAATATGATGGATGTAGTGGATGTAGTAGAGTTAGTATAAGGATTAGGGCAAGTTTTATAGCATACTATTGCGCTGTTTTTCCTTTAGGAATCATGATAGAAACCAATAAGTCCTTGGTTACTATTGTTACAGTTATTATTCAGCCAGTCAATCGGTCTCTCATTACATGAACAAGGCGCAAAGAAGCAATATTGGTAGTTATCTGCAGCCTTTTTTTTTTTTTTTTTTTTTTTTTTTTGGCTGGATTTCTATGCCTTTTTCTTGCGTATATCTGACAAAAAGCGATGGAGGAGACAGAAAGATGTGTCCTCAGATTTGAAACCCCCGTTGGCCTTGTTATGGTAAAAGGAATGGGTAGTTCCTTGAAAAGTAAACCCAACATGGTCACCCTGCGCACAAAGTGATAATGGGTTCCCTAGTGTTCACAGATCTGCCGCCAGTTAACAAAGGCAAACCATTGTATGGGTTCTCTTATCACAGACCCTTATATGTTCCAGTTACCGGACACAATCTAGGCTTTGTGACAACCTGTAGATCCTTCTCTTTGTATAGGCCACTCGTTTTTGAGCCTCTAATAAGCATGGAAGGCAGCCTCATACCTTATCAATCTAAATGCTCCACGTCCTAGATTAGGTCTATGGCTTTGAAGAAAGGCAGGATCTACTTGTTCAACCTCTGTATTGCTTTTAAGCATTATGGTGAGGATCCTTGGCGGGAGGCGCCAAGGCAGCACATATGTTTTATTACTAAACAGTTATTATCACCGTTGTCACTGCTTGATTTCCTTACTTGGTCAAGATGATGTGCGTTATCAAATCAATCATTAAACTAAGCTTTGTTCTTATGTGGTTGAAAACACGTGAGAAAATATGCTTCATTGCTTTATTGCTGCGTATCTGCTTACGCTTACAGCAGATAAAAGAGACGAATTTAATGCTTTCCACTTCTTTACTACAGATTTGTTTCAGTCATCCTGAGCTGTCTATTCACGTTTTCGGCAGCACATGCCCAACCTCATGTAAGAAGACAATGGATGTGAGGTGGCAAAACCTCTGCGGAACCCGGTTCTAAAGGCAGGGGCAATGACTCAATTCTGGCCTAGTTTCGAGCACAAATGAGATTAACGTTTGTGAGCTATCCTTACTCTGACGTTTTCTGGTGCGTAGGCAGATTGGATGTAATGAACGTATAAAAAAAAGATCAAAGACCCTACAACTAACACATCCAGTTCGAAGCGCTATGGATGAAGGCTGTAACAAGTTTAGCCGTCTTGTTTTTCTGTAAGCAATGCTTCAAGGATAAACATTCATTTTCTTAGGTTGGAGGAAGAATAGCATGCGGAGTTGCGCCTCTCTTTTTCGAATCCAGGGCTCGATCCCTCTTACCATGGACTTGGCAGGGAGAATATTCATAACACGTTGATTAATAAAAGAAAAAATTCATTTTAGTACCTCATTGTTCGACACAGAGAAGTAAATGATGGATGTGTATAGCATGTTTAGCGTCTTTGGTTGAAAGAGATGACAAAGCGATAGCACACTCCTTCGAATCGAAAGGGACCACAGTACGAAAGGGGCCACAGTATGGAAGGCTGTGACAATTTCTCGCGTTGTCGGACTAGGGGTTTTCTAAAGCCAAGTATTCCTGACAGGATCGATGATCCAATAATCATGTTAAAAAGGTCAACAGCCTTCCGTTTTTTATTATGCTTTTGTACTTCATCATCATTACCATCACTACCATCCTCATCGCTAAATTGAATTCGTTTCAGAGGAGAGGAGCTTCCAATTTTCAAGAGCCACTGGTTGAGTATGAGAATCAAAATGAGCTCCAATTTCCAGCTGTACACTGAGTTGATCGCCAAAATCAATCATACCGAAACCCTCCTCAAAAGAGTGCCTAAAGGAGAAACGCGCGAAGCCATCAAGGTTGCTCTTGCTAGCGCCAAGGGCTCTGTCAAGGGAAAGTCGCGTGTTCACATTTTAATCTCTCAATACCACTTGGATAACCTCAATCGTCTCATCTCTGAAGCAATTAGTAAAGGGCTGCAATCGGCCACAAACTAACGCTGTTCAATGGAAACACAGAGTCCCTTTCTACTTTAATATTCACAAGGAGTAACACCACGTATTGCAGGCGACAATGGCGTAATGCCTCCGAAAATAAAATAAAAAAATATCTCTACCCGCTGTCTTAAAAGCTGTTTTCATCATTAACTGTTTTTTGAAATGTGTCACCATGTTTAACTGTGTGTTTAAGCAAGTACAAAAAATTGAAATGCATGTGCTGGAAAGTTATTTTTTATCATGCATTCTGTATCTTGATTTTGAATCATATCTTTTAACTGGTATCTTTATACAGTGTTACAAAGGCAATGTAGTAACATCATCATCCTTCATCATCACCATCATCTCTCTTGGGCATTATCAACAGAGCAATGCTGAACAGGGACTACAATGAAACAACAATAGAGCTGGAATCAGGAAAAATAACAATGTCAGAGCTACGGAAAGAGATAATGACAGGAGCACGGACAGGGGCACAGACAGGGATGGGGACAGAGACAGGAGTAGAGATCGAAGCAAACACTGTCAATAGCATCCAACCTCTCAAACAATATGCACTATACATTCCGGAAATCGTCTCCATGATCGTCTCTCACCTTGAACCGACTGACATTCTCTTTTGTCGTGGAGTCTGCCAGGATTGGCGTCGGATTTTCTCGCCTTTTCTGAAGCTCCATGCAATCTATTGCAACTACGGTTTACATACTTACAAGACTAGATTTGAGGCACATCTGGAAACCTTAGGGATGTATATTCAGTCATTAAAGCAGGTGTATCCTGACCAACCAGACCTGGAAAGGATCCAGCGGACATGTCCAAATCTGAAGCATTTGGGACTTTTTTTAAGGGCAAAGAGTAAGCTGGATAAACAGGTCATCATCAAGTTTTTTCAAACTATGGCTCAGCTGGAGCGAATTGATCTCTTTTCGCATCGTGATCATCTAGTGAGCGAATTGCTGTCTCTTTTGGTCTCATCTTATCAACTGGCTTCTCAGGCCTCTGTTGTCTCAAGTAATCCCAACAGTATGACATCTCCAACAGCACTCAGGATACTGGATATTGGAAACGCAGCACACTCCTTGACATTTCCAAGCATGGAATGGGGTTCCTTAGAGAATGTGATGAAAACACACTCACACTTGAAGGAGCTTATACTTCGAGAGGCATTCATTTGGGAACGATCAAAAACCGAAAAGATCCGTTCAAATAGCCTGTTGACTAGAGCACTAATAAGAGCACCTTTATCACGCTTATGGGGCCACTCGGATCTTCAAACTCCAGGTACAGGATGCATTGAAGACGAAGATGAGGACGAAGATTATGACTATGACCACGACTATTACGAATATAATCATGGTCATACTCATGACCATGACTATCATGATGATAATAATGATAGTTGTGTTGACCGGCCGACAAAGTCTTCGCGGTTCAATCACCTGGAACGGCTGGTCTTCGATAACATCAAATTATCGGAAAAGTTACTGGTGAGCATTATGCGTCGCTGTCCTGCATTAAAGACATTGAATCTCAAGCTCACGGGTGTGAATCTGCCAAAGAATATTTGGGCGCAATTCCTACCAAACTGTCCTCAGCTGATGGCGATTTCAGTCGATAACGAATATGCAGGAATCGAGGTGGATGTGCCTCATGTTTGGGTCTTGGCACCATCTCTGAAATATTTCCGTCTCTCAAGGTCCCATGGGGCTCATGTTTATTTCCACTCGCCAGTAGAAGTAGCAAAAACAATTCAGGGACTACCTCCAGTCCAGATCAATAGATCCACTATCAGCCCTCTTCACCCTCCAGGATCGACTCTTGTATCACTGGAGCTAGAAATACGACTCCCAATTTCAGATCTTGGCTTACGCTATGTTATGACGAACTGCCATTCGCTAGAGAAGCTAATCCTTGGGATTCAATACTTCACTGACTGGACTCCAGCTACGATTAATGATAACGGAGGCGAAGTTGGGCATGCTGATGACTCTTTCTCAACCCTCTCACAAGCCGAGTTCCCACCTTGGGCATGCGGCCGAACTTTGAAGAGGTTAGAGCTGAATGCAACATACATGCCCTATGATCACCGGTTCGACAGTCAAACACATGCCTTCATGAGGCGTCTCGAAGATTTATTAGTTCTAGAGACATTGGTTCTTCCCGCAAAGCTCCTGAGCGACCTATCTGAGAGTCTAAATCCTGATTATGCTGCCTTCAGAAGCATCCTTGATCAACTGGACCATCGACTCATGTTGCAGGATCAATCCCATGTACAGTCAATCGCCTTCAAGCTACCCTCACCATCATTATCCAACACTCCTTCTAATCCGAGTTCCTTTTCTTCCTGCATGGAATCTCTGTATGGACTACATCCTTCAAAAGGACAGATACAGCAGCTCTGGGATCGAGGCATGTGCAGCCCAAAAAACTTTATCCCACATATACCATCTGTACGCGAGGTATCATTAACTTCACCAGGGAGTTTTCGATTCTCGATGGAGATGCGATATCTGCATATTCTAATGGAGGCTCTCCCAGGACTTGAGGTCATCTGGACCCAAACAGGCCTATATGAGATTGACTGTATTCGACGGTTCAGACAAACCTTCAATCAATTCAAGGAGTTTTATGGATTTACAGGGGTTCAGCTCAATCTGGGAGATATATAAAGTCATAAAGCCAAAAAAAAAAAAAAAAAAAAAAAAAGAAGGCATTTTAGAATTATTGATATTTGCATAGAGTTTATTTCATGAATTAAAAAAGAACTTAATTAGTCCGTCCCATTAAAAAACGAGACATTCCATCTAGTGTTAAAAGAAGAAGTGTATTAGAACAAAGAAATAAAAAGTATTATCAAGCCAATACTTACAATTTTTTTAAAACGAAGGCCTTTCTGGACCTAGTCATGTTTGTAGTAGATTGTGTCCTACTGTTGTTGCCGGCTTGTCTCTCCCCCTCCACCAAATGGAACGGGCTGTACTATATATTTATTATATATAATATTATCATTTCATAAGATACGGCAACTTTTTTTTTTTTTTTTTTTAAACAAAAAAAATAAAACAAACCATTTTATTTCTTTTTTCTACCTAGTGCCCTCGGTCTTGTAAAAACGAAAAATAATAATAAAACAAAAAAAGGTTAAAGTACACGAAGGTGCCATATCCGTATTGGTATCGCTGCTTTCCTAGTGCTCTACTCAGTTGTTCGGTCGCACAAGCTGTCAAGCTTTGGGTAGTCTGGGGGCGTGAGTCCTGTTGCTATGGCAATCTGACGGAAAGCAATCACCTCAAAGAACATCTGAAGGAGCATCGCATCTTGTTGGCTCAAGACATGAGGAATATATTCAATACGGGTCTCATCACGTTCAAAGAGTCCTCCTAAAGTACTTCTCTTTGTTCTCACGATCAACATGTCCTTGGCTAGAATACTCTCACTCTTCAACCAGCTGTACACCACATCGATATCCTTGGTAACTGCGTTTGCATGCTTGGCCAGGAACAAGAAGTTGAAGTGCCCATTCGAATCGGCATAACTCATGGATTCGCCTACCCAGGTGATATTAGTAGAGTACTTGATGCCCATCATGATCGTCTTTAGATCCCGTCGGTCTGGTAACTCGGTATTGGCCATAATCTCACCAATGAATTCCGGGAAGCGAGGACCATATACGCCTTGTGCGACCAAAGTCTTGGCCGTGTGCTGATACTGCTCGAATCCAAGACACACTTTAAGCTTGATGGTCTTTGTTACACTGTTCTTGAAAGCATTGGCAATGGCACTCCAGCCTTTTGCAACAGCTTCCATCGATTGGCCAATGGCTACCAGAGTTGGATCAACCGCCTGGATATTGTCAAGGGACTTGAATATCTCGTTGGGCCTCTGAGACTGAAAGAGTGGGGTGCGAAGATATGATCTTGCGGCTGAAAAACGTAAGATGTCTAGTAAGGCCTTGCTAACATACGCTGGGTAGTCCTTCCATTCGACCAGATACCTAACAGAAGCAAACGAACCATCTTCGAGAATAATAGCCGAGCGGATGACGGAGCCTTCCCAGGTTTCGTTCACTTCGTCGGAAGAAGCATGTTGGTAACGTCGGCTGGATTCGCAGTTATGATGATCTCTGGCCAAAAAAGTGCCCTTATGTACATCAGGATCGGTACTATCATCATCGTCATCATCTAGAGGTTCGCACTCCAAATAGCTGAGTACAATATCACCTTGTAAGAGTAGACAGTCAAGATTGTTGCCATGGGGCGAAATCACCAACCAAGAGTATGAGGATTCTGAGGTCACTTCGACCGAGGTCTTGCATTGACTTGGCGGTGGATCAAATGTCTTTCGTTTTTGGCTTGTGGATTCACATTCAAGTGAGATGGGTATGTCTCCGGGGTTCTCTTGGCGGACACGCCGCCACCACTCTGTCACTGTCTCTTCCGCATTCGCCCTGTCAAAGCAATCTGATAACAGGTTTCCAAACAGGTCCTCTGCGTCTTGTTCATCAATTGTGAGAGAGAACTGCCGGATGAATTGATGGTGTGACTTGGCCAAGGTTTGAAGCTCGTTCAAGAGCTTATCCCTATGCGCCTTAAAGACCTCCTTATTCTCGTTTTTGTTCCTAAGGAACCGACGTAGTAAGTCATCAATAAACATAGGCCACATATTGCTGGTCATCGTAGTTTTTGAGTTCATCATTGCTGAAGGAGAATATGGGATAGGCGCAGGGGAAGAATAGACGACATCATACTGAGGGACAGTCATGATCCTGACCGACTTGGCATTGAAGCTTGCAGGTGCTGGCATGTTCTCTATTGCCCAACGAGACTGGCTTGCAGAAAGAACCGCCATGCCTTGATCAATTTCATACTGTTCCAAGGCACGAGGAGCAGATTTATTATGGCAACATCTACGAAGCCAGCATCTATGGCACTCCTCCCAATATCTGTATTGTTGAATACTTTCAGCACCAGACTGCATAAAGATGTGTCCAATTTCCGCAGGATTGGCCAAAAGCCCTCCTTGGTCTAAACGGGCTCTCACGACGACTGCTAGTGTGACCATACAGAACGGCTGAGGACCCGCTCCACAGTTAGGAACGCCATAACTGAAGCTTTGAATCACGTATACGCCCTGACGGACAGCAATGAGAACAAGGGTTCGGATATCATTATAGGCAATATCGCGAATTGACTCAGGGAGGCCCCAAGCATTAATGACCTCTACTAGATTGTTAGGATCAACTATTTGGATCCCAGTGTTGCCAAAGGTGTTTGGAGGGTGTAAGATCCTTTCCCACCCATCAGGATAAGGTCGATTGAGGCTGTGGGCCTTTTCTACCAAGAGATCACGCGCTTCGTTCCCATAAGCCAGTTCCGAAACTGCAATGCGGCTTGCTCCTTTAGTAGGAAATGAAGATGCTGGCGATGGCATCCATGGATCAGAGAGCCGAGAGTCCATGACGAGCTGCTGAGGCAAGCCATAAGCAACAACGGCGGCGCAACCAGTGAATACCAACCCAGCCAAGGCTAGAGAGCCAGTATATATGGATCGAAGACGAACCATGTGTTTAGATGGATGTATTGTGAGGAAGGATAGTAAAACTTGCTTTGCTGAGAATGCGACTGAGGTGATGGAATAATAGGAAGAAGCCGTCGACTGTGTGGATATTTATATGTTCAGAACGATAGCACAAAGCTATAGATTGGTGCATATCAATTCAAGCATATTTGCATAAGAGGCAACCACAAGGCGCTTGGTATTTCAAAGGGCTATGGCGCAGAGGAATGAAAGCACAACACACTGTGTTCGCGACATGCCATTCGCCGTATACGGCCCTAATGTAGGAAGCGATAGGAACTTAAAATGGCGAAGTAAAAAATGAGATAGCACAAATGCCCCCTTACGAAGGTAGAAGGGAAAAAGATTGTTTCATAACTATTAATCCTGGAAAATGTCTTGACAGAAGTTGGCGAAGACTAAAGGACGCGCAAAAGAAAATTTTGCTCTTTTCGGGAAGGCTAAAGTCCCGAATGACGGAATCATTGAGTTAACATCCTTTTAGGTGAGGGGTACTAGTACAAATCGTCCCATCGAAAAGTAATGAGCAGCGTATGAAGTGTAAACAAATCGCCCCATTGTGGAAGCGCATAGCATTTTCGGGAGAGGAATGGGGGTAGTTTTTTGTCAAGTATTATTTCAATCATGAATCGTTTTTGTTCTAACCTCTTTAACTTTTAGGCACTGGTCAGTTCTCCTGCTTCGCCATTTATGCATTATTGAGGTATACATTGTGCAATGTCCTGTCATTGATATCTTGTGCACACGATGCAAAAGTATTTTCAGAAAAAATAAGGCTTGCTATCTGTTCTGAGGATTAGAACTAGAGTAAGACTCATTGCGTTTTGTTCTCCTTCCAAATAGGGGCCACTCGTGATGTACTCTTTGTGCTGCAAAGCCTTGTAGGTGGGATAGACAAAGACAAGATAAAGTAGACGAAGCTCAAGTAGACGTATGGCTCATGTTTTATAATACCACCCGTCAACTTTAATAGACCGACCTTCACATGCATCTCTACAAATGACAGACGTGTACACAAATAAGCACAATCAGCTAAGCATCAGGCTGGTATGGTCCATGCTGGTGCTGATGTGAGTAGAAATATATTAATACAAACATTGTCTTACTTTTCTAGTACGGTCATAAATTTATAAATTGTATAAATGCTCGCCTGCAACCACATTGATAGATCAAACGAACCTAAATAAAAGGTGCAATCTGCTAAAGGTTCTTGACTTTTAATATATGCACACAGTAAAAAAGCAATGTCGCCCCCGATGTCTTGGCATTGTTCTCCCCAACCAAAAAGTAAAGTGCATACGTGATGAATGAATGTAAGGTAAGAAAGCCAGGATGCACATGGTACTAAAATGAATCTTAATTCTCTTTCGTGAGAAAGTAAACATGTTCAATAGTTTTTGCTGTTCGTTTTAACATGCGTGCAATGGTCTTTTACATTTAATCTCCATTTTAAGAATAAAAGAGCACTCATGTTCAGTTTAGCATGATTTATTTTATTTTTTTTCTTTCACTATAAAAATAAGCTAGAATAAGACACCAGCTTTCTTAAAATTTTCTTTTGTCAAACAACACGCTTGCCACTCTTAGTTATTTCTTTACGTTTTATTTCCTTCTTTTATCTCATTATAATCCCTTACTCCCCATAATGTCAGTAGAAGACACCCCCACTGGTACAGGACATGTCGGTACCCTTACCCCCGACCAGATCAAGACTCTCAAGAAGCTCTGGGCTGCACTTTACGAACTTCTAGAGACTGGTACCGTTACAATTGTTTCTGAGCCTGCTGCTACTCCTGCTCCTGCTCCTGCTCCTGCAGCCACATCTGGCTGGGGAGGCGGATGGTTCGGAGCGTCTACCCCAGCTGCACCTGCCGAACCTGTTGTTGAACCTCCTAAGACGATTACATTGGCTGAAATTGGCCTCACCGCAGAGGAAGTCAGAACTTCGCTGTGGAATAACGTGTTAAGCGATAACCCCGATTCTTTAGTGCTCCGCTTCTTAAGGGCACGTAAATGGCATATCGCTAATGGCCTGTTGATGATGCTGAATGCTTTCAAATGGAGACTGGAGCAGAATGTTGAGGATGTCAAGACCCTGAGTGACGACGAGCTAGATGCAAAGTACCCCAAGTTCAAGCAGCAGTTGGAGATGGGCAAGTTTTATATTCACGGAACGGACAAGCACGGTCAGCCCATTGTGTAAGTCGATGGTTAAAACTTGATGTTTCTTTAATTTTGTTGGGAAAAGTGACAAACAACAAAAAACATCGTGTTTCTCGATGACCAACAAAAAAAAAAAAAAAAAAAAAAAAACAAAGTAACAGCGGCAACAAAAAAAGGATCAAAGATAATTGTGGATTGTAGGCACATGGACAATCTTTGTTATATATACACGGAGACACAAGTCTCAGACGTGGCAACGGCACCAGCATTAGAAAAAAAAAAAAAAAAAAAAAAAAAACAGTGTGGAGGATTTACAATCTCACAAATCAAATGATCTAATATCCCCTCACTTACTTTCGTGTGTGTATTTTAGTTACATCAACGTTCAGTTGCATAGGGCTGGCGATCAGGACCCCAAAACTCTTGAACGCCTGACAATTTACCTCATGGAGAGTGGTCGCCTCTTGATTCAACCCCCAGTCGAGACTGTTGCTTTGATCTTTGACCTTACCAACTTTGGACTTGGCAACATGGATTATAGCCTTGTTCAATTTATTGTCAAGTGCTTTGAGGCATATTATCCAGAGTCACTTGGAGCCATTCTCGTTCATAATGCACCCTTGGTCTTCTGGGGAGTCTGGAAAGTGATCGAGCCATGGCTAGACCCTGTGGTTGCATCTAAAATCAAATTCACATACAAAAACCAAGAATTGTTGGAGCTTATTCCTGCTGAGCACTTACCAGATACATATCAAGGCGCAGGACTGGATAAATTCAAGTATGAATATCTGGCACCTGTTCCTGGTGAGAACGATCTGATGAAAGATGAGACCACTAAGGCAGCACTACAGAAGGAATGGGATAGTCTGACCCAAAAATACGATTCCAAGACAAAGGAATGGATCCAAAGCGAGAAGGACACGCCGTCCCATGAGAGGGAAGATGTCGCAGCAGAGCTGCGTGCGCAATATTTCAAAATGGAACCATATATTCGTGCCAGGAACCATTTCCACCGCAAAGATCAACATGGCAAGTCCATACTTCAAAGCAACGGCACTGCGATCTGGACTTACAACAACTAGAAAATGAGTGAAACAAAGACTCGATACCCAATTTCATTAAAGTTATTAAAATATAAAATGTATTAAATGAGGGCAGCAATTCTCTAAGCTGACAATCTAAAATAAGTCTTCGCACAGAATGCAATGCTTCATGGACGATTTTCTTTCCAAGCCCTAAAAGCGTCAAGACATATTTCCAATATATTCATCGTGTTTCTGCTCGGTTGTGTGGGGTGGCGATATACAAATGCACACAGCCTCATCTATTCTTGGCAGAGTATCAAAAAAAAAAAAAAAAAAAAAAAAAAAAAGAATCAACGGGATTGACTTACACATATTCTTCATTCTCAACTCATTGACACAAATGAATCTTTCCATCTTTGACATTCAACTTCTAAAAGATGAAGTAACGCAGTACTTGTCGCAGGACGACCTCACCCGGTGCGTCTTAGTGTCCAAGGACTGGTTTGGTTGGTTTGCCCCTGTACTTTGGCGCAACGTCCAAATTGATGGTGCGTTTGGATTTGTAGAGAAGAGACTTGCTGGCTTGAAACGCCATAGTGACAATGTCCAGACCCTCATTATCCTCGAAAAGCAAGCAACAATGCATCAACACATACCGCTCCACAACTTGAAATCGTTCATATTCTATCCCGACTTGGCATCCTCGTTCGAAGAAAGCTACTTTCTTCAATACATCCAGACCATACCATCTCTCCAAACCTTGACGCTGACAATCTCACTTGCAAGAACATGGACGCAAACCCAACTCTTTGAAACATTAGAGAGATTACCACGACTGAAGGAACTGAACCTAACCTGTTACCAAATCACTCATCCGATCGTGATCCAGCAATTGATCCAGAGATGTAGGCAGTATGACATTCTTCGATTGAGTCTTGGAGGCGGCGGAGGTCTATTACTAGACACACAACAAGCGAATCTGGAGGCACAAGCAAAGGCCTTCATGGAGTATATGCAGGAGAACCAAATACGTGAACTCAGTATACGGTTGCCCTTACCACATCATGAAGATTTGATCCTTATTCCATTGCTGAAGAGGTGTCCAATGCTGGAAAGATTAGACTTACAATGGCTGCATCACAAAGAGTCCCTACAGCATATCGTGGGTATCTTGGAAACTAGAAGATGCTCGCACTTAAGACATGTGCGTATTGGTGGAGGGACTGTTTGGAATTCTGATGACCCAATTGCAGGATTGTTTCGTGCTCTCAGACGTTTCGAGCATACAAAAGCCAATAGCCATAATATTAATGAAATGAAGAGCAGACTTCAGGCTACCGCAAATGAATACCATGATGAAGCCGGAAGTACTCTCGCCAGTGTTGGCCTCAAGTCATTTATCGTGGATGCGACAGTACCATTTGGACATGAATGCGTACTAGCACTAACGCAGTATCATGCATTAACCTTGACAGTTTTAGACTTAATGAGCCTCCGTCAACTGCCCGTCCAGTTCTTTGTTGGTCTTGTCAGCAGTCTCCCAAAGCTCCGGTCTCTCATGGTTGCAGTGTGGATAAAGTTTATAGCTGATGATGAGTTACTGGGCCCAGAGTCCATGTTTATGACTTCGTGGGCATGCCTAGAGCTCCGGTACTTGGAACTGGGTATCGTAATGTCACCAGAAGTGACCTCTGGTAACACTCATCAATCAGGGGATGGTAGCCTAGCAGACCAACACTTGAGTTACATATTCTCGCAGCTTGGGCGGTTAGAGGGCCTAAAGGATTGGAAGCTTGCCTCCTCAATTAATCTCCTCACATTGGAAAAAGGTTACTTACGATGGCTACCTAGGCTCAAACAATTGCGAAGTCTCGACCTCAGGAGATACTCTTTCCTTGAGATAGGCGCTGCAGAAGCAAGATGGATGATCGACAATTGGACGTCTCTTGTGCATTTAGACTTCAATTATCTGAAGGGTGTACATCGAGGGCTTGAGGGTGGGCCTCTTCCCGAAGATGCAAGCCAATTACTGTTGACTAGGCGACCTTGGATGACTATTAGATAGAAAAGACAGAAATAACATTTGACAATGCAATAATTTGAGACAAACAAAAAATTTAATTGTAACCAATTGGCCAGGTTCAATTGGACTTTCCAAATCAGGAAAAAAGCGGCGTAGTCTCTGTTGGAGAACCAGACTTCTGCCCAATCTTCTTTGTTTACATGATCATGGCTCAATGAATCACGCAATGACATTATAATGAACACATGAAGGGGATTTGTATTGGACTTTCCTTTTAAGTCGCATGTCATTGTTAGCCGCAGCTCCATTTACTTATAAAAGAGTCGCGTCCCAACTTCCAGCTTCTGCGTTTTTCTCTACCTAACAAGACACTTGATTTATCAGAAAGACACCACTATTATCGCCACTATAACAACTGTAGAGACGCATTTACGCCATGGCTAGTTCCACTGCCCCTAACGACACCAGCATTAGCGCCCGATCTATTGACGGTCAGGCCAATGCCTTCTTCGAGACTGGTCCTAACTATATCCTTTGTGAGGTATTGGTCCACCTTCATGGTTATCGTAAGACTATGTCTGTGATCAAGCTGAAGTCTAGAGCTGAAATTAATGTTTTTTTTTTCTTTTTTTTTGAATCACAATTATTAGATCCCTGGGATCAATGATGATATATTCCCCAAGGAATATCAGGACTCATGGGACAAGGATCATGTGCGGCTACCATGCTCCAATCGAATGTACCCTTCAGAGGTTTCATTTTGGCCTGAGATCGTTCAGAGTCTTTCGGAGCCTATCCTCAGCTCTCGTCAGCTTTCTGAAGCCATGCTTCGCTGGAATCCAACAAAGCGAAACGGCTGGAACATCAATGCTTTAGATGCATTTCTGAACACTCGTAGTGCGGAGGAGGCAGCAGAGGCAAACCAAGGCATGCACTCAGACGAATTTTTGGACCCTGAGGAGCAACAGCTGCAGATTCATTCTGGCTCCATTGATTCAGATGAATATTTGAGCCGCTCGGATGGAGATGAAGATGGTGATGATAATAATGAAAAGTCTGGACCATCACAGCAACGACATCCTCAGAGATCGGAGCCTCCTGCTGGAAAGATCTATCAAGTTGCTCCCACTGAACCCCTCAAAAGCCAATTCTTGAGTAGTCAAGAACGCCAGCATTTCTTTGACGTAGTCTTACCTCGTATGCAGGCGTTGGCTCTCCGCTTGCCGGAATTGATCAAGAAGCCAATTCCATTTTTGAAACAACAGCAAGATTCAGCTGTGACGTTGTCACAGGAGCAAATCGCGTGTTTGTTGGCGAACGCGTTCTTCAACACCTTTCCAGGTCGAAACGCTCCTTACAAGACCAGACGAAAAAAAAGATCAGTATCTAGTAGTGGAAAGCCGTCCGGAGCAAATACCAATCAAAACCCGAGTCAGGACGATGGCGAAAGTACTGATGAAGATGAAGATGAAGAAGATCATCATTCCAAGGGGAAGAAGTCTGGCAACAGATCTGCCCGGGATGGACGTAATGGAGGCCGCGGAGGCGGGGGAGCAGGTCAACAGCAGCAACCTTCGCGCGGTAAGAAGAAGGCTTTGCAGGCTCCCCGTCCACCTAGGAAGCCACGTGCTAAAGGGCCTGCCGCTTTGTTTGAGTTTTTTGAAGACTCATTTGATCAAGAGAAGCTGGCCTCCAGCGTTGAAAAATTGGAAGTTAATGACCAGAAAGGTTTAGCGCAAGGAGGACAGGCAGAGATAGAGCCAGCTTCATCAGAGGTCAAAAATGAAAAGGAATGGGCACCAAAGCTGCCCTCGATCAACTTCATTAGCACTTTTTGGGCCGAGGAGAAAAGAACGCCTTGCACTACTACACAGGCGGCGAGGCTACGCTGCATTCTGCATTACTTTGATCGAGTTACCACCGAAAGTAAGTATAGATATCATCTTTGAGCACATTTGAACCAATGATAAATCGCACTGTTAGTATTCAATAATCTGAACATATTCCTCTTTTCTTCTTTTTCCTGCGCCCCCGTACAAATCTAGTGCCCCAGGGTACGGTGACATATCACCGACAGGTACTGAAGAGGCCCGTTTACTTGAACCCCAATGATCAGCTTAAAGAGGACTCATTTAAGTTCACCAAGGTGATAGTTGACAGCATTACACCTATTGAGGAGGCGCCTCAAGGAGCATTGCAGCTAGACTTTGCTAACAGGAATATTGGTGGTGGAACACTCGATAAGGTAAGAAAGGAGAGGGCTTATTCTATTCAGCATAGCTTTACATTATTTGTTGAATTATCATTCATTTTTTATCTTTTTTATTTTTATTTTTAATTTTTTGACATCTTCAACAGGGCGCCGTCCAGGAGGAAATTCGATTCATGATTTGCCCTGAATTGATCGTTTCACGACTTTTCACTCAGCAATTGGAAGCTAATGAAGCTGTACTGATCAAAGGCGCTGAACGGTACTCTAATTACATTGGATACTCTAAGTCTTTTGAGTGGTACTCTGATCATCGTGACACTACCCCTCGGTAAGTGCTCGTAAACTTGAGTATAAAATATCCTACTGCTATGGAGCTGAATTGAAACTATGCGGACGAAAACTGGACGATCCAAAAGTTTATCAATGGTTTAGGCATTTTCTTCTAACGCCTTTTTTTTTTTTTTTTTTTTTTTTTTTTGAAATACTTAGTGACAAGATCGGTCGCCGAATGACCGAGATTTGCGCTATTGATGCTAGGCCTTTCAAGTCTAGAGTTTCACGGCTTGAACAGTTTGAGCGCCACTATCTTCTGCGTGAGATTAACAAAGCTATTGCTGGATACCGTGTATCCCCTATCAACGCTTCTGAATGGGGCCTTGCTCGTCCGCAAGACCGAGACCAGATGATTCCCCAAGGCCAAAATCAGGCTACAAATCTCTACCGTCCCATTGCTACAGGAAACTGGGGCTGCGGCGCTTTTGGCGGTCATTTACAACTCAAATTTGTCCTTCAATGGATTGCGGCCTCTATCTGTGGTGCCTTCCATCCTGAAGACCAACGAACTGGTGATGACTTACTGTACTATACATTTGGTATGCATGCACTCAAGGACGAAATCGAAGCTTTCGTCAAGGCAGTTGAAGCTATCAACAAACCTATCGAGCCCAGTAAGCATAAAGTTTTTGGATTTATTTAATCTCGATCTATACAAAGGTAACGCATTCAGGTCAATGAAAATGTTCTTAACCTTTAATAAAATAACTTACTGCCTTATAGAGCGAGTGATCGAGTCCATTATACACTATCCTCGTCGGAATCAAGGCGTCATTCAAGGTTTCCGAGAAAAGTCATTGTTTGAATACTTGAGCAGTGCTATTGCATTTGTTCCTCAGACTTAGATCAGGACTATTTTTTCCCCTCTTCTAGTCATTTGCTGTGGTTTTGATCGAATAAAAAATCCACAATTCAGACCCCTAATTTTTTTTTTTTTTTTTTTTTTTTTTGACAAACCAAAGATATATAATTTATAAGGCCTAAACGATGCTTTACTCTCTACACTCTACTTGTATGCTTTGGGTAATGGAAACCAACCGTTTCCAATATTCAGGCTCTGCAGTTTATGTAAGCTAGACAGCCTCTCCATTATCATGTTCTCCAAAGGTGTTTTCGTCTTTGATCTTTTGGTATTGTCATCGACACGTCTTTCGTCTGGTGGCAAAAGCCGTTCTACGCACAGATTAAATGTTATCTGATCCATAGGATGTCTACGGTCCATATCCTTCAGTCGCAAATAAAGTCGCTTCAGCTCCGAACAAACCCATTCCCTCGCTGGCAGATAATAGATCTGTTGCTGCAGCACGTTCAACGTCGGTTGTTCTCCATCGTTAGTATTAAATGTAGAGAAAACTGGCTGAAGATTATATGGAATTACTACAGTGATCAACTGTGGAGAGCATTCGAAAAGCTTCCAAACAATAAATGGTTCCTCATCTCCTTCTTCAGATGACCGACTTCCAATATAGAGTCTATCGTCCTCGCCGTTTAAAATGACCAGGGTCTCAATCGTTTGCGATTGTCGTTGGATGATGGTCCTTAAAAACTCTTGGGCTAAAGTAACTGGCACTTTGCCCTCAAACCATGCCAATTGGTCACGAGGTATTTTGCGAATTAGGCACATAAACTCTGATGGGTCCACACACTCTGTTGGCATAGACAGGCTTGTGATATGCGTGAGACATTGGGACAAGTTGATTTGATGCTGAAGGCCATGAAAATCACCATTGAGGAGTGATTTGAAGATGAGATGCGTGATATTGGGCACAAGCGGAAGGATTCTGGGTACAACCCTGCCAATAAAGGTTAATTCATCTAATCCAATATGCGTGAATGATGACGCGGTATTGCAGCTTCTATTCCGGAGAAAATTGCTAAGGTCATTATTTCCATCTTGCTCATGCATCTCTCCATCGCCAGCCTGCTCAAGTCCATTTATGGCATCCAGTGTCAACTTCTTTAAGGATGGGCATGAACATAGCAGTTGTACAAAGTCGCCACTGCTGATCGACCAGTTACAAAGCTCCATTGTCACCAGATTCTTCAAACCTGCAAACAAATCGACATGAATTTGATAAGGCTGTCGTGAGAGAGTATTTTGTCCATAGCAACGCCATGTAAGGAAATGCAATGTCTCCCTATTTCTGTATATAATGTTTGGCAAGCATCCTCGCCCGCAATCATGTCGTGTCCTGGATCCGATCGTGGTAACCTCGAGATTTTGCAGATAGCAAACAGATGGTTGATCAAAGACAGAAGTATCTTCAATGCGCCCGGCGGACAAAGACCGAACAAGGGAACCATACTTTAGTAGAGACTCTTCATGACAGCGAGTGAGTTTATGTGGTGATACAAGGATTGTATGCCAATAATGTGGAAGGAAGCTATGATGCCACGCTTGACAGACTTTCAGGCAGTTGGCGAGCTCAACCTTTGTCATGAATTTTGCGATCAAAGAACATATCTCATCTAAATCCAGGGCGTGCACTTTCACAGACGCCATTACAAGTGGTAATGAGCGGATCGTTGGAATTGTTTAAATGCATCCTTCATGACCTAGTGTCTCATGTGGCTTCGTGCTAAACACCAATCTGTCCACGTGCACTCGTTATTGTGCTACTGAATTGGTATATATCTGGAAGCTTGGTTTCTCCGGCTGTCTTTTTACAGCACTCAAGGCCTTTGAACCAAGCTATTGCTCGCTAGAAGAGTCTATCAGACATCAGGGCAACATGCTCACTGATATACGGAAGAAATCGTATGACAAGTATAGACCTTCGAGATACTTTTTACACAAAGTGATCAACCCATTCTCTCACAGTTCTACTTGAAGACCGGTCATTCGCTTGTAGATCCGAGTAAGAAAAAAAAAAGTCTATGTACGAAGTAAATAAGATGCCTCAACTAAAATAATGGTTCGGTCATGATCTCCCCAATCCCCGCGAACATTTAGCAACGCTATGCAAAATGGTAGCGGAAAGATAAAACATTGGGCCACATCAGCGTCTCTCATGCACTCCATGAGTGCCTTTGAGCTCGTTATTCATTCACCTGGACCAATGCCCGTTTGTATGATTTTGGTTCTCTGTCTTTGGATGCTATTTCCAAATGCAACCAAGAATCCCGAATTTTGGGAAGAGCTCAGAAGAGAATTGTAATCAGAGAGCAGTAAAGGATCTTTGAGAATTGATTCCATTATGTCAGGCATTAAACAAAAGTTGGTGCAAGTGCAAACAAATAAGACTGAACACTTCTCTTCGTTAAGGTATCTATCGTTACAACCATAAAACAGCTATGCAAGGGCATGTCAAGTCTTCACTGTCTTATCTTCCAGAGTTCACCTATTGAATATACTGTTAGATTGCGCTTAGAAATAAGAGAAAACATTTCTTATTGCAAAAAGGCTTTTCTGTCATTTAATGCTCCTTTTTTCAACCTCTTTTACCTATAATTCACGCATGCACCTCTAACTTTAATTATGTGCTGATAGAGGAAAGCTGGGGGGTGCATATTTATACAAGTTTCTCCATGAACAACTTCTTTCTCGTTTACTCGCAATCAGAAAAATCCGTTGCAAGTAAAGGAGTTTGCGCTCCCCTAATACCCATGCATGAGTGTCAGCGAAGTCGAAAAATGCTGCGTCCATTGATGCGTGTCACCAATTCCATATTCTCATATAAGAGCACAAGGTCATGGTCCAATATCCACAACTCTTTGATTTAAGTAGTGGATATTAGAAAAAGGGGTGCAGGAAGGAGATCAAGGACACTGTTGCAAGGGTCTAAGTGGCTATAGTATTAAGTCGCTTTGAAAATTCAATCACTGTGCTCTGACAGTTCAAAAGAATTAACAGACTACCAAAAAAAAAAAGCGAAGTATATCCAACATTGAATACTTTCCTTCTTGTGCTCTCCAAACAGGATTGGGATCCTGCTTAGTTCCACAGCCATAAAGGAGCAAAGCGACATTGCACATCGTATATAGAGTATACTATTTTTTGATAATTGATCAATTCATAGAGCGAACCTATATTTTATCTTAGTAGCGCAGCAGAGAGAAAAAGCACCACAACTATGCGAAAGATACTCCATGAAATAATATATACATACCGTGTTTTTTTTATCCTTCTTTTGTTGATATGGAAGACAAGATACGCGCCCTATACTATTCATTCATTCCTTGAGTCGGCTGCAGGTTAACCACCTAATTTGGAACAAAAATGGAAAGGCCGAAATTAAGAGATTGCGAAAATAGAAGCAACCAACTGATGGAATTCATCGTGTCATCTTGATACAGGTGGCTCTTGCATATTTCATCCCCTTAAATGATAAACAGGTGTCTCTGTGCCTGGTCACCACTAGTTTACCTCTGTGTCCACTATTTTATGTCCAACATTATAGTTATAAAACAGCGCAGCCCACCAATTACCGGCTCCAGGCGTAGTGGAGCTCTTATCCCATTATAATTTAAACTTACCATTCAATAAATGTTTGTATTCAATTTTTGGGCCCAGGACCCGGTGTAACCATTGAACAATTTTTTGCATGAATTAGCACTCCTTGGCCGTTGTAAGAATGAATAGTCATGCGCCAAATCCCTTCAGGAGGGTGCACTTGCATGCAGCCAACAATGGGAAAAACATGGATGGAGGAAACAACCAAGAATAAATGTTTAGCTTAATCAATCACTGAATTCATGCATGCTGTATTTTATTACTGGATATCGCTGAATCTATCTCTTTCTTTGCAATGTGATGAATATCGTCCCCGCATTTAGCTAATCACCACAATGGAACCAGAAATAACGATCTTACGCATGTCATGATTCCGGGAAAATGGCCATGGCGATATTTGGCTGGTTTCTGAGTTGCCTACAAGATTCTACTGAGTACTTTTTTCGCCTTTGTTGCCCCGCTTTCTGCGACCAAACTGCTCCTACGGATAGAGACGCGCATACGCTCTCATGCTGGTCCATTCTGGATCTCAGAGGCAGAGCAAAAAAAGTGAGCGAATGGCAAATGATGCCTTTTTATTATTATTTATTACAGAGCGTTGTCGTTAAATATTTGAATATGGGCACCGCCCAAGCGGACGAATGGGGTTTTTCATCAATTGAATAGTTCCCCTGAGTCAATTATCCATCTTCAACTACACATTAAAATAATAATGAGGACCAACTGTCTCCCCATGTCTCCCATAACCCCCTCTTTTGACCCCTTCTTTTTTTTGCTTCTTCTCCTACTCTTTTCATGCTCCTTGGATGGGCCACTTACAAATAAAACAAAGCAGCATGCATGTACAAAAAAAAAAAAAGTCAAAATAATAGGGCTACAGTTTCATTCGACAATATTGCAATTACAAGACGACGTTGGAGCAGAAGGAGAACTGCGAATGGGAAATCCTCTTCCCATTCCATGTCACAGAACTCTTCTGCGAGCAAAACAACGTCAGGCTTCTTCTCTATTATTTCTTTTCCTCTTCTCCGTGAACAGAAGTGAGTAGACAGTTGGATTAAATAGACAAAGTGAACAAAAAGTCCTTTTTTTTGAGCCTTGCATAGAATCCTGGACCATTTTTACTCTTGCTCCGCAGAACGTCCATTCATCTTTCGTCCTTTTCTGTCTTTCTATCTCCACCTTCATTTATTCCACTTTAAAAAACCTCATCTTATCAAAGCGCTACTCCACTCCTATTCTCTCATGTTTGAACAACTCAACCTGCTAATTCATTGCATTCCATCATTCATAACTTCCTCATTCCACTCGCGCTTCCACCATCCTTCGTTGTGATCAATTGTACTCCTCTTTTCCCTCCTCTCTTCTCTTCTTTTTTTTTTTTTTTTTTTTTTTTTTTTATGGTTTCATCTCTTACCTTTTCTCGCTCTCACACATACTCTTTCTTGTCTTCCTTTCTCGACACAGCTTCACGCAGTTACTGTGCTAAGTTCGTGTGTAATACATTTTGGATATATTCAATCTATCAACGATCGTTCGCATCCATTGCTCATCCACACTCTGGAACTCTATCTTTCGCGTGAGTAAGATGAGTATGTATATAATAAAATAACTTTCTACCCCACATGGATTGTCGGAATCTGTGCTCTACATTTCAGTTCGCACTTCATACTCCACACTTGTGTAAAATTTATTGAGATCAAAATGTCCTATGTGTTGAAGGATGTCGATAGAGGAAGATGAGGATAGGAAACACTCTTCTTTTTTATGTTTCCTAGCTATGAATAAACACCATACAATATCTGCCGATAATTTACAGCTGTCATTGTAATTATTGCTGATGTTAATTTCTTCTGACGCTCTCTCTCTTTCTCTTTTTGCATTCTACTTCGATTCCTCCTTTCTCACTTCTGCAGTACATCATCGCAACTAATTTGCTGATATTATGACTTTGCACAATATGGACATCAACGCTCTGGATTCGTTGATGCAGAATACGCTTCTTCTACATCGTCAACTCAATAGAAGTCATCCTGGTGTGACTAGGCCTTCTATTCAGTATCATTTTCAGCAGCAACACCAAATAGGTCCACTATTAGCGGACAGATCAGGCTCAGCAGGAATAAACTTTGGAGTAGCGCTCTCACCAAGAGCTACACCAAGTGTACTGTCGCATGGTCAACAAGAACATATATCTGATGCTCCTGATAATGGGAGATCAGGTAGCCTGTTAAGCAGATCGCCCTCCTCTGCACCATCAGTGAAGACACCCTCAAGTCCTCGGCCATCGACTTCGTCCCCACTATCTGCTCAGCCAAGGGTCTCTTTAAGTTTGTCGACCCCTTCCAGCCCTATCCAATCATCCTTTTCTTCACCTGAACTTCCAAAACTGTCATCATCATCATCATTTGCTTCGCTTCATGAAGCACATGAACGAAATACTACTCCAGTATCAACGGCGACCTTAGGAGCATCATTAAATACAGATCAGTCAGCAAAGTCTCTTTTATCTCCGGACAAAGGAACTCTGCCATTATCAGTTGACACAACAGCACTACCACCAACTGTACCAAAGAGTAATAGCTCCCTTTACATACGACAGAATACCAAATCTATTCCAGCTGGTGGAGTACATCAGAAATATCCACAATCCCGTCACTCTCCTCAACAGCGTCCACAAAAAACCAATTCCTCATTGAGCACATTAGCTAATATCGACCACAATGGCAAATTTACGTACCCACAAATCGGAGAAGGAGTGATTGATCCTACTAATGACACATCAATGATGTCCATCAACGTGCGGTATGTATCAAAAGACCTATGGGTTCGTGTCGAGGTCCCGAAGGATTCTCCTGTCCATAGAGCTCGCGATCTCATTTTGGAGAGATGCCAGTACATTATTACTCCACCCTCGGCACCTTCGTCACTTACAGGAACTTCGATTGCGGATGAAGACGCGACACGTATGCTGGGAAAAGAGGAGGTAGCGTCTATACAGGGCCAGAAAATTGATGAGTTTGACCAAAAGGAAGTTTCGCGCTCAGGAACAGTTACCACTACCAAAGTAGTCAGTCAAACCGTTGGTAAGATGCCGTTAACACGACCACGAAGCAAAAGTGCGCGGGCTACGGTTACTAGTAACGACACTCCATTATGCCATATGGACCAATCACCGGAAGAAAGTTCTTTAAAGATTAATAATAGCAAGAACTCCAATGACAACGCGCGTCATTCTTGTACTTCACTGGACAGCGAGGGCAGTAAACTGACTGGTGCTGCAACACTTATGGAACGCCTTGGCATGTTCGAAGATAGTATTCACGGTTTTGGCGATGAGTTAGCTCGATGTAATTACGCTAAGGTTATCGCTTCTCAAAAGCCGCCAAATTATCACAAAAAAAATGATGGAATTACTGGGCCAAGCAACCAACAGCGCGCTAACCAGCCGATTCATCAGAGCAAAGCGCAGCAATTAAGGCGTTTGCTATCAAATTCTTCCATTCAAAGCGAAGAAAGTAACATACATGGGACCAAACCTCCTGACCATGTGAGCCGTGACGCAAGTACACCAAATCGTATCTCTGGATGGACACATTTAAGGGATCGGCATAACAGCTACCCTGGCAAGAATATTGAACGAAGCGTAGCCAGCCAAGACGATATGTTGGTTGAGTGTACAAAGCATCGTCAGAGTGAGGCTTCAAAAGTGGATTATGAGACCTGGAAGCACTCCTTTGGACTCTTCTGGGTGGCTGCTGTACGTCCCCATGAAGGAAATGAGCACAGGCAGTATTGCTTTTCCTCATAATCTACACCTTTACTAAGAACGAACATTTTTATTGCTACTTCGGTAACAAACTACATTATATAGGGTCATTGGCTCGATGATTCCAGGACAATCAGCTCTTATAAGCTGAATTCTCAGGATCTACTCGAGCTACAGCTACGTAACCATTACATCGAGCTCCCACCGCCAGGCGGTAATCTTAGTTATTATGACCACTATGCTGAGGGCACTTTGTTCAAGCTTTCTAAAAAAAGTAGACCAGCTAGCGTACTTACAAATCATGGTGGACGAGAACCGACTGGTGTTTGGAAAGAACGCTGGGTTGTGTTGCAAGGGTCCAAATTGTTGATTTATCACAAGCGGAAGGTAATGATTTACCGTTCACCAAGAACACTTATTCATTTATTATAATTAGTCATATATGCTGTGCAGATACGGTGCCATGTCCTGATACCCTGTAATGTACTCCATTTACTAGGATTCAAACAAAAAAATTATTGAGTTACCACTGCCTCTAAATATAACGACAAAGACATTGCCGCCAAATTCGCGTCATTTGTTCAAGAATCTGACGTCCTCAGCAACGAACATGTCTACCACCATGATTGCGCTGAACATCCCTCCGGGCCCTGAGCTTTGTTTCCGTGGCCCCAATGAGCATGTAAGTTAGGATTTACCTAGGCTATCGCCTCCCTGTTGTGCTATTGAAAACACCACTAATGTCATTCATGCTGTTCATTATCCCAACCGGCGAATCTGCAGGAAATTAATCATTGGACACGAATATTCAATTCCCTAAATAACGAGGCATCCCCATTGAACCTGCCCATGTATATTCAGGGTACAGAGCCCATGTCACTAAACTCTAACTCTAATCAACTGGAGAGCTCATCCACTCTACCAAGCATTTTTTCTGGTTATCCATCTGAGCGCAAAAGGAACCACACGATCAACAACGGCATATCCTTCAGTCATGCAACCGCGACCATGCCATCCATCGACCCAGTACTTATTTCCAATGCGGCAGCAGCCATATCAAATCTAAATGGTGGAGGTAGTAACAACCCATCAAGGGCACTCAACAGCCATTACAGGAACATGAGCCATAGTAATCATGTAGACGGACGAGATTCCAACTCGGCCTCGCCGCATCATCATTCAGTCCTCCCAGGAGCCTGTGCAGCACCCAGTTCATCGATAAAAGAGGACATTCGGAGAAGAGCTATCACAGAGCCCAATCGACCCCGTTCAATGAACTCTCAAGTCACTTTTCAATACCAACCAGCAAGAGCAAGAGGTATATTGTAATATACGATGTATTATATTATTCTGGCTCTGGTCTGCATCCCTGTAGGATCTAGATTTGATAATGACTAATATTGTACAACTTTGTTTTTCTTTTCATAGGGCTCGACACGGACAACAGCGGCTCGCTTCGGACGCTCGATGTCACGAACACTCCTGAAATCCCCTTTCAATTAACCTCGCCATCTGATGGCAAGAAGCGACGACCAATCCTCGGGACTGAGTACCTTGATAATGCGAGCCAAATCCTCCTGGCTACCTCTAGTGCACGCTCATCTACTGCACCCCTTTACTCAGGTTACATTTGGATTTACTTACCTGATGCAATGAACGAGAATAATAGCGCATCTCATGAAACCGAGGAAGAATCTATTAAAACACCTGATCAGCCATCCGTGCACGTAAATGGACGCATGAGTAATCCACCTTTACCGGCTTTGCCATTGCCTTCAGCATTACCATCGTCATCAGCGCCCAGCTCCAGAGACTCGAAAAGGTCAAAAATAGATGATGAAGAAGTAGAAGTCGGTCACCTAAACGACAGGTCAGGGCGATATGTCAAATGTTTTGCGGCGATAAGCGACCAAGGACATTTCCAATGGGTAGAGGTTAAAAAGCAGACGAGCCTTGAGAATGCAGAGCGCGAACTAAAGGCTCAACTCAGAACTGGGTCTTCCTCATTGTCGCGGCGAGTAAGCTATAGTATTGATCTTAGATATTCTCAGCGAGATCTATCGGCAAGTCATCTGCAGCAGGGGTGCCCGTCAGCGGGTTTTGGCCGAGCGCCAGAACCAGAGCCGTTATCGAAGTCGCCCCATGAGGCACCCAGGAGACCACCCATTCCCACGGCCGTGCAGGTATCGATGGCGGAACGGATACATATGTATTTCTTTTGCATTAAAATTCCTCCCTCCGTACTGAAAGGGGCGCTTTCGAATATTGCTGTTGAGACATCACCCTCGCCGCCGTCTCAGCACACTTCTACCCCTTTATCATCCTCACCATTGCCTGACTCTTCTACCGCCGCCAGCGCAACAAACAATACCACTAAAGTTGCAAATAAGATCAGGCACCGCTTTTCTTCTTCACTTTCGACATTGACTACATCAGCAGCATTACCTCCACTTCCAGGCATGAAATCACAGTCATTATCAGGATCTATCTCAAAATCAGGCTTCAAAAACATGGCTTGGTCGAGCATGACCTCGCCACAGGACAAAGAACCAAGCGTAGCCCAAGCGCAACCCAAACAACTTTCTTTACACCCTGTAAGCTCTGCGCCACAGTCATCTGGAGACAATGTTGATCCTGCTCGATCAATCACCCACAAGGATTCCATGGCTTCGTTCTCATCTACACACCACAGTACAGCAGCTTATCAACAGCAACCTTGGCCTACAACTCCAACGATGGAATCAGAGTCCACAGCACAGGTATTGTCATTAGCGTCTACAGGACCCACCTCGCCAAGCTCATGTAGCCCATTGTCATCATTAGCTCCGACTAATGTTGTTTCGCTGGCACAGAATCTCCAAAAAGCTGTGATGCTGAACAGGCAATGTGTTACATCAAATGATATCCGTGGTGAGGGACAAAGCAACTTTAACTCATTATCGACCTCGAGCTCTGTACATTGCTCTCCCCTAGGGTCACGCAGATCGGGGGCAAATATGGGGTCTCCTAAACCAAAGCTCACATTACCAGAGGCCATGATGGCTAACCAGTCCGCATTGCCGGCCTCAGCAGCCATGCTGGAGCATTCAAGACTGTTTCAAGAGCACGATATGCAACAGCGCCTTCAGAGAGCAGAAGAAAAAGCTAGAGCCAAAATCCAGCAGCATCAGCTACAACAGCAGCGCCAAGCTGAGCAGAAGCGGCAGCGAGAATCAAAACAAGGCCATCATGATCAACTATATAGTCAAAATTACCACCGTTACGACGAATATCGACAAGAGGCACAGCACCAGTCAATATCATATCAACAGGAGCAACCACAGAAGCAACCATTAAACCAAGGTCAGGATCTGCTGCAGAACTTACAATCGCAGGGACAACTCTCAATAACTCAAGCTGATAGCCAGATCCAAACTTGTTCTCCAATGGTAATCACAGCATGTCCGTTTCTGGAGCTATGTGATAACGTTGATGGCTCTGGCGAGTCGTTTGTGATCCTAAGAGGGTATACGGAGACAGAAGAAGTATGGCGAGGTTTGCAATGTGCGTTTGAAAAGTTCATTGGTATGTGAAGTAAGAGAGTCTTGGTGTACGGTACTGCAATATCGCACAAGTCATGAGAGGTGAAGAAACGATGATGATGTTGATATTCTTTTTTCTCTATTGAATCCTAAATGCTAGATGACCCAATCAATGATATGCCTTCCGCCTTGCCTCCAGGAAATACATTGATCCCTTATTACCCTTCACCGCCTGAGATACAACTCTCGGAGAAGGCACAGCGGTACTTGAGCGCCAAGGAGTCGCTTATTGAGGAGGCAGATGTCGCTACACCCAGAACTTTTACCGAGACAGCTAGGCCGTTGACACCAGATGTGCTGTCTGGAGGAACTATTCCTACATCTAATGGCCCTGTGGCCCAAATTCGAGCAACGACAGCTGGTCTCACGAGATGGATGAACCTTTCGGGAGGGGATAGAGATCGAGGCCGGGACCGAGGGAAGGAGGGCAAGAGCAAGGTTCGTTTCTAGACAAGTCAAATGTACTTATTATACTAGGGGCGGATATACATCGGCTCTTATCAAATGTCTTTTGTCGATTTCTTTCGAATCTAATCTACAACCTAAGATTACAAGAAGTTTAATAACAGCCTGTTTGCTGAACCCTTTGACTATGCATATCGTTATGTTATAGAAGGGCTCTACAACCACACATCATTCCCCCCCATCGTCATGTATACCTTTCCAACATCAGTCGCTGCAACGGCGCCGACACATTAGCGGTTCGAATGCCTCCGGATCAGATCGGCAAAATAGCCATGGTACGTTAGCATATCAGGACACTCCTCTTCTACCCTCAGCGATATCAGCGTCTTCGCCTACTTCCTCAAGTGTGAAAAGTGCCTGTTCAGGGATCATAGCAGATTCAAGCATTAAACGGGGTATGTCCCCTGCGAATATGCTTTCGCTCTCAATAGGGTCTGGGACTAGTCTTTTTCGACCTCGACCACGCCTGAATAAGCAACGTTCAGCAGATGAGCTTTCAAAGCTGCCTTCGTCGCCAAATACGCCCTATAGCAAAGCTTCGGATCTAGGATCAAGATTCAGTTACTTTGAAAGCCAAGAATCGGCTCAAGGGACGGGACCAAGCCATTATTGTGCAGGAACTTTTCATTCAATTGCGACAACCACAACGCATCATTTGAACAATGGCAATTGTACCGCTGACAACAGACCTAGTAAAATCTTGAAGTGTAATGAGGCAGCAGTTACTAGAATAGATACAACAAGCATGGAGGAAATGAGAATTGATCCAGTTCCAACGCCAAGGTGCTTAGCAATGGCGACTGCCAGCGATCAGAAGGTCGAGGTGACAGCTATGTCGCCTTTATCTTCTGTAGCCTGCATGGAGCCATTGCAGATGCTAGAAAGTAACGATATGGATGTAAATACAAGAAGTGTAGGTAATATGGTGTTAAAGATGAATGAGGAAATGCGCTTGTCTGGGCCTGGACCCGGGTCTGCGGATAGTAACAGCCAGAGGAAGCATCAGACGGTGATGGAGGCAAGCAAAGTAGCCGTCAGCGGCGTCTTTGGTAAATTTCGTAGGAGTGTTGGATGAAGCGCATGTATGCACGCTCACACATTTGCAGTACACTTACGCCTATACATCTCTATACTTATTATATCTTATTCACTTGAATATATTACCACCATTCACTTAAACAGTCTGACATATGGACTGCATAAACCAGGTTCATGCGGTCGTGATGAATGTTCCTGAAAGATGTTTCGTTACTCCTGTGTGTCTCTAAAAATAAGCTTTACCAATTGGAAAAATATAAAATAGTTGAGTGTACATCAGTGAGTATGTATTTCATGAGAATTATAACAGACAACTATTAAATCGTCTCTACCTTTGAAACACTACGACGACAGAGGCCATCTATGCGGTCATGCGTTCATTATCCAAGCTAGCAGTTCATCATACCCGCCTCACTTTCTTTCGTATCAAAAAAAAAAAGAGGATGCCTATGGCATCACACTTTGGAATCTTGAGTATTGGATCGCAAGCATAGAAGACAATGTGCAACTAGCTGATTCACATTCACATATTTGGTCTTTTATACATGCATGGGATAGATAACATTCGCTTTTAGGCTTATTTCCTGCACAAGTACATATTTGTGCATTGTGTGTGAATTGCTGTGTTCCTCGGAGAGCTTGAATAAAATCCTTCTCTTTCCTTCTCCCTCTTACTCTCTTTCTTGCTTTCTTAACCTTTTTTTTTATTTATTTATTTTTCCCTTCTTGTCGCAAGTCCTCTTCTGCCTTGTCAGCAGACCACATCTATCCAAACGTGGGAGACCTACTTACCACAGCCCAAGCCAGATCAGTTCTACTATTACTACCAGTATAACAATCGCCACCCTGCTGACTCACACCTCCACGACAACAGCTGCACAAGAACTGCAGCAACTGTGGCCAAGAGGCTCGTCTCCTATTTGACTCCTACTTCACAGCCGCCATGCGTACATCATCGGACTCATTCGACATTGACATGGAGGCTGCTTCCATTCACAGCATTCAGTCCTATACTACCGCACCCGACTATGAAGAAAGTCAACTCTTTGAAGTCAACAACAATAATAGCAACAATACTAACAACAATAGTAGCAATAACAGTAGCAGTAGTAGTAGCAGTAGCAGTAGCAGTAGCAGCAACAGTAACAGTAACAGTAGCACCATCCATAATGGTAATAGCAAGAGTAACAATGTTGGTAATAATGATCGCAATAGTATTGACTATAGCGATGCCTCCAACGACTTGCAGGCAACGGTTCCAATAGGAAATACCATCGACACGCCTGCCCTCCAACAGCAGCCATTAGTACAGAGTCAATTGTCCCACCGAAAGGAACAGGAGAGAGAGCATGAATGCGTTCAGCTTAATGAATCTCACACTGGAGACGTATGGCAACCATCAGAAGAGAAGACCAATTATGAACTCGAGAACAGCACGAATAACTCATTACAGCAGCAACTAACTATCATTCACCCTAACCTTTGTGACCTTTGTCTCCCGTCAACCACTGCTCCAACCATCTATGCCCTGGCTTCATCTGTTCCTAATCCCACTGTCACCCAGCTTTCAATGAACCCGCCCAACCAACCAGCCAATGTAGAGCAGGTCGCAGTCCCCTTCAAAACCGTCCTATGCCCACCTCCAGTGATCCACAACAGCACATCAACATTTCCAATAGCAGACACATCAGCTTTATTGCTCCCATCGAATAAAGAAGTTGATCCGTTTCTGCAACCAACGACTCGTGACCATAGGATACATATCCTCAACTCCCCAGACAATATTACCACAACTGTGGGCGTAAATCTTGGAAGCAATGGCAAAGATTGCAAAAATAATGATGGAGGTTCTCTTCCAACTCTTGTAACAACTGGTCCATTAGCAGAACAAAATTTACCTCAGCCTGCTGTTACGGTAGCCAGGGTAGACATTGGTGAACATGTTGCTGTCCCTTCTACAGTGAAGCCGCTTACTGACGCAACAAGCACTGTTGGAAATGGATGGTCTAATATGAAGTCGGGTTTAGTATCCCCACCACTATCCACAACCTTTTTTACGCCCTCACCCAACACGACCAAAACACCCGGGCACTATGTAGTACATGATCAATATCCGGATTCAAACCAGGTCAAAGAAAAGGCTGAGCATCAGCAGCATGGAGTCGCAGAAATTGGGCGCAAAGACAAGCCGAGGGCGACTGTTTTCGGTTTTGCACCGCTGTATAACAAGGGTGAGCATCTGTCCAACGTGGGATCACACAAGGAGCATGCCTCTCAAGATGGACATATTTGCCATACATCGCCATTCGATCATAGAAGAGGCCCTATTGGAAATACAAAGGACGAGATGGATGACCATGGGACTAACGAGTCATGCATGAATGGAAGTGGCAGCGACAGCTATGGTAGCGATCCCATGAGTGCCAATTTAGATGGAGACCGAAAGAGTGGCAGCAATGTGAACCCAAAGCTGTCGATCCCACACGCACGAGCGGGTATATCCTCGATGCTCAACTTGAACCCACTACAAGATGTAGTTGAATCCAGGGTCGAAATGGAAGAATCGGTCGAGTCTTTGGTTAACAAGAAAGATTGGAGTCTGACAGAACTAGGACCCCGACCATCATGGCCTACAGAACTGACAGCAATGCTCCAACTCGTATTGCAATCTTCATTACCTCTGGCAATTTACTGGGGAGAAAGTCGTCAGTTTTTATACAACGATGTAAGTTTTTATTTAGTTATCAACAAAATCCCTCTAATTGGTCTGGTTGAAAGTTGAAGCGCATTGCTTCCTTGAAGCGGTGACCAATGTATTGTCGGCGCAGTAACTCCTATCATGCGAGAATTGATTGTGGGGAAAACAAGGGTGACCATGATCTTGGTTTAACGACTGTTTGTTCGTTTTTGGATGAGACATTTCCCTCCCCCTCCCCCCTCCCCCCCCTTTTTTTTTTTCCTTTGATACACATGAGCGTCTCCTCAAGGGGTGACAGATCAATCAATGCACAATGCGCATCTTTTTTTTTTTTTTTTTTTTTTTGGTCTGGGTGTGTGAGCATGTGCGTGCTTTGGCGAGAAGGAATGCAAAGCCGAACAAAGAAAAATGTCTGTTGAAGAGCATAAAAAATTGAGTGAGTTGGGTATGATGGCATTCCCGAGGATCAGTCGAAAAAAAGTTTAAAATTGAGGAATGAATTTATTTGGTGTTGCAAACTGACAAAAAGTCAAGGAGAGAGGCGAAAACATTAGACAAAATAGGAAAAGAAATTGCTCTCGTTTCTCTTGTTCTCTTGCTCAAAAAGAAGTGGAATGATCAAATGTGTATAAACAAGTTACAAATACATATCATACTGGCGCGTTATTTGTGTACCTTTGGATTGTTGTTATCAATCTTTCCCTATTAATATTTATGCGCTTTGACTGAATGATGACTTAAAAAAGTCGAGTCCTCACCTTTTTTTTGATTCACAAAAATTTGTCGAATCTCTCTATCCTTCTGCACTTTTCAGTATGATGGTCTGGGTAGATATTGGAGGTTGATCGCAGTTGAAATGAGCGGACAAAAAAAAAAGCATTGAGAGCCAGAAATTTTGTTGCGAGTCAAATCAATTCGATCATCTTCTTTTTTGTCTTTTTCATACAGTCCATCCGTGGCAAGACAGACTTTTGCGCTTTTGACCCTGGCGCGTCATGTTTAAATTAGCTATGCTTATTTGTATTAATGCTTATTTTTTCTTCTTCTTTTTTTTTTATTGTTTGTTCTCTATTACCCTCTTGCTCTCTTGGATCAAAATAGCCCTGGCGGCCGATATTGAAACAGAAGCATCCCCTTGGTAAGCGCTCAAACAACGGTTTTGTATCTTTTTTTTTTTTTTTTTTTTTTTTTGGCTTGCAGCATATAGCCGTATTGATGATTGCTTCGTTATTCGCGTTTGCACATGAGAAATCTGCGTTTGATATTTGGGAATGAATGACCTTAACTAAACATATTTCTGCACTTGATTATAAAGCCTTGGGTGCGCCCGGAATAGCAGTCTGGAGCGAGATTTGGGACATAATAGCACCCCTGATGACTCAGGTCCATAAAGAACGTCGCGGTAGCACTAATAATAAAGCGCTTCGTCTTGATCTTAATCGGTAACAAAACAAAACAAAAACAAAAACAACAGTATTGATATATAGCCTTCCGCCTACCTCACTTGAATATCTTCTTTTTTTTATCAATGTCTCTTCATCATTTCTCCTAACATTCTGTATGTATTAATACTTGTTCCACTTCAGTGAGGGGTATGAAGAAGAATGCTATTTCGACTTCACCTTTTCACCAATCTTCATGCAGGACGGCTCTGTAGGAGGAGTTCTGGCTCTAGTCCAGGAAGTCACACAGTCTATACTCAATCAGCGCCGACTATCAACATTGAATCAGTTTAGCAAACAAGCACCCCTTATTCAGTCCATTACTGGTGCCTACTCGATGATCACATCCATACTCCGTGAATCCAATAATCCCGATACCCCATTTTCAATCGTGTACAAGACCGAAGAGATACTAAAAGAGCCACAACTTTCTCATGGAACATTTTCGTCAAATCCTTCCAAAGCGACTTGCAATTCACCTTCAACCGCATCTCCCGCTAATGCCATTTCAGGAGCTACATTTTCAGCTCTTGAAAGTGCAACTGGAGGAAATCCATCAAAGCACGAAGACTTCCTTTCGTTAGGAACCCATGCAGGTATACCTTTATTCTCAGGAGAGCTGGATCAGGAGGGTTTGGACTTTGCTTTGGGTAGTAGCGATAGTAAGATTAGTGCAGCTGTTAGAACCAAAGTTAGATTGATCCGCTCACATTTTTTTACTGGTATTTCTCCAGGTAAAAAAGAAGCACGGAGAGTGCCACAGATGGCGACCCTGTGTAGCACATCATTTGATCGAAATTTAGAGGCGGCGAGTTATAGTGGCACGACCGAAAGGACCTTCTCAAAAGCCACCTCGACAAGACATATCCCGGATTCGCTTCTCATCACACCTGAAGAATACGAGCCTCTCGATCCTTCGGATCCAATATATGATGATCCATGGACATGGCCAGTCCGTTCCGTCTTAGCCGATGGTATTCCTCGATTAGTGACTTTACCAAAGTCCACTCACAATCTTGCGAGAGCGTTACTGTTACCAATTCTGGAGAACCCTTCTGTACTGGAGTCAAGGATCACGACTATATTAATCGTCGGTATCAACCCTTTTCAGATGCTGGATGATCAATACCTGGACTTTTTGGCGCTTTTGGTGGCAAATATTGCATCACTGTTGCATTTTGCGCGAGCACGCGAGGAAGAGCGAAAGAGCGCACAAGCATTATTTGAGTTAAACAAAGCTAAGATCTCGTTCTTCCAGAATATCTCCCATGAACTACGAAGTATACTCCAAATGCTATTTTTCATATAACGTTTTTTATACGTCCATATAGCGAAAGACATGTGGCGCGTAAAAATTGACCAAAATCTTACTTTAATGCTAACTCTTCTTCTCCTCTATCTTTCCTCAACACACATAGCCCCACTGACATTGATGCTTGGACCATTAGACGATGCGTTGGGGCAGACAGCAGAGAACACATCAATACGCCAAAACCTAGAAATGGTACGGAGGAATTCAAGACGACTACTCAAGCTGGTCAACATGCTACTTCAGTTCTCCAGAATTGAAGCAGGAAAAGGTCACGCTATTTTTGAAGAGACGGATCTTACTAAAGCTACACGTGAAGTATCAGCAAATTTTGAGAGTGTAGCCCGTGGCTTCGGGCTACAGTATAACATCAATTGCGAGAGCTTGGATGATATTCCGGGAGGCTTTTGGGTAGATCAGGCTATGTGGAGTGGTGTTCTCCTCAATCTAATCGGAAATGCATTCAAGCATACGTGGGAAGGCTCTGTCACTGTACATCAGTACCCGTGCAAAGACAAAAATGGCCGTAATGGAGTTGCTGTGGATGTAATAGATACAGGCGTTGGTATTGCAGCCGAATACTTACCCACGCTTTTTGACCGATTCAACCGAATCGAGAACAAGCAATCACGTTCACATGAAGGCACCGGCATTGGCCTTTCCTTGGTAAAGGAGTTAGCAGAAGTTCATGGAGGGGCAGTATCGGTCACGTCTGAACTGGAAAAAGGGTCATGTTTCCACCTGTGGATCCCTGCCGGAAGAGAACACCACCCTTGCTCTCAAGTCAAATTAGGGGACTCTATGGAAATTGAGGACCCACCGAAGCTAGCCAAGGATGGAGCTATAAACAATAAGACTGATTCCTCCATGTATATCGAGGAAGCGACTCAATGGATCGCTTACAAGGCTCTTCCCGGATCTACACTAACAACCTCTGGAACAGACTCAACCGAAGAGGAGAAACCCGAAGATGACGACGACGACATGGTCCATACTGGAGCCGACTACATGCGCGACCGACAGGATTCCATAGAGATCAACACCGAATATGAAGTATCGACCTTGAACATGGAAGAAACAGAATTGACAAAGATACTCATCGACTCTCCAGTATGCGGAGATGTAACAGTACCAGAGAATACGTTGACCAAGATTAGCACTCAAATTGCGCCTCGTCAGTCATCCTTTTCCGCTCAAAATCCTAAGGCCCCTGTAACAGAGATCCTGAGTAAGGATGATAGTGAAGCAAATCCTCAAATCAACGCCAGCGGCAACGATGGTAGCGTATATGGGATCCAAGACCAGATGGATAGACTTGAGCAGGAGCCAGGAGATAACATGTGCATGTTGCCAAAAGTTCGCTCCAGAAGAGGATATATCATCATTGTAGACGATAACAATGACATGCGGTCATATCTACGCGAGATTTTGGGTAAAGAATTCAGGGTCCGTTGTGCTGTGGACGGTCTGGACGCGATCCGACTCATCTCTGAGAGACTGCAGCAAGGCAAACGAATTGATCTTGTATTGAGTGGTATTTTCTTTTCTTCTTTTAATTCTCGTTTCTGTTTTTATCTCGTGTATAAAAAGTGCATAGCTCGCAGTATATTGGCACTAATGCTATCCTTTTGTGGTCTAGATGTTGCGATGCCAAACATGAATGGATACGAATTACTAAAACGACTCCGTAGTGATAGTGCAACAATGTTGACACCCTTCATCCTACTGTCCGCACGTGCAGGTGAAGAAGCAAACGTTGAGGGTTTGGATCTTGGTGCGGATGACTGCTTAGTCAAGCCTTTCTCAACTCGGGAATTATTGGCACGCGTACGGTCGACAATCCGCCTCTCCGATCTTCGGCATGAGTTGATCCGCGAGCAGCGCCATGCTCTTGAGATGAAACAGCTAATATATTCAGTCTCTGTTCGTATTAGGAGCGGCCTTTCGCTTCCTCAAATTTTGGATACAGCTTCTAAAGAGCTATTCAAAGTGATCCGTTGCAATGCTATTCGTATTTGTCGGTTCCGTAAAGTGGACCAGGAAACAGGACAACATTGGATCCGAGCGGTCTCTGAGGTTGTTCGTGTGGGAAAACCCAAGATGTCAACATCTATAGATCATTTACTCCCGAAGGGCCTAGAGGTCCAGGAAACACATGTTATTGGAAGCGATCATGACATGGCTAGTGAGATGAGGCATGTCACACTTCAGCAGCATCCGATCTTTGGATCAAAGAGTTTCATTAGTGTGGCTCTGATCTATAACCGCAGAATTTGGGGTTATCTCCTGGCTTCGCGGGATGCAGATATGGTAGTTTGGACTCAGAGTGAGAAGCTATTATTTGAACAGACAGGAAATCAAATCTCTATGGCGATTGCTCACGCAAGCTTGTGGGAAATGAAGAAGTCACAACAGGTTGAAATGGAAGCTGCTCACGCCGCTAACGAAGCTAAATCACAGATTTTGGCTAATACAAGTCACGAACTTCGTACAGTAAGTTTACATTCCACAAATGGATCAAAAGGGACATCCATGTCCCTTATAAAAGAAGAAAACACATACATGATATATTTTCTTAAATTAATATGCTGCCACGTATATACTTGATGTGTAAAACAACACTATAGCCAATTGGAGCAATCGTAGGTGCACTGAGTGCGCTTGAAGACACGGACGGAAACTTGACGGGAGAACAACGCGATATGATCAAGATCATGCAAATCACGAGTGATGTCGCTTTGTCAGTAATTAACGATCTACTGGACACTGCAAAACTTGAGGCAGGAGCAATGAGCCTTAGCATTAAGGAGTGCCCTGGACTGCTGGAGATTATAGAACAGTCTGTACGGATCTTCGCAGACAAGGCAGGCCGGAAGGAAGTAGACTTAATCATGGAACCAAGCGATGATTTGGAGTGGTTGGAAGAATTGTTACAGCAAGACAATAACGTTATCTGGACAGATGAAGATAGACTACAGCAAGTAATTATGAATGTGATTGGTAACGCTGTCAAGTTTACTGCTGCCGGGAAGGTCCTTGCTCGTTGCTCACTAATCAAGGACGACGCCAGTGAAGATGATGATCAAGCCAAAGAACAGTCAAGGCTACGGCAAAAAGACGATCATCAACCTCAACAGGAGCGAAATCATCAGCAACAACTTTTCAATGTGCCACTCCCGCCGGATGCACAAGTAACAAATGCTACCTTACGCTTCGAGGTGGAAGATACAGGCATTGGTATTGACCCAGACTTTTTGAAGAACCATATCTTCAAGAGCTTTGCACAGTACGACCAATCCATGACTCGACGCTTCGGAGGCACTGGCCTTGGTAAGTGTTCATTTTGAAGTGTTGGACTCCAGAGTAATATCCTTCTGTAGCTTCTTATCAAATAATGAAAAGAATGGACTGCCATATGATTGATGGTGATGTGTAATCAAGGCTGTGGCTTTAGAGGCATGTTCCTACTGGGAGCATAATGAATTATTTTTGCGTGAGAAACTGTTGTAGTAGGTTTAGACTAAACATGATCAATTCTTATTACTACCATGTCATAGGTCTTGCTATCAGTAAACATTTGGTCATGATGAACGGCGGTATTCTCGGAGTAACCTCAAATGTTGGGCAAGGATCGACTTTCTACTTTACTTGGCCAATCCTCATCGTTAACTCTCCATCCTCTACAGCTACTGCTAAGACACCTTATCTACAGCGCGGACCATCTGTTCGTCTCATGCTGGCGCCTGAGATCGCATCTGAGACACGTGTTGTCGTTGTGGAGTCAGTCCCTGAGTCACGACACCTATTAGGTACTATCCTGAATCAACAAAACGTTCAAGTGAAGCTGTATGAGAGCTATGATCATGTTGTGCAGGATGAGCGGGAGCGCCCAAGGGATCTGCTTGGATCGGATGGAGTCATTTTAGCTCCGAATTATCGACCTAATGCACATTTTTTCTTTTGTACACGACCTGCTAATGCCGAGGCTACGATTGAGACAGCTAGACAACTTGGGTTGCTATTCAAGCAGAGAAATGACACAGCTAAGGCAGAAGCACAGTTGGGTGGACGCTACAAGGACTTGGTGCTCTCTATTGTTTTGATTGTATTCTCATCCCCCCAAGGACGATATCTGGCCAAGGACATGATGAAGCGTATTTGTGCAGGAGGTCTGGAGCAGACAATTCAATGTCGGTACATTGTTAAACCTGTCAAAGCTGATAGAGTAGTCGAGTGCCTACAGATGTTGGGCTCACATGCACCGTACATCCGAGACATAACAAATCCAAGCCCTGATGCCTTCAACACAGGGACCATACAGGATAAGCAATCAGCTTTGACTCAAAACCCGCCTCACGAACTTCCTGAACAACCAACTGACCATCACTCTTGCCTGGAAATTAACTGCAACGACGCAAATATTTCCCCTACCGTTAATTATCCAGAAAGCCGAATCATCTCAGTAGATGAGGATGTCAGTCTCGTGTCGAGTGACTATGAGCGAGACAACGACTGCAACAAGAACACTCCCGAATCTGCGCCCGCGATCTGTGATAGAGATGTTGACGCATCCATGAGGCGGCCCTCTCTTTCAGCCAACCTTGGCAGCAGCGGCAATATTGACAGCGAGCACCCTATTCCAACCGCTCGCGTTCATGAAGCTGCGGCGGCTAATGGGATACTGCCATCAGGTCAACATCACCCGCCAATGCGGTCACCTGCCCTTGCAATACAACGAAGGCTGCGTATGAAGGCTGCTGCAGAGAGCCTTGCAGGGAATAGCAACGTCAATGGGGCATCATTAGTTAAAAAGCCAGGAACGGCTAAAGATGATTCTGTTAAATCTTTGAGCAATGATCCAGCTTTCAGCAGTCGAGCTGCACGTGCAGCCGCCGGCAAAAGAGAGCGTAAAGGCAAATGTGTTCTCTGCGTTGAGGATAATATTATTAATTTGAGGGTATGTTCCAGAAGCCAGCAGATTATGAAAATTTGGAAGCCGCAGTTAGTGAATTTTTTTTTCCCAATTGGTCTTGAACGTTTAGGTTGTGCAATACCAACTTCAGAAACTCGGATATGATACACAATCTGCATGCGATGGTCAAGTAGCAGTTGATATTATCAAGGCCCAAGTTGAGATGCTTAACCAAACATCCTCACCTACCAGCAGTAGCACCCTTTTGGACGTGGCTGCAGGAGAAGAAAATAGTGACAGTAGCAGTCACCCTGGAATTAGAGGTATGGCAATATCCATTATTATCGTCATCGTCCACAGCAACTTTCACGTCAATGCAAGATGGAGAAGACGGAACTACAGAGTAATCTAGCACCACCGCCTTTATTCAAATCTCCTATCATTTCATTTGAGCGTTGAAAGTTGTATAATGATATTTCCAAAGAACGATCAGAATATGAGCCATGGATTTGACCAAAGATTGTTGAACTTCCTTTTAATTTCTACAGCGTCCTCAGCGGCGGACAAGGCTCCTGTATCTGTCAATTCGGACACGTCTGCTTCACAGGCCATGGTATCTACTTCTCTTTCGGCTCTTTCTATACCAGCTAATGTATCGAGCGCATCCTCGATCTCGTCTGCCTCATCCTCGCAGTCAACTGTCCCGCTTGAAACAATTGCAGCGACTACAAAAGCATCTGCATCTCCATCAGTTGAATTAATGAACAACGTCGCTGCTGCTGCAGATCTCCTCCCAGATAACTCATCACCTAATGTACCAGCTAAGCAAGCTAAAATTGACTTGATCCTGATGGACTGTGCAATGCCAGTCAAGAGTGGCTTCGATGCGGCCAGTGAGATTAGAAGCATGGGTTTGTCTTCAACGTTTGCAGCTAGTATCCCAATCATTGCTCTGACAGCGAGTGCTGTGCCGTCGACAAAAGAGAAGTGCCTTGCCAGTGGCATGAATGGATATTTGAGCAAACCAACAAAGTTGGCGGATCTGGAGGCGATGTTGGACCAATGGATTGCATAGAAATCTTTAAAATTCAATGCATTTTTTTTTTTTTTTTTTTATTATTATTATAATTTCCTTGGCTCTTCTTCTATCTGTAACTAGAGCAGTACGCTCGAAGGGAAATATATCGTAGAATCTCATCCCTCTATTTCCAAGCAGCTCCTGTCGACTTTCAAAGTGTGATAAATGGCACCATAGTATAAATATGATATGTGAATTTCTGAGACATTGCAAAAAGTCATTGCGTACCAGAAAATTACCACCATCAGGTGGCAAAATGTGTTTTGTACCCCCCGCCAAGCATGTGCTTCGCCAACTCCCCTTGTGTGTGCATGATACAAATGATGCAGGTGCTGCTGTGTATTTGTGTCTCAAATCATGCAAAAGAACGATCAATGCACCAGGCCAAGGTGTGGCAAGATCAAAAAAACACAGCACTAAATCAACAAATCACTAAATCAACAAATCACAAAGTCAACAAATAATAAAGCATTCAAGATCTTTGCCTTTTTTCCTTTTCTTTCTCTTTTTCTTCTTTACATCCACCTCATAACATTCGCTCAAAAGCGCCATAAAAACAACAAAACATATTCGTACGATATTGTTTTTTGAAATAGATCCAAGTAAGTCTGTCATTAAGAATTTTGGTTCCTACCTGGAAGGAAACCACACACTAACATTATACTTTGGCATTACTTTGTCGCTTTACCACATTCAGGCATGGAAAGAGCCATGAGAGGCGTCAATGGTCAATCTGGCAGAGGACGAGGCCAAGGACCTCAAGGACATAACACGGCTAGAGGTGGGGGAAGGGGAGGAGGAAGTAATCGTGGCCATCACGATGGTGGAAGAGGACGAGATTTGGCTATGGGATCAAGCCACGGTGGCCATAGAGGGCGGGGCAGATTCGACGATGAGGCTAGAGCCCAGATTGTCAGCTCTAGGCGACCAACCACTCATCAAATTGCGAGTGAAGGCACTGACGACATCATTGTCGCTGCTCCAGCAGCAGAAAAAGCCCAACACATAGCAAGCTTCATCCTTCGTAAGCAAGATTTTAAGGCCTTCCATGACCAGCGTCAAATCCGAACATTTGTAAACTCATGCCTTCTCAACCTATCCAACCATCACTCAGTCGACACATCAAATATTCTTACAGACCTATCCTCCCGTCAGGGATTAGCCAGGCTCAAGGAGCTCATATTGATGCCTATGCATGTGGATGCAGGATGCGAGAAAAGCGTCCTGTCATTTCAATATGTGATTCTCCCACTGATCGGGGTTTTAACTCGGGAATCTGTTTGCCTATCAACTATGACCAGTGAGACTGGCGTCATTTACTCCATGGTATACCTGCATCACAGGCAGTTTCTGACAGAAGGTGTCCTACCCTGTATGGATAAACTCTTGGAACGACGATCACTCAGAGACTATAGCGCTGGAGGTCAACGATTACTTGAGACAGATGATTCGATCTGTCGAGTCGCATCTCTGCAGTGTGCACTTTTAGCGATCACACGCCTTGTCTACCAGCTGATTAAGCGCACTAAAGATGCAAGAGTTGAGATGGCAGAGACTGTGAAGAAGTTGAAACGCCAACAAGAGTGTTGTGTTTTAGTCACTGAAAATTCCTCCGAGAGTCGCTTCACTAATGAAATTTTGACAAGAGAGGTCAATAGGCTCCAAGAAATCATCATTGATGCACAAGATATCACTATCGAATCCATTGATTCTATTACAAATCTTTTGGAAAAGCGAGCAAACAGGGCTCGCGGCCCAAATATGGTAAACCTTGCCATGGCTTATGATCCTCCAGGACATCTCTCCAAGGATGGACCACGTCATGACAACGATAAGACTGAAATATCGCAAATCACCTTGCTTCCGACTATGAGCGAGATCATCTGCTATCGCCCACCTTTCTTACCTTCAAATGATATTCCGGATGCGCCACATTTTATACCCCCAGGTTGGAGGCGACAATTGGACATTCATTTTCGTCTTTACCGCGAGGATTTAATGGATTCTCTGCGGAAAGGTGTGATGGGATTTTTGTCTGCACTGGAAAGGATTAAAAAAGGCCAAGAAGGACTCTTGCTAAAGCAAAAGGAATTGCGGAAGCACCTTGACAATAACGTCAGTCTGAACGTCTATGGCAATGTCCAGTTTATGGGCCTGGCATGCACCAAACAACTCAGCGGTTCTGTTGAAGTTGCTTTTGCACAACCGCCACAAGTAGTAGACTCTCCCAAGAAACGACGAATGGAATTTTGGGAACGATCGCGTCGCCGACTGATGAAGGGAGCCCTTGTGTGTATTGCCCGGCGAATAGAGGACCGTATGAATGATGATGGATTACCGTTTCAAATGATTCTGGGAGTTATTACAAGACGGGAAACAGATGACCTGGCAAAAGATGAGAAATTTGCCCATATTCACATCTCCCTAGCTGATCCCATTCAATACATCACCATAATCAGATCTACTACTACTCAACCCAGTCAAGAACAGTGGTTCCTTGTTGAGTCTATGGGTGGTTTCTTCGAATCGTATAGACCTATTCTGAAAGCACTTCAACTCTGTATGCCAGCCTCCCTTCCCTTTGGAAAGTACATTGCACCAAGCAAAGCAGACGAAACAGTTATGCAACAATCTGGAAATGTCCTCGTCGACCCGCCGTTGTATTCTCGGGCCCCAGGATTCACATTTGATCTGTCCGTAGTATTAAATGGCCAACAGCAACGGTTGGATGTGTCTGACCCCAACTCTATCATGAACTCTAAGCGTGCCCTACAGAGATACAGTACTCTCGATGACACCCAAGCCGAAGCCTTGGTCGAGACTTTATGTCGGGAGGTAGCATTGATCAGCGGGTAATTTTTTTTTTTTTTACTTCTTTTCTGCCATTAATTCATGCATATGATCCTTTCTCTATTGAGACAGAAGTGACGCTTCATATTTGATTTTTACTGACAGTTATGACCATACCTCGCTCTAGACCTCCTGGAACCGGAAAAACTAAGATTGGTGTTGATTTGATGGAAGTTCTTTTACATAACAAAACCGCCATGAACTGTGGACCGATTCTATGTATCTGCTACACGAATCACGCGCTAGACCAATTCTTGGAGCACTTGCTTGACAAAAAAATAACGAAAATCGTTCGAGTAGGAGCTCGGTCTAAGTCTGAAAGACTGGAGGATTACAATCTAGAGAGCCTAATGAAAAGTCGCGATCGCTCTTTTGGCGTTCGACAGTCCCTTCGTACAGCCCATGTAGCTTGGGAAAATGCCTGCGAGAAGGTCAAGAAGCTGGAAAAGGCGCTCCGCTCTGAGGAACTGGAATGGGAATATGTTGAGCCTTACCTTTTTGTAAGCTATCCTGATCTGTTTGAGCAATTTGACAGACAGCCAGGTTACCAAGGGGACGACGATGAATTAGCTGATGATGGATTTACAGTTGTAGGAGGAAAGAAAGTTGGTGGAGTGTATAAGAGATGGATCTCTGGAGTTGATATCGAAGATAAAAGGAAAGCGAACGAAAAACTCATAGAGGATTTTAGAAGCCAGGTGCAAGCAGGCTCCAACAAGTTTGCTGCGCTTGACTCGAACTTTTCACGACTGAGGCCGCGTGGCCCAATATTGCACCATATCCCAGACACGAACCGTCCCATCCATTTGCTTACAGGCAATATATGGGACATGTCATTAAAAGAGCGAGAACGCCTACAAGAGAAATGGAGGCCAGAGATACAGGAGGCAATGGTGCATGAATTATCAAATCTCTTGCAGCAAATTGAGAAAGCAGATCAACTTAAAAGTGATGCCTTTGATGACATTCGTCGGGGTATTCTCAAAGAAACAGATGTCATCGGGATGACAACCAATGGAGCGGCCAAGCACCAGACTTTGATAAGCGCTGTCGCACCCAAAATTATCATCTGTGAGGAGGCAGGGGAGGTCCTAGAATCACATATCCTGGCCACTCTCTCTGTCTCGACTCAACATTTGATTCTCATCGGCGATCACCTCCAGCTACGCCCTTCCATTGAGACCTATAACCTCTCAACGGAGTCTGCGATTGGACAAAACTATAATTTGGATAAGTCTTTGTTCGAGCGTCTAGTCACTGCGACCAATCCTCTGCCAATGTCACATTTGACTATTCAGAGACGCATGCGGCCCGAGATCTCTAGTCTAATCAGGAATACGCTATACCCGCATCTAGTAGATGGAGAGAGAGTTTTCCAATATCCTCCTGTTAATGGTTTAGGTGCAAACCTATTTTTCATGGACCATCAACACGCAGAAGATAGCAAGGACGAATACGGTATGCAATCCTTCGCCAATTCATTTGAAGTCAACATGATCGAAGCACTAGCAAAGTACCTCATCAAAAATGGATATGATAAACCAGGAGACATTGCTGTCTTGACACCTTACCTCGGTCAGCTATCGAAGCTCAGAGATAAACTCCGACAAAGTTTTATGCTCATGATTGATGAGCGCGATCAGGAACAGTTGGATATGAAAGACGAAGAAAAGGGAGAAGGGAATACTACTTCCAGCCTTGGTATCAATGAACATGTTGGTATCAAAAAAATTGGATTACAAAGTCACCTCACCTTGCGTACAATCGACAATTACCAGGTACAAGCTCGTATTAACAATGATACCCTTCTCGTTTATTATTTTAAACATACCTTGAATGGCAGCTGATTGTTATGGATGATCTGTAACATTGCTTATTTGCTATGATAGGGAGAAGAGGCAAAGATTGTGATCATATCTCTTGTTCGCAGCAATGTCAACGATAACGGGACTTTGACAGGATCTAGCTCTATTGGCTTTCTCAAGTCTCCTAATCGCACGAACGTCCTTCTCTCGCGAGCTCAGCATGGGATGTATATCATTGGCAACGCAGGCCTTATGGAGAACGCGAAAAAGGGGATTTGGCCACAAATAATGCGAGAATTGCAACAATATGATCGCATTGGAGACGGTTTCCCGCTCGTCTGCAAGAACCATCCGGAGGCTCAAAACATCGTAACAGAGCCTGATGGATTCAAGATTGTTTCACCCAATGGAGGCTGCACCTTATCATGCGGGAGTAACATGCCTTGTGGACATGTCTGCCCCTTACATTGTGAGCCCACGATACCAGAAATATCTGATGTATTTTATTATTGAATTTGTCCTACGATATCATATTAACTTCTGCTTTCGTTTCCATTCTTTGAAAATAGGCCACCCGGACGACATGGAGCATTTGCTTGTCAAGTGTTTTGAGGCTTGCCCACGTCTTCATCCAATTTGTCAACATGTATGCCCGAAGCGATGCGGCGAAAAATGTGGCAATTGTTTGGAGATAGTAGCACCTCTTGTCCTCCCATGCGGTCATATTTATGAGCAGCCACGTTGTTGGGAAGCCAAAGACCCCTCAAAGATTGTCTGCAGAGTCAGAGTCACACGGAAGTTGCCAACTTGCGAGCACGAAATGACCATGGAATGTTATCGAGACCCATCGTTGGTTTCGTGCGCTGCGCCTTGCAAATGTAACCTCCCATGTGGACATTCCTGTACTAGGCCATGCTCAGAGTGCCAGAAGGCCTCCGCTGATCCCAAGGCCAAGGAAGATAGACTGCCTGTGCCCGTGGTGGTCGTACGGACCAACCATGGCAAATGCCTTACCAAATGCGGCAAAAATCAGTTCTGCGGACATGCGTGCGCAACAAAATGTCATAAAGGAACTTCCTGTCCGCCTTGTGGGGAGAGATGCGAGATTGCATGTGATCACTTCACATGCAAGGAGAAATGCGATAAACCATGTGCTGCCTGTTGTAAGCGTTGCACTTGGGCTTGTCGCCATGAAGGTCAATGCAACATGCCTTGTGGCGCACCCTGTGATCGACTTCCCTGCAACAAGCGCTGCGAAAAGGCACTGCAATGCGGTCATCGCTGTCCATCTATTTGTGGGGAAAAATGCCCAAGCAAGGAGTTCTGCGTCGAATGCAAGAACCCAAAGACGATGGAGATGATTGTTGATGTAATTATGCAACAATCTCTGGATGAGACCGACGTAAACGAGGATCCCATTCTGGTCATGAAATGTGGGCACGCTTTGACGGCCTCAAGCCTTGATGGTATGATGGAGATGCAGAATTACTATCGGGTAACTACAGATCAGAGGACTGGCGAGACGACCTACCTTGACACGAAGAGCCTTCCAGGTGAAGAGGTTGCTCAGGTTGCTTGCACTCTTTGTCGCAAACCTATCACTGGGATCTACCGCTATGGGCGTCGTATCAAGTATGCACAGCTGTCTCAGCGATCAAAAAAGTTTCAGGTACAACAAGCTAAGGCGATGAAAGAAGCAAAGCAGGGATTTGATGTGGCTCAAGCTCGTATGGATCAGAATCGTGAAGAGTTTATCAAATCACTCGCAGCACCTGCTTCTCGACTGCATAATGACCCTCCACAGCCTAATGAGCCTCCGCCAGAGACATCCTGTCTCCTTGGGAAGTACTCTGCTCCCTTGGCTGCGTTTCCAAATAGCGACGTTGGCGCCATTGCTATTTATGGCATTTCAGAAGAGCATGAGAAAGGATGGCGGAAGTTGATCGATGAAACCATAAGATCATTAAATGGTTTCAAGAAGATTTATAAACAATCTTGTGCATCACCTACGAAACGGCTGTTTGATGCTGCAGTCTCCCATTTGTACCGCATAAAAACTGCACCTTCTTTCAGCCCAGAAACCGGCTCTGCGATCCAAGAACATATTCCTGAAGGCGCTCAGACTGCTTCAGATGTGGTCCAGGCCTGTATTGTAGAATGTGGCCTTCCTCGGGACGGACACGGCGGCTCATCATTTGTAGATTCGCTGCAGGAATGCACTAACGCTTTGATCTTTATCCTTGGTTCTGCGCTTGCTGTGCTTGAGAAAGTTGGTACCTCATCAGGCTGGTACTGGTTTATTGGAGATTTGATTCGATGCGCAAGTCTTCATGCTATCAAGTTCAAGGAAGCAGCTTTGAACGGTAAATATGAAAGAAGTGTTGCATACTCCCGCATTATGCACATGGAGTTGATTTGTAAAAGAGCAGAGTGGTTAGGTCGGAAACCCTTGCCATCTGAAGAAAACAGTAGGACACAAAGGCTTGAGGAGGCTGACAAACTACAAGCGGAGTTCATGGAGGAGTATCAGGAGATTAAGACTAACTGTCCTCTTGGTATCCGACCTGAATGCAATGAAAAGGCAGAGAGCATCATGAAGAAGATGGTTTTGGCAGTCACGAGCGCGAAAGGTGAAAGTATCTATACACCAGTGACAGACGAGGAAAAAATAGAGCTGATCAGGGCTGTGGAGCAAACCTTGCATGGAACAGGACGCTGGTACCGATGTCCTAATGGCCATACAGTAAGTCTAAATTTTTGATATCATTTGCAGCTCCAAATGAGCAGACCACTCTGTCATCACAAAGAGAGTTGACCATATCTATTTTTTTTTTTTTTTTTTTAGTATGTAATTGGGGAGTGTGGAATGGCGATGGAGCAATCGCGTTGCCCTGAATGTGGAGCAAATGTCGGAGGAGGGCATCATACACTACTTGGCGACAACACCATTGATGCAGAGTTTGAGAGATTGAGAGGTCGTCGTTAGGGGATAATATGGCGAAGATTAATCTCTGAGAATAATAATAATGATGATGATGATAACACTAATAATAATAATAATTGTAATAATAATAAATCCTTTATTTGGATATCTACAACTTGGCGTGATCTTCGCTAACACGCTCAATTACAATAGCTGAAGCTCCACCGCCACCATTGCAAATACCAGCAACACCAATCTTTCCATTCTTTTGTTGAAGAACATTAACAAGGGTTGCAATAACACGAGCACCAGAACTGTTTTCATTTTTTTTTTTTTTTTTTTTTTTTTTTTAAAAAAAAAAAAAAAAAGGTGGGGAGAAAGAAAGAGTTAATTGTAAGATTCGTAGACTTTGTAAAAAAGGGCGCTCGTTTGCAAGATCAGTTTGAATTAATATGTCCCAAGTCAAGATTATACAAGACATACCATCCAAGGGGGTGACCCAAAGCAACAGCTCCTCCGTGAACGTTGACATTATCACTGTTAAGACCCAAGATCTTCATGTTGGCACAGGCAACAACCGAAAATGCTTCATTGATCTCATAGAAATCAACTTGTTCAGATGTAATGCCAGCGCGCTTGATAGCCTTGGGGATAGCAAGTGCAGGAGCAGTTGTGAATCTGGATGGGTCCTGTTCAGCATCTGCAGATCCACGGATCAAAGCCAAGACTGGAATGTTGAGTTCGCGAGCCTTCTGTCCAGAAATCAGTACGATAGCACAAGCACCGTCGGAAATAGGTGAAGAATTGGGGGCAGTTACCGTGCCGCCGTTAGGCTTAAATGCAGGACGCATTGCACGAAGCTTGGTTTCGTTGAGCTACCAAAAAAAAAAAAAAAAAAAAAAAAAAAAAAAAGTGCCCAGGTAAATGCCATGGCCAGGCTTGTAGTATAAACCCAATGAATTGACAGACTGAAAAATCATACATTTGTAATCTCATCATCAGTAGAGACAACAGTATCAGGCTTGCCACGGGCACCAGGGATGACTACGGGGACAATTTCATTATTGAAAAGACCAGCCTGGGTTGCAGCCTGGGCGCGTTTGTAGGAGTTGATTGCATAGTCATCTTGAGCCTCACGTGAAATCTGGTGTTCTTCAGCAGTCTCCTCAGCAGCAACACCCATAGAGTAGTTGTTGTAAACGTCAGTGAGACCGTCCTTCTGAACACCGTCGATGACTTCCTGGTGGCCATACTTTGCACCGAAGCGCATTTTGGGCAAATAATATGGAACATTGGTCATCGACTCTGCACCTCCTGCAATAACGATCTTAAAAAAATAATAATAATAAAAATTAAGCAGTTTAGCTATTTTTATATCTTAAACAATAATACGAGCAATTAAAATACAATTACTACTCCTACTACAGATAATATAAAAAACAAGTTTACTTACATCGGCCTGACCAGTTTGGATGGTTTGAGTAGCAAGCATGACTGCTTTCATAGAGGAAGCACAGACCTTGTTGACAGTGGTGGAGATGATCGTCTGAGGAAGACCGGCACTCAAAGCGACTTGTCTTGCAGGGTTTTGACCTAAGTTATCAAAGGTAAAAAAAAACCCTTTTATCAGTACAAAGAAAGCATTATTCCAAGAAGGCTAGCGCATACAGCTTTAGTAGTACAGGATATTGTACTAAACGTTCAGGCCCTTTTTTTCCTTCTAAGAATCAAATGAGACCGTGAATTTATTTTTTTGTTGGGCCTGAATAATGGGAAAAAAAAAATTGGGGAAGGATTGAGAGGGACTGTGTGAAGAAGCACAGCACTTAACCATGATTTTCGCTATGAACAATCTCATTGCTCTCTGCTTTGTAGAGTACGAAGAAAACACTTACCAAGTCCTGCTGACAAGACATTTCCAAAGTAGAACTCATCAACCTGATCGGGCTTAATATTGACCTTCTCCAAGGCGCCTAAAATTTATTGGCGTAAAAAAAATCAGATCTGGGCAAAGCACTTGGTTGTAAACCCTTTTTTTTTTTTTTTTTTTTTTGTAGCTATTACCCTTGACAGCAATAGAACCGAGTTCGACAGCAGAGAGGGAGGCAAGGGAGCCGTTGAATGAGCCAATTGGAGTGCGTGCAACAGCGGCAATGTAAACTAGTCATGTTAGAGGAGTGAGATGAGATGATGCTCGAGTCAGGGAAATGTTACATCTAACAATTACAATGAACCAAAAGTGGAGGACACTCTCGCCCTGCTCATATTCCAAGAAGCATACCAGTGTTGATATTAGTCATGGTCGGTGATGGTAATGGTGTGATAATGATAGTGACAAAGAGATGGAGTGAAGAGATCTTTTTGAATGCGGTTGCTGGTTTGAAAAAGAGATTAGCGGTTGGATCGCCCAACCTCCTTTTTGTACACGGAAAACAGTCCATTCAAGGAGGCTGAGTGCAGCTTTCAACGAATGTGTACAAATTCCATTTCCTTGAGCTATGATCAACATACCAGCATACTCAATCAGGCCACTTTTTTTTTCCCTTTCAAAACTACGCGTTGCGTAAAGGAAAGCTCGCTAGAGCCATCACAGCAATGCAATTCCGTATCGTATATACCCGAACGGACAGATAGCAGGTTCTCAGTCACACAAAGGCGCCATTTTACTACCAGCCAATCATCGTTCGATCAGCATGCGCTGATCACCGAGATGGCCTGATATCCTATCCCTCTTAAGGATCAATTCTTTGCTTACCTTGTCTTGTATTGCCTGCCTTGTTAATCAACTGAATCTAATTTAGAAAAGATGAATTTTTAGAAACATTTGAACTTCATCCAAATTGCGCCAGTACTTTCTGCTCATCCACGCATTCCTCAAGAATAATCCCATCCTTTTTTCATGATCCTTGTCTGTCTGGCAAGGTCATTGTTCACTATTCGCTGAGGTTCCACTCTTAGTATCGATCCCTGAAATTATGACCGAAATCTCCTGGCACACAAACGATGTCTATCTTCATGTGTCACATGTACTCAAAAAGAAGGACCCCAAAAGAGACATTATGATTGTGCAATTATAATTGTTGGTCTGGTTTAATTTAATCTATAGAACAAATCTTGACTATGGCACTGATAATGGCTATGCCAGGGAATCGGAGCAGGTGTTCTTACCCGGGCCCATAGACATGCTCCATGTAAGCCATCCAGTGCACAATCACTCTTCGGATCTGACCCCACGCCTGCTTCATCTGCTGCGAATCACTTAGTCCAGGTTGGTGTGGGACCTTGAACCACTCACGGTGGTTAGTCTTGCATGCGCAGACATGGTCCTTGTCATGAAAAGGCTTCAATTCAATATGAATCAATCGTTCAACCCTGTGGGCATATCGGCATCGTAGACCAGTCACCTCATTATCACCTGCAGTCTTAGTGGCTATTTCTGACAGATCGCTTTCATCCTTGGGTGCAAGAGATCCTTGCTCTGGGAAGACTTCGATCAAACGAGGAGGAGAGCCACATTTGTCAGACCATTCACTCATACGGCGGAAAATATTATCAGTGCGGCCAACTTTGAACAGTGTGTGGGTGTCTGTGAGACGTGCTGCATTAAAAAAAAAAAAAAAAAAAAAAAAAAAAAGTGGAACTGCATTTAGGGATATACTACTTGTCTAGGTTTATGCTGAACAAAGATGATGAATGGAGCTTACTTTCAATCAATTGGTACGCGTAAATGTAGCCGGGTTTGTCTGTGTCAGAGACAGGCCTCTCCATGGCTCTCCGAAGTTTGTTTTGGACATAATCGGGAAGGTTGGGATTGACCCATACTAAATAATTGTGTGTAAACATGAATCTTTTAAATAGGTTTGAAGGCACAAACGAACATACACACAAAAAGTGAGGCGAAAAACATAAAAGTATTTACCAGAAAGATCCATCCATTGCAATAATACACCTCCCTTGCCCTCGATATGAACAACAACCTCCTCATCCTCATTCACCTCATGGTCATGGCACATCAGCACTTCACCCTTCTCCATGGGTCTATCCAGCTTGACCTTGCGTTTGCATCGGTGTCCATTAGAATTAAATCCATGGCATTGATTAGGAACCTCATCTTCTTCTGATTTGATTGATAGATCCTGGATATCTTGTATAACTGAATTGACGGCGCTACCATGCGACTTGCGTGGTTGAGGACCACTTCCAATTGTTTTTCCAGCTGGTACCTGAGGTAAGGGCTTTTGATAAGGAATTTCACCCTCCGAGTCAGATCCTTTCATCTTGTGGAAAAATGACTTGAACATTCTCCTAACAGCAGCACGCTTAGAGTCTGGGTTTACAACATCATCATCATCATCATTTGAGAATAAGTAGTTGTGCACACGGGCATGGTATTTAAAAAATCCAGAAGATTTCTTTTCTTGAGCAGTCTGGGATCCTCCCACTGCAGCAACATCGCTAGTGCTCTCATCCAATCCCAGTCGATCCTTTACAGACGCAAGGATCTTCTTTGTGGATTCAGGGATTGTTACAGGAGGTGGTGCAGGCACCCAAAAACCACCTGTAGGACGACCCGCCACTGAAGTTGCTTTTGTCTTGTTCTTGGGTGGAGCCAAGACCGCATTAGTAGTGAAAATTTTAGACTTTGTGCGTTTGACCTTGGTACTGAGTGGTGAAGAATTGTTGGTAGAAGGAGGCAAGGTAGGGTCACCGGACTTGATTTTGACTGACGCTAGTTTTCCTGTAAGCTCGTCTACATCGTCATCATCATCGTCATCATCATCGTCATCAATGTCATCCGAGTATGAATCACTATCATAATCATCGCTATCAGATGGCTTATAGTCATCATCAGATTCAGGCTCAAACTCATCTGAGGATTCAATAACCTTCTTCTTGCTTCTGGTGTTCCTGGGCGCTGTTGTCTTCTTTTTTGTAGTTGGCGCCTTCCTGGCAGCAGGAGACGGCTTTTCAACCTTAGTTATTTTGGAAGCAGAAGTATGCGATGGGGCATTGGCAGATGACGGTGCAGGTGCTGAAGTTGGGGCTGGGGTTGGGACTGGGACTGGTGCCGGAGCTGAAGCTGGGGTTGCAATATCCTCGGCGTCGGCAGTTTTCTTTATACCCAAGGCCTTGAGGGCCTTACTAGTCTTTGATTTTTTGGATGTGTCTGTAGGGGCCGGATGAGATTCCCCCTCCGAGTCCGTGAATGGAGACGCGCCTGGCTGGCGCCCGATTCCCCAAAGGCCGTTGGTGGTATTAGCCTGCTGCTTATGTTTTTCTGAGCAGTACCCGTCGAGCTTGCCACTGCGAGAGCATCGCTGTCCGGTGGAGATGGCAATGGCCTTACACCGCCCAGAGTTGCTGTCTGCGCTGGTTGTACTGGCAGATGCAGCAGAGTTTGTCATGGCGTTGTTTTGCTTTGAGGAGCCTTATGATTGGTGTGAAGCAAAGCTGATGAGATGATGAACCTCTGTGAAGAAAAAAGATGATTTGTAAATCAATAAAGCAACATGTTTTAGTTTAATAATTTCCCAGGATAATATGGATAATATAGTTTCATGCAAAGAGACGAAGACCCGCCACATTAGAGGCACTGCTTCTACATGCACATGTTCAGCAACATCGTGTGTTCTTGTAAGAGCTTTTTATTTTTTTTCTTTTGTGAGAGAAGAATGGCTAAAAATGGGCTTTTGTTCGCCATCGGTCTCTATTATAAATACTATTTAACGAAGGATTGTCTGCTTGGATGGGGAGGAAGGAAAGCTTGTAACTCCAACGATGATTTCATCGACCCAGTCCATGCAGGTCAAGGGTCAGAGGATGCAGAAAATAGGGGCACATCGCGTTCTGTCACTTTAGTCTTGTCATACACGCCACACTTTTCTGTTGTCAGCTGGTCTGTGCCCCTCTAAATATACGTCCAAATCGATGTTGTGATCTTTGTTTTTCAAAATACAAAGGCGCTGTTAAATGGATAAGGTCATTACGAAGTCAACTAACTGGGATGAAGTAGATCACACGTCAAGTCAATTCAGGTACTTTCTTACAAACAATGTCATCCCTCTTAAAAAGAGAGTCAAGAGTGTTTGTTCGACAGTCTATCGATGCACACATGGCTACGACTCCTGGTTTCCAACAGTTATCATGTTTATAAACATATAACATCCCTTTTTTTTTTTTTTTTTTTTTTATATAATGCTAATGGACATTACTCCCCAACTCTTTTCTTCTTGCCTTCTCCTTCTCTTCCTCAATATCATGAATACCCCGGCATTATTGTGATTTTTTACGATCATTGCGAATCTTTTTCCCCCTTGTCTTCTCCTACCTTCTTTTCATGATCTCCTACTTCCAAGTGTGATCCCTTACTTTTTTTTTTTCTTTTTTTTTTTTTTTTTTTTTTGCAGTCTTAAAGAACGCCATAATCTTCGCCGCTCCACTTATTTCTCCCTCTCATTTTTCTTTGATTTCAATAGTGAAGCATTCATTTACCAATAACCTCACCCGCTTCACTTCTCCGTTTTCTCCTCTTCCAACTTCACTTAAAAGTTGTCCTTTACTACCTTATTTTAATCTCAACAAAAAAAAAAAAAAAAAGGAAAAAAACTACGCTCATAACGATCTATCTATATTTTTATTCACCCATTGCTCCGCACATTTGATTGTTTCTTTCTAACAGCTATCAATCGCCTTTCACCACTTTTCTGACTCATTGTTTTCGCTTCAAGTGAAGCTGTATCCTGTCAACATACACAATTGAAGAGATAATTCTATACAAATGTGGTGCAACAATTGTTGTCTGTGTTTTCCTCTCCGAGGAGGCGCGATGTGGCTCACCGGATTGGTGTTGACAATTAATGGCATTGGCGCTATAATACTCTTCCTTTGGGGTCCATATTTCTTTTCCACGCTCATGGCACTCCTTTTTGCTGGATTCTCAGTCCTTCAAGCTGGTACCGCTGGTCTTGCCTTCCTTGGCCTTTGCAATGTAAATGGGCTTTATAATTTTGACCAGTGTGATGTAAAGATACATGCATGTGTCCCCCTATCTAATTCAACTCGTTTTTTTTTTTTCCCCTTCTTTCTGTATCTAAATAGTGGTCATACATGCTGACAAGGCTGTTCGTCTATATTCAATGGCTGATTGCATTTCTTGCAACCGCACGTATCGGTGTCATGGCCTATCAACTCGAAAAGAACAAGGGACATATCGCTGCAGAATGTTGGGGCGCTGTCAATGATAAGGGATACTCTCCTCAAGGCACTGCAGCGGCGTTTTATTGCAGTACCCCGATCGAGTCCTTTATCCTGATCTTTATTTTTGGCCTAGTAATGGACTATGTACTCAACCTGTATATGTACTTTGTCGTTTGGCGGTTCTATGTGCGTATGCGCCTTTATCCTTTCCACAAGCGTTTCGGACTCACGTATGAGCATGGGTTATACGAGATCTAATACAGTAATATAATTGAAAAATAAAATGTTTACAATACAAAAGTTGTGCCAAGCTTATTTCCAATCGTAATGCCATGGATGAGATCCCTTTGCCATAAAAAAAAAAAAAAAAAAAAAAAAAAGCAAGGATGGGTTACAAAATCCTTGCTGTATTTTTCTTTTTAATACAATTTCTAGTAGTCTAGGGAGATGTTCATGTTTTGTACAGCCTTGCAGCCTAGATCTTTCTAATATCATGTGTACCGTGACTTTTTGCAAAAGGCCCAAAAAAGCAAGCGAAAAGAGAGAGGGGTAACAACTAAAGAAAAAAACTTGTTCGTCTCTCCTCATTTCCCTCTCATTCCTTCTCGACTACACCCTTATTTCCCAAACACAGCATTATGGCGGAACCAACAAAACAAGAAATCCAAGACGTCTTCAAGAAGCTATCTTTGCACCGTGCGAACAAGGTCTATATCTTTTACTTCTTTTTTTATTTTATTTTATTTATTTTTTTATTTTAATGACATGTATTGAGCGCTCTTGTGCTTCAAGTCACAGTCTGTACTTGAATATTAGCACTGAGAACATCGAAGCATCTCAAGTTTATGAGGGGGGGGCTTCTTTTGATTTGATACAACACAACGTACTGAATTATAGAGCAAAGCACTTTTTTGATTTCGTGTATCATGGGAATAGAACGTCAGCTCATACTGACATATCAATCAAATTTTAAATGTAATGAATGTAATGTAGAACTGCTTCGACTGTCATGCAAGCATTGACCAAAATTGTTGGACAAGCATTCCATTCGGCATCTTTCTTTGCACAGACTGTGGCGCACTTCATCGTAGTTTTGGCACACACGTCAGTTTTGTCCGGTAAGGACTATGAAAGTTCGAATGGATTGTTGAGCATTCGCTGACTTACGTGGCAAGTTTGTATTTGATAGCATACTCTTTCATTCGACAGCATTGAAACAATGAGAAAAAAAAAAAAAAAAAAAACTCCAGCTCAGTATGGGAAAAAATGGACCAATACCTCAATATATTCGCTTCATACACATGTGCGCGGATCCTCTTTTATTGAACGCTATGCTTCGCGCACCATAACTAGATCAAGCTCTCATATTTGAAAAAAAAAAAAAAAAAAAAAAAAAAAAAGCACAAACACACATACTCAAAACCAACCACCTTCATTTCTGATATTTTAACGGTTATATTAGATCAACTGTACTGGACAAATGGACATGGGAGCAGCTTCGAACTATGATTGTTGGGGGCAATGCAGCAGCAAGAGAATACTTTAGTAAATACCCAGGCGCGGACACCAAGGATGCAAAGACAAAGTATTCAAGCAAGGTTGCCATTGCCTACAAGGAAAAGCTTGCTCAAAAAGTCAAGGAGGACATGCTTGCGTAAGGCCCCCCTTTTTTGCTTTTTTAGATGTTTCCTTTTCTCCTTTATCTAACTGAAGCAATATTTAATCTTTTTATCAATCAACAAAATATGTAGACACCCAGGAAAACATGGCCTCGAGCAACGTTCAGAAGACAGCAATAAGTCTGCTTTATCGACCTCAGTGCCAGCAACCAACGCTGACGATGACTTTTTTGAAAATTGGAATCAGCCTACAAAGCCCTCTGCAAACCCAACCTCACCTCAACTTGTTGCCCCTCCCTCTGTTGGGTTCGGATCTGGTTCACTAGCTCGTACATCTTCAACTGCCTCACGACCTGTCAAATCAACTCTTACCTCCGCTCGTAAAACTGGCACAGCATCCAAACCTATGAAACTTGGAGCAAAAAAGGCTGGAACGATCAGTTTCGAGGAGGCTGAGGCTCGTGCTCGGGCTGAGGCCGAGAGGATCGAGAAGATTGGGTTCGAAGCAGCTGAAGAAGAGCGCTTACAAAAGTTGGCTGCAGAAAAGGCTAGGGAAGAAGCGGCTAGGGTTGCTGCAGAAGGCCATGGCGCCAATAGTATGAATGCCTTGAATGCACGCACCAACTATTACCAGGCTAATACAGCTGACAAGTCTAGAACATCCTCTGAAGATATGGAAAGGTTGGGGATGGGGATGGGGCGTATGGGATTTGGTGCTACACCAACTGCTAAGCCTTCAAGTGTCCGTACTGGTTTTGGTAGCACGAGTAGCAGCAGTTATTCTCCACAAGTAGAAGGTACGACGTCAATATAAAAGGTGCACGAGTAAGTAGCTCTCTCATCATGCGTTTGACTTTTACTGATAAAAGGCCCATCCCTTCTGATGTTCTTTAAAAAAAAAAAAAAAAAAAAAAAAAGTAGAGAACGTTACAGCTGCTCGTGAAAAGTTTGGAAATCAGAAAGCGATATCATCGGATCAATATTTTGGACGCAACAATTATGACGCGGAAGCGCAGGCAGAGGCCACGAGTCGACTGCAAGCCTTTTCAGGAGCGACGAGTATTAGCAGCAATCAATATTTTGGACGACAGGACGAACCACCGAGTTTGGGTAGTGATGGTGAGTTGAGAACAACGATGATAAAAGTAGGAGCAACAGCAGTTTAATAACACATGTCTAATTACTATTATTATTAATGCTATTGTTGTTGTTGTTATTATTTCAGTTTCATTGGCGTCTCTGGGTAATCTCTCAGGATCAGATCTAGCCAAAAAGCTAGGACAAGCTGACCTGGCTACACTCAAGAATGCTGTTCAAGCAGGGGCTGGAAAGGTGGGTTTCAGACATGAAGAGATGGGTCTCCCATGGCGATGAACTTTTTTGGATTCTACAGCTCGATGCACATTAACATTTGTGTGTTTCTATTTTTCAAACACTTTTAGCTTGCTGACATGGTTCAGGATATTCAGTCGCGTTATTACTATTAGTGGCAGTTTTGAATTTTTTTTATTTGAATAAAAAATACATTCTTGTCTTACTTCTTCCTTTCTTTTTAAGCATAATACGCAAACGACGTTATGGATGAGGCGGAAGACATTCCTTGCCCGTGTACACTCAGAATTGCAGTTGTTGGTGAGCTTAATTTCAGGAAACAGTAATTAGATGCCGTTTACATCAACAGGAAACAGGAAATTTTCTAAAAGGTCTTTTTTTTATTATTATTAGGTGGGCCTCAGTATAATCGACTCTACCAGAGGCTTGCATTATTTGAGAAGGAAACTGGAAATAAAGTCGAGATTGTTTTCCGTGGGTCCCATCCAGAATTGAATGACTTTTTGGCATCAACATTTAATTCGACCATTTCACCTTCAGAAATATCAAAGGTACAATTGGACTTGATATCGACCCATATCAAGTACGCACCTTCACAAGTTCATTTCTTACAGGAACTGGGACTGGATTTGGTGTCTGATCAACAACGATCAGAGTTCTTGGATTCAGCATTGGAGGCAAGCAAGGTGCAGAACAGACTGGTACAACTTCCACGGATGGTGGATAGCAGAGTCTTGTTTTACCGCGCAGACGTATTTGAGAAGCTGGGGTTGACACCGCCCAAGACATGGCAAGATCTGTTGATGGCTGCCAGTGCAATTCGTAGAGCAGAACTCCCGGTTGCGAATTCACCGAATGTAAGTGCGTCCGATAGAGGGACAGGTGAGGCATCATCACAGAATGAGATGATGGAAGGATATATATTTCCGGGGAAGCTGTCTGGATTGTTTGGGACATTTTATGAGCTTGCAATGATGGAGATGCAGGGTTCAGAGGCTCTGTTTGATCGTCAGGGCCGGCCAATTTTTGAAGAAAATGTGGTCATCAATGTGCTCCGTTTTTTGCGTGAGCTTGTGGTATCCAATGCAGTTCCCAAGGACATTGAGCGATACTATTTTGACGAGGTATCGGCCCTGTTTGCAGAGGGCAAGGTGGCTATGGTGGCAGATTGGCCGTCATTCTATGGTGAGATGAAGAGGACGCTGAAAGAGAAGCAGCCCGAAGCCAAAATCAAAGTGATGCGCTATCCAGTCGGGGCCAATGGCAAGCGAGTAGCTTATTCGGGGATGCACTCGTTTGCCATCCCAACTAGCTGCCGCCATGGTCCACAAGCGACAAAGCTTCTTCATTTTTTGGTACGGGATGATCAACAGTGGATTGAAGCTTCAGAATCTGGTAGCTTTCCAACAAAGAGGGCAGTTCTACAACGCTTAGTGGAGAAGACAGAGGAGAAAAGGAGGTTAGAGGGATCGGAGGCAGAGCTGGATAGTGAGCGACTGGAGTGTTTGAAGATGACGGTGGAAAAGGATATGGCCATGTTTCCTCACCTGAAGACGTATCCAGAGCTAGAGGAAGCACTCTATCCCGTGATCCAGGGCGCAATGATGGGACGAGTAACGTGCCAAGAGGCGGCGCAACAGATGAAAGCCATTGCGATTGCGCTTGGATCTGTTTACGAACAGTGCGCGTAATAGAGTAGAATACCACATGTATATTTAATACATCTGCAGTAAACAAAGTATAAAAAAAAATAAAAAAAAAAAAAGAGAGAAAGGATAAAGAGGGAGTAAAGGAGAGAGAGAAAGGGGAGAGGAAAGAGAACCGATGGGTTCGCCTGACTCAAAGCTTGATCCGAAGTCAGAAGGGAGACAAAAGGCGGAAGTAAAAAAAAAAAAAAGAAAAGAGAGACTTACATGTTGGTAAGGTGGTACATGAACAGTATACACAGCAGAAGTGGGTTCTATTTTTAAAATAAATAAAACCGCACAATTTGCCCCTCCTTCCTGTTCGTTTCCTCCTTTCAAAAGCAAAAATTTAACATTGCAACTAGACTAACAGGAAGTGGTGTTAATATAACATAACGCAATATATTGTACTGTATATGGGATATATATATAAATGTATACATGCTATGCTATGTCCTTCATAGTCCATAGATTCATGGAATAGATAAGATGATTAAAGGAAAGAGAATGAAGGAAGGAGTTGGTGAGAAGAAACAGGTCGATCCATTGAAATAAAAGGGCGGACGATTTAATTTTAGTCTTGCCCTTTCTTGTATCTGTCCTGTGTGTGTCCTGTGCCGTGTTTGTGTCAATGTCGTTTTTATTTATTTATTTATTATTAGGATGGGGAGAACAGCAGGCCCCTTCTGTCAATGTCCCTGCTTCTTTTTTTCTTATAGATCTATTTGTCCCACTGTTCCTGACTGTTCCACACCCACATGGAGAGATGTGTACATCTGTGTGTGTGCAATACAATACATCTGTGTGCATGCAATAGGACAATGGGACCTTTGACCAAATACCAACTACGGACATTCAAATGGGGCGAAATGGTTGCTATTGTTATCTTTTTTTTTCTTTTTCTTTTTTTTTTTTTTTTTTTTTTTTTTTATTTCTTTTTTCTTTTTCTTTTTCTTTCTCTTTTGGTTTCTCTTCATCGCCACACTTTTCAATCTATTTTATTTATTTTTGCATTCTTCTTTCCTTCCGCCCATCCTCCTCCTTCTCTCATATCAATTGTAAAGCAAGAAAAATTATATTAAAAGCGCTTGTGTCTGTGTGTGCGTACTTGTCTCTCCTTTTTTTTTTTTTTTTTTTTTTTTCTTGGTTCCTCCTCCTCTTCCTTCTATTTTTTTTTTTTTTTTTTTTTTTTTTTTGTAGACATTTTACAAAACTATACCATAGCTCAGAGTGTTCTGATTTGCATCGTCGAGAGAAAAAAGAAAAAAAAAGAGAAAGAGAGAGAGAGATGCTTCCTGCTCAGGATCTGGTCGCATTAGCCAGACATGGCAGCAATGACAACATCACTCGAGATGAGTCATTGACTCAAGAAACTATTTTCAACGTCCTTACCAGACGACACCAACTTGGATTACCATACACTCGTATCGGTACCTCAACATTGGTGGTTATGAATCCCAACCAATCCCTCGGCATTTACAGTGAGACCAATAGTCAGCAATATATCGATCTGGCGAACGGCAGTCATGGTGGCAATTCTCCAAGTAATGTGGCACTAGAGCCTCATGTGTTTGAATTGGCAAATACAATGTATTACCACATGAAGCGGACAGAGCATGATCAAGGTGTAATCCTAAGGTTCGTAGAGTAGCATTGTGAAGCACCAACAACAGTGCACCATGCGCCATTCTTATTCTTATTGCTATAATTTGGTTATTTTTATTATCGTGGGTATTGAAAGAGTAGGGGGAAGAATTGTTTCAAATTGGAAAAAAAAAATAAAAAAAATCCTGGGGTATGCATTTCTGGAGAGGAGATGTCGAGCGAGTAACCAGATATTCATCTTTTTTTCTTTATGCATTCATATCTACATCTAGCGGCATCGCAGGCTCAGGAAAGACTACATCTCAACGTCACCTTGTACAGCAGCTTATCCGACTGGGAGCAAAGAGTACTGCCAAAATCGGCCCACAGATCAGGGCGGCATCCGACATCCTCGAAGCTTTTGGCAATTGCCACTCAGACCATGGGGCAAATGCATCATGTCATTCACTCTACCTGGAACTCCAGTACAAGACCAAAGGGAAACTTTTTGGCGCAAAACTTTTGCCTTTCATGCTTAACCAAGAAAAAATCACCAATGCTCAGAGTCATCTTGGATCTTATCAGATTTTTTACTCCATGTTTAAGCACATTTCAAGCGAGGACCGGAGGCGTTTACGACTGGGAAATAATATTACAGAATATCCCTATCTTCCATATCATCCACATATGGAAACTATGAGTACCCATCGTGATATAACACCAGCTTTCGCTGCCTTGGGCTTCAAGCCCAAAGCTATCTCTCAGATCTGGCAGTTGCTTGCTGTAGTTCTACATCTAGGCAGGATCGACTTTGTAGATTCGACTCAAGACCCCACCCTCATGGCAACCGTCCCAAGACAAAAGCATCTATTTGATCTAGTAGCCGATCTACTTGGTGTTGAGCAAGGTAATAATTATTAAAAAAAAAAAAAAAAAAAAAAAAAAAAGTACTAGAAAGCAAGCTATGGCAATGCTATATCATGCATAAAACTGTACTTACTTTTATTATTATTGTTGATTGATTAATACTTTAGATGCTCTACAACAGGCGCTATCATACAAAAGAAAAATGATTTCTGGTGATCTTTGCACTGTGATCCTTGATTCCGCATCAGCTAAAAAGCAATGCGACGGTCTAGCCCGCGCATTATACACTTTGCTCTTCACCTATACTGTCGAAGCTATGAATACCCAAATGTGTCGGCGACAGGAGGAACAGACTTCATTTATTGGAATTCTAGATATGCCCGGTTTCGACAGCCATTCACCAACAGGATTTGAAAACTTTTGTACTAATTTCTGTAACGAAGCACTACAGGGATTCCTCCAGCAAAAAATGTTTGTTGAGGATACTCAGAACATAATAGCGGATGAACTTCAAATGACAGAGCTCCGTTCCAACGAAAAAGCTCAAGCAACCATTGATCTTCTTTGTGGCCTAGATACGTTGACAGACGCCTCGCCTAGAGGTTTGGTCCGTTTCTTGCATGATTCGACGCTTAAAGCAGGCAAACAATCAGGTGATGCCGAATCAAGCTCCATGCTTCCAGGGTTGAATCGCACGTTCCAGTCCAATCCTTCGTTCATTAGTGGATCAACCTATGCATCTTCGTTTGGTATCCGCCATTTTGCAGGAGATGTGCACTATAACCTCGAGAGTTTCTTTGTCAAGAACCAGGATATTTTGTCGCCCGATTTTGTATCCTTATTCCAAACATCCACCAGTCCATTCATGCTTCAGATATTAGAGTCGAATCCAGCTCTAATCATGGAGAGCCACCCTCGATCCAAAGAGACGATTGTTAAGGCCCAGTTGTCAACTATGCCAATGCGCCAGCCCAGCGTCCGAAAGGCAAAGCAGGCTCAAGTTCAAGCTAGAAGGAAAGGAAGAACGTCCAATGCAGTTTCAACTGTCATCAAACAACTGCACTCAACTTTACGGGATATCTGCACCTCTTTAGATGGAACTCAGCTCTATCAGATCATCCATATCCGACCCAATAACAGGATACGAGAAGCATTGATCGAGTGTGACCCCGTCTTGATTCGATCTCAAATCGAGTCATTGCAATTGAGCACTTATGTTCATTTAAAAATACGGGCTGAATACTGCGTTTCCTTCGACCATGAATCCTTTTTAGAACGCTATAAAATATTACTTGAGCGACGTGGAATCACGATAGACAGAGCCATGACACCAAATGAGCAGTGTAGAGCCATTGCGGGTGCGCTGCACTGGCAGCTGCCAGTCGATGGTGCCGTCGGCAACGAATATGTCTGGATGTCATTTGCCACTTTTAAATCTATGGAGGATGGTTGCATCGCAATCGAAAAAGCAGAAGGAGGATCATTGGCGTTTGAAGTAGATGTAGACGAGCAGCGTGAATTTGCCAATGTGATGACAGCAGGCAAACCATACCAGCAGCACCACACCGAGGAACCTGATGCGAGTACTCAGCTTTTGACAACTTATCGTCCTCGAACAGCATCTGATGTCTCGGCGCTTTCTGACGCCTCTCACGCTTCTCACACCTCTCAAACGTACCCTTCAGCTGATCCCGGCTTTCCCACTTATAATCAGACGCAAACATTTGGTCACGAGCCAGGCTCACCGCATTCTGATAACAAGACTATAGGAACCCCCGGCACTGAAAGTGAGAGGTAACAAATTTTACCAAAATCCCTTATGGTTTGATGCTCAGTGGCACTGCAAAATCTAACGCATACACTATTTTCCATAACAATAGACAATTGATATTCCAAAATTTTGAGAAAGCTGAGACTGAGATTAAGAGGAAACCTACGTTGGCCTTGCACCGTACCAAAGCAGATGAATCTGTACAGCCCCCAAAAGCAAAGACGAAAACTCGTCGCGCCTGGGTTACCTTTGTGTGGCTCAACACATTCTGGATTCCATCGTTTTGTCTGAGCTTTTGTGGACGTATGAAGCGTCCGGATATCCAAATGGCATGGCGCGAGAAAGTCACGCTGTGTCTTATTGTCTTCTGGCTGTCAGCGATTGTTATCTTCTTCATTATCGGCCTACCCAAGTTTATTTGCCCCATGTTCAACGAAATGTATAATCCCGAGCAAATCCAATACCATTCTACAGAGACAGACTTCTGGGTATCAATTCGCGGCTTTGTTTATGATATCAGTAAATTTGCCAGAAATGATCATTCCGGCTCGCACAAGGGCGTTTATCCTTCTGAACAATCATATATGATGGCATATGCTGGCAAGGATTTGACGGACCAATTTCCAGTCGATCTCCGTTGGGGTTGTCCCAATTTGGTGACAACACCCATGTTGATGCTCCCGAAAGAGCCATTCCAAGGCCAATACATGCCAACCCATGGTCCTAATCCTCGAAGTGGAGATCGAACGTTACCCTGGCTTAATGACAACGAGTATTATCAGAATAGCGTTTTACCAAAGCTGAATACCATGAAGAAAGGCATGATCGCCATCAAGATTGAGGACTTCCGGAACCAAACAGGTCCCAATATATGGACTATGATCAACGATAAGATTTACGATTTGACGATCTATATGGACAACATTAATCCGCCCACCGGATATGTGCCTGATCCTACATTCAAGGCGTTCCTGGATAAGTCAGTCGTTGATCTTTTCGTCAATTATCAAGGAACAGACATCACAAAGCAATTTAAGGAGCTTCCTCAGCAGCTACAGGCGGATACCATGACATGTCTAGATCGTGTGTTTTATGCAGGTGTTTTGGATGAACGTGACACAATCAAGTGTCAGTTCGGCAATTGGATTTTAGTAGGAGCTTCAGTGCTGATGGGTGGTGTGATCTTGATCAAGTTTTTAGCTGCACTGCAGCTGACATCAAAGCGCAATCCTATCAACTATGACAAATTTGTGATCTGTCAAGTCCCCTGTTATACTGAAGGTGAAGATTCGCTCAAAAAGACCATTCAATCGCTTGCAGGATTAGATTACGATGACAAGCGCAAGCTTTTGCTTATTATTGCGGACGGAATGATTGTTGGTGCCGGAAACGAACTCCCCACACCAAAAATTGTCTTGGATGTCCTAGGATGGCAGCCAACAGAGGGAGTTGAAGTAGAACCTGTGAAGTATAAAGCGCTTGGCATCGGTGGTCAGCAACTCAATTGCTGTAAGGTTTATTCAGGACTGTATGAGTTCGAAGGCCACATGGTGCCTTATCTAGTTGTTGCCAAAGTTGGCATGCCAAATGAGACATCCAAGCCAGGAAACCGTGGTAAACGCGATTCCCAATTGATCCTCATGAACTTTTTGAACAGCATTCACACTGGCAAGAAAATGTGTCCGCTTGAATTAGAGATGTACCACCATATGAATAATATTATCGGTGTCCACCCCAAGCTTTACGAAGTAAGTTAAGACATCAGGGCTTATTAAGCATGTCTGTGTCTGTCTCTTCATATTATCAAAAAAAAAAAAAAAAAAAAAAAAAAACTAATTTCAATGCTTACTTTCTTCTATTTAGTATATTTTGCAAGTTGATGCAGACACAGAGGTTATGCCAGACTCACTCAATCGTTTGATTGCATGCATGGTGGCCGACTCCAAGGTCATTGGTCTTTGTGGTGAGACACAGGTCGCCAACGAAGACAGATCTTTCACAACCATGATCCAAGTCTACGAGTACTACATCTCCCATCATCTTGCCAAATCGTTCGAGTCTTTATTTGGAAGCGTCACTTGCCTGCCAGGTTGCTTCTCTATGTACCGTATCTTCACGGTTGGAGGCAAACCTCTGATTGTTTCAAACAATATTCTCCGAGATTATAGTCACAACGATGTTGACACGCTACACAAACGCAACCTGTTGCAGTTGGGCGAAGACCGATATTTGACCACTCTCATGATGAAGTATTTCCCAGGGTATAAACTCAAATTTACTCCGGATGCTACTTGCAAGACTGTCGCCCCTGATAAATGGCGTGTATTGTTGTCTCAGCGTCGTCGTTGGATCAACTCCACCATCCATAATTTAGGCGAGCTAATGGTTCTACCGGAGCTTTGTGGTTTCTGCTGCTTTTCGATGCGGTTTATCGTCTTTATTGATTTATTAGGAACTCTGATTTTGCCCGCATCCTTCGTTTACCTTGTTTATCTGATCGTTGTGGTGGCCACTCATATGCAGCCTCTGCCAATTGTTGCCGTTGCTATCTTGGCTGCTGTATATGGTCTTCAGGCGCTCATCTTTATTCTCAAGGGCGCCTGGCAGCATATTGGATGGATGATCATTTATATCATCGCAATGCCATTTTTCTCAGTATTCATCCCTTTGTATTCATTCTGGCATTTCGACGACTTTTCCTGGGGAAACACTCGTCAGGTCGTGAGTGCTGATGGCAAGAAGACAGTCATGGCTGCGGAAGCCCAAACTCGATTCGATCCCAACTCCATTCCCCTCAAGAGTCTGGAAGCCTTTGAGGCTGAGAGGCAAATGCAATTGGAAGGAAACGGTTACTACAATTATCACAATGGATCAGGATCAGTTGTCGGAAGTAGCTATCAAGACGATACTGGGTCGGTGATCATGCATCCTCGACACGATCATTCGGGGTTGTTAGGTGGAGGTATCCAATCTAACCATTACAGCAAGCTGGATTCCTTTTACGGCAGATCATCTTCGCCTTATTATGATGGAGATGGCAACAAAAGCGTTGTTTCAGGCTTTGGAGGTGATGATCTTGCGCATGACTATTATCGGGACTCAAATGCTATTGAGTTATCATCTGGACGCCAATCCAGGGTGGCTTCACAGGTCCCTGCAGGGTTCATTCCCGGCTCAGCAGCTGGACAGCTCCGATCGGTCTCGCCCTTACTATCGCAATATGTAGGTGGTCAGCAACAGCAGCGACAAGGACTTGGACCTTTTGCTGACTCGCAAGGAATGCTCATGCCACAAGAATATCAAGCGAACCAGAGAGCATCGCTCCTCTCCCAACACCAACTTCAACAGCGGTTACCCGGAGATATGATTGAGATGGATCACTTTGGATCTCCCGTAGGGCTTGGTGTTGCAAACATTGGTATGGGAACACCTATAATGAGTTCTCCATCAGTTGGTGCAATGCCTGTTATGGGATCACCCCAGCTGTATAATGCTCAGTTACAGCAACAGCTCTTAATGCAACAGCAACCAATACTCTCAGCAGGGTCGCCAATGCAACCTCCAGCACAAATTGGTGGACTACCCATGGCAAGCATGGGCTCGCCCCTGATCGGACCGAACCAAATACATCTGCTGAATTCTCCAATGCCTTCAGCAGTATCGTCACCACAATTAAATGCCACAAGTCTTGTGCCTGGAACAGGAACAGGAGTAGGACCTACGGATGCGGAGCTTGTAACAAAGATTCATGAGCTTCTTTCGGGTGTCGATTTAATGACTGTCACCAAGAAGAAGATCCGTCAACAGCTTGAAGGCATTTATGGTCTTGATTTGACACCCCGAAGAGATTTTATCAGTAGAGCAATCGATATGGAGCTGCACAATCGGAAAGGAGAAGCTCCTGAGAGCGGCACCTCAACACAACCGCCATTGTGATTTCTACTTTGTTAGCATTCTATCCATTTAAAAAAATATTTTAATAAAAGTTACATATATATTTAACGCCACCAATTTATTTTTCCCTGCACAGCTCGGCATGGCGCGCGATGATTGGTCAATGATATGTTAAGGAAAGGTGGCTTAGTATTAATCCAGATCACGAACATGGTCAACTTTGAACCTTGTGTCGTGCGACTCGAAGTAAGAGCTTGATAAAAAAGAATGCGATCATCATCTCTTTTTCTTTTTCTTTTTCATCCTTCATCCTCTTTCATCATCTCCTTTTTCCTTCCTCCCTTCCTTTGTTTTTTAAATTGCTGCCTGCTGCTTGCTTGCACCCTTGTCCCTTTGTCAAGTGTGCTGCCTGCTAACCCGTAATTCATCTGTACTCCTGCCTCTGACTTGACTCTCTCATCGTCATCTCTCAACCCCCTTTTCTTTACTGTTTATGCTCTCCCGCACTATGCATCCCGATAACGTCCATCATCCCTCCGAGGCACCCATCTCTGCTGCTGCAAAGATGCAGATGCTACACCAGGCCCAGGCTCAGGATGAGTCTGCTGCTGCCTCTGCTGCTGCTGCCGCTGCCACTGCTGCTGCCGCCGCAACTGTTGCTTTAGACGATGAACCCTTGGCCGAATCCGTGTCGCAAAAACAAACCGTATCCCGCAAGACCCAAGGAATTGATCTTGACTCGATTTCTATGTTTCCGTCTCTTAGCTCTTCCTCTGCTCCCCGTGCTGCCACAACCACCACATGGGGTGCAGGTCCTTCTTCGCGTGTCAAATCTGCTGCTGGTAAACTAGGTGCTGTTGGTGATCAACGCCGTACGCCCACCGCTTCAACTACTGCTCCTACTCCATCCAACGCGCCTCGTGTTTCCAGTTCAGGTAACGTTCAAGAGCGTATGCAGATCCCTACCGCTCAGATCCCTGGTTTTGGAAAGGCCAACGTGGGTGACATTGTCAAGGCTGCGATCACGTCTTCAGGAGCCCGTATCGAGTCAACGACATCTCAGGCAACTGGTTTGACTACCTTCTTAATCTCTGGAAAACCCGAGGCTGTTGCCAAGGCGCGGCGTGATCTCCGATCCAGCGTTGCCAAAAAGGTAAAGTCAGCTCTTCTTATATAAAGAATAAGGGAAATGAACAGGGGGTCGATTGAAAACTAATGGCATAATGATGTTCAAATGACGTGAAAAAAAGGGCGTAGGGAACATAAAGATAAACGTGTACAGGCCATTCATAAACTTTTATATGCTTCCTTCTATGCAATATCAATATTCAAATAGGAAACCATCAAATATCCTGTTCCTTTATCTGCTTGCCCTCATATCCTCGGCTCCAAAGCGCGCACATTACATAATATTCAAGCCCATACAGGTGCCGTCATTAATGTCCCTCGCCGTGAACAGCAGGAAACTACTTTTGAGTCTACCGATGCTACTGAGGATGATTTGGATGCGGAAGAGGAGATGGCTCTGATTGAGATTGAGGGTGACGTTGAGAGCATCCAGGCAGCCAAAAAAGAAATTGATACGATTGTCAACAAGGTAAAATGCACTGTAACTGTTCGAAGCTCTCTCTTTAGAAATATATCAACGCTAATGGTTTATATTAATGGATATCTTGGATAATGTTTACATTATTAGGCCTGCCGTGTCACATATCGTCTAACAACCGTTCCTGCCACATATTATCCCTTTATTGCCGGTGTCCGAAACTCAGGCATTCAGGCTATTGAGCAACAGACCAGTACAAGGATTAACGTTCCCTTCCATGCCTCCTCAAATGACGACGATGATGAGGAAGAAAGCAGGGACACTGCCATTGAGATCGTGGGCGCTCGCAAGAATATTCGTAGGGCGATTGAGGAAATCGAAAGCAAGTACAGGGATGTCCAGAGCACTACCCGCACGATGACCATCAACATCCCCAAACGCCAGCATCGTTTCCTGGTTGGTACCAAAGGAGCCCATATCAATGAGATTCATGCTGCTACTGGATGTGTCATTGAAGTCCCGCCTATGGAGTCAACATCTGACTCCATTGTCGTTCGTGGATCAGAATCTGAGTTAATCCCTGCTTTAACTTTAATTATGGAGAAAGCCAACAGTTCGCACGTCGAATCAATAGATGTCACTGCTATCCATAAGGTTGCGTCTGGTCAAAACAAAATGGATCATGCTCGCCATGTTACTAAGTACCTGAGTGCCCGTAATAAGCTTCGTAAGATTGAACAGGAGTATGATAGCGTCCAGATTAGTGTTCCAAGAGGCGAGGGTCAGACTTCTGTGACAATTGATGTCGTTGCCAAAACACGTGCCGAAGTCCAGGCTGCTCATCAGAAAGTCCTCGCTGCTGTCAAGGCTCTGACACCTCCTCTCTTTGATGTTGTTCAGGTTGAGCCACTTCTCCACTCTCACATTGTGGGTCGGAAGGGCCAGAATATCAATCGTATTCGAGAGACACATGGCGTTGAGGTGATTGTTCCTGATTCCAAAAGTGACTCGCATGAGATTGTGCTCGTATATGAAGGAACCGATGGTAGCGATTTGTCCGACTCGGCCAAGATCCGCGGTGCTTTGGAGGCTGTTAAACAGGAGGTGGATAAGCTTACTCATGATGCTACTGATTTCACTACCAAAATTTTGACCGTCCCAGCTCGTCTTCACCGTAACGTTATTGGACCCAAAGGCTCTACATTGAACGCTATCATGGGTCTAGAGCCTACTACATCTGTCCGTCTTGGACTTCCTCGTGTTGGATCAATTGACTCTACCAAGAAGGCCGGATCTCCGGTTTTGACTGAAGACTCGATTGTGATCAAAGGACCAAAGGATGAAGTCGAACGTGTTGCACGAGAGATCACGGCACTGATCGAGGAAACTAAGCACCAGCAGGTGATGAGCTCTTACACAGTTAATTTTGACATCCCTGCAACTGCTTCGCCTCATGTCATTGGCAAGGGTGGTGCCAACATTAATAAGCTTATGGACCAATTCCAGATTAAACTTGACCTCAGTGACCGTGGCAATGGAGGAGATGAAAAGAGCAAGAAGAAGGGTGGAAATGAGACAATGGAAGTCACCATTCAGGGTGTCAAGAAGAATGTCGAGGCTGCCAAAGAGACGATTCTCAAGATGGTTGAACAACTTGCTGACGCCACTGTTGCCAAACTCGACATTCCTGTTGAGCACCATAGTGCTTTGATTGGCGCTAAGGGTCAGTATGTCCGTAGACTGGAGGAGAAGTATGGTGTCAGAATTCAGTTCCCGAAGGCTGCTGAACTTGAGGAAGACGAGGACAAGTCCAAACTGAATGTTGTTCTGGTCAGTGGTGGAAAGAAGGGTGTTCAGGGCGCTAAGGGAGAACTTCTCGAGTTATTGGAGTATGAAAGGGAAAATAACAATACATTGGAGATGGTTGTGGAATCCAAGGTGCTTCCCCATATCGTTGGACGCAGTCATACGAAAAAAAATGAAATTCAAGAAATGTCGCAGACTCGTATTGATATCCGTCGCTCTTCTGATACAGACGAGGCTCGTTTAGTGATCAGTGGCTCCAAAAATGGATTGAAGCAAGCTCAGAAGGCTATTCAGGAAATCATTGAGGCACAGAGATCGCAGGCTGAGGAACTTGTGCACATTAGTAGCGAGCATCACAAGATCTTGATTGGACCAGGTGGATCAACTCTGCGTGACATTATCACCAAAGCCGGTGGACCAACCGAGGTTTCTGCCCAGGCATCACTGGTTAAGTTTCAGAGTAGTAACGATGCAGTACTCTTGAAGGGTGATAAGACCATTGTCGAGAATATTAAAGCTGAAATGCTCAGGATTGTAGCAGAACAAGACAATTGGACAACACTGATCATCAGCATCCCTGCCGCTCAGCACCGCCAAGTGATCGGATCGCAGTTCTCGAATATTAAGGAGATTGAAAATCGCCACAATGTTCGTATTAATTTCCCTAATAACAAGAACAAGAGAGAAGGGCATAAGGACACTGTCAACTCTGAATCTGATGAGACGATTGCACCGAGCGATCGAGTGGTAATCAAAGGTCTTCGTGAAAACTGCGAAAAAGCAAAGGAAGATCTTGAGGCAAAGGTGAAGGGCTCTGCTACCCGAACGTTCAGTATTCCGAAATGTCATCGCCAAGCTGTCTTTGGTGATGGGGTGTGGAAGATCCGAAACGAATTCAATGTGGTTGTTGTGTTGCCTCGTGGTGAGGGAAATCGTAATCATGGCGGAGCAGACAAGCGCATTGATGTGGAAGACGAGAATGTAACGCACGGGCTCACAGAAGGACTCTCATGGGAGCTGTATGATCTTACAGGAGCAGCAGAAGGAGATGAACAGTTCACGGTGCAACTTCAGGGAACAGAGGCGGCTTGCGAGGCTGTTGAGGCTCATTTGCAAAGGCTACTGAACAAGGCGCGTGCATCGACACATATGCTCAAGATGCGAGTGCCTACAACTTATCATGGTATGATCATCGGTTCAGGTGGAAACAACATCAAGCAAATTGAGGCAGAATCAGGTACCTCGACCAAGATTTCGCGTGGTGAAGAGCTCATCACAATTACGGGACCCAAAGAGGGTATTGAAAAGGCCAAACAGGCAATTATTCGTATTGTCAGCACCTCTGATAGGCGTGTGTAAAAAAAAAGATGATCCTATTTTCCTTCTTTTAGAAATGACCTCCTTTACTTGTAATATATAAATAGAGTTTTTTTTTCTTGATTGGATGAATCTTAAAAAAAATTTGACCGGACAAACTCACTATTTAAAACATGAATTTGCGAACACAAAAATGTCTGTTTTGTTCCTCTGTTGTTCGTGGTAACTCATTGACATTCACTCAAAAGTAATATTTCACGTAAAGGATCTGGCAACTAAATGAGAAAAAATTTGGAGAGAACATGCATTTTTTTTTCTTTTTTTTTTTTTTTGAGCAAACAAGCAAGCAGTTTGCAATAACTGGTTTCTCCGAGAAGATTTTATCTGACACTCAGATTACCTGGATTGCTGGCTGCGAACTGACACAGAGCAACTAAACAACGGTATCTTTGCGTGATGAGTAGAAAGAAACCAAGCCCGTACAAGGCAGCCTTACTGAGAACTGCATTTTATACGATTAGTGAGGCGAGTGAGTGGAGCAAGGATACTTAATCAGCTCAAGTTTCACCATTCATGCATTGGTCAGTAGCCACTCCTGCTTGCTTTATTTACTCTTTACAGCTTTGATCGTCTGTTGCCAGTAAAGTGGCTGTTGCTCATTATGACAAACATACGGTGAAAATGATAGCCATTCAATGTTGATAAACCTTCCTTTGCCCTTCCTCACTATTTCTGTCCTCTTATTCTTGGCACTTTTCTTCTTTGCCCCAAACATTCATAAATAGGCACTACCTTCATTTTTCTCTGCCTCTCACCTTTGCTTCACTTCATCCTTTTCTATTCATGTATTCGATCCTCAATATATCTACACAAGCTTGACCGTAGACGCTACATTGCCACGCCATCACCTTTTTTTTTCTTTTTTCTTCTGGATACTCTTGTCCTTCATTGTCATTGCTATTTACTTGCTCTTCCCTATCCTTCCTTGTGACGGGTACTATACTGCTATTGTGCCGTACCGTAACTCTCCAAAACATCTCTGCTCCCCAATCTCACTCGCTGCCCAGACTACAACCATTCATTTCATCAAGGATTCCGATTTTATTCCGACTATGCCAGACTTCATTACTCCAGGGCTTAATCCCTTGGAGATTCCAGAGATTATTGCCATAGTCGGACAACAGATTCCACTCTGTCAAAAAAGAGCCTACTCCGACCCTTTCAACCTGACCACCATCAGCACTACGGCCGTCTTTATGCCCAAAGATCTTTTGGCTTGTACAGCTGTCTCCCGTACATGGAGGCGCATTTTACTTCCAATCCTCTGGGGATCATACGATGGCGCATTGATGCGATATGTGTCGCCCGAGGTGCTGCAAGCCAACAGCGTCTTCTTTCGGTCATTCAGAGATCAGTTTAGGCATTATCACCCGGGTCCATTTTTTGCCACTAATTTGCGTCAGCTCATCATTTCACAACAGCATAAATGGGCTGTTCCTTTCATGTTTGCCAACCCGGGATTGCATCATCTAACTTGGACTGGGTTCGGACATCCTCTCCTGGATAATGAATTCAGTGCGCTCACCTCACTAGCCAATCTTCGAGACCTGTGCCTCTCAAACTGGAATATCAGTGGCCGCCAACTCGCTTTGATCCTCAATGCCAGTCCAAGGCTGCTACGACTGAGTCTAAGCTTTGTTGATGGCGTACAAGATCTGGACGGTATGCTGATCCTGTTTGCGTTGGAGGAGATCAGTCTGGGCTTTATTCCGGAAAAAAGCCAGGGCCTATTTGAGCTTGTCCGATACTGTCCTGGTTTGAAGCGAATATCTTTTTTGAGTACATGGATCCCGGAGCAAGCACGGGATCTCGTAGCGCTCAGCTCAAGGATTAGATGTTGCTGCCCGGATGTATGTTCCATCCAATTCTCAGCAGCATACTGCTTCGGATCTAACAGTTTCAACACACTTAAAGACTTTGAATACGCGGCTTTGGTTCAAAGTACCGATCATTTGGAGCGTTTTGCTGCAGAATTATATTGCCTCGACCACATGTTGACAACATCGTTGCTTGGTCAGTTTGAGTTTTTGGCTGCAGTTGACTTGTGCATTCGTCGTAAGATCCAACATCAGTACCCTCATGATGGGGGGGCGGGACAGGGGTTGTCCCTGCAAACATACAAATAGGAGATGGAAAGGCAAGCGCAGATTCACTACAGTTTATGGATATCTGCAACTCTGCCAGAATTCTGAGTACCTGTAGTCATCTCAGAGTATTCCGACTATCTAGTGCTGAGAATATGATTGATATGAATGCGGCACTTGAGCTCTTTGCTTCCCCATGGGTGTGCCTCGGGCTGGAAGTGCTTTCATTAGGCCAAATCTCATTTCCACCATTAGCGAAGCACCAACAGGACAGTAGGAAATCGACCAAATCATCATTCACGTTTAGAGACTACGGATGGTATGTACAGCCCAAGACAAACACTTCATTCGCTTCAGCCGTAAGCCCCAAAGCGACGACAGCAGGGGTAGTGGCTTCAGCTCATGGAGTTGGCCCTTCAGTACCAGTTACTCCATTTCAAAGCACCATGGGCGATGAGCTTTGGCATTTTGGATCTGAGTTTAGGCAGAAGCTTCTCCCACAAGTAAGCCTACTCACCCTTCTCAGAGAACTTTGTTTGAACAAGGTTCATTACGCAAGGGCCTCAATCGTCTAACTTTATACAAACAAAATGAAATATTTATAAAGCCCGTGTTCTAAAACAGAAACGACGACGATCACTATGAATATGGTTTTCTTATTACATGCTGGATGGTATGTTCAAAATTCGATCGTTCGAATAAAAAACATAAATAAAAAAACCCTTAGTGTCGCAAGGAGAATGTTACATTTTAGAATGTCTCTGTCACTCTACTCTCGTCTTCGTTACAACTAGATTCTGGGGTAGGAAGAGTACAGCTGTATTGCTCATTGCCTCCACTATTATTGGAATTGCTTGTGTCATCCGTGGGTCCCACCTCTTCATGTATGCTTTGACTTGCTGCGCTCAGACTTGCTACCATATTAGGATGGATGGTATTGGTTGTATTCTTTCGCTGTTTATGCTTTTTCATGACCACTGCTAGATATTTATCAGTCTTAATAAATTTAGGTACGGAGTCTGTTGACATGAGTCGAAAGATATGATCATGGATAATATCAAAGAGGGCAATATGAATGAGTTCCTGGCTTTTAACCTTGCTGCTTTGGCTGGCCTCTGTAAGCGTAGGCAAGGAAGAGAGCGATGATGGCGTAGGCGTAGGTGCAGGTGCAGACTCAAGCGTAGGTGTAAGTGTCAGTGTAGGCGCAGACGCGGACCCTGGTGTAGGTGTAGGCATAGACCCCGATATGGGTGTAGATGCGGACTCAGGCGCAGCTTTGATGCCACTACTACTATCTCCATTGCTAATGCCATCATTATTGCGAACATCTGACATACCCATGTTTCTAACTACAGCCTGCATGTAAGCAGTAATGTCTTGACGCATTTGATGGGGCAGGTTGACTTCTCGAGCAGCTCCTGGAGCGAGGTATGTCTCATAAATGGAAAATGCTTGCGTGCAAATTTGCTTCTCGAGTGCACGAAGGGAAGGTGGATGGGATTGGCTCGGCTCCTGTTCTGATGCAAGCTGGCCATAGGCCTCCGCAGAATCGATTAGCACTCTAAACTTGGTTTTATAATCTAGAACATCTAGATAGAAAGATAAATTTTCCTCACAAAAATGCTGCTTTAGGAAACTATTGAAGAGATCTCGGACCGTTGCGTCAGACATGATTCCGTAAAGGCGACTGGTATTAGATGTCAACTGAGAAGTGCCTGTAGATGGTAGGAGACGGATGCTTCTCCTTGTACTGACCCCGACAGGCTCCCTTCCTGAGGAAGATGAGGCGTAGGATGACCTGGAGCTGTTACTTTCTGAAAAAGTGGCCTGAAAGGCTGAGTCACCCAGGATTTGGGAAAGCCGACGGGCTGAACAAGGACCTACTATCCCCTCCGATCCCTCGCTCATACTGGGAGCTTCATCGCTGTTCTGGAAGCTAGACTGGCTATTTTCGTCTATGGATCTGCGTTGGAGCCGAGTAATTGATATGGGCAAATGAGCAAGGTCATTGGACATGAGATTGAACTGTACTGATAAAAGGTTTGCTTCTGGGTTCTTATGCTCCAGCTTTGGGCCGACAGTGTCTCTCTCTATAAATGCAAGTGGCGTTCAAGGATAGAGGATACATTAGTTTTATTTCTTCACACAGACTGTATCAAAATGATATTCTTTTTCTTTATCATCTTACCGTCCATCCAGTCATTATGGACACTGTTTCCATCCTCTGTGCCCCCCCATCCTGCAAGTGCCCTTCCAATTCTTGTAAAGTGGTAGAGCGCAGAGCCGCAGGCTTTAAAAAGTGAAGGACCAGTACTAAACTCCTTGCCAACCTGCTCAATATATCCTGCGGCAACCATTTCCTGACAGATGCAAATAGCTTCCTCTTTACTGATCACTGTCGTATGTTCTAGGAGCCATTCGACGGCTGCCTTCCCAAAAAACATATCTTTATATACGACTTCTTTGTATTGCTGATCCCTGACATCAACCCCGTGGCAAATATTGTCGTCAGGTGGCGCTTGGTCGTGCCCATTTGCACTTGACACGGCTGGGTTCGCATTTGGAATACCTGAAGCATTCCTCTTCCTCATACTAGGCTCTGATCCTGCAAACCGCTTGAAAATACTTTCGACATGCTCTTTCGTCAGAAGAAGTCTATCTTCATCATCAGCGCGTCCCAGGTACAGTAGGGATGTTGTAGCATTGGCTGTAATATGTCGACTTTCCTCGGGCGGCAGCTTGTTACGATAAATAAACTTTGCCAGAAGGTGAGCTCCCTTTGGAGTGATATGGCAGAGCCCTTTGTTCTGGAACTCTCTCTTGGAAGAGTCTGTTGCGCTTTCGAACAGGTAAGCATCCATAAATGCCTGGCATAGATTTTTGGCCATATCTCTGGTAAATGAAAAATGAGTCCTCACTACATGAGTGATGATCCTTGTTGGATCGTTAGGATCAGCATCTCGGCTCGACTTTATGAATTGGAGATCTCCAAGGTTCGTAACAGCTTTCTCGGCCCAGAAGCTATTGGGATAATTCTTGAATCGGATTTTGTTATTTTCGATCGGTAATGATAACATCAATGTTGAGAAAAAATCAAACATGTCCTAAGGTAGTTTTAAAACAACCAAAAAAAATAAAATAAAAATAAAAATCAGATGGATTCCGAACGTATTTGCAGAAGTAGCAATCAGATGCACGCAATGTATAAGAGTAGAAGGATAGAATATCAGAAGTATTCTGTCTACAACAAAAGTTAAAAAAAAAAAAATCCACAATGCTATCGCTGCTGGGCGCCATTAATGTTGTTATTTGCTCTTGTCATATCATCATTGTTTATTTTTTTTGTCTTGGTGGAATGTAAGTTAAACTTCGGAATTTATACTCGATTTTGTCAAAGCGCGATCGACGTCTTAGGGACTAAAAGGATTTTTTTTTATTGCTCCACAAAAGCATTACATCCCGTAACTTCAAGGCCGAGAGGAATAAACTGACGTCTGTACTAATAACAGCTTTGTGCTTTTATAGAGTCAAATGTAGTCATTTTGTGTTGAAAGCACAATAACCTTTAAGGTGCATGGCTCGCTACGACTATGAGAGTCGCCTTTTCATATCATAGTGTAATTGACAAGGGCTCACCTTTGCGAAAGGGCGACCTGAAGTCGTAGTTCTCATTATAGGGAACGTATGCGCTTAAAGGGAAAAGAAAGGAAAAGATAAAGCGCTAGTGATTCTGAACAAGATAAGACAGCTAATAATGCAAATGTTAATAGTTTAATAAGAACACATTGCTTTGTTGGTACTTGTTCGTAAGGCTTATAACTAAAAGGGGTTTCCCTCAATGTTGTTCAACAGTCCAGTCTCTGTTCACTGTTGACCTAAACGGGGGAAAGCCTTTCAATGTGATGGTGATTGATCTTGTGTCGGTTAAAGTTGATTAATATGAAACAATGGGTTTGACAGTAATTTCTGTTGTGATTCTGTGGTACACAAATGACTTTGTAGGTCTAGATACCTTGAGACGTTGAAAGATATGTCACAAAGTTATGATGGGAAGTGCCCACAGATCGACAACCCCCCAAAAAAGAAGGAAGAGGTGCCAGATAGATAGAGAAGGGGATTCAAAGTGAGTAGGGTATGAATATTAGTGATAGTGCAGGTGAGTGTGGCAGACTAAGAGTAATGGTAAGGGAAAGGGTGAGAATGAGGGTGAGGGTGAGAGTGAGGGCGATGTTGAGAGTGAGAGAGCGAGTATGAAGCTAGGAGAGTGAAGGGGAAGATAGAGTCGTTAGAGTCTAAAAAGTCCACGCCATTGATACATCTTAACTAGAAAGAAGAGGCTTGGGCTAGTAACCATTATTCAGTCGATCGAGCATTGGATATGAAAACCAGTTTTTGGCGCCTCCATCACTTGTTGCATGCTCTGTTGGCTCTCAATAAAGGCACGAAACTGCCCCCGTTTTTTATTTTTTTCGTTTTCTTTGCTCTTTCTCAAAAATATAAATGTACAGCGTTATTGTTACGAACCAGAGTCCATAGTTGAAGCATGGTGTCCTTCTGATGACCACTAAAAAGAAACCCTTTGTTTCTCTATTTTCATTGTAAACGCCGTTTAGTGCAAAAAAAAAAAAAAAAAAAAAAAAAAAGAGCAAAGGAAAAGGGGATGGGTACCAATGGCATCTGTTTACAATCGAGGAAGGCTCGTTTGAATGCATGACCGTAAGAAACCTGATATTCAAGGGGATAAGAGGCATTACTCAGCTTTTTTTATTTATTTTTTTATTTTCCTTAAATGTGGAAAAGAACATGCCTTGTTTGGTTTTGACGCGCAAAGAGGAAGAAGGAATGGGCTCGGAAGCACAGGGAGACAGCATCCAGAACATACATACGCAGGATAAAAAATAGTGAATATTTTGCCTCATGAGAAAGGGACTGACAACACGGATATTTTCAAAATAGCTCTATGCAGCTGCTCCCTAGTAACTCTACCAAGAGGATGCATAGCATGAATTTTTTTTTTTTTTTTTTAGGTAGAGCATTGCGAACATGAACACCCAATAAAAGGAAGAAGCTCGCTTCCAGATGAAGCACAAATGATATCTTCGCGATCGCACTAGCCAGCCAGACTGTTAAAAGAAAAATGTGTTTTATCTTCAAAAAGGAAAAAAAAAATCACATCATCCTCTTTTCGTCTTGTCACCGCATTACAACCCTTCCCTTTGACAATCGATGGCTGCTTTCCTGTTTGTATCTCATACTTTGCGCTCAAAGTTGCTTTCCTTTCCCTAGTTTATCTTTATTGTGGCGAACTATAGGATTCTAGACCTCATATTATGCATTGTAAACCGGTCACTTGCAAATGGCATCCTCGTTGCTTATATCAACCTGAACAGCATCAAAGGGCTTAAAACCAAAAATGCGACCTAGGAATGAAACCTCTCCTTGGAGAGCTGCCTTAACATTCTTGGGGATACGGAAGCCATGCCCCTCGCCTTCGAAGAGAACATAGGCCACAGGTAGATCACGCTGCTTCAGCGCATTGACCATCAGCTCCGCCTGATTGGGCGGTACGACTTTATCTTCAGCGCCCTGAAAGAATGCACAGGGGCAAGTGATTTTATCAGCAGAGTGAAGGGGTGATCTTTCCCGATACAGATTCTGTGCTGCAGGATATGGACCAATCAGGCTCTCTGGGTAGAGCAACTCAAACTTATGTGTGTCCTTGACCAATGTTTCCAAATCTCCAATGCCATAATGACTAACTCCAGCCTGGAATACGTCTCTAAATGCCAGACATGCTAATGTTGTATAACCACCAGCGCTACCTCCTACAATCGCCAGCTTCTTTGGATCCACAAGGCCTCTTTCTACAAGGCATCGCGCCGCAGCACAACAATCATCCACATCAACTACTCCCCATTGTCCCCGGAGTCTGTCGCGGAATTCGCGGCCATAACTAGTGGATCCTCCATAATTGACTGCAACACAGCCGAAACCACGGGATGTAAAGTAATTAATGCTCCAGTTCAAGTTAGAAGCAAAGGCCGTACTAGGGCCACCATGCGACAGCACTCTGAGCGGTGGGAGAGTCCCTTCCGGAGCGATATAATCGATATTCGTCGGTGGGTAATACAAAGCATACGCCTCTATCACCACGTTGGCCAGAAAAAATGGAGTATATATTATGAGCGTCTAGTGTTACTTATTCTTTAAAGACTATTACTCATCTATTTTAAATGTCCCTTACCGAGACCTCCAGTAGTTTTAAATGTCAGGGGCTCAGGCTTTGAGATCCATCCTTGTGGAACTTCAACAGTACTTGACTTCATCAAAACATTATACGTGTTGGTCCTTAAGTTATAACTTATAACTTGCTCAGGGATATTGTAGCTTCCAACACTCAAAATAAGGGCATCATCTTGGCCCTCAGTAGTGGCATAAACGGAGTTGATGACCTGAAATTCTGTGGGGATATCTTTGAGTGTCTTCGCAAGGGCGTCAGCAATAGCCAAATAATATAGACCTAATAAGCAAAAAAAAAAAAAAAAAAAAAAAAAAAAGACATAAACAAGTTAAAGATGGTGGTATCTTCCAGAGAGTTGGTCATGACCAGAAAAAAGAAAACACTATCAAATGAGACATTAGTTACCATTCTTGATATAAGTGCAGGCGATCTTTGATGGGTCTGACTTCAACGGGTAGAACGATCGTGCACCAAACGTCCAAGCAGGGCCTAATAATAAAATGAGTACGCTGTATGTTAATGGAAGAGATCATAGCCGATATAATATACAAAGCATACGCAATAAGTCTTTTACCTTGAAATTCAGCCTTGACAGGCTCCTGAAGTACTAGTTCGACTTCTTTGCCTGGTCTGTAACTGTACAAGTTCCAAAAGCCTGTTTTGTCGCTGACAAAGTAGAGTGTACCATCCGAAGCAAATCGAGGCTGGTTTGCGCTCTCCTCATGAGCTTTGTCCGCACCGGCCAAGAGGGTTTGTGACTCGACACTAACGCCTGCGTCCAAAATATTGAGGTAACCGTAATACAGTTGAGTGTGATCCCAAGTCATAAAAGGATGATTCCACGAATAGTAAGCGAACTCATTAGGGTTGGCAGGGTTAAAGCGAGGACTGGAGTAAAAGTCAGCGCCTTCAACCAAGACATGAACATTAGGCTCCTGAGCATCGAGTTTGACAACAACCAATGTGTTTACAACGGTTTGGGGCGTATCAATAGTGTGATCCTCGCGGACGCAGATTAAGAACTTTTCGGAAGGATGGATCGCAATGTCGGCGTATCTCCAAGCTTTGTTTTCAGGTGTTAAGGGTTCTGCTCTCCTGGTGACGATGTCTATTTTGTATAGGCGGCTATCCGCATCGTTGCTTGAAATAAGGAAATCGCTTCCGAGTGTGAACACGCCACCTCCGTACTCATGAACATGATTGCGAGAGTGGAATGGCTCCGGAGTGAGTTCCTTATCAGTTCCATCTGCACCACGAGTCATAATAGTTGTGCGACCATTGGTTTTTCCACTAAGCTCGTTCCAGAAGAGATCACCTGTGAGCTCATTCTTACGAAGATTCGAGATGGTGACGGTGGACGAGGTGATGAAGTCGACGTCAATAGGAGACTTCCACTCACCTAACACGATAACATGAATAGGTTTTTAGCTGTCTATGATATGGTAACAAAAAAAAAAAAAAACGATCAGGAAATCCAAATGTTGAAGTTATTATAGATGCTTACCGAAAGGGGCGATTGTTGGCGCCATGATGCTGCGATGCGCTGGTTAAACGATGAAATGAAAGAAATGAAATGAAAGTAAAAGAAAAAAAGGGGAAAAGGGCGCACCGTGAGAGTGAAATCTCTACCAAAAAAAGAAACATTCCTAGAACGCGTTAAATTAACCGTTGGGGTCATTTTACTGACTGCCTTCGTTTGTTTTATAGCGTAATACGCATATCTCTGGAAATACGCCACTATCCATGTGGTCGCAGAGTAGACCACTCAGATGGTCTCTTCCACAACTATCTCACACAATTGGCTCCCAAAAGCAACAGACAGCGATATAAGAAAGTATATTGAACATTAGTGACTTTGTTTCCATTTGGACACAGAATACACATACGAAATCCTTAGCATACTTTTATCAGTATCTAGTACCACTGCTAAGTTTTTAAAAACTGCCCGCGCGCGCGTTGCACGTGCATCTTCAACTTTTATAACAATTCTTTGCACAAGCGACCGGATCATCTCGTGCTGCCTATGAACCTAGGCGCGTAACCCTGTTTGTATAATTTCGCTGCGTCTCGGAATTGGATTTTTGGGATTCGTTGGTTCTTGAACAAAAGATCCCTCTCTTCTAACTGGACAGGAAACCATAGGAAGTGGCGAGCGCCTTGAGATATAAACAGTTGACGATGACATTGGGGCTTGAGGTTTGGATAATGTTTGATCTATGACTCAGTGTCATCTTTTGTGTGTCGACCATTTAAAGCCATTAACTCAGGTTGATATGGAGATCCTCATTCTTAGCCTTTAGCTGTAAATAAACGTGCATTGGCCGAGATAGATTGACAGAGCAGGAGTGAAAAATCAATGATGGGATTTCTGGAAGACAGAGGAGAGTGAAAGAAAAAAGACCTTTATTGTGCATGCACATCGGTACACAGGCCAGTCCAGTTGAATTAGAGTAAAGCTCGATTTGGAGTATACACGTGCATAGTGGCTGAAGAACCAAAATGAGACGCGGCTATCATTAATCTTGTATTAGAATTAAAGAGGGGATTTTTTCTTGACCACAAAAAGCAGCCGGGAAAATGGACTCAGAACATGAAAGTGAAGATGAATTCAATAATAACGAGGAAAACAGGACTGAGGATGGATCAGAACGAGGAGATGTAGAGGATGGTACTTAAAAAACAAGTGACGACAGTCTTGTTCAAAAGTCAAGTTATGCATTGGCCAATTTCAAGTTTTTGATCATTCGTTTAACATCTCTATAACAATATCAGATTCCGCTGTTACTCACCCTCCCGAGACACAGCCTGATGGGTCTATACCTGGGACTGGGCCTAGGACACGTGCACCATTGACGCTGCAGCCCAATGTCCTTGACTGCAAAACGTTCGATATCATGCCATGTGTAAGCAATAAGCTTCGATCTTGTACTGACAAACTTTATTCCATACAATAACATCGACTAATACAACAAACCCATACAACAACAAAACTATTTCAGGTACTCGCAGTACATCCATGCAATATATATTGCATGGCAGCAACACAATGCATGCGCTGGGTTTTCACGGGATCCGAAGACGGTTACATCCGCAAATATGACTTTTTTGCGTCGATGAACGGTAAAACAATGCTTACGCAGGGTCAACGGCATGGACAAGTGGATTCCGTTACAAAGGTAAACAGGATCGCGATATTTGTCCCTTGAGTTATATGGTTCATACCACAGGGAGGAGCTTCATCTAATGCAACACTTACTGTTGGATTTTGAATTTAGTAGGCTGGTATAATGACTTCATACTGGGAGAACGAAGAACAGCCAAACAAAACCAATCCAGCGCCTGGAGAAGACGCAGCTACTACTAATACAGAGCCAAGTAACTCGACAGACATGGATCTAGATACCAAAGAGATCAAAAGAGAAGGATCGGTTGATCGCATGACACCAGTTCCACAAAGGGCTGCTTCACCACTAGAAGAATCTAAAATGTCAGCTGTCTACAGTTTAGATTGTCACTCCGAAGCTATTTTTGCATTATCTGGACTGGAAAGTGGTTCTATCAACCTCTGGACTCCAAGACATGAGGAAGGGACCTGCCATCATGTATTTCGACAACATTCAGGACCAGTCTCGGCCATCAAGCTCACACCCGATCAACAAGGTTTTATCAGCGGTTCCTGGGATCATAGTGTTTTGGTAAGCAACAGTCGTTTCGTTGCTTTCCGTTCAAAACACGACTGCAGTTCTTCTGATCGCTTGTTTCTTTAATACCAGCAATGGGACCTGAATAATGGCGCTATTGTGCGAACCTATAATGGGCATGGCTCTCAAATATCCTCGGTTTCTTTTCAACCCAACGGAGTACCTACTACCACCATGGATCTTTCAAGCCCTACAGCAAACTACTCCAATGATGCAATTTTGATGTCGACTAGTGTGGATGGTACAATTTGTTTGTGGGACAGGAGAGATCCCACGCCCATCCCTAGAAAACTAATGCCGCAAGAAAAAGTGCCTCCATGGTGTTTATCTGCATGCTGGAGCGCTGATGGCGATAGAATATATTGTGGGAGACGCAACGGAACAGGTAAAAAAAAAGAAAAAAGAAAAAAGAACGCTAAACGGGACCTGAATGAGCCTACTTTTTTTGTAAAATAGGGCAGTGTATGTAACTTAGTGAGACTGACTAGATCTATTGCTACTTCATTGCCTACGAGCTAGTCGATGAATGGAATTTTGCTGAAGGAAGGTTTATTCGTTCCATTAAAATGCCTGTGGACTCTGGCCCAGTCTCATTTGTCAAAAGTATGCCCAATAATAAGCATCTTATTTGGTAAGGTCCCAGGTTACTTTAAAATGATCGAACTTTTTTTTTTTTTTTTTTTTTTTTTTTTAAGATAACTTACCAATATTTCATGATATATTGCAGCGCCTCACAAGATAACATCCGACTCTGGAATACCACAGAATTGGATTCAAAATCGTCACTGCGACCATTTCAAATCATTGCCGGTCATCATGGTGGTCTTATTTCAAATATACGTAAGTAATCCCTTGTTAATAGTATGAGGTACTATTGGAAGAACATCGATGCATGCCATACTAAAGGAGCCATTGCCTTCTCTCAGATATTGACCCCACGTGCAAGTATATGATTACGACGTCTGGTAACCGAGAATGGGAAGGCCCAAGTACGAATGGCTGTCTGTTTTATGATATTCAGCCTCTTCTTTGAGTCTTTCAATAAATTTGATCTCACGTATCTATATGCCTCATCTAAATCTCTGTGAACAAAAGCTTTGGAGCAGGTTGTAATGTATATGTCCACGCAGCTTATACATTTTGACAGTCTTTAATCGATGTGGGGTTCTCAAATTGTATTGGAATAAACAAAATTGATACTAATTGCTATATTACTTTAGAATAAAACTACATGGGGATATCTTACTACATAGTACAAAAGCGTATACACATATAAATACTTTAATATTGTCAGGCATTTGAGGTCCAGCCCATTTCCTCGTTATATCTTGTTATTTCCTGTTGCGTTAATCGGTCGCCTGTGCCCCAATGGATCGAACTATTCCTTGGCTTTGGATCTTCTTTCCCTGGATATCCAGGGAACATTTCTGCCATATCAAGTACAGGCAGAGGCCCGAAGATATCTTGTGGGTTCATACGGCTCTGCTCTTGCATAGACTTCTCCAATTCTTCATATGTGCCCCACGCAGGTATCCCTGCTTGCCTCGAAAAAGAGTCTTCATTCTCTGGATCATCATCCTTGTAGTCGATTTCAGGCAATATCGTCTTTTCATGATGATGTGCATCATTGTAATCATGACTTCCGACCTGCTTATTGAAATAGATTTTATCAAGATATTAATTTTTTTTCTTGATTTTTGATTTTGATTTTTATGGTTATAAATTAAATGACAGATCATGTAGGCTTACCCATGCAGGCAAAATAGGATTAGCAACAGATGATACTGATGCTGGTGTATCAAGTGAGTTGATACAATTGTTATTCGAACTTGACTGACCACCTAAAGCACTTAATCCTTGAATTGAGAAATCCTTATACTTTGGCACAACTGACAGAGATGCAGGTACTATAGAAGATAGAGGCTGCATAAGAGATCCTGTGGAAGCTTTTTTGGTTTCTCCCGAGTTGGATCCATTATGTTGAACTTGAATCGAATTAACATCACGTCTATCATCTATTTTTGATGGTGCTGTAGGCTTTGCCTTGGATGTTCCGGACAACGTCCCTGATAATGCTATGGATTTTGTAGTCGACATGCTATGAGGAAGTACTGGTCGAGTTGGTTTCTTCAGAGTAAACAGTGGTTTTAGCCCCACAAGTGGTTTGCGAGAAACAGATCCTAAGCCGTCCGAACGAGCCAGGCCACTTTCAGTCGCCTTCATCGGCTGTTGAGTAACACGAGAGACTCCCTGGCGTGCTTGGTTCGAAACTGAGGACGATGTGTTTGATATTGACTTGGCACCTACTTGTAATGTAGAAGAATCTTTGGATAGTCTCGAAAGCGGTGCTTTACCGGTTTTACTAGATGAATTCACTGCTGGATCATGTGGCTGACTATCCATTAATGATCCAAGAGTATGGCTTAAAGAGGTTGTGAGTGGGAGAGCTTGGACCATTTTCTGCAATCGTGAAGGTGGCATCTGTGACCCGGGTGTGAGGACAAGCGGATTATTCGTCTGAGTTAGAGGCTTTCGTTGACCGACGATGCGTTTTTCAGGTAGCGCTGTTGCCACTTTTGGCCTTACAGTCAAGTTTTCGGACGTAAGATATGTAGTACTACTCTCAGTACGGTTTAAGGTCGTAGACTGCTGATCTTTTTGATGCTTTATGGAATCTCCTAAAGAAACTTTCTTTCCAAAGGTCTCACGGGGCATGGAGCCATCTTCATGCATATCTCCTGGGTGCTGTGCTGTCGTAACTGCAGCCATTTTTAATCGACTCATTACTCTCTCCCGAATGTCTTCTTCGCCAATTGGCTGATGTGATGATATTAACGCCCTTTCGTGACCAGTTTTTTCTGCATGATATGCCGCAGTAGCTTCAACTGTATCCACTTCCATACTAGTATCCTTCAGCCCTGAATCGCCAGTCCTTTTGGCTGTTTTATCTTTTTCTATGTCCACTTCAGCGATATCATTATGATCCATAGACTTCTTATTTACACTTGATTGCGCGTTGCGGTACGATGCTAGCGGAGAAGATTCCGGTGTTGTTGAATGTATCAAAGAGTATGGGGTGCTGGAATGAACATCTGTGCTATCTGTTGTCGAGTAAAATTTCGAAAACAGGATAGGCTTTCCGGATTCAACGCCTCCTAGAGTCTCAGAGCTCTGTTCACTATTTGACAGCCCTTGGCTTTTACCCTTTTCCTGTATATTCTTGCTTTGGTGCTGGTTTATGCTGAGGGAGAGACGACTGGTTAACTCTGGTTCTTCAACCGGCCAACCGAAGCGCACAGGAGCCTCAGAGTCTTGAAAGGAAGAGCGTGGCTTTTTGGAGGTCTCCATAAAAGTCCTATCTACTTGATCCAGATCATCCTCACGTTCACTTCGCTTGCTACCTGACACGCTACGAGCAAGTTTTGGTGTCAACTGAAAAGAAGAACCACGATGTTGCTCCCGAGGCTTCAGAGAAGGCGATAGAAGAGTCATCGAATCCCTGGCTTTCAGGCCCGGTGTTGCATGGCTGCTATGTGCATGATTATCACCTTGCTCAGTACCTTCAGAGTGGTGATGTACCTGTACTGCCGGCGACTCAGGCCGCGTTGGTAGTTTGTGATCTGTACCTGAAACATGGATGATAGGCTCAGGTGATAGTGACTTCGGTCGTGTTTGACTGGAATCCGAAGAGTACTTAGCAGAGAGGTCGGACGAATGTACGTCATTTAACTGTTCTGAATGATTATTGTACGTTGGTGCAACACTGTGGTCTAAATCACCGACTTTGGCCCAATGCTGAGGAGGGTCGTCAAGATAGCTACTAGCCCTCTTTCGAAGCGCCTTCAATGCTCGAAAAGTCTTCCTCGTTGCAGCTGAAGCATCTACCCGCAGTCGTGTGCGTTTCGTTATACGATGTCGCTCATATGGGGACCGTGGGCTGAGTATACGCATGTGTGAGCTGGGAGTGGGTGGACGATGCAGGTCAAACTTAGCGGAGCCTGCTTCTAAGTGGCCGTGGTGTTCAGTGTCATTAAGGTCATCGTGAGACTTCTGTAGCCATTCATATCCTGCAATAACCTTCAATTTCTCTGTGATAGACAGGTTCCTTGATGTACTGATCTCTTCCAGTTGTGTTTCCTGATCGAGAGTATGAGATTGGTTGTAATCATCAAATGTGAGACTTTCGTCTGCAATCTTGGTGGAGCTAATACGAGGAGTGTATAGTTGTTGCTGTGGTGGTGTCTGATGTTGAACGGGGTCTGATCCATCATCGTGATGCTCACTGCAAATGCCAAAAAAGTTGGTCATCTTTAGTCGATAAAATAAAACAAAATAAAAAAATATAAAAAATAAATAACAATCGTTTTTCGATGCAAACCTACATTGTTGACAAATGGTGATAGTGCCTTCGTTTGAAATGATTTTTGTTTTGGCGTGCGGCATAGACACATCCTTGATAATAGTTTTCGAGCCAGTCAAAGTTGTCACTACAGGCACGCACAAACTCTTCCTGGCGTTGCTCCCTGAGTTTTTCTATCCTACGACGTTGTAAAATAGGCCAAAGTCTGGACGGTGATGCTTCATGGTCCTTGACACGGCGCTTATTATCCATCTCGATGCCGTGGATCAAGAACATGTAAAAAAAAGAAATCGAATGAAAGTGAAACCAGGCTGAGTTGCCAGAAATGCGTATAAGATCACCTGATCATCGGGCGGTGCTTAACATAAAAAAAAGTTATTTCTTCTTGTTCGGTGCTTTTCCATTGTCTCTTTTGCTCACTTTTCATTGCATCCCCACGCACACAACATACGACGCATAAAAAAAAAAGTAACAAAGTCATGCCAACTCCACAGGAACTTGATGCCATGTCAGAGGAAGAGCGCGCTGCAGTTGAGGCTGCTGCACGCAAAAAGGAAGCTGAAGAGCAAGCAGGTGCGAATAATACCTTTTTATATATATACCGAAAATCTACAATTACCAATTCTATTTTATACGTATCCTTACTGAAAAATCCTTTTTACACTATATATATATATATGTAGCCCTTCCATACAAATGGAGGCAGACTTTGATCGACGTCGATATTTCTGTTGAAGTTCCCAACGGTACCCGTGGAAAAGACCTCATCGTCGAGATCAAAAAAAAATCGCTCAAGGTTGGCTTGAAGGGTCAGACACCCATCATTGAGGTAAATATAAAGCTGGGTTTTTCGCGTTGCTACTTGATGGTAATTAGCCATGATGCCGATGAGACACGCTTTATTTAAAGGTTCAACTTGTTTAACTTATTATTATTATTACTATTATTGTTACTATAATATACGGTTCTTTATCCTATAGGGAGCCTTGTTCAAAGACGTCAAGCTTGATGACTCCACCTGGACGCTCGACGGTCGGGAGGTCAACATTCATTTGGAAAAATTCAAGGGCACAGAGTGGTGGAAATGTGTTATCGAAGGTCATCCAGAAATTGACACCACGAAGATCACACCCGAGAACTCTAAATTGAGCGATCTAGATGGTGAGACCCGTGGAATGGTTGAAAAGATGATGGTAGGAACATAATAGTCTTTGACTATCAATTGATCAAAATCTTAAAACGAACAATGAAAAAAGGAGTATTGCATTGGAACGAAAGTGAGCTGTGTCTCACATCATTCTCCTCTAGTTTGATCAAAGACAGAAAGCTATGGGCCAGCCGACCAGCGATGACCTCAAGAAGGCAGAAGCGCTGAAGAGATTCCAAGCTCAGGTATGCTTTAGATCATCTCTTTTTTTTTAAAAAAAAAAAAAAAAAAAAAAAAGTTTAATGCTCCTGGGAAAGTCGTTAAATAACAAAATCTATTATTGATATTGTTTAAACCATTTAGCACCCAGAGCTCGATTTCAGGTAACCAGAAGAGGATTATTGATTATTGATTATTACATTGATAAAAAGACAAATCTTTGGTCTTTCCCCTTCTTTTTATTGACTCATAATGCCTGAAATCCTCTCTACTTGTCATATGTGTTACCCATAGCAATGCCAAGATGGGCTAAGCATCATTTGAAACACTTGAGGGGACATGTAGATTGAAACCAAAGAACATGCTACGTTGATCAAATTGCAGCATCCGCTACTTGAAGTATTCCATCCAAACCATCAAGGATATGGTTGTGAAAAGTGATCATGAAGTGCAGAAACGAATAAAAAAATAAAAAAATAAAAATAAAAAATATCTTACCATACTTAAATTGAGGGACCAATGCCAGACAGAAGCGAGAACAGAGAAAGAGATGATCATTCCTTGACAAAAATAATGTGAAAAAGGTTGTTTTCCTTTCGAATTATGTTTATGAAGTAATCCTTTTAGATAAAATGGAATGTTTAGCAAATGACTTGATATATTTATTGAATAGAGGTAATTAGCTGACTGGAGGTTAATACAGACAGAGACTTCATGACATGACAAGGACAAGGAGTTCGTAGCTTAGATATAGTCGGTGCGAGCATGCATCAGGCGTGAATCAAAAAGAAAAAAAAAAAAAAATCAAAAAATAAAGCATCCATAAGATCAGGTAACAAGAAGTACAAGAAGTATGACGGTAATTCATCGAAATGTTGATACTGGGGCACAAGCGTTAGAAGGAATGATATTAAAATATCAACTTTTTTCATCTACGACATGTGCTGCATGTAATGATGCTGATCAATCCGTCCCAAAAGCTGCGCTTCTTCTGGTTCCCATCTGCATTTTGACCATCCTCCGCTCGTAAGTTTCCATTGTTCGGTGCAGCGCGATTGTAAGCATTATCACGAAGTAAATCCTGTTCCGTAGCCCCGCCTATATGAGCACGTGCATTGCCTTGCTTGTGTTTAAGCTTGGAGTTATTATGAACCAATCCGGAGGGCTGTTGCAGTTTACTGTGCTGTCGTTGAGGATCTCGCGTTCCAAGGCGCTCGTGATTATGACCAGAAGGGTGTAACGGATTGGATGAATATTGCTGCGATGCACTTGGTATATGTCCGTTGTCGCGATAAACATCGCCCATTCCCTAAAAGTTAAGTATTGACGTGAATGTTTCGAATGTTACAAGACCATTAAAAGAACCTGCAGATTTTTTCTACTCGAAAATCTACGTCACATCAATTGCCTATACAGGTGCCACTTACATCAATCTCAGATTCCCAACCTTTACCGTTGTTGAGAAGCATCCAGTCATACACACCATCTTCAACCTCATTCATGCTCTTTAGAGCCTTTGTGAACAAGTCTCTCAAGAAGTCATAATCTGGGGTCTCTTCAAATGAGAGTTTCCTGACATAGTTCAAGTAGATGCCAAATTCCTCTAAATTCATGAAATACAGAGAACATCCGTGAGTATAAGTAAGTAGGTCATAAGGATATTCAAAAAAAAAAAAAAAAAAAAAAAAAACATACCAGGAAAGCCTTCACAAAGCTCTTTGATTGGCGTGGTCTGCTTCTTTTCTCCGATCTTTTCATATTTTTGTTTGTTTGTTGCAGCCTTCAATCCTTGCCAAGGAAGACCGCCCCGCAAGAAGTACATGAACACATGGCCCATTGCCTCCAGGTCATCACGTCGTGATTGTTCTAAGATAAATGTAGAAAGACGGACCACTGTTATTGACAGGTTCTATGGTAATAATAGTACCATTGATGTTTTCGACAACGTTGGTGTACAAACCTCGGCCTAAATGCGTATTGATGCTCATATATCTGGCTGTTCCACTAAGACTCTTTCTCTCACGGTAAGGAATATGCTGCTTGGTCTTGGGATCACGGTATTGCTTCGCCATACCAAAGTCAACGACATGTACCAAGTTTGCATTTTTTGTATGTGGTCTTCCGATCAGGAAATTGTCCGGTTTGATGTCTCTGTAGATTAAATTCTTTTCGTGGATGGTTTGAATCCGGTAAAGCTACAAGTGATGAGCAGGTATTGAAAAAATTGTATGGCCAGATTGGATCAGATTATTAGTGCTTGAAGCACATACAATACCTTTTGAACTGATAAAATAAAATAAGATAAAAAGAACATGCGGTGAACTAAGTTGTATGGAAACACAACAAAGCGCCTTACCATCTGTTTAGCGAGCATCACGACAGTCTTGATTGTAAATTTACGGCCACACATATCAAAGAGGTCTTCTAGTGAAGGCCCTAGCAAGTCGATACACAGGATATTATGTAGACCTTCCTGTCCAAAGTAATATGCATTTGGGATGCCGGCTTTCATAAAAGAAAAAACACATAATCAACATGAGGAAAGCGCATTAGTCCATCTGAGCATGCGTAAATCATCCTAGAGTCGAAAATGTGTTGTAGCAGCGGAACATCACTCGTCCTCACTTATCCCGTCAGTCCCGCATCATCCCGTTGACACACATGCTCGTATGAAATGATAATATAAAATAATGATTACGATGTTGGATGCTTAAACAATAGCAATAACAGAAAAAAAAGAAAAAAAAAAAAAAAGAGAGAATTTCTGTGCCAGACATCAAGTATGTATGCCCATCCGTTTAGGTTTGACGAATGAGTCTATAGAGCTACTTACTTGATCCCGCCAAGATCTTGTAGGTTCGGTATTCATCACGAAGTTGTGGGGCGTCACTCTTTCGTGGTTCAAATTTGATAGCAACCTGCTGATTGTTCAGCAAATTGATGCCTACAAATCAAATGAGAATATGAAAGAAGCCCACAATTAACAATCATGTATCGTATCATGTATCAATAGGTTTTTTTCCACCTCCTTTCAATATTTATCCTAGATGTTATTAGTTGTCGAAGCAGAGTGAAGATGTGTGTTGAAACGGAAAGAAACATGGGAATTCTCAGAGTCCAAGGGTTCAAGTCAGGAGTTCCAGAGTGGCACATCTCTTTCCAAATCCTGCCCTGCCACCGTGTGTGCTAACGAACAGGAATTGTCGACTTGCCTTCATAAATGATACCGAAACTTCCCTCGCCAATCTTTTTGCCAACACGGTAGTGTACGCCAACCACATTGGAAGAGGAATGAGTGCTATGCGAGCTGCTACTCATACTAGAGAAAAGGCCAGGAAGAAAAAAAAAAAAAAAAAAAAAAAAAAAAAAAACTTGATTATTAACAAATGCACGACCAATGTAAACGGTGAAGTAAAACGAATTTATGAGCGACTTGGTCATTACGCTTGCTGTCTGGACAAAGTGGATGAAGGAATGCAGTGCTGTAGTGAGAAGAAGAGGAGGGGTGGAATGAACAAGTGGCCAAATGTAGAGATTGTAGCGATGGATCTTGTGAACAAGGGATTGAGGGAGAAATACCAAAAGACTATGAAGTAAAGAGAAAAGGAGTGCGAGTAAAGATGGATGAAATGATGTATGTATTTATGATATGTATATGTATCGCCGGATAAGTGAGGAGAAGGAGAAGGAGAAAAGTGCGGGAAGGGGTGGGGAAAGAGTTAAAAAGAAAGTGTTAAGCGTAGTGAAGTTGTCATCACATCATGCCTATTGACCAGTTCGGGCAACTCAGAGGTCAACGACATCAACAAATCGTTTCTTTTGCTTCCTTCACTCTTCCTCTCTCTGGAATGGCATAATTCACAGCTCTTTTGATCATCCGTCAGCTAATTGCTTTTTATTGTTGTTGTTTTTAACCTATGAGATCGCTAGATATAATTTTTTTTTTTTTTTTTTTACTCTGAAATGCAAAAAATGAGTTACCGAATCGGATATCGAGCAAGGCAAGTAGTTCAAGTGTGTAACAAGGGTTGCAAACATTATCCACTACTGCAGTGAATAGAGGTTATGTCATGAATGACTATCGTGGTGGAACACGACTTTAATGTGTATAATGTGTATCGCAGTAGGAGATGAGACGTGTGCATGCGTAATAAATATCATGGAATAATAGTAATAAAAATGTGGCTACTAGTGTCTCTTTTCTCTCTCTCTTTTTTTTTTTGTTTGTCTTCTTTGCAGCCATGACCATGAGAAGAAATGTAAACAAATAAAAAATTTTACCTTGGTAACAAAGTCTAGACTAGTTGTATAGTTGTATAAAAGAGCGATATGAATGTAAAAAGATAATAAATGACAATGATAATAATAAACGATAAATGCGTGTTAAATGATTTGAACAAGAATCAGAGACAGAGACAGAGGATATTGATGAATTCCAATTGAATGCAAGTGAGGTGGAGGATTGAGGTGAGGTAAGGTGAGGTTGAGATTGCTGATGAGATGGAATGGTGAAGACAAAGAGTGAAAGCGAATGAGAAAGAGATCACAACTTTTTTTTTTTGTTTGTGCAACATAAACTTTATGGGATCAGACTTACCCCACAATCCACACCACACCATTTAGCCAAATAGCCAAATAGCCCTGGGGTGGAGAGTCAAGTGGTTTCTAAAGCTTTTTTTAATGCAACACAATTCGCCAATGTGCTGTCCACCCTATTAGGTTGCGTTGTTTTAACTATATCTCTTCCATTTGTTTCTACATGTGCATGTCGTAGAACAGCATGCCACCACAACAACATGGCAACATGAGGTTTATAAACTTTATCAGGCAAGGAGGCAAGGAGGCAAGGAGATCAAAAAGAAAAGAAAAGAAAAGAAAAAAAAAAACAAGGGTGGGAAACAGATGAAGAGATGCATGCAATAGTTTAACATTTGAAAACGGCTCAAACTTTTTTTTTTTTAAAGACTTTTACAGATGAACATCTTGATTTTCAAACTTGGCCGGTTTTTTTTCTGGAGAAGTAAGGATGCCATGGGCAGAAATAATCGACCAAATCGCAATATTCCTGCGCACGCCAGTTTCATCCCTCGTCCTAGCTCACCCATTAATTCTTTTTTACATCAACCGAACCAGCTTATCTTCCTCCTTCTGAATGAATAACCAATAAACCCTTCCTCTTTTCACTTCATCACTGGTTTATTTCCTTTTCAGCAACTCAGCTACTGGTTCCAAGGCTGTTGTACGGCATCAATGGAGCCTATACCACAAGAATCCGATCAAAGGCCGTATTTTCTGCAGTCAAGTGGAACACAAGCAAAAGCACAAGTTGATAGAATCCAATATTCTGGCCAAACACAAATAGCCCACCAACAGAACAATCCATTCCCAAGACCTTTACATGTCCAAGCCCATGATACAATCGAGTGTGTCAACAACGAGCAAACAGAGGCGTATCCATGCCAAGCTCAGAAAGATAACTCGTGTTCGTCATCCACTATTGCGGCCACAACAGCAAAGCGTGAATCATCTGTGATGAGTTCTCTTTTCAAACCCTCTCACCGTCGCAGACCATCATCAGTAGAAGGTTGGGACTCTGGTGATGATGAAGAGCTTGATCAGACGATCACTCCAGCCGGATCTAATACTATGCCTACAAATGAGAAAAGCCCCTGGCTTCGAAGAGAGAACGCAAAGCGGAAGCAGGTCCGAAGATGCTTGTGTTTAGCGGTCATCCTTTGCTTCTTGGTCCTCGGCACCGTCCTCGCGTTCGCTTTTCGCGATGAGATTTTCTCACGCAATCAACAAGGACCCTCTGTAAAAAGGGAAGAAGTCATTACTCCACATTTACAAGGGATTGAGGAAACCTATCATGTCAACAAAACCATTACACCTGATCCTCGCTTAAAGAAGATCTTTTATGGTATTGATTATACGCCACGCGATTCGCAGGAGCCTGGTTGTAAAGTTAATTTAGGCCATGTGATCGAGGATATGAAGGTGCTTTCTCAATTGACCAATAGGATTCGACTCTACGGTATGGCTTGTCAACAATCAGAAGCGGTGTTGAAGGCAATTGAATACCTTGACTTGCCTGAGATGGAGATCATCTTAACTCTCTGGGTCGATCACAACAATGCATCCTGGGAAAAGCAATCCCGTGTTTTTTGGAACCTGATCGATCATGAACTCCGATCCGACTCTGGCTTTATCAGCAATATGGATGGACAAAGCAGTGTCAAAAATGATGATATGATTACCATCTCAAAGGTAGCATCAAGGATCAGTGGGATTTCCGTAGGTAATGAAGTATTGTTCCGAAACGAAAACAAGGCCACGACAAAGGAGTACGTTCCTCTGAGTGTGCTCACCGGATATATTGATGAAATCCGCACTGGATTGGCCACGAGGGCAGCGCGGGCTGCAAAATCGCCCGATCCAGCGGCTATGGCAATGGGTCAACGCTTGACTCAAATTCCGATTTTTTCTTCGGATCTGGGGCGAAATGCAGGACAGATCGTGGACCAAGTTGATATGGTCATGTCCAACATTCATCCGTTCTTTGCATATACCTCAGCCACTGAAGCGGCGGATTGGGCGTTCAAAAATTTCAGGAATGAGACAGTTGGGGCTGCTCGGGGGAAGCTCGCTGCAATCTCTGAAATTGGATGGCCAAGCGGACCAGCCTCCGCCAAACTAGGTAATTGCGAAATGTGCAAAACCGTAAAAAAAAAAAAAAAAAAAAAAAAAGAAAAAAAAAAGAGATTAGCGGGCACTAATAACACTAAACCAATTACGTTTTTGATTTGATGCTACTGTTTTGTGTATATGAGAATAGGCTCTGCTGTCCCCTCGATTGAGAACCTTCAGATATTCATCGACAGTTGGGTTTGCCAGGCTAACAAGAAGAGCATTCCTTATTACTACTTTGAAGCTTTTGATGAGCCATGGAAAAACTCCATTAATGCTCGGGAGTCACAATGGGGATTGATGACAGTCAATAGACAATTAAAAGTCAGTCTGCCATCATGCTAGGCAAACGTAATTGCATAAATACGCTATGAACTACAAATACAAAGATACATAAAGCTTTTTTTTTTTGTGTGCTTGTTCCAAAAGTGGCAATTGAAAAAAAAATAAAATAAAATAAAATAAAGGGGAAGGGGAAATGCTGAAATTCATGAATGTACGGTATGTATGTGGTCATTATCTCATTATCCGAATTCCACACTACATCATTAGAAATGTGGGATCCTTCCACATCTATTCAATCCTGAAAATCCAAAATGAAAGGGATGAGAGAGTGGTATAAAAAAAATAAAAAAAAAAGATCACCTAATACAGTAGTTTTTTTTGAGAAATGAAGACGCTGTACATGTAGAGTCTGTGCAAAATCAAGGGCTTGATTAGAATGACATTCATCCCTTGTTCTCCTCCTCCACCACATCTTATGCATAGTTTTTTCTCGGCATGGTTCGTTAGCCAAATGGGTTGATGAATGTTGCAAAAAAAAAAAAAAAACTTTGGTTCTATCAATAATCAATGACGAGTATTGCAACCCCTGTCTTGAACAAGGTATTTTCTCCATCGTTTGACAATCTCCCGCTCAAGAACCTTTATTTTATTTTATTTTTTTTCTGCCGAAAGCAGAAACCTGTATATAAATATATACTTTTATATATGTGTTTATTTTTGTTAGTGGGTTGTACTTGTAGAACTTTTTATTTCTTTTTTCATTGACATTAGTGTAACACTCAAAAAGCATTGCTACGCGTATCGTCGTGTCACCAAAGGGGGGGAGGACAGAAATATCTCCTTGTTCACTCGGGAGATCAAGTGTATTTGACAGCGGATTACACAAGATAGTCTTGCTTTCGATTGTGTGGATGCGTGATCTTTTTTTTTCACTCTCTCCTTTTTACTTTCCCATGCAATGTAAAAGAGCTTTGGAATAGAATATACCAAGCTTATAAATATATATATACCATAATGTACTATAATATATACTGTACCATGCCACAAACAAAAAACATTGCGGGTTTGTTTTTTTTTTTCATCTTGGTCTCCGCACTGGGAAGATTTTTGGTCATCTTCAGGGCAAAAAATAAAGTGAGAGGCCTTTTTCTTTTTTTTATGCTAAACCATTGCATGCAGACATGCGGTCTGCTGACCAAAGTCTCTCTTCCTTGTGCGGGGTTTTATTGAAATACAGAATGGAAGGGGAGAAGGAAAGGGAAAGGAGAGAAGAAGGGAAGAGGATGGGATCAAAAAAGGATAGAGAGATGAGTAGGAATAAATACATACCGGAGAATATACTGCCGAATAGCTTTTTATTGTTTTGAATCCATGTCTCTCTTGGTCACAGTTACTACACAGGTGTATCTGTTACTATAGAAACTAATGGGTGAACACATGGAGGTGTCTGTTGTTGGAATGGGTTGTTGACGATGAATTGCATGAATGTTGGAGACAGTATGACTAACAGCAGTGCTTATTTTTTTGTTGTTGAACTTTTTTATTGTTTGTATTACAATAACAGATACTTGTCGCGTTGTAAACCCTCAACCTTGTGTTTGCTGTCTCCATTTGAAGCGAAAAGAGGGCAGCCATATTTCCTTTTTGTGGTGTCCCTTTTTTTTTATATATACCCTGAACGTGGCTAGAGAAAGTATATATCAGACAAATCACGAAAGACGAAGGATAAGGTGTAAGTAACGTAAAAGTGTATTCTTTCTTTGTGATTGGATAGAAATAAAGAAGCTTTTCGTGTAATGAGAGTGGTTTCTTTATATGGACCGTCTTTGTACTTGTAAGTCTTTTTCTCTTTTTAAAAAACAACGACTTTGTTATCTTGCTCATCTAGCTCATCTGCTACCATTTTGCTTCCTTTGGCTTGTCGTCTTACTGTGTCAAGTCGAGATAGCGTTAGTAGTGATGAGATGAAGATGGTTCCATTTAACTTTAAGAGGGATGGTGACTGATCCTTGCTCATCGACGCATCTTTTTTAGTCCTTCGGGAGTTTTTTTTTTTTTTTTTTTCCTTCTGTTGTTAGTTGTTGATATTGTTGGTACCTGCTTTTGACTTTTTCTTTTTTTTTTAATCAGGTGTTCTTATGCCAACTCATCATGAACAAGGTACATGTATATTTGTATGCATAGATATGGGATACATGTCACTCATTCACCTTTTATTCTCTTTAAACAAAACCAGGTGCTACAGCGGCGTGGTAATTGACATCGATTTTGTGTTCAAGGTTAGGTTAGGGTTCAGCAGATGACAGCTGTACAGCACACCATCAGGGCCAAACGAAAAAAAATAAAATAAAAAATAAGGCCGGCAACGAGCCATGGCAAACTCAAGAATATCTTGTCTTCTTGGCCTCATCCATGGACACATGCTTCAATGCAAGCCCAATCGCTCGCGTAGCAATCGTCATGGTTGCAGCTGCAGTAAAAAAAAAATAATTATACTCGCCACCCTATTAACCCCCCTTTCCACCTCTTCTGTTTTGGGAGTCCCTTTTTTTTTTTTTTTTTTTTTTTTTCCTCGATTATATAAATTCCCTTGATTGTTCTCGTCCAAAGCTCATTCTTCTCTTCTTTACTCTTCGTCTCACATCTTCTCATCTTCACATCCTCTCTTCTTTCTTTTTTTTCTTTATTTCTTTCTCTCTTTCATTCTTTCTCTCTTGCTGTGAGACGTATCTTCTCTGTAAAACTATATAATCATAAAACTCATCAATTATCTCTGCCATTTATTGGTCCCCTGTCGCAAATCAAAGCACCCGCAGCTTTATTATAAGGCAAGACATCAATGTTCATTCTGCCTCCCTTGGTATCCTTGGTATCCTCCATTCTTCGACAAAGCGCAATGACCTCTACCATTTTATTACAATTGCCATTGATTTTTATTTTTTGGGGTGCGCAGTGTTATCATGCCATTCTCTTCCTCGCAATTGCCATCATTTTTTTTTTTTTTTTTTTTTTTTTCGTGGTGTATTGCTATTGTTGTGGATGTTGCTGTTAAAGGCGACAGGGCATTGCAAGAATTGGTTGCTCATATAGTATAAGAGCTTTTGGTTTGTGGATCTATGCATGACCCTGGCTCCTACCCTGGCTTACTTAATATCTTACCGTGCATATCTCCTTGCTCTTCCCGATCTCCTTACATTTACATTCACACGCATATGAACGCGCGCAGAAGAAAGTTATAAAAGCCTATCCCAAAGTCACATCATTTGGCGTAAATGCCATTGTTATTATCATTGCTATTCAGACCAGTTTATCATGGTTACAGCCCCTACAACATCATGTTTACAATATTGACATTCCTTGTCCTCGTAACAGATAAAATCTGGATGTGGGAGTAGTTCTAATTTTTTTTTTATATTTTTTTTTTATATTGGCTATAACAGGATACATTCCATAATCATATTTCAACAAATATAACAACTATATCATGACCAATACAAATCAAGCACTGCCAGAGTCCATGTCGGACGTAATTCTTCCTGCACACACGACCGTCACATCTGTGCCTGCGCTCGAGCCAGAAGAGCAAGAGCAGACAACGTTCAAGACTGTAGGGACACAAGATGTATCTCCGGTTCCCATAGCCCAGCCCAACCGGCTTTCCTTGGCCTTCAAAGCTATCACATGCGGTAAGAGATTGAATCAAATCTTTTATTTCTTCATCCTGAACACCCATCTTTCGTGGTTTCGTGGTGGTGCAAATTTAATCCCATCTCCCGTACAATCCTGTCCTTTACCATCTCTCGTGTTTCGCAATCTTACCGCAGCGAGATGGGAAGAAAAAAGATATGCATTGTGCCGAGAATGCATACCAAATAAAAATGCCTCCCTTCTTGTCCTGCATGATCATTGATAAGAACTTGATTTGCTATGAGCAAAAGACCTAGCCTTACTGATGGGTCTATTTCCAAAAGAGGAAAGGAAGGGAACCTTTACAAACAACAAAGACATTTACACAGACCTATCCCCTCTGTTGCCAGCTAGTTTAACTAGTCCAACATCCCAACATTAAACGTCCCCTACCCTTCTCTTCTATCCCTCCATTGTTTACGCCTCTTCACTTCCTTCCGAGCATAATGTCGATTTCATATATCATAGTTACCAAGCCCTCTGCCCCTTTCTCTTTTTTTAAGGAGGTTAATGTTCCTTGGCGAACAGTGGGCGGTCTATGTCATTCATTCATCAGTCCCCTACAGCCACAGCATACAATATACACAACACAACATCTGGACAGATATTGTGCGCCAAGCTGTTCTTTCTTGGCGTGCCCCTGTTCTTCCTCCTTTTTTTTTTTTTTTTTTTTTTTCTCTATTTCTTCCTCCATGTCCTCTCCCCCTGAACAGACAGAATGCATTTGGGCGTCTGTGCTTCTGCAATATTTCCTCTATTTTGATTCGTTGTAGTTTTGTTAATTCACTCTATTCCCATCTCTTTATCTCATTTAGGTCTCTGCTTCCATCCATTGAAAAATAATAATCCCACAGACTATCACGCATTGGTAGTGACCCCAGCTGATGAAGATGGTCCCATCCTAGGAGAGAACTATCACGGTTCCGATGGCGCCTCACCTATAACCATTACTGAAGATCATAAGGAGAGACTTGTAAGCGATGTAGGCACAAGCAGCTCAGCGGAGCACCATTCGTTCGGGCTGAGTGAAGTGCAAGAGAGCAAACGCCGAGCAGATGAACCAAAGGAAGCGACTTCGACCATCATTGAAGAGATCACTGTCACAGGGACGCCCCAAGAGAGAACCACGACTAAAACTACAACCACAATCACAAGTACAACGACAGCAACAAACACCACGCAAAGTGACGACACCAAGACCATTATCCTCAATCGTGATGTTCAATCAGAGACCACAGTCTTGACAACTCCACCTGTCCCTGAAAAGAATCAGCCCCAGGCTTTGGTGGTCGCAGCTGCACCCTCAGCAGTCGCAGAAGCCCATGTGACCTCACCCATCTCGCCCACTTCACCTATCTCGCCCACCTCACCTACCTCACCCACATCTGCAGGCCAGACTCGTAGGACATTCTCCAAGTTCATCAAGCGCTCCTCTTCTGCCAACAGTGGTGCTCCTTCCATTCAGTCCAACATTACCTCGCCACTTCGCGGGCGCGCCTTTGGTCGAATCAAGAAAATAATGCGCTCAAGCGAGACTTCGTCCATCGAGTCCAAGGTGGACTCTTTGCAGATTGCTGGTGGCGTCACGCCTGCGCAGTCAACCACCGATGTTGGGGTTGTAAACCTTGGTGAACTCAGTCCTGCTGACAAGCAGAACTACCATGTTGAGATTCAAGAAACTGTGATGACTGAGGAAGGCCATGTGGAGACTACGGTTATGGGCACACTCTTGACAGAGGAGCCCACTTCCCTTGCTAGCGCCAACACACCACCAGTGCTCCCACTACGACAGGGTTCTTCATCGTCGGAGGCTCCATCATCGCCGACATTCCATCGAATCGATGCTAGTACCAGCAGCAGTTCTGGTCAGTCCTTGGCCAATGCAGGCCGATCCTCCACAGTCGGAAGTACCCTTGGAGGTAGCAGCGAAGCTGATTCCCTGGGCTCGAGCGACGCAAACAACTCTCGTACCGATCTCTTTGATAATGAGGTTGGTAAGCAACGAAAGAACAGTGTCCTCAAGAAGATTGGCAAAATCATGAAGAACAAGGATAACATCAAGAGGCCAGACAAGGGACTGAGCCGACATGGAAGCTCTACTTTGACCAGTCCCGTTGAAGCAGATGAGACTGCTCGTATTTGAACAGATGTGTAATAGAGGGAGGAAAAAAAAAAAAAAAAAAAAAAAATACCACGCTAGTAGTTTATTCAAAATATACCATGCAAAATTTTTTTGCACACAATAATCAATGCTGTTTAATCAATACCATCCAATAACCCTTGAAATGAATGATGTTGTACGTACAGTCGAACTCGTAATATCCGGACATCCCGCTGCCAATCTTGTCCGGATAATAATTAGGTTTTACTGAATTGGGTGGTATTCTAAACTTTATAAAATATATATACTCATGTGATATTGCATTTACGGGTTCCCCTAAGTGCATATCTGGTGAAATTTATTTGATGAAATATCCGGACAATTCTACGCCTCCACTACGCCTCTTTGCCCAGCCCCACTACGTCCTATGGCTTCCACACGGCGTCCCCGAATAGTATAAAAGCTATCATTATTGTAGCAGATTAGGGCAGACTTGAACAATCAGTCATTTTTGAACCCACCGCCACTTGCTACTCTTCACAACGTGTCACCAGTTCCCTTACATTAACAATCGTATCCAAGCATCAAAATGGCAACTGGAAAACGCTCCACAGAACCGGCTCTTGCTTATGAAGTGACCAAGAAGAGCAAATATACAAAGTCTGAAATAAAAACGATTGAACGCAAGCGGAAGGAGAGGTACTTGGACCTTCTAGATTGTGCAAGGAATTGTGATATGCATGCTCCCCTTGTCCTTCCTTCAGTTGACAACCATGCCATCCCAATGGCGAAGGTGTGCTTAACTCTAGAACAAAAAATCGAGCTCATTGATATATACGAATATCTTTCGCTTCGACAAGAAGGTATCCCCCACAGTATAACCTTTAGAAGCTTCGGTAACCTGGTTGGATATGCGCTTCCAAGGGCTACTTTTTACGACATTTACAGAAAGAGAGATGTGCTTCGACAACAGGCTCCGTTGTATCCAAAGGGCGCATGTTATATGACTCAGCGAAAGAATTTTCAGCTTGAGGCGGTGCTCTTAAAATGGCTGGAAGATCAGCGGAAGCGAAACAATCCAGTCAACAAAAGGATGATAAAGGAAGCGGCTAAAACTACCTATATTGTTCTCACCGATCAGAAAGATCCTTTTGACTTGGACTCCAACGACATAATGCCGTCTTTTTCAGCTTCCTGGTTCGATGCTTTCAAAAAGCGCCATAACATAACGTATTGCCAGGTCCACGGAGAAGCAGCATCGGTTGACCTTAAGGCGATTGAGCCTGAACTAGTTGAGATTCGGCGGCTATGTTCCCTATACACGCCTGACAACATATACAACTGCGATGAGACAGGATTTTATCTCAAGGAGCTGGACCACAAGTCTTATACAACGCAAGTCTCGGAAGCCGGTATCAAGGCAAATAGGAGCTGCCGTGTCTCCATTCTATTTTGTATCAATGCTTCGGGCACATCGCTCCTCAACACAGAATCCATGAGTGCATTGAAGCCACTAGTCATCGGTAAGGAGAAGCAACTACTGAAAACCTTGGTAAATATTAAATACTTAGACATTAACTTGATAAAATATAATTTTATATATTAGGCAAAAATATCGCCCAGGGCATTGACGAGGTGTCGGCAAGAATGATGGTTGTGAAGAAGTCTGAATCGGGGTGGATGACAAACCATATCTTTGTGAAATGGATGAAAGAACTCGATGACCAGCTCACGGAGCCAAGCCTACTTCTCCTAGACTCAGCTCCACAACACAACAACATTGATATGCGCGACCCTTCTATCAATCAACCCTGGAAGCATCTCCGCGTCCAACGGCTCCCGGTGAACTCAACGTCTGTTACGCAGCCCCTTGACGCAGGTGTTATTAGTGTTTTCAAGCGAGCATTCCTTGAGATGCTTTCCCATGAGTCGCATCTTGTCCGAACGTTTAATATGGCGAAGGCTATTTCTAATGGACACGCGTGGTCGATTATCCCATACGCATGGAATTCCGTTAAAGCGACAACACTAAGGAATTGCTTTGCTGAAACGCCGGTCCTTCCTGAAGAGATGCGGCAGTCCCTCAAAACCATGTCAACTACCAAAGCAGAGCGGAACCATGCGCTCCGGTACACTCGACGTCACCTTTATGAGGAGCAAGAAAGGGCGTACTTCGAGCACTTGGTTGCCTCAGTGAATGAGGCAAACAGCTGGAACCTCAACCGCATTGCGGAGAAAGATGTGCAGGATGTTTTGGAAGATAAAAATGGGCCATGTTCTGTAGAGGATTCTAACTTTCCTGATCTTTCCGATGAAGTCCAAGGACCCATTTCACCCCCTGTGAGCAGCACGCATATTCACCTCTATCAAAGGAGTCACTTCACACTTCGGTTGAGCTACTGGCCAAGTTGTCCGGTGGGCATGATATGCACACTCCGGAGGGAATGGAGGCCATGCTGGATAATGCAAAAAAAAGTAACAGAGTACGCAGTTTTTTGAAAAAGCTCGTAAGAGTTTGTGAAGACGAGAATAGGGAAGAGGCATCTTCACAAAAAGATATGCAGGATGGCTTCCAACGAGACAAAGAATTCCAAAATCCTTTTAGTTAGTATTAATTATTTATATTTCATTATATCATTGCCTCACCTGCTGGTGTAGACCTGCTCTGAACTAAGCAATCACCTCGTCCTGCCAATCCAACTTTGGCTGAATGACCCCGGTCCAGACAGACTTTTGTGTTTCGAAAATAAGCAGTCGCGTAACATTATCCCTTTTTCTGATAACAAGGACCCGAGTCAGGACGCGAAAAATTATCCCTCTTTCAATCTTTCAATCAAAATTCTTTTTGATTCATTATTAATCTTGTCCAATCAACCAGCATTGACCTTCATCAACTGTACTCAGTGGTTATAAATAACACATTTTAAGGTCCGTAATTGAATATTCATTTGAATCATTAAGTGGGCTGTAGATTTCATGAGCACATTCTTAGCGAACCTTTGCTTAGTACGCGGCGAGGCGGCGGATTGTGAGATGCTTCACAGTTAATTAGACGTTATAACATTAGCTTTAGGAAACTGAATCTTTCTTAGCGAACCTTTGCTTAGTACGCGGCGAGGCGGCGGAAAGACGAGTTGGATCTAACAAATGTTATAACGTCACATCCACTTAATGATTCTTTGTTTCTTTTGTTTTTTAAGAAAATAAGGACTCCACTAATATTAAATCGTTCACGTTAAATCATGAGTGCGTAGAAACACAAATGCGGAGGGCATCATCAGCTCCACGGGAAAGCCTACCTCCTTTTCATCCTCCCGATTCAGCTGAATCATGTGTGAACGACCCGTTGAGTTGGGCACAAATGAAAGCTAAAAAGGGTGAAGATATAGAAATGCCGAAATTCGCCGCAGAGCTCGAGTTCCATCGCGAGGAAGATGCGCATCCGCTATTTATGCAAGTTTTACAATCAACAACTCTACCGTACATCGTAAGACGACGTTTGCTTAATCGTTACAAAGTGTGGATGGCATCTAAAGGTGAAGAATTTTGGGCAGACCAAGCAATTCACCATCAAGTCCGAATGTGCACGATGTTGGCTGTGCGCGAGATACTCGAAAGAAGTAGGCCTGTTACAAAAAAATATATCAGCGTCAATGATGCAACTGTGGTTCCGCTTTTATCAGATAATTTCGAGGTTCGTCCGAACCGAAGTAAGGGTTACTATTATTTATACTTATATTTAATGTTGTTTGTTATTGTTTGTTGTTCTCATTCAATATTTGCATGGCCGATGATTGATAGTTATATTCTCGTCTGCTCGGACTCCATTATTTAACCAAGGCTCGGGCACATCATCGCCAGCACTGTCGCCTCCACGCCGTCCGGTCTTTAATAGCGACGACGATGAAAATGAGCAGGAGGACGGGGCCGTCGATGAAGAAGATGTCACAGGAACTCTCGAACAGCTGTCTAGTGGAGACAAAGATGATGAGAGTGAGGTATTTGGACAACCTTACAGTGAAACTGTAGATATGTCCTGGATTAAGAAGCGGCCAGAATTCGCATTCCGCTTCCCGCTGACAAAAGACTGGAGTCCTACAACAAGATCAAGCAGAAGACATCTTTGAACTACAAGCAAATAGATCAGATTGCGTAAGTAGGTTTGACTCCATACAAATGAGATTCAGTTCATGCGAAATTACACAAACTAATCGCCGTGATGAAATGTATCAATGTAGACTGCTCTCTGGTGTCCTGCATTTTAACGAAGAGCATGTTGGATTCACGACTCCTGAGATCACAGCTATCACAAAGGAAGTTCTCCTTCGGTTTTATACCAGCGAGCTGCGAGAGAAAGACATAAAGCGGTCGTCGGAAGCAGCTGCACTATGGAGCACTTGGGTCCAGGTTCGCAGATATGGCTATGGTTGTTGTTGACATTATGTTTTTTGTCTGCTTGTATGTTTTGAGTAGATGCTTACTTTTTTTTTTTTTTTTTTTTTTTTTTTTTTTTGGTTGTTGATTGCAGGATTCGGTTTCAACGAATCTCTCGAGATACCTACCCAAGGCCCTTGAAACCGATGAGGAACCGGAGATCGATCATAGGTCGGTCATTGGCAAGATATTAGGATCCTATCGCGAATGCGAAGAAAAAGACATATTACCTGTTTTTTTTGTGGCTCTGTACGCGTTTCGACACTTCAATACATGGTGCGAGATTGTAAGTGAAAATGATGTTATGTCGTCCGTCGTCGCGCCGATTTTACGTGAATTTATGACTATACCAGACCATATAAAATTCAAATGGTAATATCATCCTTAATTGTTGAGCCGTTTGCAATTAGGTAAATGGGACGTTCTTTTGGTCTAACTGTTGCTATTCCTTTTAACAGTCTTAACAGCACGTCGACCGCGAGCGGGAACAGAAAAGTTGCTTTGGCCCAAGATGGACAAGCCAGGCAACCCGACATTGTGGGTCGAACCCGGGAAAAACGTGAGGTATATTATGGAGAAATCAAGGGTACCCGCCCCACAATACAGTCAAAGAATGCGGATTCCCTCCGTATTGCCATTTTTACAAAAGACAGCCTCGATAGTCTGCTCCCCGGTCTTGAAGAAGATCTGCCACTCATAAGCTTCCAGTCTGTCGGGCCTGAGATAGTGTTTTTCCTTGGTGCAATGATTGGCAATACTGTCATCCATGCAAAGATCTCTGAGCTTAGAATGCCAACTTGTTCATCCGAACTTAGATCAATGGATCAAGTCTTTTTCCTCAAATTGTTTCAGATTCAATCATTGGTCCGGATTACCAGCAAGCGCCTAAAGGGAAAGCGACAAAAGCATGTAGAATGCAGCTCATTTCCAACACTGGGCACGCCTTTTCGAAACATGTCACTGGGGATTCGGTCCAAATTGAAGGTCAAGCGCGGGGACAAAAATGTCGCGGAGGAGAAGGAGCTCAAGCGCAAGAAGAGAACAGCGTAAATGATATGGAGGAGGAGGACTCCGTATAACTCAATGCTCTTACACTGTTCCATTATCATTCGTTAAGAGCTAATCCCAGCTATTCCGAAGTAGTGCTTGAAGCTCATTTTCATAATGGATCTGCTCTTTCAGATAGTTTTCTACCTTTAAGTATACCTTTAACACCAAAAATAAATTGTGAAGCGAGCGACACAATAAGAGAAAACTATCCAAATGCAATAAACAAAACTGCTTCAATATGTTTAGCAGATGAGTGAGTGAGAAAGTGCAATGGGCAACGATAGAGCCAAGAGAAGGCGAGAAGAAAGAAGAGGAAAGTCGAGTCCAAAAGAAAAGGCCTTGTTTCGTTCTTTTTGTAACTGAAAGAAAACGCAATTGACAGACATTTCACCAGATATGCACTTAGGGGAACCCGTAAATGCAATATCACATGAGTATATATATTTTATAAAGTTTAGAATACCACCCAATTCAGTAAAACCTAATTATTATCCGGACAAGATTGGCAGCGGGATGTCCGGATATTACGAGTTCGACTGTACATGCATGCACATGTTTATTCAACATAAAACACATGGATCTGATTCAGAGCAGAAGAAAGTCGTGCATGAATGTGTACAAGAGTGATACCAAACGTTTGAGAGTGGGCCGTGTGTGTCTATATTATGACAAAAAAGTATAGTTACTGTAATACCGAAGAGGAGAGAATAGTGGTTGTAAAAAAAAAAAAAAAAAAAAAAAAACCCCACCGTTTCCTTTATACTTATATAAAAGATAAAAAAAAAAAAAAGCAATACTTTGACTTGGTTAACATTCATATTGATTTTTTTTTTTTTTTTTTTTTTTTTTTTTTTCGCTTGATTTAGATGCGTATGGGTATATCAAAGACTTGGATGCGATGGCTATTCAGCAAACGCTTCATTTCATAGTAGGTATCCGGATCTGTACTCAAGCGGCCTGTGAGTTTTGCAAGCCTAGGCCAGTTTTGAGCCATCCACTCGATTTCCTCCATACCCATCTTTTGAGGATTTCCCATAAACGAGAAACTCCAGAGTTCTTTGAGTGGTGACAAGTAATCTAAACCTGCACTGAGAGTCAAATCCAATGTTGGACTCCATATTCCTTCTCCAGTTAACCAAAAGGATTTTAAATGAAGGACTCTTAGCTTTGTCAAGGATGCAATGCGACTGTAAACGAGCTTTTGATGGGTCGTAAAAGCTGAGCTGTCTAAATCATTTAAAGTTGTTTTGCTTTTATCCGATTGGTATGACGAGTCCAGGTCCTCGTGCTCCGACAGCCTTGGACTACTCATGTCGATATTAATAGTGAGTTCTTGAAGGTTGACGGAGGCCCATGGCGAGCCTCGCACGACGTCCATGTACCCTATTCTGCCTACTGAGAGATATTTGAGTGCAGTCATCGATGAGAGGATTTTTTGGATTATGGGTCCCTTGAGCATCAGACAATTCGTCAAGTCCAATGTAACAACAGTAGATGAATGTTTTTCTATAGCTCGCATGGAAAGTGGACCAAACGACGAGATAGTAGCCCGAAGCGTCACTAGGCTGCGTATCCCTTCCAAGGCTGTTCCCAGGCTCTCATCACACCACGCTGTGTCGTCCATGTGCAGTTCCTCCAGGTGAGGCCATGCTCCACAGACTAGCGCCTGTACAAATTGTTTCCTTGGAAATTGGAGCGCTTGTTCGTAGCCTTGCCAATGTAATGACCTGAGCTCAGGGCAATGTTGGATCCATTCAAGGCCATTAACACCTGATATTGGACTTTTAACAATGAGGCGACGTAAACGAGAAACTCCTACGAACGTATTGTCCCATTTTGGGAACTGCATGCCACAAAGAGTCAGTGTTTTGATGTTGCGGCAAGCGTCCCAGAGCTCTGCACCTCGGACTTGAGGAACCAATAGCCCTTCCAGGTGAAGTGCTTCAAGGCGGCAGCAAGAGGCGATGGCACTGCAAAATCCGCCCGACACGTTGGCACCGGAGATACAGTGAACGTTGATGGTTTGCAGGGTTGAGCTATGGTTACTTATTAACAGAGTCCAATAATGAAGCCAATCTTCACTGGGGCTTTGACGGAAAAGTCGACCTTGGAGTGTGAGGTTCGTTAGAAGGGAGCAGCCTTGAAGAGATAGGTAGACAGGAACGTTGCAACCATTGACAGTTAAATATTGAATCAGATGTTTGTGTCGTTCAAGTAACGCTAGAGGTGGTAGTGTGGATATTCTAGCTCCTGTTTTCCGAAAAACAACGGAGTGCCAAAGAAGGCGGATGAAGGAGTCGTGCCATTCACGACAGCAACATGCACATGCAATGAGCGAGTCTGGGTTAAGAAGCTTTCCTATGGCGACCCTAACTTCCTCGAGATGAAGAGCTGCATGCATGAGAGGTGAATGAAGAGTGAATTGTCAATGGTCTCTATTGGTTTGGGGGAAGAGCTTTTTTTTTTTTTTTATTTTTTATTTTTTTAAAACGTGTGAAGTAAAAAAGTGAAAAAGACCTTTTTTTTTTTTTTTTTTTTTTTTTTTTTTCAAAGGTGGCAATGCGCGCCGCAGTCAATTGTAAATCAAAAAAAGAAAGTCGCGACTTTTATTTTATTTTATTATATTTTTTACGCGTTATTAAATTAATAACCCACGTGCCTTTGTCCTGGGGACGGGTATTTCCATTGGTGGGATCTGTTACGCGCTGCGTCATTTATGACGATTAGCTTCTGTGCATTGTTTGCATTTTGTTGTGGGATGGACAATGGTCACCATGTGCTCATTCAAAACATCCAATGCATTCCAATTGTCATGGGAGTGGAAAGAATATGTATGAGTGCCACTTGATTGTTTGAAAAGGGGGATTAGGATTAAGATTAGGATAGGATTAGGATTAGGATTGGGATGAGGATTGAGACCTTGTTTAACCGGGGACTGACACTTTCTTTGAAACACTGGAATCAGCAGAAACATAAAAAGTGTTTATAAAGGCAAACAGCAAATAAAAGCAGTATTTGAACTTTTTTTTTTTTTTTATTTTATTTTATTTTTTTTTTTGGAGTATCATTTCTTTCCTTTCTTCTACTCTTCCAATCTTCTATCAAATATTTCATCCACATTCGAAAACGCCTTGTCTGTCGCGTCTAATTGGCATCCCAACGCTCAACCTTTTGTTAAATCTTTTTATTTTTTTTATTTTTTATACTCAACCCCTCATCATGTCCGTGTCCTCCACTCCTGTTGCGAGTAAGATCATCCCGAAGGCAGCACGCTCCCCGATTGATCCTACGACAATCAAGTACACATCCGAGAAGCAGAAGTATGCCGTTGCAGCCTTGGTTGAGGAGTTCACCATCTCTACTCAGCTTCTTAATGATATCAAGGATAACTTCTTAGAAGGCATGAAGAAAGGCCTCAAGAAAGATGGCGAGACTATTGCCATGATCACATCGTTCGTCATGGGTCGCTTGGATGGAACTGGTAATGTTGTAAAGGAAAAAAAAAAAAAAAAAAAAAAAAAAAAAATCATAACGATCAATACATTTGAATGTTTGGATGCAGAGTATAGTGGACGGGTATAAAAAAAAAAATTGGTAAAAGTGATCTGTCTGTAGTTCGCTGTTGTAAAGCGGTTTGAGTCCATTAGCTTTGGGTGTATCCGTGGTTTTTTTCTTTTTTTTTTTTTCTTTGCTGATAGTCCTTATCATGTTTTATTATTGTTGTCATTGATAAGCACTCATATCTTATCTAATTGTTTGTTTTGACTTTACTTGATATGCATATCTGCATATCCTATGTCCTATATCCTATAGAGGTGGGCTCTTACCTGGCTTTGGACGTTGGTGGCACCAACCTTAGAGTCGTATCTGTCCATTTGGAGGGTGGTGGAGTAATTAATACCCGCCAAACAAAGTACAGGATTGATGAGAATCTCAAGGTTGGCGATGCAAAAGCATTGTTTGGTAAGATATTGATGTAGTATTATCGTTTTTTTATTTTTATTTTTATTTTTATTTTTATTTTTATTTTTTTATCAAGAACAGATATTAATTTTAACATGGATGTCATTATGCCAACAATTCAATTTCATTAGATTTCATGGCTGTCTGTGTTGACAATTTCCGTAAGTTGTGAAGCAATAGAAGCAATGGATGGTAAAAAAAAAAAAAAAAAAAAAAAGCAAAGAGAGTCTAAAAGAGAGCTTTTGATAATTTGTACAGTGGATGAGCATCAGATTGTTGTCCGTGGCGACACCAAGATCGAGCTTGGCTTCACGTTCTCATTCCCAGTGCTCCAGACTGCCATCAACCGTGGCACTCTCATTACTTGGACCAAAGGCTTTAATGCTACAGGCATGGTTGGCAAGGATCCAGTTGCATTCCTTCAAGATGCCTTTAATAGACGCCATATCCCTGTTCGAGTTGGTAAGCCGAAGATCCGATAGAAGCTTAATTTTTTTAGTATTTAGTTGATTTTATCATTCGAATTGGTATTAACTCAGCAGATGAATTCGATATTTAGCTGCCCTGGTTAATGATACTGTGGGAACTCTTCTAGCTCATGCATACAATAACCCTGAAACCATTATGGGAGTGTAGGTCATCTTTTCTGTTCTCTCTTTTTTTTTTTTTTTTTTTTTTGCATTCTTTAGTTGCACTATATCCCCCTCCGATGTTCCAGTTGTATTGTGGAAAAAAAAAAAAAAAAAAAAAAAAAAAAAGACTGATTTTCCTTGGCCTATGATTATTATTGATGGTTAACTCCCCAATAGTATCTTTGGAACCGGATCTAATGGCGCCTATGTTGAAAAGATTTCCAATATTGAGAAGTGGAAAGGCGACGCTTCTGCTGATGAGATGATCATTAATATGGAGTTTGGTGCCTTTGATAAGGAGCGTAACATCTTGCCGCTGACCATGTTTGATAACAAGATGGACAGAAAGTCAGTCGTAAGTCTTATTCTCCTTTTCTGTTTTCTTTTTCCTTCCTTTCTTTTCTTTTTTTTTTTTTTTTCTTCATTATTCACATGACTAGCATTTTTAGTCTATCAAACCATTTTATGCTTTTTTTTTTTTTTTTTTTTTTTTTTTTTAATAGTTGCTGATGTGCAAATGTTTTTTATTTTTTTTTTAAACCCTTCATATTCTCGTGGGTCTAGAACCCCAATAAGCAAATACTCGAAAAGATGATTGCGGGGATGTACCTCGGAGAGATCACCCGAAATGTGTTGCTCAACTTGATCGATCGTCGCTTACTGTTTGAGGGCCACATTAGTGCTGACATCAACCAGATGTGGACTTTTGAGACTGCGTACATGTCAACGATCGAAGCAGATTCCTCGCCACAGCTTGAGGAGACCCGCAAAATCCTTGAGAGCACCCTTTCATTCGCTTCTACGACGCTGAATGATCGTCAGATCGTCAAATGTGTCGTTCAGTTGGTAGGCCTTCGTGCAGCACGATTGGGTGCAGCAGCTCTCGCAGGAGTGCTGGAACACACGGGTGCGTGGAAGCACAAGTCGGCGATTGGGATCGACGGTTCATTGTATGAGTACTACCCGAGCTTTGACACTGACATTATGGATGCATTGGTGGAAGTCTTTGGTCCAGACGTTCGCAAAAACGTGGCTATCGGGCTTGCACAAGACGGCAGTGGGGTCGGTGCAGCTCTCTGCGCGTTGTTGGCTGCGAAGAATGGTTTAGCTTAAAAAGACTGAAGGACGGAGGCAGAGAGAGAGAGAGAGAGAGAGAGGAGAAGAAGAAGTTTGAAAGAATGAATGGACAAAAGGTTACTATCGTGGTGAAAATCTTTTGATGACATGTTATTAAAAAAAAAAGGACAAAATTATAATAACAATAAAAGAAAGATCAATTTTATCGATGATTATCCATGTTTATTGGTTCAAGCGGGTGCCTCAAGGGATCCATTGTAGAGGGATATACTTTGTAATTGTCTAAAGGAGGATTTGCCAACGTTTTGTACCTGTAAAGTGTGTTGCAAGTTTGCACATGATGTGCCTTGCGCACATGTTTTTTTGATCTTTTATTTTTCCTTGCATTACTTGGTTCGATCATGATGGTGAAAAAATAAAACTCTTTATACATGTAATAATGTTCGAGTAAGTGTTTCTTTTTTAAAACAGTCGAGATTATTCATGGATATTAGTGGTTAGTATTAAAAGAGCGGCCCATTATGAACGTTGGGAAGATGGTGCCCGGTGCAACTCTGTTATATAATAAAAATAAGAATAGGAATAGGAATAGGAATAGGGATAAGAATAAGATAGGAATAAAAAATAAATTACCATATAAAATAGTGGGGCCAAGACTTGCAAGGGTTGATCATCATTGGTCAAGTGAATGTTTCGTATTCAAATGCAATAAAGGATCATTGGGCTATCCATTAACTCAAAATAAAATACGTGAAATAAAATATTAGACCCAATCATGCCCCATGATGATGATGATGATGATGATGATGATTGCAAAAGCGTCTCACAGAATTGTCAGATGGAGGCACAAAAAAATAAAAAAAAATAGACCATTGATGGGTAAGTAAGTGGGCAAAAGACTGCTCAACTCTTGACATCCTGGGTTGCTCGTGATTTCTTCTTGTTTCTCTCTACACCCTTCTGTTCTTTAGTTTATTTTTTATTTTTATTTTTTTTATTTTTCTTACTTTCTTTACTCTTACTGTTTTCAATTTTGATTTTCTTTTTAATACTTCTTTCCAACTCAACTCAATTGACAAAAATCATCTGCCTGGAGCAATACATCGGTATCAACGATAGAGATCGAGAAGAACAGGAAAGCTTAAAGGTCAAGTAGGGCTACTGCCATTTCCTTTTTGAAACTAATCATGGAAGATAATGCGTATCAATCTCAACAGGCGCATATGGCATCAAGAGGTAAAATGTTCAGATTCACATTTATAAACACATACAACCACTTCACACTCTACACACACACCTTTTTTTTTTTCTTTCTTTACCAATGACGACGATATGTTTTAGTTTCAATTATGAAAATGAACAGAGTCATCCTCCTCTCGCTATTAGCTATCAGGGCACCTTTTTTTTTTTTTTTTATTTTTTTTTTATTTTATTATATATTTTATTTTATTTTACATTTTTGGGCTCTCAGCAGTTTTTATGGCAGTGAAAATATTCTGTATGAAATGCAACAGGAACAGGTCTAAGAATCAAGTAATTAAAGTGCTTTATGCGTGTGTGCGCATGTGGAGAGAGTAGGAAATTGTCTGCATATTTAAATGTCGTAATACATTGCATTAGGGTATGCAGCCCTGTTTTTTTTTTTTTTTTTTTTTTTTTTTTTGATGCTTAAGGAAATTAGAAATTAAGGTATATATATATAAAATATTTTTACGTGGATAGATTATTTTTTATCGGAGTAGTGGAGTGAGGTGAAGGCATTGGGGGGGTTTAGAAAAGAGACTAGGGCGAAAGAGAGAAAGGAAGAGGAAGAAAAGAGAGAAAAGAGAGAAAAGTAAAAGGAAAGGGGGGGGAGTGAGAGGCGAAGGAGAGTACAAAGAGTCAGCGCATATGCAGGCAGATCAGCAAAAAAAAAAAAAAAAAAAAAAAAATGTTATTGTAATGCGACAAAGACTTTTTTTTTTTTTTTTTCAAATTGGATTAGGTAGTGGATAAAATGGTGTGGGAAATGCTTGTTTATCAGTCTGTGTGTTGTGCAACCATGGAAATGTACGGGCCATGTCTTTTTTTTTGCAACATGGCCACACTGAGGAGAGGCCTTGGCGGAGGATTGATGAAACAAAAAAAACTGTTGAAAAGGTTTCTTTATTGAATAAAAGCACTGTACAAAGGTCTAGGCGTAAAGAAAACAATACTAATAATAATAATAATAAAAAAAAAAGAGACCAAAAGGAAAAGAGAGACCAAAGAGGCCAAAGAGACCAAAGCGACCAAAACCAAATTGAAAGAACAAGTGGTAGTAGGGACAAAGTTTTTATTTATTTATTTATTTTATTTAATTGTATTTTGTATTCTTGTGTCCTTGTATTCTTATTCTGTATAACACATTGTTCATGTCCAGAGTATCACAATTACAGTACATGTATATCGACATTGCAACCCATCGTCATTCTGTGACATGTTTTTCTTTTTTATTTTTTTTTATAAGGATGTTCATGGTTAGAAGAAGAAGAAGAAGAAGAAGAAGAAGAAGTTGCAAAGGAAAGATAGAGTCAAGATGAAAGAAAGAAAAAGAGAGAAAGGGTTCAAGTGAAAAAGTAAATGGGGTTTATTTTTATTTCCATTTTTTATTTTTGTTTTTATTTTTTATATTGCTTCAAGACCTGTTTAATTACGCATAAAAAGACATGCGTGTGGAGTAAAAAGAGTCACATTGATTATGAGCATATTATTATATGAACAATATATTATAAATGGTGATTGAATTGTCTCTGGCCAACAACTTCACGTTGTCATGGGACAAATTGCATTTGTCGTAATTGCAACCATATCCCAAGGAGACAGAAAAAAAGGGGGAATGGGAAGGGCAATACCCACACATGTTCACATCTATCCCCTTTCTCCCATCCACAGAAAGAGAGAACCTGCCAAGAATGAAAGGTGATCAAACTGTATCTCTCTCTCTCTACATTCTTGTTTCTTTTCTTTTTTTCTTTTTCTTTCTTCTCATATCAGTTAAGCCTTAACATCAGCATCAGTACAAGTTATTCACATCAAACCACTCTTATTCTTTTCATCATACAATTGAGAAAGAAAAAGAAAAAGAAAAAGAAAAAGGAAACAAGACTGTGGGAACATCTCTTTTTTTACCCGGTTTAAAAGTCTAGTGAGTGATGAGGATCATGATCAACATGTGCTTGCAGAGACATTAAAGGAAAAATATAAAAAGAAAAAGACTGAAAGAGTATGTGATATGCAATTGAAATGGATTGCGATCAGAGCATCCGGTATCCTCAACGGGTTCTCCTCCTACCCAAACACACTCGTACAACACTCAACTCATTGTCACTGTCATTGACACTGTCATTGCCATTGTTATTGTTGATTGATTGTCAAGAGTCTCTTTATCTCCACTCTTGCCACTGCCACTTTGCAAAAAGAAAAAAAAAAGAAAAAAAAAAAGTTAAAATTTCCCCCCCTCTTTGTCCTCTTTTAGTTTCCTTCTTTCTTTCTTCTTCTTCTCTGTGGCTCATTTTTTTTTTTTTTCTCTTTCTCTTTCTCTTTCTTCTTCTCTCTCTCTCTCTCTCTCTTTCTCTCTCCTCTGCCCTCTTTCTGTCTTCATTCTCTTGTTCACTTTGATATTTCGTGTTGTCTACTTCCCTCCCCTTGGTTCATCTGCACCTAGGAAGCCATACCCTTTCTCCACCAACTTCTTACATCCTTCCATTGGCCATCTATTTTTTTTTTTTTTTTTTTTTTTGGAAAAGGCATTCACTAAACAATCATACAATTCATACTACTTTATATATTTCCTTTTTTTATTTTATTTTATTTTATTTTATTTTTTTTTATATATATATATCTCATTTTTGGAAAATGTCTTCAGATCATCATCATGCCTCAACTGAATTCAACTCGTCGCAACATGAACAAAAGCAACAACAGCAACAAATGGCGACCGACAAGGGTAATGCTAATAGTAACACTACCACCAATAACAGTAACAGTAACAATGGCACCAACACGCAAACCCCCCAATCTGAACAACCGAAAAAGGCAAAGCGCAAGCGAATCACTCCCGAGCAACTGGAAGACCTCGTAGGACTTTTTGAAAAAACAGACACTCCTTCATTCGAGATTAGAGAGTCTCTTGCAAAGAAACTGGGCATGACTAATCGCGAGATCCAGGTATGAAGGATTCAACAGAATGAAAACGTTTAATTGATTTTACACAATATCGTCCATTCCACACTTTCATCTCCATCGGTCACTTGTTCGTGTTTGTAAAAGAGTTTAAAAAAAAAACAAAAACACGCATCCAAATACAACCCACACATTCTTGTCTTTATGGGTATGTGCACTTGCACAGATGCCAACCTTATCGGTCCCAAAAAAAAAAAAAAAAAAAAAAAAAAAAACCTTGTTCTTGTCGTTATCGGCGTGGGTGTTGATTATCGATAGCTCAATCCACTCTTGCGATCAGTTAATCCGACCAAATAACAAAACTCGTAGCTGATGGGCTGGCTCAGGGCAATGATCCTTACCGTAAACGTTTGTTAATCAGGATCTCTTTTATGACAAAAAATATTCTAGGTCTGGTTTCAAAACAGAAGAGCTAAAGCAAACAGGATCAAGATCAACGAGCAGGCCGCCTTGCATCACCAGCAGCATCTTCAAATGCAACAGCAACAGCATATGCAAGGTCATCATCACCTGTCTCACCATCGTAGCAACAGCACTAATGGATTTAGCAGCCTCCATCCTGGCCTTATCCATTCGGCCCCTGCTACGCCTCTCCAACCTTTACCAGGACACCATCATCACCATCATCAGCCCGGTAGCAGTGCCGGAGGCTCTGCCGGTCAAGAGCCATCTGCATTTGGCTATTTTGGACCAAACGGTTCGTCCTCACCACCCATGACCATGCCCACACCCACACCCCGCGCTCACTCGCAATCCCAACATGGTCAGCCCAATCGGCGTCCAGCAAGTCTTTATGATATGGGTAGCTATGGGCACCATCTTCGATCTCAACAATTTCAGCCACAGAAACCAAGCCAATTCCATCCTCACCAAACTTCCTCATCTCCGTCTCCATCGGCCCATTATGGCCATCACACTGGACATAACCAAAGCGGACATGGGCATCCTCAAGGTTTTTATGAAATGGATATTATTCTTCCCACAAACTCCTCCTCATCTCTAGCCTCTTCTTCATCACAACGACCCATCCTTCCGCCACCCATCTCCACATTACAACCTCGCAGACCAGGTCAGTCACTCGAGGACTTTAACGGTGACTCGAGACGTCCTTATAGACATGAGCGCACCATGTCAGAAGGTCATCCTGCAGGCTACATGTCCCCAACCTCAGTCTCATCTCTTTCCCCGCCTCCAGAGCGCCATATGGATATGCAGTACCGGGATGAACATGAAGAAGATTCACCCATTTCAGCAACACATCCATCCTCCTTTATCAACGGCGGTAGCAATATAGGTCATAGTGGCCATCGACATACTGCATCGCTTACCTCATTCGGACTGAAAGCTATGGGCAAAGATCGTGAAGAGAATGACGCTGTGACTACACGGGAGCGGGCCCCAGCGACTGCATATTACAATAACCCAGCCCAGGCAGCGAAAAACAGACGGTCATACGATGATTCATCATACGATGAAGATCAACAACTTATGCATGACAACTTCAATATGGAAAAGCGCCTAGTCATTTCCGAAGACGAGCCCAGACCCGAGTCAGCAATCGACCTGTTGGCCTATGCAGCTGAGATGCTTCAAAAGACTGAGGAGCACAAGACCGAGAGCAAAGAAGTGGACCCTGAGAAGAGGGAAGCATCAGGACCATTCGGGCAACTCTCCTCAAGTAATAAGCGCCAGTCATTTCATGGACCATCGGGCTACCCGAGTAAGGAGCCCTTCCACGAAGACCCTTCCTCGTCCTCGTCCTCTTCTCGTTATTCTTCCAATAGCATGGCCTGGGAACCAAGCTCATCTGCAGCCAACACCAACAGCAACCCCGATGTCATGCCAGTACCACGACGTCGAGGCGGTGATGATGGACCTTATGCACCACGCCGTCCACGGCCAGTGACCTATGGTGGCAGCGGGTACTTGTATGATCACCATGAAAACCAGTTTATGCCTCAGTCCCCTTCATCATCCCTCGGCGGGACCTATGGACGGCTATTGTCCTCAAGAGACGGTGCTCGACGCCTCACCAACCGTAACTCGACAGATGTAGGAGCCGGCGGGCTACTTCTGCAGCGTGGACTGACTCGACCACGGCGATCGTCCTCGACCACCACAACTGGCTTGAATAGCCACATGTCATCATCGTCCATACCTGTATTACCTCCAATTATCAATGAAAACCGACTGCTATCCCCTGTAATGGTAGAGTCACCACAGTTCGGTGCTACAAGGTTGGCAAGACAAGACAGTCAAGGCAATGGCACAAGGGAATCACCAGGTTCGGACTCTTATTCTAGAGACTCTTACAACGACGATATGGAGGATGTCGAAGAGGAAGATAACGAGTTTCAGAGGCAGCGGGCAGCTAAACGCCGTAGTGGGACCACCAACTCTTTTTTTGGAATGGCGGTCAAATAGATAGATAAAGTAAGCCTATCGCTTTAGGCAAGCTCCTACTTAAGGAACAAACTCATTTCCCTCAACATATTGTCCATGCTTTGTGAATACTTTTGTACAGACGGTTTTTTTTCTTTGTCCAAGCATCGTTGTTGTAACTATTGTTGTATTTTAAATTTTAATATTGAAATATTGATTTGAATTAGACAATTTATAAAATTCATTTACATCACGTGCGCACGCGTCACGTTTTTTTTTTTTAGAAACAAACAAGAAGGATGTGAGGGATGAAACGACAGAGTTCATTCTTTTACTTTTTCAGTGAACGAAAATGGAGACCCCTCAGATCACCCTTGAGACATACATTCCCCGCAAGTGGTATGCATACAAAAACATGGTCATCAGTACAGTTAGAGACAAATATTAAGAGGATCTTCCTCAGTTTGGCCAATGTTTTAGCTGAGTAGAAGGATAGGAGTGCTTGACAAGGATTTTAGGCTATTTTTTTTTTTTTTTTTTTTTTTCAACCTTCAGTTTTTGGGCGAGGAAAAAAAAAAAAAAAAAAAAAAGAAATCGACACTAATAGAGAATACAATTGGAAACGCTGCTTAAAAAATTCTGTTTATTACTATTCTTATTATTATTGTTATTATTGTCTTTTTTTTTTTTTTTTTTTGTTTTTTTTTGTTTTTTGAGAAAAGGGCAATGATAAATAATTAAATATTAACATAACAGTCTTTCCCATCAACATGACCCGTTTCAATCTTCCACTTTTTCGCCTCAGTTGGGGGAGGACGATCAGGAACGCGTGAAATGGATAGAATATTCAATCTGGCGTATGTTTTGCTGACCTACTCCCCCCTTCTTTTTTTTTTTTTTTTTTTTTTTTAAAAATAAATATAGCTCCGCCACTAATCGTCTTATTGGCGCCAAGGATCACGCCTCGGTCCAGATCAACATTGGTGATGTTGATGAGAACGGTCGCTACACTGGCTCCTTCACCACCTATGCTCTTTCTGGTTACGTTCGTGCTCAGTCTGAGGCTGATGACTCTATCAACCGCCTTGCTACTAAGGATGGCTGTATGTGTCTTTTTTTTCTTTTTCTTTTTCTTTTTTTTTTCTGAATAAGCTCAATTTGTTGGTGTGTATTGCCTTTGATTCTGACCCTCTAATTTCTCATTTCGATTTAATTCTAGTGTTGTCTATGGTCTGGAGCTACCAAAAGTAGATTATTAGGGGTTTCCCTTGGAGATTCTCTCCTATAAGATTCTCTCCTTTAAAATTCCCCCATCTTTTCAATAATAAAGTTCTTGGAAGGATTTTTTGAGATCTTCTCTTTATTCTTGGATGTTCATCAGTATAGAGCATGTCCTTTGGGTATACGACTCTACAAAGGAAAAGTGCGCTCGGACAATGACGCCCCGTGAAAATGATGATTGGAAAATATTGAATAGAGAGAGGAAAAAAAAAAAAGAAAAGAGTCTATGGAAAAAGGATAAGCTTAAAAATATATAAAATGAATATATATATTGATATTATATAAAAGTCAAAAAAAAAAGAAGCAAATTAGAAGACAGCGTTCTTGAGATCCTCCAGGGATGCGATTGAAATAGGAGTCTTGATAGATTTCCCTGCAACGATATCACTCAAACCTTCTCCGGAATAAGTGACTAAAGGTGAGATCTCCAGCGTTGGCGCTCCCTCGATTTGTTTGTCGTCTTCGCCCACGATGACCTTGCCACCAGCATTCTCAATGAAGCGCACGTGCTGTTGCAAAATATCACGTCTCGAAGTCTCTGGGCAATCCTGACCAGTACCCGGTGCATTCTTGAGTGGCGAGAATTCCTCGCGGCGGTCGACCTCAAAGACGGCCATACGCTGTGTGAAGGGGAAGACATCAAAAACAAACATTTCGAGCTTCATCCCATTAACTTGCTTTGGGGTAATGACCTGACCGGTAGCAAAGTCAAGTGATTTGATTTTCTTGCGAGCAATATGATATTCGAGCTCTCCTTCAAATGACTCGACCCTGTTCAAAAAGTCAACCGTGTAAAAGTGGTTCGCGATGTTGCCGGCTCCAAAGGCCAACTGTCCATTCTTGGGGTTGATTCTATGCGCGACCTCTTCATCAATCTCAGAGTACTCAACAACATTGAAAGTAGCATTACGGAGGCAGACAACTCCAACGGGCTCATCAGGAGACTTTTTACGGACAACCTTGGCTCCACAATCGGCGTTCTTTTGGATGCAGTATCCAATAAAGACGGGGTCAGCTACACGGACCAAGCAGTTATCGACACAATAAGCGTGAAGGTACTCGATCTTGCGTTCTGCCATGTTAGCCAACACTCCAGTCCCACGCAATGCAGCATAAACTCCTCCGTTACCATCGGGAGCAACAGCGATCTGGGACTTGGACTCCATCATGATCTTGCCATCAAAAGTCATGCATGGTAAGGTTCCTATATTACGTAACCAAGATATCACAAGTGCATATTAATTTATGAACCTTTAGCTATTCAGTTATTTTGTTAGAGTAAGCTCGTGCAACTTGGTTCCATGTTGGACACAAGAAAAAGTGCAACTAATAATCCTCCATGACGCATTATTATTGATTTCCATTGTAATACTCGGATGTGTTTTTTTTTTTTTTTTTTTTTTTTTATATATAACCGTTGCTATCCTGCCGTCGTGACGAAAGTCGTGCTCGACTCTAAATCCGACTTCTCAGCAAAAGTGGTTCTTTCTCCTTGTGCAGCTCTTATCAATTTGAAATAGAAATGAACAATGCCAGAATCCCAAAAAGACGTTTGTCCGGGTGACCTTTGGGAGTGTTATCTCTCTTATGTTCACGTCAATAGGTGGCCAATTTTTTTTAGATTGCTCAACAATGTGATCGGAGAAAAGCAAAGGTGTATTCGGGGGCTGGGCTGGTTGGGCTATGTATAGACAGACGGTTCCATTGATAGCTTAAAGACTTTAAATGACAAAACCATCAACTAGTGATATGTGAAAAAGTTCCGCGCTTGCCTTGCGGATCGATCCACGATATTCCTGACCCATCACTACAACTGCTTTCTCATGATTCACTCTTACCTTGCTCAAAAAAGATAACGTTCTCACGATCGAGTCCAAAATAATTATGCTCTTCAAAAAACTTTGTAGTGGCAGGACGAGTGGGACCTGAGGTCATGATGTACCAGGGGATCACGACCTTTCTTTGAGCACCCTCTTGCTGGGAAGCCAACTGTTGCAACTTGAGGATACGCTCTGCCTGGATCTGGAACAAAGATTTGGAGGAGGGTAGGTCGATGTTATAACAACCCTTGGGCGCAGAGGATCCCAGACGGGTACCTTGTCCTCCAGCAAGCAGGATCACGCCAACTTTATTCTGCGAAATCTGCTCGAGACCAATTGTCTGCCACTCTTGAATCTTTTCTGAAGAGGCTTCTAAGGTAGAGTCGAAGCATTCTTCAGGCAGCGGTGCGAGGAGAACAGATTGGTTAGTGAGCATGGGAGAAGGGCAAGTGGTAGCCTTTTGGTGGATACGGTTGGATCGCTCAACATTGAGTGTCTGAAGTTGAGCAAGAAGGTGTGCTTGCTCTTCGTCCGAGAGGTCATCATAGAATGTAAGGAGGTGGCCCTGGCCAGCAGCCTGGTATCGTTCCTTGATTTGCTGGTAGGTCAGGGACGCAGCATCGATGGTGGCGTCGACAGGTTTTGGGGTCTGGATAGACAATGGAGTGTTTGCAGAAATCATGACAGAGGTCAGGAGCGTGTGAAGAGGGACAAAACAAAAAAAAGAAAGAGAGAGATAGAGGGTATATGACGAAGGTGAAGAAATGTGACGATGAGTGAAGAGATGATGAGATGGACGAGAAGCAGAGGAAAGATGAAATGAGCATAAAAACAAACTTCATTTTTCTGGTGCAAACTAAGTGGACAAGGACTAGCCAGCACCAATACCAGAACAGGACAGGAACAGACCCAAGAACAAAATTAATCGCCACGGCTGCCCTGATTGGCTATTCTTTTGGACTATTCATAGATTCATATTCCTCAGAGATCTTTCCTCAGAGGTAGACAACTGTTGGGCCATGTTTGGTAGTCTTTTAACGGATATAATCACACTCTGGTAATGCTCATACCCTTCTGAACCAACAAGAGACTTTGTCTCATGGACTTTAAGCCATATTAGAGGGATGGTAGGGCTCTAGTCTACATTATATCAGATAAAATGTCTGCAAAGTGTACATTTTATCATACTCAGGCCCCATAATGGACAAACAAGCCACACCTCATTGTTGCGTTGTAGCAGGCTGTGAGTTTCGGGATCCTGTGCTAGCTATATCGTCCCGATCCTTAATACCATCCAGGAAGGCTTCGAGAGTTTCTGTTGGTAATTGAATGGATTGTCGCTTTCTTGATCGTGTTTTATATCGTCTTCATCGTCCTCATCGCTTTCATGATCTGGAGCTATTATCGGTGACGAAAAGAAACTGCTCTCGCGACTATGTGATCACGAAGCTCGATAGGGAGATCTCTTGTACAGGCTGTTCTAGGAATGTAATGGCTACGATGATGTTTCGCAAAGGTCGAGTAGGTCTGTTCCTTTATCCTTGAGTAAAAAAAAAAAAAAAAAAAGAAAATGGTCGAATTTTACATGTGGCTCGCACACAATTTTTTCCAGCTTATTTTTTTTTTTTTCTCCGGCTTGATTCAACATCGGTGTTTTTTATAATCTCATCCAACTTATCGTCTCTGTAAAAAAAAAATCGAAAGAAGGCGCCTTCGTCCTCTTTAACATCCGTTGATCGAAGGAGTCAGTGGACGTATACAGAATGGTTCGTATTTGTCAGAGGTTTGTATATTGGAGGTGTAGGAAGTTTCACTTGTTTTTTTTTTTACCTCTAGATCCTCGCCCCTATAGATTCTTTCTTCTAGAAGAAATCTTGCCTTCACTGAAAGCCTCTTCGACAGTCTCTTCCTCTAATAGTTGGCCATCTTGTAGAAACAGAATCGAGTCTCTCTCATGACAATGAGGGATATTTCATCCAATTCTTCAAGAAGCAAATGCAAACTCATCTTCAAAATATGAAGGGCAAGCACCCTCAAAGTCATCAAGTTGGGGCCGATAGTCCTCACGAACAAGATGATGGAGATAAAAAAAAAAAACAAGGAGCCAGGAAAACTAACTGCCAGAAACACTGCTCTCCTTCGCGACTACTCCTGTTAAATAACTACGGTTGTGGAGACCATGTTGATTAATATTAGATTTCCCAAGAAAGAAATTTTAATTCCTCGTAGGCTTTTCAAGTAATTTGTGCGGAGAGCTTTCGCACAACCACAGGACCTCTAAACCCTAACTATGACATGGGTAAGTTGCATTGGAATGAAAATATCATTACTTCACCAGATTCCAGAGGTCAAGTTCTTTCAATCAGTTTATGAATAGGGGATGAGACTCCACATAATAGAGTTTTGTCTAACTGCGGTTTTAGAATTTAGGCCAAGGGATACTTTGCTTCTAGACATCATTTGTGAATACGCGACGTTTCGCTCATAGACCCTGAATCATTGTTGAGTAATATGCAGAACTCGACAAATCTATAGCAAGTCTCAGCAAGATTGTTTGAGGGGGAAAAAAAAAATGTTTGAGCTGAGACTGAAAGTAAAGTTGATTGATTGACAATGGCCTTGTCGCTGTGAACAGTTGAACTTTAAACTATCAGAATACTTTTTTTTTTTTTTTCTTGCTCTGACTTCTGCAATCTTTTCCATTTTTTTTTTTTTTTTTTTTTTTACATACGCTTACTTCACTTCACGACCGCGTCTTCATTATTGCCAATACTCATAACGTCCTTATCAAAGTTGGTGCATAGCCATGTACCGACCCTCGCTATCACCAAACACGGGTAGCACTAGTGCATCCCAGGAACAGGAGCCAGCATACTATGGTATTCTTCAGAATCTTTTATCTAAATCTCCAACGAAATCACAACAAAAAAAGAGCTCGCTTGAGGATATCATTGATGAAGAACTCCGTGATGATGGAGAGCATGAACGTCAGGAAATATCTCCAGACGAAACCTATCAAAATATCCACACAGGTCAATGGGGTGAAGGTCCAAGTAACGTGAACGTTGTAGATGCAGAACACGATTTCCGGCGGTTAGAATGTACACTTACCAGGGAATCTCGTCACAGCGGTTTGGGGACCACTGGAAAAGCTGGAATTGTTCGGAGAAAGAGCTCTATTCCGCCTCAACAGCAACAGCAGGCAGAGCTGCCTCAGAAGGAGGCCGGCGGGCAGGAAATCCCGTTTGACTATGAAGCCCTTCTCAAAGAAGATATTCTACCGGGCTTTGCAGAAAAGGGTATCAAGATATGGACAATGGGTGTGTGCTGGAAACAACTAAGTGTCATTGGCGAAGGCGTTGAGAATCGGTATATTGCCACAACAGGCGATCCCTTTGTAGCGTTCTTCAACTTTATCAACCCTCTTTTTTGGGTCCGTAAATGTACGAACAGAAAAATATCTTCCAAAAAAACTAAGACGATCCTGTATCCCATGGATGGATGCTGTGAAGGAGGCGAAATGGTCTTGGTGCTGGGAAGGCCTGGCGCGGGTTGTTCAACCTTATTGCGCGTACTAGCAAATGACCGCAAGAATTACAAGAAAGTTTTAGGAGAGGTCTCCTTCAACAACCTGAGTGCTGACATTGTTGCTAAGCACTATAAGGGTGAGGTGCTCTATAACCAGGAAGGCAAGTAGTACTCAGATTACATTTTTTTTTTTTTTTTTTTTTTTTTTAAAAAAAAAAGAACTTCATCCTTTGGACGTTACCTTTCATCAAGTTAAAACAGTCAAAATTCGCTACCTTTTACTTCTAGATGACTTTCATTATCCCAGTCTGACCGTTAACCAAACGTTGGACACCGCCCTCAAAGCCAGAACGCCGCGTGCTCGTCTCCCAGACATTACGGGCCGAAAGGACTTTCGGGAGAAGTTCCTTGATGTTCTTACAAAGATGTATGGCCTAACGCGCCAAAGAGACACTCTCGTCGGAAATGCCTTTATCCGAGGCATTTCGGGCGGCGAACGTAAACGCCTTTCCATTGCAGAACAGATGGCTACGCGATCCAGCATTAACATGTGGGATGGATCCACACGTGGTCTGGATGCCTCATCTGCTCTCGACTACGTCAAGTCCCTTCGAATTCAGACAAATCTATTCCGGCAAGCCACTTTAGTCTCCATCTACCAGGCTTCCGACAGCATTTACCGCCTGTTTGACAAAGTTTTAGTGCTCTATAAGGGTCGTTGCATATATTTCGGTCCAGCGAAGGATGCGAGGCAATACTTTATTAGTATGGGGTTTTATTGCCCAGAACGTCAGACAACAGCCGAATTCTTGACGGCAGTTACAGACCGACATGAACGCAAGCCTATGCCGGGGCTTGATCCCACAGCAGCTTCAAATCTTCCAAGCACTCCAGAGCAGTTTGAGCAGCTTTATAAGCAGTCTGTATATTATGATCAAGCAATCAAACAGCTAACAGAATATGAGGCTCGGTTAAGTGACGAAGGTGCTAATGAAAGCTTCAGGGAGACCGCCCGCCTGGAGAAACAGAAGCACGTTTCCATCAAAAACCCATATACAATCACGTATTGGAACCAAATCTGGGCAATGGTCATTCGCCAAATTTATCTCGTGAGAGGAAACATCGGAAGTTTAGTGTCACGCTATATTTCTGTAAGAAGCTTAGAACTATAGATCAAATCTCCAGAAGAGAATGCGCCTGTTTGGTTCCTAACGATAAGCTGACTAACATTTCCCTCTTCTGGTCTTGTTACTAGATGATAGTCTTGGCCATTATGGTTGGAACTTGTTTCTTACTACTGCCTACTACTAGCACCGGTGAGTACCCGCGTTTTTTCCTATGGTTATGACCACATGAATGTGCACTCTGATCAGCTGTTCCAATGTTTAAATGTGTTGTCCATATAATTGTTTGGTCGTGGCCTCTGTCATTTAGGTGCATTTACCAGGGGAGGCCTCATCTATTTCTCAGTACTCTTCAATGCTTTGGTCGCGGAGGAGGAGCTTACGACGGTCATTGATGGACGGCCTATCCTTTACAAGCTCAAGAAATATGCCATGTATAGACCTAGTGCACTTTGCATTGCACAGGCTATCGTTGACATCCCAATTAATGTGATTCATACGCTGATTTATTCTTGTATCGTGTATTTCATGGCGGGGTTGCAGCGAACAGCCGGAAAGTTCTTCATTTTTGTACTCGCTTTAACACTTGCAACGCTCTGCATGACAGCGTTTTTTCGATTATGGTACGGATCCAAAGTCTATAACAATGAGTCTTGGAGATCAAGGGAAATAACCGCTTTACTCAATCAGACTCTACATCTCGATATCCCTTATTATTATTCTACTGTAGCGGGTGTGCGTCAAGAACATTCGATGGTGCGAATACGTACGCAAGCGTAATCGTGCTGGGATGTATTTTATTTTCGGGATATCTTATTCCATATCAATCATTGCATCCATGGTTTGTTTGGCTCTTCTGGATGTAAGTCTTTGATCAATGCTCGATCTGTACCGCTTGGTGCCATCAAATATCGCTTATGATTGCAAATATGCAAAGAAAATAGGCATCTCTTTTAACATCAAAATTGCTAAATATAGAAATCCTTTGGCGTATGCCTTCAAGGCTCTGATGGCTAATGAAATGTCAGGTCTACGCTTCACATGCGATGCGCCTTACTTAATTCCTCATGGTCCTGGATACGATAGCACTGCCAATCAAGTCTGCACTATAGCAGGTTCAAAGCCCCAACAAAATTACGTAGATGGACCTGACTACCTTTATGGTGCATACCGATATAAGACGTCAGAGATGTGGATTAATATTGTAGCAGTTGCATTATTTTGGATACTCTTTACAGTTGCCGCCGCCTGGGTCATGGACACAAAAGAGTATGGCAAGGGAGGGTTCAGCACCAACGTGTTCAAGAAGCCTAAGAAGGGAAAGCTACCCAGAGGTTCTGTGAGAGGAGCAAGCATCCACCCTGCTCCTGATGTGGAACAAGGCTTGGGCTCTCAGCCCTATCAGGCTGCTTCTTCAGCTGATGAAACGCACCTGGATACTACTGAAAGGGCGCCGTCAGGAGGGGATATAGCCAAAGGATCTGTTTTCTCATGGGAAAACATGGATTACGTGGTCCCAAATAGGGCTGATCCATCAGGAAAGAAACAACTATTGTGTAACATTACAGGTTATGTGAAACCAGGCACCATGACAGCTTTAATGGGGTCCTCAGGAGCGGGAAAAACTACGCTGTTAGATGTGTTGGCTCAAAGAAAGACCATAGGAACTGTGACAGGACACATTGAAGTTGACGGTCAACCTCTGCGTCGAGATTTCCAGCGCACAACGGGATATTGTGAGCAACTAAATGTGCATGTCCCAGAAAGTACTGTCCGTGAGGCACTTCGATTTTCTGCTTACTTGCGACAACAGGCTGAAGTCTCGAAAGCTGATAAGGAGGCATATGTAGAGAAAATCCTCCAAATCCTCGAAATGGAAGATATTGCGGATGCGATGATCGGAAGCACGGAGTCGGGCCTAGGGATCTCTGTTGAGGAGCGAAAGCGCCTGAGCATTGGAATAGAGCTGGTGGCAAAGCCCAAGTTATTATTCCTGGACGAGCCTACATCCGGATTGGACGCGCAAGCAGCCTTCAGTATTATGCGATTCATGCGCAAGTTGACAGACCAGGGTCAGGCCATTTTGTGCACAATCCATCAGCCTTCAGCGCAGTTGTTTGAGTTCTTTGACGATATTCTCTTGTTGGCAAAGGGTGGCAGGACCGTTTACTTTGGGGAAATAGGCCAAGATTCTTCAAGTATCATCAATTACTTTGAAAAAAACGGGGCACCTAGGTGTACCGAGGATGCCAACCCAGCAGAATACATCTTAGATGTGATCAACTTAAGGAGTTCTATGGATTGGCCTGTGCTCTGGGACCGCTCGCCAGAAAAGCAGAAGTTACTAGGGGATATCCAAGCGATACGCCAGGCTCTTGAAAGCAATGGCCCTAACATTGCAGACACGAACCCCTCACAGGAACGCGAGTACGCCGCTAGTATGGGCACGCAATTCAAGTATGTCTTTAAGCGTATGGCAAAAACTTACTGGCGTCTCCCTGAATACAACCTGGCTCGCCTTGAAATGATGGCTGTCTTTGGATTGTTGAACGGATTTGCATTCTTTCGCCTCGGTCACAGTTTGGTTGATCTCCAATTGCGTGTCTTTGTGGTTTTTCAAATTTTGGTGTTATCGCCAATATTGGTTAACGCAGTCCAATACAGATTCCATGCGGAGCGACAGTGGTATATCCGTGACAAGGCGAGTAAATACTATGGTTGGTTTCCATTTTCAGCTTCAATTATTTTGATCGAGTTACCTTGGGTTCTCCTTACTTCGACGGTCTTTTTTTGCACGCTTTACTGGACCACCGGTTTTACGACGGATCCAATTTCAACATTGTATACGTACTTGACAACGGTAATCTATACAGTTTTTTCGGTCACTCTTGCACAATGGATTGTAGCTTGGACTCCCGACATTCATACCGCCTTTTTTTTGGACCCATTCGTTTTGAGTGCTCTGAGCCTTTTTTGCGGTGTTAGCATGGTAAGCTGAAAAAAAAAAAAAAAAAAAAAAAAAAAAAAAAAAAAAACAGCTCTAGACTACGCATGAAAATTATTCTGATACACCACAATTTTGTTTCGTTTTTTTAATACAGCCATACGAAAGTATGCCAAAGTTTTGGCGATCATGGATATACTGGCTAGACCCGGTACGTCTCAAAAATTGAATAGATGGATATATTGTTTATTGTTGTCATGTGGTGATTCCATGTACCCGTGTTTGACATCCGTAGGATTACTGATACGATGCTTTCTCTTTTTTGACCCTAATGCAGAACCGGTACACTGTCGAGGGTCTCGTGACGAGCCAACTATATAATCTCAAGGTAGAATGTGCGGATTCAGAATACAATGTCTTTCAGCCTCCTTCCGGTCAGGCCTGTGGAGAATATGCTGCATCATTCTTGCAGCAAGCACCCGGATACCTCAACAACCCAAACGATACATCCAATTGCCGTTACTGCCAGTACTCAAAAGGGCAGGATTTTTATAAGGGCTTGAATATGGACATATCATACCGGTGGCGAGATCTTGGGATTTCATGCCTCTTCCTTGCCACCAATGTCCTCCTGATTATGCTGGGAGTCCGGTTCTCCAGGACTAATAAACGTTAGGGTGTGTCTATATCATGACAGAAACACAAATGATGTGGAATTAAGAGGGAAGGATAGCAGTAATAGTTTACACATAGAAAAAGACAGAATATTAAAAGCAGGGCTGGAGAACAAGATTGTTCACATTCACATTCGTATTGTTATATGCTTGGTTCACCAAAATTAAATACTTTATTTCGTAACATTTTTGATATTTGGATCTGCAACAAGTGACCCAAAAATAAATACTAACATAGTTTAAAAGACTCCAGACCTTACTCGGTCTTTTTCTTATCTGCGTCTGATGACGTAGCGCCATCCTGATCTTCATTCTTTCCAAAGTACTTGAAAATCAACTCCTTGGCATGGCCAGCAGCAGCACCCGCGGACGCGGCAGCAGCACTTGCTTGGGCTGCAAATGGAATTGTTCCTTGAACGTGATCACTTGGATTCTTTTCACGTTCTTTGATCTTAATCTTTCCTTCCTTGACCTCCTGTGCCGTCCGCAAAGCCGCCAGCCTGGTCGTGTGCAAGAACGCTCTGCGCGATATTCCAGCGTTATCGAAATAGACGAGCGTAAAGTTTCGGAATCCTTCAAGAGCCTCAGTGACCAACTCCTTTGCATCTGGTCCAAGAGTTCTACCAGCCAAATCCTGAGCCGCAGTGATGGCAGGGGCAGAGATAATGCCAATAGACTCTTCTGTGGCCTGGATCAAGACGCCAGCCGAGTTCAGGATCGAGTAGCAAATGTTTTGCATAGTTGAATACGATTGTGGGTCATCTTTAGAAGTCCAGTACTTGATAGCTCTGTAACCGGTACTCATGGCTTTATTGACGATGGCAGATTTGATGCGGCTGGTTACTGAGAAGGTAGTGCGGCTAAGTTTGGCGACGTTACGGATTCGATTCTTGATAAAAGGCGAGATCTTGAGAGGTTTTTGTGTTTCAGGGATCCTGGAATTGAGATACGTGCTCGAACTGTTTACGTAATTTTTTTTTTTTTTTTTTTTTTTCAAGGTAAAAGAGAATTAGGTTTGATGAAAAATAAGACGAATCATGTCAATAGTAGACTCAGTGTATGTGATATGGTCTCACCTAACAATACCACCAGCAACGACGGTTGCGCCTTTGACCATTTGCTCACCAAAGATTTGGGAAGCAGTGGTAAGGTAATCAGCCATGTCGTCGGCTGAGGGTACTGTGATTCTGAGCCGCAATGGCTTGTCTTCCTAGAATTTTTTTTTTTACAAAGTACAAAATAAATGAGGGTAAGACATTTGAATATGGAAAAAAAAAAATTCTCGTAAGCAGATTCACAGCGAGTACTAACATTTTCATCTTGTGGTTCTATGGCCTCGATCACAACGGGTGATTTCTGGTTTTCTGAGAGAGAAACAGCATCATCGTCCTCCATCTGAACACCCTCTTGGTCCAAAACACCGAAGATTTGACCTACATCATCAACCAGTGCCAACTGGTTTCGCAATTGGTACTGATTCGTGTACACAACTCTGTCTGTCAAGATGTTTTCGAGAATCGTAATTTCTTCCTCAGAGGCACTATGCAATTGATGGGTAAAAAAAGATGTTTTGTCAATAAACTTAGCAAAGTGACGACATTGGCGATCATTTGTTCTGTCCCCAAAAAAAATTCTTCTTTGGAGTTTGCATTTTTGGACAGTATCATCACCAGCAACAATGACAATAACAATGAAAATGACAGCAGTAGCAGACATTATACATTATATGCAACTATTGTCATGTCATTGTTAAATGTGATGTTCATTAATATTTTTTTCTGATTTGACATGGCCCTGCACTCACTTTGGTAACTGAAGCTCCAAGTATCCATTGCCTGCTACCGAAAATTGCCATGTTCGATCACCAACTTTTTGAGCTGTAGATCTTGGCATCAGTGGATGGGTGATTAGGCTCTTATGTGACTTTGTAGAGGCGTCGTCTGTCTCCAGACTCATGAATGTCGTTGGAGGTTCGGTAGGACCATCAGCTCCTGAGGGATTTGTGGACGGAGGGATTATGCCTGGTAAAGAAGACGAATACACACGGAGCTCACCATGGCCGACCAATTTTTTTGGAGCTGTTTTACTAGAGAGCTGTGAGATGGCTGCATCCTTGATCGCCAGAATGACCTGGATAATCGTGGGGGACTCCGGATTGCTTGAAGAGGCAGACATGAGGAAGTAATAAAAAACAAAGAGTATGAAAGGAAGTGGAGGGTAAAGGCAAAGAAAGTGAGTGAAAGTTTTTTGGTGATGGATAAAAGACGATTCTGCTTTTTATATCAATGGTCTGCAGGTTTGCACGGACGTCATTTTTATTTTATTTTATTCCCATCTCAAATAAAGTTATTCGAGAGACATTGACATTATAATTTTTAGCGTATCAGAGACATGATAAAAATGACACCAGACGCGAGACTTCAAACTGAAAAGAATGTTATTGGTTTTTTTTTTTTTTTTTTTTTTTTTTTTTTGACAATAAATTATCTGTGATGGGCCTGGCGATCACCTTCATTTGAGGCATTCACACTGGCTGCCTCCAGTTCTAGAGAACTAACATCGGGGTACGGGTACTTTTGAACCATGACCGAGCCTTCGCTACAGTCTGGAGCTATCACAGTACTTCCCAACTGATCTGACAAAGCCATTCTTGAATGACCCATTGCTTCCATTGATAGGATCATTCTAAGTAGCCCCTGTTTCTCTGCCTCAGAACGAGCCAGTTTCTCTAGTGCTATTGCACGCTCTTCTCTGGCCTTAGCAACCTCTAATTGAGCTGTTCGGCTCTCTTCTCTCGTCTTTGCAACTAATGTCAAGGCCTCAGCTCTACATCTTTCTAATTCAGATTCACGGTTCCGAATACGTTGTTCTTGTATTTCCTTCTTGGCAAGGTCAAGGTCTTCCTCAGCTTGCCGTCGGAGACTTGTCTCCTGGAGCGTCTGTATTTTCTCCAGCTCCAGCTGAAGACTTGCTTGAAGCATATCTCTCTCAGCATCTCGCCTAAGGTTTATCTCCTTCATAGCCTGTGCCTGTTGCCCATTTTTAATTTTGAGATCCTGAATTTCGTCCTTTAATAGTGCCATTTGGCGACTCAAAGTCTCGTTTTGCTCCACAAGCTTCTCCTGTGTCCGAACCTCAGAAAGCACTTGCTGGATTTGCTCAACTAACATCCGAGCATTGGGCTCAGAGCTAACGACTGCAGACACACGATGTTTGTTAAGCCAGTTTCGTTGCTCGTCCACCACCTGGCCGTATCCCGTATGTACAAGGCCCGCTCTGGGTTCAGTATGCTCCGCTGGCGAGACAGGCAAAGATGAAGTCAAGCTTGATTGACCCTGTCGGGGTGCGTTGTCAGCATTATGTGTGGTGGAACTCGCTTGCGGTCTGTCTGTCATGTTTCCTTGACCTGTCCCTTTTTCGTTACAGTAGCCTTGACTTGCTATTGCAGCTTCTGGGGCGGATGACTCTGCTTTGGTCTGTAAAAGAGGACCAAATGTTGCCTCAGAGGTGGGTTGTGCTGGAATTAATTGGGGATCTATTTTGTCACTCGGATTCTGAAATATAGTATTACTAGTAGCGTCTTCGACCTTTTGGATGGCGTTGCGCTTTGGTTGAGATGGCTTGATGATCGGTAGTTGCTCTCCTTGGGTACTAATGATCGAAGGCAAGTCCGAAAATTTATGAGGTGTGGGCATGGTTGCCATTACTGAGGTTGAAGACGTCGTTGGCTTTGAAACATTGGTTTCACGGGCTTGTGCCGCAGCCGGAGATGGTGTTGTTGTAGATCCATGCCCTTGTAGCATGAGGCTCGAGCATGCTACAGCATATCCTACTTTCGATACCGAGCTTGAGGATGATGCCGGCATGGATCCTTGATTCTGCGGCATTGAGCCTGTAGGAGTCTTTAGAATGTCCCTTCCTTGTGATGTTGAGCCTGAAGGCAGTACTGACGTAGGTTCTCCTCCTTGTGGTTTTGAGTGCAAGGATGGTATTGTCGTGTCTTTTGGCCCTTGAAGCATGAGAGGCGAAGGTGGCATTCCTACAGGTTTTTGTTGATGTAATACTGATATTGAAGGCGAAGGCACTATAGGACCATGTCCATGCGGAGCCGAGCTCGAGGAAGACACGGCTTCGGTTCTAGTTGACTTGGCGTTTAGAGACTGAAAGCCCTGGCTCTGGACTTTATCGATGGACATCTCTGTTGGCTCGACCTCTAGCTTCACGGCAACGCTTACTGAGGAAGTGTGAGCATGTGCAGGCGCTGCAATCGATTTCTGACCCATCTCTGTACTGTCCGGTACGCTTAAGGGTGGGCTGAAAGTCGTCTTCGGAACCACCGGATTATTGATGGTATGCGTAGGAAATGAAGAGGCATTAATTGAATGCGGCACTGATGGGGAGTTGTTGAAGTCCTTTAATCGATTGAGAGCAGTTTGCGCTTGAGCATTTTTATCCCTTGGGTGAATGGTTTCTGGTTAGTTTATGATCCATGTTTACAAAAAAAAAAAAAAAAAAAAAAAAAGAGGAGAAGAGAAGGATTGTTAGAAAACAGATCCTTGGAGATAGCCAGATGTTAGGTCGGAGCGGAAAGATTACCTCTATGATCATCAAGTTTTAATCGCGACGCAGACTTTTCAGTTTGTCCATGTGCATCTGGAGAGTTCTCTAGGTTGGGTTCGAATGCTCTTTTTGAAGGAATTACTGGGGAATCTGCTTGAATTCGTCCAGCAGAAAATGTTCCTGGCGTGGATACACAATGACAGGTAAAATAGATTAAACGGTGAGATTTAGACCTGATTGGAAGAATCTGATAACAACTTTTCATCTTTATTTGATCTTTTATTACCATGAAATGAATGCTTGACATCCAGAGAAATCAGAGGATTTGGGTTTGGGGCATTTGATACGCTTGATATGTTTGATGTGCTCGGTATGTTTGATGTGCTTGGTATGTTTGATGCACTTGGCATACTTACTTTAAGTTGTCTTCCAGGGAGAAATTTGTCAAGCAACTCTGCATGATGAACCACCTTATCTATAATATCACCTTTACTTTCCAGATGGAATGGAGTGTCTTCTATTCCAAGCAGCTGGTCAATCGTACGAATGCAAAATTGATAATTCTGGATAATAATGCACGCATCTGCATAGAAATCCAGTTGGTCCTGTGGATGCGCGATCTGGAGCATATAGTTTTGCAGGCTAGATTGATATCTGATGAACCTGTTGATTCTTGCCAGCGAAAAACTGCGCTCAGTGGGTGACAAGCCTACACCTGCCTCCTCCAGCTTATTTTTGCGAAGCTCTAAATCATTTATCACTTTCTCCACACGTTTCTTACAAAGGAATGTTATGAAACCTGATGCTGGCTGATTCTTTCGGTAGATTTCAATATCTGCTTCAGATTTCGTGGGCGGTATTGGCGGAAGCAGGTTACTGTACTCTTTTTTAGGGAGCATCCACCAATCCATTTGTGTATTATCACTTGAGGATGCTGATGAATATCCTTCGTTGGGATCAGCAGTATCATGATTAGACGCACTGCTGTAGCCAGATAAAGGTGAATTACTGGCATTTTGTCCTAGTAGACTTCTATTGAAATTCCTTGCTCGTGGTCTGCTTCGTCCTCTGGCTGGACTAGCACGATTGATCATGGTTGCAGGAGCATTATGGCTGGTATCGCTGTCTTGACGTCTAATGCTAGTGTCATTATTGTGAGCGCCGTGACTATGCCCGGGACTTAGATGATTATTGTGTCCGCGCTTGCTGATTGTGCCTCTGTTGCTACTGCTGTTGCCATTTGTTTTGTTGGAAACAATTCTGCCACGACCACGGCCACGGCCACGGCCACGGCCACGACTACGACCACGAGCACACCAATGTCCTACTTGATCTTGTGAGTGATCCATTATATAGAAATGTTTTAAATGGTGTAATTAGACTGTTGCTGAAATTACTGTAGCAGATCTGTTTTACCCTTCAACTGCAGATCAACATTCGGAGCCTTTCCAAATAAGGTTTTTCTTTCTTTTAAGCTCCGCATGTACATGTTTACCATGAAACATTCCATGGAGCACTCCACCATCCGCCTCCTAGACATCTCACTTGTCCTCGATGAAATCGTTTCTTACCTCTCTCCTCGGGACCTAAGCCGTTGTGTTTGTGTCTCTAGATCATTTTGGTCCGCATTCGTACCTTATCTTTGGCGCAACATCCATCTTAGACTTGCTGCCCAGGAGAGACGCGACTTTGTCAGCTCGAACTCACCTTTTCTCCTTCAATCGGAAACCACACCTGATACACGTCGAGACCTATATCGATATTCCGTCCGATCCATCAAATTGGCAGCCGCTCTACCAATATGGCTAAATCAAGTTGATGGCAACACTATGAGCTCATCCGCCTCGCAATCATTGATACCACTCTCGCATTTATCTTTCTTCCCAAACCTTGTTCGCTTCAAGTTCCGGAACCAGATGACTAGCAATAATCGGCTACAAACAGAGGATATAGCAATTGTAGTATCTCGGATCCTGGCCTTCATGACAGTCCACTCAACGCTTAATGAAATCGAGCTATCATACCTCAAAGTCGATGCCGATTTTATACAGAAGTTTAGCGCGGTTATGAGCAGCTTATCAGGGCTTCAAAAACTTGTCTTGACGTTAACAGGCAGAATCTCGCTTGCAGATCACTTACAAATACTTAAAGCTGGTCTACAGTTGGAAAAGCTCCATGTGTCGGTTGACTCATCCATATACGAAAACCAAGAGGTGGGACTGACAGAATTGGATATGTATAGGCAGCAGATAGAACTGATGAAAAGTGAGCATGGCAGGATCAAAGACTTGAGTCTCAACACAGAACTGTTTGAAATAATCATAGCGGACTACTTGGCTCGATGCCCATTTCTGGAGCAGCTAGTTGTCCATAGCCCTCCGACAGTATCCTCTGCAGTGTATCAGGATATCTCTAATGTTATCAAAACTCACTGCCCAAGATTGAAGCACTTAGACATTAGGACAGTATTGATGGGTGAAGTCCCACAAGCCAAATTGATCTTGGCTTGTTTGCCATCATCGGCCGCATTGTACGAAGAGCGATCAGGATTAGAATCAATAGCCACTCGTCTCTACGGGTCAACTACAGATATAACATTGAATGCGATGCTGGCACATCAGACAACCTTAACATCAGTGCGTATCAGTCAAGGGAAAGGCATTACTGCCACGGGACTGCAGCGAATTACCACGAGTTGTACCCACTTGAAATCGCTTGCTGTCAGACTGATCTTTGGAGATGCAATCCCGATCCTCATGGACGGAATAGCCAACACGCAGTGGGAATGCACGAAGTTACGCTCCCTTTCAATCTTATTTGTTGATAATTGTACAATTACAGGACGAGAGCCTGCTACGCAGTACCTGCAGTATCTCTATGGACAAATCGGGACGATGACGGAATTAGAGACTCTCTCCTTCAGAATGGGACATGCTGGGTGGGTGCCCATGCGACATACCTTCATTGACTGCCTGGGAAAGCTTTATCAGTTGAGACAGCTTCGAGTGTTTGGGTTTCGCAAGGAAGAGGCTAGCATGCTCAAGAAACACCATATAGAGGCCATGCTCCAAAGTTGGCCAAAGCTAGAGCAACTGGCTGGTCTACTGGAAGACTTTCGAACGAATAGCTTAGCGCAATGGTTAATAGAGTCCCGTCCAGACCTTGACCTCAGTGCACTGAATGATAGACTTGGATAGCTTGCACACATTTGTAAATGAAATATAATGGGCTCAGTTATGCACGTGCTACTCAAAAGCCGCAATTTTCGGCTTTTTTTGTTTCATTCTTTTTTTTTTTTATTTGCTTTTCAACCTTTCCTTACATCCCACGTATATAAAGTACTGATATTAATGCTGTCTTCAGTGGCGAGGCCTGGCAGCGAGGGGCGCACTACACTAGTCACCACCCTGTTACGCCTTTTTGCTCGAATCTTCACACAAGCCAATGCCTCTAAGGTCATCGGGGCCTATATTCTTTTTATTATTATTAAATATCGTAGGACTACATATGGTGTTCGACCGAGACCTGACCTGAAAGGACCACGAGGATTGCCTCTTATTGGGAACACTTTCGAGCTGATGCGACGACCCCGTACACAAAACTATCAGCGCCAGACAGAGAACCATGAAGTCAGATATGGCTCATGTTATACCGTCTCATTACCAGGGATTGGTAGGATTATCAATGTCACGAACCCAGAGATGATTGACCATGTGCTAAGAGTCAATTTTTGGGCCTATGAAAAGGGTCCTCGCCTTAGAAGCGTTATCGAGCCAATGGTTGGGCAAGGTATGTGCATTTACTACATACTATATGACATAAAACATCTAAATTACGTGCCATCGACGAGGTAGATATTCTTTTAACATTTGGACTCTGCTTCAATTCTGCTCTACATCTAACTTGTTTTACTATCCGATAGGGATCTTTGGGGCCGATGGCGAGGTGCATATTACATCTATCTGCCAAAAGGCGTACAGAAAAAAAAAAAAAAAAAAAAAAAGCAACTAACAACTTTGTACAATCCTATTGAATAGCACTGGCGTTGGCAGAGAAAACTTGCAAGCCATATCTTTAACGTTAAGTCATTCCGCTCCTATACCAGCAATGTCTTCTGCCATGAAGCAAACCTCGTCATTGATTACCTTTCAACAATTGCGGATACAGATAAAGTGGTTGACTTGCAGAATATCTTTTATCAATTCACTCTCGGTACACTATGTCTTTCTATGTCTGCTTATAAACCTGAAAAGCCTATCTTATTTTATCACTTATATAAAACTGTTTTTTTTTTTTTTTTTTTTTTTTTTTTTTTCGTTCGTTATCCATTCATAAATTTATATGGATAGATTCGTTCGGCGAAATTGCATTTGGACAATCGTTTGGGTGCCTCAAAAACCCAGAGCAAGAAGTTGAATTTGCTGTAGCATTCGACCGTCTTAATCATGCGTTGTCAGAAAGGATTGTTTCACCTATCTGGAAGATCAAGGACTGGTGGACAGGGCACGGAGATGTAGTCCGTAAAGACACAAAAACTGTGCACGAATTTGCTTACAACGTCATACGGAAACGTCGCCAGGAGATTGAAGAGAATGGCGGGCACGAGCGTGAACATAAAGATCTAATGCAGTTGTTCATGGATACTCGAGACGAGCATGGGGAACTTTTGTCGGACGAAATGCTTAAAGATGAGCTGATCAATATGATTCTGGGTACACCTTGAAACTGTCTCTTTACGATATGAAATGACATCAATGGATAGCCCGTATCCTGATTTGTAATATCTTTTTTTATTTTTCTATTTTTTATTATTGTTATATTATTATTTCCGGGGGACTGTAGCTGGTCGTGATACTACGGCACAAGCGTTATCTTGGATGTTCTATCTCATGCATCGATCAGAAGCGAGTCCTGAGATTCTTCGCCAGGCGACAGAGGAGATTAACGATGTTTTGAAAGACAACCTTCCAACGTACGACTCAATCAAGCAGCAAAAATATGTTGAAGCATGCTTTTATGAGACTTTGAGGCTGTATCCATCAGTCCCTCAGAACATAAAGGTTTGCGTACAAGATGATGTCTTGCCAGGCGGCATTCGAGTGTACAAGGGCGAGAATATTGGGTGGTGTTCATGGGCAATGGGTCGATTAGAATCTCTTTGGGGGCGCGATGCCAAGGAGTTCAAGCCTGAGCGGTGGTTGACTGGGGAAAAGCCATCCTCTGCCAAATTTGTATCATTCCATCTCGGTCCTCGTACATGGTAATTTTTTTTTTTTTTTTTTTTTTTTTGTGAGGAGAGATTGATGATTTGGCCTTACATTGGATTTGTGCCTCCAGCTATAAAATGCTAACAAAATGCATCTTTTATCTATTGCTATGGTTGTTTTGTATCAGTCTCGGCCAGCAGTTTGCTACAATTGAAGCCATCACTATCACATCAATGCTTCTTCAAAAGTTCACGTTTGAACTTGTGGATCCAGACACAGAGCCGACGTATATCCCCGCACTTACGCTCCCTATGGCAACTGGACTTGCCGTACGTGTGAAACATCGTGCAGTAAATGCACAATCTGAGGCGATCAGATCTTGATATGACAGTAAAACAAAGTAAATAGAAAGGAATGTTTAAAACCTGGGGTTGTGCATCTCAAGGTCCTTTAATAAACTTTGCTGCGGAGAACTGCGGAGAAATACAAGATCGCCGATACGAACAAATAAGCTTCACCAGAAATGCTTTAAAAAACTGCTGTGTACAAATGCATGTAAAAAAAAAAAAAAAAAAATTATTTTTCCAAATGTTCGAATGAAGTCTTCTTGACATCAGCACAACATTCATTTAATCAGACAATGACACTCATGTCATTCCATCAGGCAACAACTTCAACGGTAACAAGAACAGCTGTACAGCGTGCACTCGTGCTGCCTGAAATCAGATCACAGATTGGGTACTTCTTGCTTGGCTGTAATAGGGATCTTATCGCATGCATGCTCGTTTGCAAGGCCTGGAAGGTGGATTTTAGACGATTACTCTTTCTTGATCTCTCACTGACAAAGCGGACGTTTGGGCCAATCCTGCTGCCACTGCAATGGCGGTCACACAGCACACATACGCTCTCACTGTCGATTGAAGAACCAACCTTGATTCCTCGGGGAAACAAATTAATTAACAAGGGGTACCGTCAAAACAACAGAAGCCCTGTCTTTAAAAATAACTGCCCCAGTGACATGAGTCATGAGCAAGTCTCCCTTCGTTCTCCGGATTATAACATGGATCCTGCAACCCACTGCCCTAACTTACTGCATCTCACTGTCAGACTCAACTCAAAACTACTTCCTCTGTGCTGCTGGACCAGAAGAGACGAATGGGTTGAAGTAGGCGAAGATGGTGTAATTCAGGACGAGAGAAGTACACAGAATCAAGAGGCTCTATTCAAGACCAGCGTCGTGGTCCGATATGATAGACATCAGGATGCATTTCTTGTAAAGACCAGCAATCGCATTTTATCACTACTACATCATCATCCGCGACTACAAACCTTTCGTTGGATTGGAGTTTCAGACACTCATATGGACCAGTTGGGTAAATATTTGTTGACAAAGCAACTTCAGCTGGTAGACCTGCAGCTGGAGCAGCTAAAAGCATCTGTGACAGAATTGAATTGCATCATTTCCAACTGTCCAAAGCTACGTAGACTTCATCTCAAGACTCTTCATCTTGAAAAGGAACCAAACTGGCCAGACATAACCACAGGGGACAAAAATGAGTCATCAATGCATCTATCAACATTGTTCAGGATGGCTTCATTGACGAACTCGGATTTAACGACATCTTTAGTACAGTTCGGACAGCAAACAGTGCAACAGGAACAGCAAGAACAGCAAAACACAACACTCGCCATCCTTAATCTTCAACAAGTCCGATATTTGACGCTTGAGAGCCCTCACTTCCCTCTCCTGCAGCTTTGCATTTATGCTCCAGCGCTAGAAAAGCTTTGTCTATCTAATTGTCACTTCCCTACCAGTTTCAGCCACGCTGTTGGAGCAAACTCCAGCCAACAACAAGAAAATCTTGATCCCGATTTTGATCCATCTTCTTCATCTTCGCCTCATTCACCTGAATTCAGTGTGTTTTGGAACTGTCCTCAGCTTCAAACCTACAAACACGAAGACGGGAGCATACTGCCTAACTTATTTGTTAAGGGCCTTATGGAATCCTCTCGCGAGAATCTACACTCGGTTTCGTTGATATCCTATACTGTCGATCAGGATTTTGTCACTGAGCTAATTAATCATGACCATTATCGGGTGTTGACTCATCTTGATCTCCACAGTAGCACTTGGATTAAGAGCACAGATATTCAGTCATTATTATGCCATTGCAACGAATTGGTCGACTTTACGGGCCCACAAAATGTTCTTTGGGGCGAAGATCTGGTGGGTTCCCCCATGTCGTGGGCATGCTTAAAATTAAAACGACTTCAACTATTGGTTTGCATGGCACGGCCAGATTCTGTACTGTGGGAACAGAGCGTGCAACAGGGCCAGACCCACGAACCTTTGGGATTCCCATTGCAACGAATCTTAGGGCCTGAAGCAGCAACTAGGTTTTTATTATCAGGGAAGGTGACCTTCGACCGTTATTTTCAGCAGCAAACTCAAGTGGGCCGATCGCTTGAATACGTGGGAAAGGATGAAGAAGAGGAAACGAAGAAGCAAGCAGAACACGGACAAGAAGCAAAATCAGATGAGTCCATCACGCTAAAAGATATTCAGTTGGCGATCTTTCAGCAGCTCCACAAGTTGACACAACTAGAATTTATTGATCTCACAGGTGGAGGATCAATGTCATTTCATTTCTTGGTCGAGTATCCACGCGGAATCCCATGGACCCTCCATGCTGGGCTTGATGAATTGAAGAATCTTGTCAAGATGAAAGAACTTGTTGTTACGGGATGGGAGGACCAGATGACAAGACGGGAAGCTCAGTGGTTCAGACGCCACTGGCCTGATTTGAGAGCGATTATCAATAAAAGCAGCAACTCGGTGATACAGGGCCATCAAGAGCAAACTCAAAGTCATCTATTTAGTAATGGGGATGAAGCAATAGTAGCGTCAGAGGACAGACATGTAGGGTCGTCTGCTGCGAGTAGAGCCGTGTTTGATAACGATGAATGCAAGCCAAATGAGAGCCAGGTCGTTGGTTGGCTTGCGTTCGAGATCTGTCTGGCACAGGAGTGGCCAGAGCGCTTTTCAAGGACCAATGGGATATGATGTTAATTGATAGAAAACTTTTTATTTAATACTATTATTATTTATTTTACACCATGTAAATGCTAGCTCTGTTGAGACCCGCTAAAAGATGCCAGTGCTAGTACAACAGCTTGGCGCTTTCATTATGCCAGCTCAAATGCTAAAGTCGCAAAGGGCTTCAAAAGCGCTCTTCGAGAGATAGGATCTTCACTCGCAGAGAAAAACCCCAGGTTAATGACTATAATGAAAAGGACTTGGGCAGCATCATTTTGACGACCAGAGATCTACAGACGTATCCAGATACTTAATATCACTTTGTGCGCATGTGACCAGAACAGCAATAATAGTAACCATAAAAAAAAGCACAGATCCCACGCGGATATAAGGTATCTGCTATGACCAAGGTTGCTCACCTTTGAAAAATGTAAAAAGCACGGGTAAAGCTTGTTTCTTCAATGGACCCATGTCACGATCTCTTCCTTTCTGCCTTACTTGAGTCGTAAGAAAAAAATAAAATAAACATAAAATAAATAATGTCAATTTGGATATCTATTAATCATATTGCTTGCACACCAACAAAAATTGTTAATGTTGACCAATTCCGCGCGTGTTTTTGAAGATATCGTGTTGGCTCAAAACCACTAACGCTATTACTACCTTCGCGGCTAGTTTGAATATGGGCAGGTGTTGTATAGAATGCCGTGAGGTTCAACCAATGCTGTGCCATCCATGCTCTTTCCTTGTTTCCAATCCGATGGTGCTTTAGCCTCTGAACGCTCAATGTCCTCAAGTTGGTTAATGTCTCAAGATGACCAAGGCCACTGGCTAATGTAAAATCAAAACACCAGACTTTTGATTCTGGATGGAGCATTCGAAGATCAAACTCGCCTGCAAGGTGCAATGTACGCAGCTGTGTCATACAGGCAAGTTGCTTATAGATATGTTCGACATAAGGATGTGCAGGCTCTGAATCAGGTAGAGCTGAAAATCCCGTGAAGCCAATTTTCAGATCTCGAAGCCCAAGGCAAACCCAGGCTGGTTGGCCACTCCCTACATGGACAGGTAGGTCCTTAATGTTTAGTCTCGGGCTATAGGTTTCCTGCCAGTGATGACTAGGCAAAGCCTCGAACGACGTTAGCTTAGGGCAGGTGGTCAGAATGAGCTGAATATGCTTGCTTGCGATCGAGCTGCACGATTTGATGCTTAGTTGCTCCAACGTTAGACTATGTTGATGATGGAGTAAACTGTTGATAGTCAGTGGTCCTAGTGGCTGTTCGCTATCCGTAATGTAGCTTCTCAAAGAGTAACATGAGTTCAACAGCAAGGCCATATGCTCGTCCTTTGAATGCGAGAACCCACTTGTGATGTGGCGTAATCGCGGACAGTATCCCTGTATGGTGGAAGAGAGAGCTTGAAATGATTCATCTGTGTTGATACATGGTACATAAAGATGCTCTAAATTGGGTGATGTCCTTAAGATTGACAGTAATATATCGAAGTGCACATGTTCGATATTGGCCTCTAGCCTCAGGTCTTTGAGCGCAGAGGCTACATGTGCCTCTGGTAAGTCTTGACATGACACATCCGCTGAAATATCTAGACCTATGTTACTGCTGACGTTGAGCCCGATACTGCTTTTGTTGTAATCTAAGCTTCCCGTGATGGTTTCTGGTGTGGAGACGATATCTGCCCTACATATTAGCGATAGCTTCTCAACCTTACTAACGATGACTCCACGGAGTACATGCTGGATACTGAGCAGATTTGGCTCACGAAAACAGTTGATTGTGACGCTGATCAGCCCAGGATGGAGAGCAATTGTATCACCGAGGAGCTTGGACATCTTGATGCTTGCAAGCGGAAAGTTGGAAAGGATGATCTCTCGCAGACTCATGTTCATTTTAACGAATTGTAGCAGCCGCTGTGTATTTGTGTGATCGACAATTCCCTTGTTATGGAGCTCTGACGCAAGAGAATCGAGACGAACTAGATTGGGGAACTCATCTATTCCTGCTAAAGATTGAAACGCGTAGCAAAAAAAGCTGCGGATTGAACGCACATGCTCAGCGTTGCGGCAAAGACCCTGTTGAGCTGCAGAGGATGATTGAAGTAAAGAAATGATCTGTTGATTTGCGAGAAAAACATCTCTCCAGAGCCTTGGTGCAAAAGCAATATTCCAAGCAGTATTAACGCGTGTACAGCACGCAAGGTCACTCTGAGAGAGACATGCAGCAATTTCGTCGCGGATGAGAGGTTGTAGTAACACAATGGACAGTGCAGTTGGAGGATGCATGGAGCGATGGAAAGATGGACATTAATGAGAGATTTAAAAAAAAAAAAAAAAAAAAAAAAAAGTGAAATGCAAATGGAAAAAAAAAAAAAAAAAAAAAAAAAAAAACTGAATGTCGTCCAAAAGAGGAAGGTCTTTCTGACCGTTTCCATGCTTAGCCCAATTCAATAATTGAGCCGAGATTGAGCACTGGTCACAGCTTTCTATCCTTCGTAAACTCCTCAGACCTGCAAGGCCATCTTGCTTAATTATACAATCAGCTAAGTAGACATAGCAAAACGCAGATAGCGCTTATGATATTATATATATAAGAGAGACCCATGTTATTATTACACTTGTGGGTACAATTCGATGTTGAGATTGAAATCGCAGTTGTTCTCCCGGAGCATTTGGCCAAGAATATTTGATTTACTACTCCAAAAGCTGATCGTGCTTTGTAACAGATACTTTTATTGGGAATCATTTCAGCTGATTCAATCATTCAACTGGAGGGGCAGATTCGAGGGCGCCTTTCACCTTCCATTAAAAGAAAAGGTTTACATGTTAAACGAGTGGCTGTGCACCATTCCATCGTAGAGAACGCCACTCTTTGCACAGACTCCATCATATATTCAAAATTAACTCGCCTTTTTTGCGTCCCTCTCCCTTTTTCCTTCTCATTCCCCTCAAGCAACGCGTGGTTTCATTTATGCATCAATCAGACATGAACAATGATGGTAAAAACATCATGGAGATTTCCGAAATTGCAAGCCAGATCGCGCAGTACCTGGCCCCAGCCGATCTCGCTAATGCCTGCTCTGTATGCAGCACTTGGTTCGTCCCATTTGTAAGCGAGCTTTGGCGGTCTATCAAACCTGATCAGTGGACTCATGAAGCCTTTCGGAAAGCTCTCCCACGTTATTCACATTATATCCGTGAACTACGATGTGCCATGTACGACCGATTAGACAACATTGGCCCGGATTGTACGCGTTTAACCGTCTTCAAAGCCCCCGTTCTATACGAGTCTATCTCACAAGGAATCATCAAAGATATTCTCAAACACAACATTAACATTAAAGAGCTCTGGTTGGGCTCAGCGCTACCTAGTGAAAATATCGATATCACCATTGAATTTATCCAGATCCTCGCGAAGCTAAAAGAGCTAAGACATTTAAGTCTATATTACTTCCGTGTCCTGCCTGGATGTTTAGAGTTTCTGCTGGAGCAACTGCCCAACTTAGAATCGCTACATCTCGGAGAGTGGGTAGAGTTCACCCATCCGAGCCTGAGTTTCAATATCAAAACCGGGCTGTTACAAGGATCAGCAGAACCATCGGCTGTGGAGCTGGAACCCAGATTACAACGACCACAATTACAAAACAAAATATCCCTTCAATTGCGTTCGCTATTCTTGGACGGGTGTCAGCATTCTTATGTATCCATCCTCAGAATCGCCTGCGTTAGTCCAAATCTTGAGAGTATCTCCCTTTCAAATTCCCTCATGCCGGACTCGCTTTTTTTGAGAATGTCTACTGAACTCGACCGGTTTGTTGATCGACTTTCATCGTACTGTCCACGGCTTGAGTGCCTAGGATTAAATGGGATTGAGATTGACTTGGAAGGGCTGGCTTGTCTCCTCAAGGCATTCCCAAGTCTTAGACGACTAGATTTGGAAGATGTAGACATTGAAGATCGCCATGTACTCACGTTGATCCTTCGTCATCGTCCCTATCGTCAGTCACTTGAGGAAATCCGCATTTACTCTCAGACAGGCAGATTCATGGGCCGCCTATCCTCTCATGCTATTCTTTGGATGTTGCGAAGGTGCCCGAATCTTAAAAAAGTGTCACTGCGACAGGCTTTGATCGAAGCAACAGAGCTTGCTGATCTCAGCAGTAGTAACGGTCTGCTCGAGTTTGCAGAAATCAATGGAGATGGAGCCGACATTGATGCTACATTGTCTGAGAACATGCCCGAGGGTGATATTTATTACCAAGATGGGGTTTTAGTCTGCCGAAATTTGGAAATCCTCGAGACATGTATTTATGGGCCAGATAAAAAATGGGCGCCATCCGAAGCCCTGGTCGAGGATAATGTATTTTCTGAGTATGATTGCCAGATAAGACAAAGACTGTATGACATACACGTTGGCCTGGATGATAGTGAGGATCCTGAATCCACAACAGGAAGCCTAGGAGGGTCGGGCCATACTTCATATGAGCTTTATGAAGCAGTGTTAAATCAGCTCCAGACACTACCAAAGCTCGATATGTCCTATATTCGGTTCGATTATCACCAATGAGGTGCAGAGCAACGACCTTTCCAGAGGATTGCCAGTAGGCTCTTGTTATCGCACGCAGCACCTTCCATCTAGCACGCCCTTTTTTTTTTTTTTTTTTTTTTTTTTTTGTTTTTTGTTTTTTGTTTTTTGTTTTTTTAGAAAAAAGTGGTTTACGAAGGAAGCAGTTCCCCTGTGATTATGCAGATGCTTTGGTTACTATATCCCTTATCATATATGTATATTTAAGAAAGAAAGATAAAAGAAAAAAAGAGAACCTGTGCAACAGAAAAGGTGATTCACAAAACAGAAGACATTTGTACGGCCCAGAATATGCATTATTTGCACTTCCCCTATTGCATTGCTTCCATAGTATAAATACAGCTCACAACGCGTATTGAAAGATCAGCCTTGGCTTGAATAAATTACCCTAGAATCCTCAGGCTCACCTCCATGAATTACTTACTGTCTTTGACGTTTGTACCTAACGACATGCGGTTAACGAGGTTTCCCTTTTACTACCATCTAGTCAAGACCGGAGAAAATATATATACCTTGCAACATTTCTTCTTTCTTCTTGTCTGTAAGATCTAGTGCACCTATACTTAACTTTCATCCGGTGTTCCTAAGGGATAGGGAACAGGGTTTACTAACTGCCGTCTATTGGCACCCTAACTGGAAGACAATTCTTCGTTGTTGAAGTATATATGGTAGCTCGTATTGAACTTATTGTTGACTTCTGATTTATATCCAGATAATCTTTTTTTCAAAAAAAAAAAAAAAAAAAAAAAAAAAAGTTGCCGCTCTTAGTCAATATACATTTTTGGTCATCACATCTAGTCTTAATTCATTGGCAATAATGGTATAGGATGGATTGCGATGCTTTCTAATCATTGCTGATTTTTTACTTGGAAGTTCATCACTAAAAGTCGGCTTATTACTTGGAAGACTGATTTCAGTCATTACGGATAGGGTTTGGAAGCTTCCAAGCAACATGAGTGATGATAGTAGTAAAACCAGATGGTATTTCCAATACCGATTGAATACTTCTATACCAACTGACAGCCTTTCCACATATTTAAAACGTCATTTTTTATAAGCTCATAAGCAAATAATAATACGTTTCTCATCAACTTTTGATAACGTTTGAAGACCATAGAAGCAATGTATTAGACAGAAGTTAAATCTTTTTCCTAGTCGGCTGTCATCTTTTTTTTCACCCAAAAGTGTTGGGTAGTATATAATTATTGACTTTACTAAATCTCTTCCAAACAGCCAAAGCTTTTATTTGATAGATTCCAAATGTTATTGCAATGCATATTTAATTTGGTTAAAAAGTATTATCAATAGACTTGACTTTAATAGACGTGTACATCAATACATTTATTTACATAGGAGAGCCAAACTTGGGATTTAAAACTTTTGAATGAAACATCAAACAGTAAGGTGTGCTAACGTATTCTTTGCATCCTTCCTTCCTACAAGAGCACGTCACATAAATGCAGGTACTAAGCGCAAGAGCCATGTGGCCTTCCTTTATGAGCATTACTCAAGAGTAGGACTTATGAAAATTGAAGGCTATTCGGGCATGCAATCAGATTACCTCCACGTGGTGCGCCTTGGGCTGTCTGCTTCGCGGCATTCAGGCGAATGGCTGGTAAAAAAAAAAAAAAAAAAAAAAAAATATTGACCCTGAGGATCCTTGTTATCACAAAAAAAAATTTAATAAAATAAAAAAGAAGGCTATTGCTTTTGCGGACAACCTTTGGATGTGCATCACAAGAAGCTGAATTCTCATTCTGTAAGTATATTTTCGATATTGAATAGTATGAGTTGTGTAATAGCTACGCGACACTAGAAAGAACCATCGAGGGGATATAGCTGGACTTACAGTGACTATAAGGCGCTTTGATGAAAGGGAGGCGTCAAGTATTAATACATTCTACAGTTGAATAATCCGATTAGAGCCCCTATTGCCCTGAAGAATGAAAAAGTGAGCCATGCGGGCTTGAATTTCTGTCTTTGGAAAAAAGAATATCAGAAAGATTAGAATTTGATTGATGTGCAGACGGAAGAAAGATTCTTGGATCTAAAAATAGAACGCCATTATACACAGCCCGAGGGGCGAATGTCCAGAAAGTAGAAAATGTATAAATCAGCGGGCTATTCTTGTAAAAAAAAAAAAAAAAAAAAAAAAAGTTAAAAAAGGAATCATTACCCATGGTATACATATAATCATGTGGAGGTTAGTCAGCGCAGATTCTTGGCAGCTTCTAGCCAAGTAATATCATTAGAAGAAGATTGTGGCTGTTGAACAATAAAGCGTTGTTTGACAGGGTTCCTTCGATGAAGTCTAAGAGGCGGGTCTAAAAACAAATTTCATTAGGTTTGTGATTTGAGATTTGAGACTAGCGTATGAACAAGTGGAGGACACCCCTTTTTTATTTGTTGTTTATTTATTTTTCAGGAACATTTGTAACCACAATGGACTTCTTGAAGTGAGGAAAAAAAAAGTCGGGTCAAAAACATGAATATGCATGAATATTCACGCAGACTAAAAAAGCAACCCATCTGAAGATTAGAAAGAATATTCACAAGTCGGATGATAGTATTCTAGATAAATATCTTAAAGATCAGGTTGTGTCATTTGTTTGACTTGACCAGTGGGCTGTGGTGATGGCTTTTTCTTTTTGGAACATGGACTGGGCAATACCCCATGAATAAAAAGGGGAAGCAGTTTCACTCATTCATTCACTCATTCATTCACTCACTCATTCATCACAGCCATCCATCCCATCCATCCCATCCATCCATCCATTCATTCATTCATTCATTCATTCATTCATTGAAATCATTAATCAATTAAAGTAAAGGCATAAAAATACAGTTATAGACTGAACACAGCAATGGCCTCATTACAAGCACGCAGTATGGCCCTGCTGGCCCTTCTCTGCTTCTTCATACCCTCTGTCCTCGCGCAAGGAGCGCAAGGAATTGCCGTTGACCCGAACAATCCTGGTGGTAAGCCTACTAAAATACTATAGCACCCGCTGTTACAAGACTGAAAATAGTCAACAGTGAAGACTTTTTTTTTTTTTTTTTTTTTTTTTTTTGGACAAATGTTCAGAACAAACCCTATGGATAAGAGCGAGTTTTGGTATTAGATCAATAGGAAGAAACCACCATCGTATCCTTTTCATGTACAACACTGTAGTCAGTCTATAACAGGTCGTCTCCACTTAGTATAGTTGCTTAGATTGTTATGCGTAACTGCACCCATTTCTGTTCGTCTATCATGCAAAAGCTTCCTCTCCATCTCTTCCTTTTTTTTTTCTTTTTTTTTTTTTTTTTTGTTTACTCATGTTACTGATCAAATTAAATCAAAAAAATCATGTTTCACCAATTAACAAGGTCTTCTACGTCCCTTTGTTCCGATTAATTAGAGGTTATCCGTATCACTGTAAGCGGCACGATTGTTGCAATCGTACTGATGGTCGCTGGTTTCATCTTTGCTTTCTTCGGCCACAAGTTCTTCAAGATCACTCTCTTCCTTGCTGGATTCTACGTCTGCAGTAAGCATTGGATCTTCAGTTTCGCAAAACAATGCTTTACACATCATCATGTTCAATCTAACTAAACGAATGGAATGTTTAATAATTTTAGGCACATTGGCATGGATTGCACTCAAGAATGCCGAACCTGCTGTTGGATATGAGAACGCGCAATGGATTTACTTGGGTGTTTCTGGTGCAGCTGGTTTGCTGGGAGGCTGTCTTTTCCTCTGCTTCTGGCGACTGGGCTTTGCTGCTTTGGGCGCTATCTCCGGATTCTACTTTGCAATCTTTGTTCTTTCCTGGGCATCCTCAGGCGTGATCTCAAACGGAACGGGTCGCACCATCTTCATCATTGCCTGTGTGATTGTTGGCATTGTGCTCACATTCTTTGTGGAACGTCATGTGGTGATCTTGGGTACTGCCTTGGTTGGATCCGGATCGTTCTTTGTGGGTCTGGACAACTTCGTACACACTGGGTTCTCAGATGCATTCATCCAGTTCTTGAGCGGAAAGAAGACTGGATTGATTGGAGGCGATGGATACGTGGTCTCTGGAAAGGTGTATGGCATGTTAGCAGGCACATTGGCTATGTTTGTCGTCGGCGCATGCTTCCAATACTATAAGCATCGTGGATCTTGGGTCCCCAAGACACATCGTCCACAATACAAGCCTCAGCCTCAGCATGAGCAGCCCTAGAAGGAACAACGAAACAATAGCAATCATAGTAAATACCTCATTTTCAGCTTTCATCGATCATATTGTCTTTCCCATTTCAATAATGCTTTTCAAAAATAAAAAATAAAAAATAGCCAAGAATGGCCACTGTACAGACACATCCAAATAGTGAGTTAGTAAAAGTGTCGAGCGACCAATGACAATGCAAGCCATAGAAATTGGTCCCATATTCCAAAACATCCTCAAATATCTCAGTATTGCATTCTTGACAAAGCTACAGGTTCTTCATTTAAACCTCTCTTTGTTAGTTGACGAAAACGCCTGAGGGATAGGTGTAAGTGCCCGGTATGCCTGTAGTTACTACAAAGTAAGAATCCATCAAGACGTGGCGACAGCACAGAATATCGCGAACGTCGTTAGTGGCCATCTGATGAAACTAGGAGTGTTTGTTTTACCTGCATTTTCTGGATAACGAAGGGAGATACTTGTTCTTGTAGTTTTCTATTGAGAGAAGGTAATGTCGGCACTAGCATCAGTACCAGTACTAGCACCAGTACCAATAGGAAAAAGCGTGAAGAGGGAGGCGTTGACCCGAACACAGCTAGCCTACGGTTCAAAGGTACATAGATTTGCAAGGTGGCTTCAACAATGCAACTTGCACCACCGTTCTCAATGACAAACATACAGTAGTCTATTTCTGTTCATTCCGTCAATCCAGTTCTTCATTCGCATTTCAACAATGCTTGTTAAGGAATCCTACGTTGACTTGCAGACCTCATCGGGTCCTATGCGCACTTATATCTACCAGCCTAATGTGTCTGACCACTACCCTAATGCAAAGTTTCCAGGTGTTGCTGTGTTCACCGGTAGGACGTTTTTTAATGTTTCAACGACATTGCTGCATGTATTTTTTCAAATTGAGATCCCAATGAATAATAATAATGGAACATGCCAATAACAATATGTTTTTGAACTATCTGTCTTGTTGAAACAGAGATCTACCAAGTTACTGGTCCCTTGGATCGCTTCTGCAGGTATATCTTTTTTATTTTATTTTATATACTTTATTTTCCCATATCCTGGACGCTATGAAGAGCTTTTTAACCATGTTGACTTATATTCTTTGGCCTGCGGCCTTCGTTTTGTTACTACTAGACAGATTGCAAGCCATGGATATATTGTTGCATGCAATGAGTCTTTTCATGAGTTTGAGCCTCTAGGGACTCCTCTTGCCTACGATGTCCCAGGAACAGGTACTTTTTTGTTTACAGGAAAAATACGCGTTATTGCGTGATCGCGTCAATATTTTGGAGACGTTTTGGCGAGTAGTCCATGTCACAATAAGCAATCTCCTTTGGTGTGGCCTGCATGATTATAATTAAGTTCTAGTTACGTGTATAATGCTCATTGTCCATTTTTTTTTATTTATTTATTTTACTTTTTTACTAGACAAGGGCAACAGATATAAGGTTGAGAAGGAATTAGCAGCCTATGATGAGGATGCCACAGTGGTAATTGATCACCTTATGAGTCGCCCTGATTGTACAGGCAAGATCGGTGCTACTGGCATGTGCCTCGGAGGACACCTGGCTTTCCGTGTAGGTCATTTATTATTTATTAATTGATCTTGAATACTGAGCTGAAAAAATTGAGCTAATTTATCTCTCTCATCGCTGCCTCCGCATTCTTTATTTCCTCAGGCTGCATTTGATCCTCGTGTTCTTGCCAGTGTGTGCTATTTCGCCACAGACATTCATTCAGAGACTTTGGGCAAAGGCAAGAATTCGGACTCGCTTGCCAGAGTGCCCGAGATCCAGGGTGAGGTTGTGATGATTTTTGGGAAACAAGACAATCATGTACCAAGGGCTGGTCGAGATCTGATTCGCAAGACATTGGAGGATGCGGATGTCACGACTACATTCTTGGAGGTCCAGGCTCAGCATGCCTTCATCCGCGATGAATTGAGTAAAGGACGATATGATGCTGCGATAGCCAAAGTCTGCTTCGATTTGCTACTCGAGCTATTTCATCGTAACTTGCACCTCGATCTTGGATCTCGCAAGGGGGCCAAGGTCAAGGCGAAGGATTTACCTTTAGTATGTTAAATAATTTTAAAAATATACTCCCAAATAGGACATACTTGTCACTATTATTACATGTAGCACTACTCCAGTACAATCATAAAGTTCTTTTAGGTCTGTTACAAAAAAAAAAATAATAATAATAAAATAAAACAAAAAAAAAAAAAAAAAAAAAAAAAAAGCATCAAAACAAGTCAAGGCTGGGATGAGATACTCGTTTGCACTATATTTCGCAATCCTAGTCATCTTTTTTTATTTCTCATCTTCATTTCTTCATCTCTTCATTCTTACATTCTTTCAATTCTTTTTTTAAAAAATTAAAAAAAAAATAAACGATAAAAAATAGAAAATTAAAAATAAAAATAGCAAGAATATTCTAAAATGACAACAGCGCCATTGAGGCGCCATAACGGAAACTCAACAACTCGAACAAGCGATACCAATACCGTAGAGGCCACGGATCCGATCATATTGATCACCTTATCCACGTCCAGTACTCCTACCATGGCTGTCAAGACCCATCAACGACGTGCCACGATCTTTGAGATTTATTTGATACAATCCAAGATATGCAGATTCTTGACGGTCCGTGACATTCGACGTTGCACATTTGTCTCGCGAGATTTCCATACTGCATTCCAGCCATACCTCTGGCGTCACCTTACCTTAAACCGACGCTCAAAGATCAATCGATTGAAGACACCAATTGCTCAAGCAGCATTGAGACAATACGCCCCGTTTGTGGAAACCATCACCACGAGATTTGCAGATGCTTGGATTTTGTTCTATTCGGATCCTAACACATTGGCAAGCTCCATGTCCATGACCCAGATCAACGCCAATGGCTCTGTTGATAATCCTCGGCTTCAGACCGGATGCACTAGAAACAAGGTTTATGGTAGCAGCAATAGTAATAATAGTGGCATAGGAGGCAAAGGCAATGGGAAACCCAACCCATATAGAATTGTCTTTCCAAACCTGCGTGCGATCCACAGTTTGGATTTGGTGAACCGACCCAACAGTAAGGAGGCTAATCGGCGCAAGATGCACTTACTTTTACCTTTGCTTGATCCTGAGGTCGTTCCTAAACTCCAATCGCTCAAGGTTACACACATCAATTTTGAAGACCCTTTTGTCTTCCTTGAGACAATCCTGCGGATAGAACGACTGGTGAATTATGGTTTCGGAAACAATAAGGCAATGGCAACAACCACAACAAACAAAGACAAAAGTGTGGAAAAGACCAAGGCAATAGAAGATGATGATGGGAATAGGGATGGGAATGGGGGTGGGAAAAAGACAACACAAACAACAACAGCAGTATCAGCATGGAGGGATGGCGCTACGTTACAGGAGCTTTATAATAAGCAAGCTGACTTCAATATTTCTTGTGAGGGGTTTCGAAGGACGCTTGAGATCATTGCAGGGTCGGTCGAGGTCTTATTTCTAGGGGCAATGTGTCAAAGAGTTGTAGATATTCTAGATGAGAAAATAGTTGTGGGTCTCCAGGCAGTCCGTGAAGGAAGGCAGTCTGATGTTCAAGGCGGTTTGCCGTCAGCATCGGCACCATCAGCACTCCTGCTATCATCTACTGAGGAATTGAATCAGCCTGCTGATAGAAGTATTGGCTATCCATGGCAGTCCGTAGTCGTTGCAGCGCTGTCAAGCATAGGATCCTTTTACTTGGGTGCACCTCCACTTCAAACGCGGCAATTTGCTTCTGTTAGCCAAATTTACTGTTTACGGGAATTAGATCTTGGGATCATGACCCTTGATGACGGAACGCGCTCGATTTTTGAATTCCTCCAGCGCTGTACTTATTTGGAACGATTAACTACCCCAACGTTCTTTCCCCAGAATATCGAAAGGTTGATTGAGTTGACAAGAACTCGATGGAGCTACCTGAGGCATCTTTGGCTTAAAGCATACTGTGCGCAGGATGGATTACTATCAAGGTTGCTGTGGGTGATTGGACATCAGTGGCGAGAGAACAGACTCCATCAGAGGCAGGAGCAGGGGCGTAAGTGTAGACGCAGGTATAAGAAAGCACAAGAAGAAGGAGTGCTTAGGGTTTCTGGGCTGGGTGGAGAAGAGGAAGAAGGGGAAGAGGAGGAGGAAGAAGAATTAAGCGAAGCCTCAACGGGTGACGAGAACTATGATGAAGTTGATGAAAATAGTGATCATTACGATGAGATTCATCCGATCACTGGGGAGCGTCTACAATTCTCCCGTGGTCTCGAGACCTTCAAGACGACCTTCAGCACATCTGCATATCCATTGACGGTTGGTGTGCTCCTGACATGTCATTCACATACACTTGTCACCTTGACGATCGCAGGGTCTAAAATGTTCGAGGGCCGGGCACTACATCGCGTTCTCTGTGTCTGCAGGAAGCTTGAAGTGGTGGAAGCGATGTCACGACTGGATCGAGACAGTTACAAATGGCTGGAGATGACTGATACAATATTAGAAGTAGAGAATATGAGAATTCCGGCCTCTGCTATTGTCTCGGAGCCTACTATAGCTGGAATCAATGAGGCCATTGAGACTACTGGGGCTGTCAAGGCCAAGGAGACGCAGGCTGCTTTGCAGGAAGGAGAGAATGCTTTCGCTGATAGGTCAGGCAAGATGGAGTGGCCTGTTGAAGAATGGGTCTGCAAGAAGCTCAGAGTGCTCCATTTAAGGTATTTGGACTTTGATGCTGCCTACGACTGGATAGTCGGGTTTCCCAAGGAGCTGACGACCCAATTGAGTAAACTACATCATTTGGAGGATTTGAGGGTAGGAAGGGTTATCAAAGGAGGAGCCCCCATTGTACCAAGATCTATGGTAATATTAAACATAAGGCTTCAAGCTGGCGTATTAGGGTCAGAACAAGAGATCAAAGTGATGAAGGAAAGTGTATCATTCTTGTTGCAGGAACTTGGCGCCAATGTGAAAGGTCTCAAGCGATTGGAGTTACGAGGGCTGAAATCGTTGATTGAGTTGCAGGAAATTCGGGAAGTGCGTAAAAGAGCCTGGAAAAAGATGGAGTGGGTGCAGTTTAGCTAGAAAAGCATAATGTATGACATGTTAAGCCTTTGAGAAGAAAAAAAAAAAAAAAACTAAAATATAAGCGCAAATTCATTCACATTTGTACACTTCGGCTAGTCAAGTAGCCAAGGATGGTTGATGCAGCAGGAATCCTTTGAAGCGGGACCTTCAATTCATTCAGAAAGATGTATTTTTAAAGAATTGAGCTCTCTTTATGGTTGTTATCGCGCTTATTCAACTTGTTAACAAAGTTGACAAATGTTTGATAGTCATTGATATGCATGTCATTCATTTCGATCTCGAATTATCTGTCCAGATTTTGTCGTGGTCGCGAACATCCGCCAGATGATTGCCTGTTCTCATACTCCTGAATGCATAGCCTTAACGATGCCAAATTCGCTGGACAGTTAGATCTTTGAGCCTCAGATAAAAAGAATTCTGGACGAGCTGCTGAAGGTCTTGCTGTATCTGCACCAACATTCGGGCTGTAAAATCTAATTCATCGAGGAGATAAATGATTTGACTGAATATAGCATGATCTTCATGATTTTCCGCTATGTGGATCATTGAAGTGTTGTTAATGATATGGGTGCTATTGGCGATCCTACCGGAGCGGATGTATTGCTGTTTTAATTGTCGCCATTGATATTGACTCTGTTGATGCGAACACCTTTTCTGCTATCGCCATTATTGCTGCCATTGCTGTGAGCGTTGACATGAATGGTGTCGTTGATTCTACTCCAATTTTTACTAGTATGATTGTCATTTTGACAAAAGTTGTCAGAGGAAATTAAGAATAGCCGTGAGTCTTGAAGAAGTTTGTGGAATTTATTATCTTTTTCCAATCCCCACGCATTTATGTTAAATACTAAAACTTAGAACAAAGAGACAGTTAAAAAGAAGTAAAAGAGAAAAGAAGCCGATTCTTCCTCTTTGCTGTAATTTTTTTTTTAAAAAGAAAACAAGGGAAATTTTGATACATGTACTTCTCGAGGTCAGAAATATACAAAAATACAATGAACAAAAAGAAAGAGAGAAAAAGAAAGAGAGGAAAGAAGAAAGAGGAACTTAAATGGTCCCCTTGGGCAGCGGTATCGCAGTTCCAAACACAAAGTTGAACGGAAATGGTTCTTTTTCAAACGATTCGGCTTCGATCATTCGATCTCTCAGTGGCCATTTTACTCCACTTTCGACCCACAGCTCTTGCAAGCGGTTCAAATCCCAGGGATCGTTTTGCACATGAGTGGTCTGAGAGGCTAGATCTTCTCGCTGATTGCTCTTTCTGGATAAGGCCCCTAGAGTAGCAGCACTCTTGAATTCAATAGATTCTTTAGCAGGTAAAGTAATGGCCCTAGAAGTGTCTTCTGAAGATCTCGGTTTTAATAGCGGCTGCCTATGCCCCTGCTCTAGGGGCGTCTGCACTCGATCCATAACAGAAGCTTCCTTGATCTGTGGATATTTGACAGGCAAAGCTGATTTCTGGCCTTGTGCTCCCTCGATAGTCTTCTGCAGTGATACATCTCTTGTGGTATCGAGTTCAATATCTGATACATCCGGAGAAATTTCCATGGGCACTATTGGGGACAATAGAGAGCCAGTAATCTTGTCCCATGGGTCCAAGGATGATAATGAACAAAGAGATGGAGATCGGATGGTATGAGAAGACGGCTGTGGAGAGGCTTCAAGTGAACTATCAACCTGACTTCGTCTCTTAAAAGATGGAATCCCAGTACTTTCTCTTCCTGATTCATCGCTCGACAATCCTGTATCTCTTATGTTTTTCGCTACCTTTGACCTTCGCTGTCTTGATGGAGATGCTTGTTGACGAGGCCGCCATTCATGCTTAGCATTAGTCTTAGGGCCCTCAGCACCCTCAAAGCCTCCTGGGACTGCCAAAAAAGGTGATTCCTCCGGTAGATTCGAAGACAATCCCCTCCGAAGTCTTTTGACGCCTCCACGTACTGCCATCCTCTTCCCAGTGCTCTGTGACCCAAGATCATTCGAGCATTCATTGTCATCATCGGCTTGACTGGCACTACGTGAAGAACATCGTTTTCCTGGGGTTGTTCGCAAACTTTGCGCCGAAATAGTTTGGCGTGTCTGTGACCTTAATGCCCGTGACGTGCTTGAACTGCTGTGCTGTTCATTTTCGTCGTCATGGGGCGCTTTCTGAATCAGCTTTTCATACGCTGGTGTTCTTGGTAATGTCGTCAACTGCTCCAGATTTGATTGTGGATGCTCGTTCTCGCTGATATCTACAGATTGACCATTATCCATGTCGATAGGGTCATAGAACATTGATACATAACTCTGATCAAGTTCTCTAGGCCGTAATCCAGCTCTTCTGGGAGCAGCTCTACCATGCGATCGAGTATGTCGAGACGGGCTATCTTTAGGGACGGGATCGCGGCCAACGGATGTACGGGATCGAATTGTACAAAGAGACCGCTTGGATGGCGAGTTAGGAGATGAAGTTGTAGACGTTTCTTGTGTATCAGCATTCAGCTTCTCCTGAGTATATAGAGCCACGTCATTGCCGTCGACATGCTTAGATAGAAGCACACTAGTATTAGGTTCGGCATGTAGCTGAAGCTCTGGAGCCGGTGATACTCGATGCGATTTTGAAGGAGAATTGGGAATAAGAGGTATTTGAACACATTCAAGTCGCAATTTTGTTCGATTACTTTCACCATTTTCATTCAGTGCTTCAGCCATTGACTGGGCACTCTCTGATTCGGTCGAACTGAGGGATTCCAAACTAGAGGATTCCGAACTAGGTTTCAACGGCCGATTGCTAATTAACGATGGCCCGTGAGGCTGGCTTTTCATGGGTTTGCTGATATTTGAGTCATATTCATGACTTGATTCAGGAACTTCTGCTGATGCTTGGGTATTATCCCCCAGAATAGAGGGTTTCCTGGCTTCAATAGGCGCTTCCATGGTCGGATTCAGATCAGAGGCATCGTTATGATGCGAGTACTGATCCTCATCTCGATCATTGATAAAATTTACCTCAAAAGAAAATTCTGGGTCTGAGTATTCTATGTCGTCCAGCTGTGCTTTCTCTTCTGTGGACTGTGATATTGAATTTGATGGTATCCGTTGGCCAGGTTGGAGTTGTGATAAAGATGTTGGTTCTGGAGAATATGTTGTGTTTTGAACCCGCGATTGCTCAGAGATTTGCTTACTACTTGACGGGTTAGATGAATCTTTAATCAGTGGAGACTTAATAAGTAATAAAGCATCCTCATCGTCCTCATCGTCCTCATCGTCCTCATCGTCATACTCTTTGGGATTTACAGCTAAGGAGGATCCTACAGTAGCAGCCAACGTGTTCCTATAATCAAAAGAGGTCTGAACTTTGTCTTCCTGCAATTGCCCACTGCCATTATCGACTTCTTGCTGGGCAGACTCTAAATAGGCCGGTGTATCATGTTCAGACTCGTTTTCCTTCTTGCGGTTTTTCCTTAGCCTCTTCTTCTTCTTTGTAGAACTAGCACTTGCAACATTTGATGATTGCGGTTGTTGGGAACGAGATGATATCCGTGCAGCCTTTCCACGAACAGGTGATGGTGTTGGGGGTGTAGATGAAGGGTGTAGGGTATCTTTGAGATTCGCGATTGTGAAGACAAAATATGAAGGTCTTTCCTCTTCGAATAGCCGCGAACCTTCACCTGCATGACAGGATTTTTTTTTTTAATACAAGTCAAATAAAAACAAAAGGAAAGTACATGTGTCAAGTTAATGCCTGCAAATGATCTGTATGCCTTTTTATTATTATTTTCTATGCCTAATGTTGGCACGATGACTGTACCCTGACTACTTGGCCTTTGCACATTCAGGGATTCTACACCTTGCCCCATGGTAATGCAATTTCTAATACAGAAAACAACTCTAGCATGAATATTGTAGTCAAGAAACAAAGAATTCAGTATCCCATCACGTGTGTTTATTAATGAAAAAAAAAAAAAAAAAAAAAAAAAGCTATGTTTATAGATTTCTACTCTCCATGAACGATATGATATCTTGACACATCTTGACGGCCTCGTCTTCCTCCTTCTCCTTCTCTACTTCACTATTCTCATTCACCTCTACCTCGTTTGAGCCCTCTATGACCTCATTTAGAGCCACATAAACAGCATCTCCATGTCCAGCCACAGCCATACTTTTTATCGCCTCTGATGCTGCCATACGAACATCCCAATGCAGTGTCCAATGGTGATCCAGCATCATGTCTCTTGCCAGCAAGAGCATGTCCCATAGGTCCCGCACAGGTATCCGCACCTTGCAAACAATCTTGGCTACGCTTTCTAGTGTTGTCATCTGTAGTCGGTGTTCCAGTGTATATACCTTTGCTGATGCTTCACGTCGACCCTGTAAGCGTTGCTTCTGTTTGTGGTCCTGCTGTTGTTTGGAGGTAATCCTGACTCGCGCCTTGTTGTTCATGCCTGGTGCTTGCTTCTTCGTTGTCCAAGCCTGTAGTGCCTTTATAATGAACGGCCATATGTCGTCCAATAGATGTCGTCCCAAGAAATCGCTACAATTTTCTGCCAACAGTGTCACAACCTCGATTGCTCTTAAGCTGACATAAAACACTTCCATCTCTGACCGTTTCAAGACACGGCCTACAATCGAAGGCCAGAATGCATGGATTGCAGGATGGAGCTCTTGCGGCCGATCCTTAAGAACAATTATTGATGATTGAATGATCTCCAATGCTAAGATGCGCATACGTGGAGAAGATGTTGTGAGGAAATAACCAGCTTTGTCCAGGATCCGAAGACAGAGCGCTTGATGTTTAGTAATTGGATCCGGTTGTGCTTCTTTAGAAGGCTTGGGCAATTTGGCACGCAAATCTCCAAATGACATTGTATTCTCGTCATCCTGATCATCGTCTGCCAACACATCACCTTCATTGACTCGCTCCCCAAATTTCTTTTCTTCATCCTCCTTGGCGTCTTTGGCGAGCTTCATGAAATATTTTTTTATTTCTTCTGGCGTCATATCCTCAGTCTCTTTCCTCAGCTTCTCTGCATCCTCATTGGTATCATTCGTTCCGTGAACCATAATACGATATTTCTTAGCGAATTCAGCCACCTCTGCAGATGGTTTATCCCTCTCTGAAAATTCAATTCCTGGCGACATTAAAACACCAGAATCACGCTTCGATCCTGCTGTACCGCCTTCAGATGTTGTATTTTGAAAAGACATATCTTGCGCCATAACCTTCACGATCTCGCCCAAGGACTTCAACAATCCTTCACCAACTTGATCTTCTTGATTCTTCCAGTGGTCTAAGGCCCCAAAAATTTCTGTGACAGAATCCTCCAGCATGGAAACAGCAGGCGATCCCACGACACGAATCAGAGCCCACAAAACCTGTGGTGTCTTTGGGTTAGAGCTCAAGAACGCAATCCGTTGTGATACTTGCTGAATTACATAGTCATAGTTGGCTTGAATTAAGTCTCCAATAGAGTCGTAGTGACAAACAAATGCCACATGCTCCAGCGTTGCTTCAGCAGTGTCTCTTACTAATGTTGAATCCTGATCGCCAAGGTGCTCTAACAAAATATAAAGAACTCGAACCAGCTCCATCTCAAATTCTGTACCTCCCAAGACTACGGCAATGGAGGCGATACCTTCCAGGAGCAAACACTTCAACATGATGTCCATATTATAGTCATAAATTTGAGCCTCCGGTGCATCAATGTCGTAATCCTCATTTTCCATGCTGAAAAGCTTTGCAAGAGCAAGCTTTCTAGCACGAACTGATTTATCTGTTGAGGACATTACCCGGTCACTCGCCTCCTGCCTTTCCCTGGCATCAAGTGACATTTGTGAGCACTCAACCATGGCGGCCAAGTACTCTTCCAGGACGCCTCTGGCTGCCCTTCTAACATGTCGTTGATGCTTCCGCTGTAACGAGGACTTTTTAGGCTTGGTCAAGTGATTATGGATATTTAACTTTCCAAAGGTCGCGAGTCCAATGCCATGAGCTCCGAGGAGTAGGTGGTTCATCATAAGCACACTTGAGACAGTTCCAGTATCGAACCAGCCCAAGCTCTCTCGAACACTCCGACAATCCTGTTGGAGGCGGGAAATCAGCTCCTCTGTCCACATGTCGATCTCTACAGTCGATCCTAATTGGCGCAACAGCCCCATGAAGGCATTGGCGGTTGACTGCTCTCTTAGATGAACATGGATTCTTCGGGGAAATCCGAATTTACGGCCAGAGCCTTTATGTGACTGCACCCATGCGTTCCAACGAGCCTGTTCCTGATCGTTATCTCCAGTGTTGGGTTTTAAATTGGCCGATTCAACGCTCCCAAGGATTCCCCTTCGCTCATCCATGTTATGTTGGTCCAACTGCTCAATAGTTAGGGCGTTGAGCCACGGTTGGACGAACGATGGGAGTGTCTGGTAGTTGATTAGCGATTCCGTTTGGTTGCCAATAAAAAGAGCTAATCCCTGTGCTAGTCGAATTGCGTTCTGCTTCTTTGATTCGTCGATAGCATGCAGTATTCGAGGTAGAACCATCAATTTCTCTCGGAGGATCTCTTTGGCTGTGCTCGTGAGCTCAGGGTTTGCATGTTCCTCATTCAGTTCACCTAAATACACCCTCGCGGGCTCATAAACATCCCTGTACTCGTCCTGTGTACAACTAATCAAAGTCTCTAACAAGAACGAAGTAATTCCGGATACATTGCTTCCTATTCCTAAGCCCTCGCACGCAGCAAGTGTTTGTTGACAGTTCCTCATGACAGTAAACGCCATCTCTCCGAATTTGAACCGAACCATCCAATGTGAGTGTGCTCTGAGCGGCGCAAGCTGCTTGAATAAAGTCCTGAGTCCCTTATTTGTCTTTTTCATCCACTCTTCTGATCTATATATCATAGGTGATTGAGACTTTACTGACGACTGATGATTCTGATCTGTAATCTCGACTTTCAACTTTGCCTTGTCCTTATACATGCTCATCAATGTCTGCCCCAAACCAGACCCACCGGCAACTGCCTCTACTAGTTGAGATTTTGATGAATTCTCTTGGTCTTTAAGGAGAATTGAGAGCAAATAAGTCCAAATGTCCAGTGACTTCACCAATACGCTATGATTCTCTTTGTGTCCCCGTCTCAACATAGTTTCTGTCAGACCAGCTGCTAATCCTGGAAACCACGTTGCGATGCGCTCTGGCGTTTCTAAACATTTCAAAAGCTTCATGATACCTTCCAATGCCATTCGACGTAGTTGAACCAAATCTGCATCTTTTGAGACAGTAAGGAGAATAACTAGCATTTGACCAAGAGTAGAATTGTTCGCTGGCTCCAAAAGGTGATCCCGAACCACTTTATCCTTGTCAGTTCTATATTGTCTATCGCCAACTTCAAATAAGGTGTCTGCGACTTCAAGGGTAGTACTCGATTCACTAGAGACCGTGGGCACATCCTTGTTGAGCGGCAAAGCCAAAACAAGACATCGAAGTGCAGTTAGCCGAACTTCATCTGCCATCCTATCTTTTGGGAGAGCCGTAGGGTCATGCCTCCGTACAGATGAGAATTGATGTTGTCCTTGTTCCTGTCCCTGTTCCTTTTCCTTCACATGTCTGACAGGCAGCCCATCTACAGCCCTGAACAGGACATCAAACAATAGCTGACTATACTGCCAGTTGGCACCCATGACAAAAGCATATCCATCTGGCAATTTAAGCAGAAATTCAAGGCATCGACACCATGCCTCAACTAAGAAATCAAACCGCTTGTCGAGTTGCATAAATTTTTGACATAGCCGCAGAACATGATTGAGAGCATGCTGCGTGTACGCGATCAGTTGTTTGGTCAAATGTAATTCCGGAACAGCCATGGAAGTGAGTACTGTGTGGATTATGTTGAGATTTTGAGTAGCCTCTTGAGCATTCGATGCATCAATCGAAGAAAGAGTCATGAGGGACGAGGCAGGGCCTCGGAGCTGGTATTCATGTGTTTAATCAATGACATTAACTGATCAGACCATTGAAGAAAGCTTACAATTCATATTAAGAGAAGACTTTTGATCAATTTTCTAGGTCCTTGTTGCTTACCGCGCTAAAAGTAGCAATTGTCTCTGCAGACACGTCATGCTCCATTGCTATTATGCCTGATTATTTTGAATTCAGTTGTCGCATGTGAATGCAAAGAAATACATGGAACAGAAGGTGTGACAAAGGAAATCATTGCTTTGCGAGATCAAATCATTCAGGACTTTGTAAGACGTGTTTATCAATAAATTTTTTTTTTTAGCAAACAGCGCAGTATTGTGTCTAAAGCTATTTACAAAAACCAATTAGCTATATTCTGCTTAGATATCGCCTGACATCTTCAATGCTTCAAGTTCTTCCAACTTCGCTTGCGGAGTATGCTGTGCCTCATCAATTGCCTTCATAATCTTGTCTTTTTCCTCCTTTGTCTTTTCTTCCTTTGTCGGTGGCAGTCTCTCATTCTCAATATCCGACTTTCTAGCGTCTTCAAACGTATGAATAGCTCTTCTCAATCCTTCCGCACCTAGTGCTAATGATCCATATGGCAACTTTGTTGTGCCCATAAGATCCTTCAACTCCGAGACGGATTCTGATTCTTCTCTCAGAACAGCAAAGACGCGCGACAGTCGTCCTACAGCTAGGATTTTTTGTCGAATACGGCTCTTGCTAGCGGATTCCATTTCTACTTTTTGTTCAACTACTACGCTGTCCTGTGATGTCAATCCTTCCATTATTGCTGCCGTTGTTTCAGGGGTGCCGTCTAGTGCAGAGTTATTCTGAGATGTAAGGCTGAGAATGAGATCATCCTCAGCTAATTCCTCCTTGCTGCATAAACTAAGAATAGCCACCAACATGTCCGAGACTTGATACAATTTATGAAGAAAAAAAAAAAAAAAAAAAAAAAAAAAGTAGAGCCGGATTAGCATTGTATCTTATGATCCAAGTAAACTTTGATCCACTTCCTCTTCTCATCCAAAGAAGAAGTGAAAAAAAAAAAAAAAAAAAAAAAAAAAAAAAAAAAAAAAACTTACTTTTTTCACCAACAAATGGAAGGGACCAAGTGAAAACATCCATGAAGTTGGGTAACCAATAGGGGTGAGGTGACGCATTGAATTGGCTATTTAAAAAAGGACCTTCATGTGAGACAAAAATGATCTTTGCAATGAGTAGTCCATCAGATTAGGCTTTACATCATAAGTCTAAACATACCGAATGTTCATAACATTGTTTTCATATTTGAGTACCGCGGCTATAGGTCAAAAGATGTGTATAAAAAGTATCAGTACATAGAGCAGACGTAAAAGGGATGTAACAAGTATAAGAAGCCTTACCTTTATTGTTGTACACGTCCAAGTAGTTGGGAGCAGAAAAGATTGTCATAACTGAAGGGAATCCAGTTGTTTTGGTCTTCCTATACATGCGGTATCCAGCATCTTGAGCCTCATGTGCGCGGATGATAGATAGTAGATTATTTTTTTCCAAGAAAGCACAAGCAGCATGATAGCTAATTATGTAAGGCCCGATATCCAATGTCAGTGCGCTGTTCCTCTTGCAATGAAATTATAAACTATTGATTATTGCACCATTGTATCCCTTGAGCACTTACGTGAAGAAATACGAACAGCCGCGAACATGGTTATGTATAAAGTGCTCATTAGTTTTTTCTTGCCCAAACTCCTCAAGAGGATCTGCCCAAAGTAAGTCGCCCATGAGTCCATATGTTGGTGGTTCTCGAAAACGGTTGATTTTTCGGAGATCATCCAGCGTATTGAGCTCGGGCGACAACCCTCCATGGACACAGAGGAACTGCTTGTTCATTACTGCCGCCAAAGGCAATGTACAGAAGGACTCTGTACAAGCATCATACACCTTTTCTGAGTACTTGTGTTTGCCTATTAGTTTTTAACATTTATCGCGCCACTCATTAGAATAATGTTTATGTAATGATACGAAATGATTAAAACCCTCTTTTCACGTACACTCGGTCTTGAAGGTGAAATAATCAGTTAGATGTCTGCACTCATGATTTCCACGTAGCAAAAAGATGCTATCTGGGAACCAGATCTTGAGCGACCAGAGATAGAGTACGCACTAGAAGATGGCGTAGAATAGCAATGGAGATGATCAATCTACTATTTCCTTTCGAGCTTGCTCAAGCCTTGTGTGTCTAAGTACTGTACCTCAATAGAGAAATATCCACGATCGACATAGTCACCCAAAAACAAATATCTTGTTGACTCTGGATTCCCTCCAACTTCAAATAGTTTCATGAGGTCGTAATATTGTCCATGGATATCACCACACACTGATGTTATGTTCATAAAAGGATGAAGATGAGTTAGCCTTAGCTTTCTTTAGGACTTGGTTTGTACTCATAGCTTCAGGGAACATGTCCTCCTTACCAGTAATCGGGGCATCAACTTCTAATAAATTGGGCTCCGTCCTCAAAATATCTGTGGCCTTTTGAAGGATGTAAATAGCCTGATCCTCAGTAATTCTGCCTTCTCGGAAAAAGTGGTCTTTAAGGAACGCCAAGTCGGGTCTATCCGGGAACTCTTTGGAAAAAAACATGTCGTTCGTAGGCAGCATTACAGCGGGCGCTTGAACGTCTAGGATATGTCCCGTTTGAATAATCGAAAACATGCAGCACATTGTTAGTTTGTTTTTTTTGCAGGGGGTAGGGGCGATTAAATATGCAACGTATCAGGGGTAAAAGATTAAGGCGAGCATGGGTGTGTCCAATTCATCAACTTTGATACTTCAAGAACTTTTTTTTTTTTTTTTTTTTTTTTTTTTTTTTCCCTTCATTGTTAATGTGACAAGTCAGTCGCGTGAGGCTGGTGACAATAGTGCCGATTAAGTATTATCATTTTTAGCAAAAAAAAAAAAAAAGTATGATCCTGTATGTGGTTCAACAATCTCTCCCATTTGGCTCTTATCAGTAAGCAACCAACACTGCATCTCTTCCTGAGACGACATATTCAAATTGGTTTGATGATTGAAAGTTCTATTCTTGAAGACCCTGACTTTTGTATTCACAATAAATAAATTAAAAAAAACTACATTGAGCACACCTTTATTGTATCGTTCGATTGTTGAAGCTGTTGTGCCATCCTCCATGGTATGAATAGTAAAGTCGATCTCTGGCACAGGACGCTTGTTCTGCAACATGCGCAGCGTAGCACTAGCTTGTGCATTGCGAGCATCCATTGGAGGCGTTGACATGATAAGAAAAAGATGAAAGAAGACTAATTGGTGAAGATGAGAGATGAAGATTGATGAAAAGGACAGATGTGGAGAGGAAAGAAGGAAGAAGTCTCATGAAAAGAAAGAAAGAAAAAAAAAAAAAAAAAAAAAAAAAAAAGTGTGTCGCATTTTGTTTTACAGATTTGGAGGTTTTTAGTAATTTATACCAAAATAGCGTCCGCGCTCTCTCTCGCTGCATTACAGGAACTCTAAAGTTAAAACTGGCTCTGACCCTCCACAGATGATAAACCCCAAAAGGCAAAAAAGGAAGGGGCGCTATGAAGAGCACCCTGAATCTAAACTGCTCTTTCTTTGGTTCTATGACTAGGACAAAGGAGAAAAGGCTTAATATATAGACTCGGTGTCTACTGTGCACTACCAAAAGAAAATCTCCTAGACGATTCTCTTTTTGTATATTTCTACTGGTGTACGCCATATTCTCGATTGTCATCGCTTCAAACTCCTCCTTAGCTTACAGCTGCCTCCATGCCATAACTGATGGGCCGTCCTTATGGTCTTCAAGCACTGACGGCGCAATTCACCTGTAGGAATGCCATCTCTCAGTATTGACCCTTTTTTTTCTTGTATTTGAACGCCCTGGTTAAAAAAACAATAAAAAGATCGAGATGAAAAAAAAAAAAAAAAAAAAAAAAAAAAAAAAAAGTCAGGCTTCTTTTTACTTCCGTATTGTCTCTCTTTTTAGACCCATCAAGCTCAGAGGGCATTTTTCGCCAAGATCTTAAGCTAACAGAGCCGAATATCGCAGCGGTTTAATCGTTTTGTCCGAAGGTCGGGGCCATGTATATCCTATATGTAATTTTCTAACTGTACAAGTCCCTTTGCGTACCAGCTTGACTGCTTCTTTTCTGATATCTTTGGTCTTCTTACTAGTAATCTTCAGGGGCAGGTCGTGCCGATCTTGTGCTCCAAATATCCGAGTCCTGTGAAGGACTCAGAAGCTTGATCCCCGCAGAACCATCTACATAACCTTGTGAGGTTTCACCTCGGTAAAGCTGCAACACCCTTCATCTCAAGGTTTGGAGAAGATCTCAACTCACAGTCTATCAGACGCTGTCATCTCGGGCCCAAGCTTGACTCAAGTTTCGGATTGGCCAGCTTGTATGGCATAGCATTGTAAATATGTGCACAGTTGGCCATAGAAATAAGGACTACGTTCTTTTCTACTGCAGCTTCCTGGAAAGATATGCAAAGGAAACAATTGACTTTAATAAAGTATATGAATCATTCGCACGGACCACTGATACAGTTACAAACACCACTATCCTAATGAACATATACTACTGAGAGTGATTTTTCTGTTCAGAACGTGAAGCTGTTGTAGAAATACATGTTTGCATGCTATAGTGATATTAAGGGTTTAACTTATTCTCTAGAATTATTGTACAAAATGCCTTGAGTGAGTACGGAACATTAGTAGCAAATAAGATAGAAACTTGTATGCTAAATCCTACCAAAAAATTGTCACTACATGGAAAGTAGACCGCATCTTCGCGTTTGAGAGCATTAATCTCTCAATTGTCGACTATGTGAATCCAGACAGAAGGAGGAGGACCGTACAAATCAAAATCAAGCTGTTCAGTACCTTTGAGAAGAGTATACGACCCCTGACTGTAGAAGAGCCTCGGCGTTGATGAAGGATATCCTCGGTATATGAGGCATAGAAGCTCGAGAGGGAATGCATTTGATAGCATACTTTCCATCAACTTTATCATTGTTAGATCCTTTTGTGACATTAACGAGGCATTCTACCAAAGCTCATGACGGACTACATTACTGCTGTTGGTCGAAGAGGCGGACCAATTTAGCACCTAGAAAGCTTGCATAGCTGTATAATGCAACCCATCCAGCTCTCTTTCTTCAGTAATATCATCTCCCTATACCATGCCTTTAGAAACTATTCTATCACAATCGCATAGTAGAAAATACTCCGGATGTAAGTATCCACTAACTTCTCGATAAATGTCAGCTGTCTTGGGACAAATGCCTTTGTGAAGGTATGCAATTATAAAGGGCTCTGCTCGCACCGGCAAAAGTCGAAGAAGACCGAGTCAATGTATTGTTTAGTACAATACTCAAGTGCTCTAGGCTTTCATTGGTGGCCACAATCACGTATTAGATAGTGCACTTGCGATAGCTTGGGATATCCTGGTATAAACTTTTGCCGAATACACTGGTATGCGGATGGTACGCCATACTGGCAATCACCAACGGTGAGAAGTGGTGCACTGGACCAAAAAAAAAAAAAAAAAAAAAAAAAAAAAATCTGTATAGCGGTGCAAATTTTACCAGCGAAACCAGTGCCACCGAAATGTCCTTTGATACTGGATTATAAGCTACATGTGACCCGTGTATGAAGACCTTTGGCCTTGGCCCTGGAAGGATTGCACATTGACGTGCACCAGTAACCTATTTTCAGCGCTCTGGACATCTTATTTAAGATTATTGGGGTAGGGGATCCTGGGCAATGGGGCAGTAAGGTTATTTGGAGTATTTAGGATAATCGTGATGAATCATCGGGTTATAGAAGTCCGTTTTGTTTGTTCGCAATACCAGATACAGTATATTTTGAATAACTTCAATTAAATAAGCCTAAGCAGTCAATTAGCTTGCCAACCAAAACCTTGAGAGTTCTTTTTTTCAAAAAAAAAAAAAAAAAAAAAAAAAAAAGACCTACATGTACATGTAGTTAATTTGTCCACAGGCTAAAAAAAAATCGTGTCGCGGTCAAATAAGCCAGCTCCCGGAGAGAGATTTCCATAAAGACAAAAAAAAAAAAAAAAAAAAAAAAAAAAAAGGCACATGTAGTATGCATGCATGAGGATCATAAACAAAACTTCTTTTCAAGGATCAGTTTGTTGAATTGGATCTACATTTTTTTTCCCGATTCTTCGTACATAGACATTAAAATCATTCTACAAGCGAAGCATACAATGTTTCTTTTTTACAACACTGGAGCGTTCCTAGAACAGCATTTAAAGGTTAGGATCCTTTATTAGCCTTGATAACTAATGATGCCGCAGTTTAATGACTGACAATAATTGTGATAGTGCTAAAGCTGAATGCAATGGTGGTGTTATAACCAATATGGACCTCATTTCCATTGAATTCAGTTAGTGTGTATATATAATTATATGATCCGAGCCCATTTCGAATATTTCGATGAGAACAGTAGCTATCAGATCCAGGCGTTCAGCTCCCAGTCAATTCGAGCTTTGACTGATGCTTGCTTGTAGTATTGTGGTACAGAGTCTAGACCTCACTTTTTTTTTTTGACAGTCAGCGGCGGTCATTGTTTGCAAGTCTTTCTTCTTTTCCATGCTTTCCATGCTTTCTGTGATCTTTGTTTATACACACATGTAACTTTTGAACATTCATGTCCGACGCGCATGCTCTGAGAGGAAGAAACTCTCAGTGAAAGGGACAAAAAAACTCCGATGATCGCCTGACGACAAGTAGGCGAACCAAGCTCCATCTCATCTCTTTTTAATGAATGCTTGTTGAAATCAGATAACCATATTCAAAAAGTACAAGTTAAAGGGTATTAGCTTGGTCTACATGTAGCAGACATTTCTGAGCATGTTTTGTCTAAAAGTTTAACTAGATTGTCAGAGGAGCATTTTTTTTGCATCAGATAAGTTTCTGTTTCGTCAAAATGAAGAGCGCCGCTAGCGCAAAACGTTAAATATTAGAAGCATAAACACTCACTCGTTCTCACACAATCCTTTCCTATTCTTTCCTTCTTTCCTTTTTCAATGAACAAATGAGATTTGCTCTAATCCGTCCGCCGGTTCGGACTCATATTGGATCACAATGCATTGCATTGGGGGTTACACTCAACCTTCTTCACTCTCCTTTGCGCCTCTCATAAAAATATAAAAAGCCCTCGCCCAAACACTCTTTACTCACCAGAGTCTCATTGAATCTCTCTCTTCCTCCTTTTTTTCCTGCTCCCCCTGCCGTTCTTGTTCCATACCCGGCACACTGCCTGCGCAAGAGCACCACCACACAATCTCTGCTTGTCTCTCTTATTGAACCATTCATTTATAGTCGTTGCAAGAGAGTTCAGCAATCATGGAGAACACCACTACTAAAGAAGGCAACGTCGCTGTTGACGTCCAAGATAGTCATGAGGAGAATACCAAGACGACTACATACTCGAACATCCTGGATCGCGATAACATGACTGCCAAAGAATTCCGTTGGCTCTGGGCAGGGTACTTCATCCATTCATCCAGCTCTGTTTCTTACAAAGAAAAATGTATGGCCTTTGCAAGGACCAAACCAACTAAATCTCATTTATCTTGACGACTTTCCTTTAAATGTATTATTAGCATCCTCATCCAGGCATTTACCTTCTCATTCGAGCTCTGTGTCATTCAGGGTATTATAGGCCCTGTTACTGCATACTTCAAGTCCACCTCTATTGCCAGTGTTTTGCCCACGATCCTTCAGATTCTTGCAGCCGCTTTAGTTCCTTTTTATACCAAAGTCTCAGACGTGTTTGGTCGTGCTGGATCGATGACCTATGCTATTATTGCCTATCTTGTCGGACTGATTGTTGAGGGCACTGCTAATACATTTGTTCAGTTTTCGATTGGTCAAATCTTTTACGGCATGGGGCTTACTGGTATCCAGACACTGACTCAAGTCTTGATTGCTGGTATGCTTTTTTTTTTTTTTTTTTTTTTTTTTTTTTTTTTCTCGTTCTTTGCAATTACCGTGAAGCAAAAAGGCTAACTAACTTGTACTTGTATTGATTTTTTTAAATACTAGATACAACTCTTTTGATCGATCGTGGCCTTATGTTTGCTCTCTGGGACATCGGCTCCGTTATTAACATCTGGGTAGCTCAAGTACTGATTGATCCATTAACAATTGGTGGACGTGAAGACAAGTGGCGTCTCGGCTACATACTTATGGCTTGCTTCTGCGTTGTCGGAGCGATCTCGTTGTTGTCGCCTCTTTGGTATGTTCAGACCAGATCTTCGCGTCGGAGGCCTGCTAAGCAGGAGCGTAAGACTATTAAGTGGCTGTTGCACGAATTTGATGCTGTAGGCGCAGTTTTGATCACTCTTGGTTTGAGCTTGACTTTGCTCCCTTTGATCTTGGCGAAGTCTTATGAGGGCAACTGGAGAAACGGCAAGATTTTGGCCATGTTCTTCTCTGGTATTATCTCCTTCGTCCTACTAGCCGTCTGGGAAGCCAAGTTCACCAATAGACCTATTATGTCCATGAAGATCTGGACCAATCGCACTGCGCTCGGCGGTCTTATGATCGTCTTTTTGCTGAAGATCTTGGGTTACATTACCTATATGTACCTAACTTTGTATCTGGTTGTCTCCCGTGATATCACCTATGGTCAAGCATTCATGCTTGAACGCGGTTTCCAAATGGCATGGATGGTTTTCCAGCTGTTGGCTGGCTATTTGATGAAGCGTTACAACGTCACTCGTCCACTCGCCTGGGTTGGCATCATTGTATACCTCATTGGTGTCGGCCTCATCATCCCCGCACGTTCTCCAACGGCCTCAGATTTTTTCGTCGTCATCTCTCAGACGATTGCGGGCGCTGGCGGTGGCATGGCCCACATTGCCGGTACAGTTATTGTCACAGGCGTTGTCCATAAGAACGATATCGCGACTGTCGTTGGTGCCACACAGATCTTGATCGCCTTTGGCTCTGCGCTGGGTAATGCCTTGGCCGGTGGTGTCTGGACACAGTACCTGCCCGGTCGTCTGGAACATCATATCACCGGCCCCTATGATGAGCGCCTAGCTATGAACGACCCTCTCAAATATATCCGCAACCTGGAGCCCGTCACGAAAGGTCAATTGATCGAGGCTTATGGCGACGCTCAGAAGTTAATGTCAATTCTCGCCTGCTGTACTGCAGTCATTGCCCTTTTCTTTGCTGCCATGTTGAAGCCCGTCGATTTGCGTCAGAGCCAGGAGACTCAGGACCGTATTGCCTTAGGTGAAGAGGCCCCTGAGCGAGAAGTAACGGAGGAGAAGAACTAAAAAAAAAAAAAAGTTAACCTCAAAAACAATGCAAGGTCCGCTGAAAAGATATTAGAGGAACCACTCTTACTCACTATGTCCTCCAAGTTCATGAGCTATCGTCATATTTTCTATCAATGTATATTTTATAACTGTCCATAACCACTTATTTGCTGTCTAATCTAACCTCCCATGTATCCTATCGTTCCGTATCGCATCATATCCAATATAGTATATCTGGACTCCATCCATATATTCACTCATGAGATGCTGGTCCCTTAATCCTCTCAATCTTACATTGCAATAAAAAATGCAACAAATTGAATAGATTTCCCGCACACCTTTTGCTTGCGGTATAGGTCAAAATATGCTTGGCGATGTAGATAGTCAAAGTTTGACAGATGCAGTACCCTTTAATCATGGGTTATAGGGCTTTCCTCATTTGGGAGGGTTAGGAGGCGCTCGGACATATCCATACGCCAAAAGAAAATACGCTTTCCTATGACTTGGCTACTGGCTGTTGAAGAGATGTCTCTCCAGTAAGCATGGAAGCATATAAACTCCTCTCACTTTTTTATAATCAACCTCTCATTTCTCTAATTGCAATTCGAATTTATTCGTCATAGTCAAGCCTTTCGTTTGGATCTTAAGATTTATTAGTAAATACATCAGCCTATTTCCTCAGAGCATCAACTGCTTTGATACTTCGAGGCCATTACGTCGATTACGGTACTCTAGTGTTAAGAGTGCTCTACATACATCGGAATTGAGACCGTGGCACAAGCAAAGGCGGCAAAGGTGGCAACGAGAGAAAGACTCGAGCGCTAGCGGTGATGGGCATAACATTTGGTTCAATTTGACGTGATCAACTAATTTGTTGGTGGGCCGATATACCAGTTTCTTTATCGATACATAATTCTGTTAATGTTATCGAACAGAGCACTGTCAAGTAATTTATGCTGCACATCAATTGAACCTGTCGATATTATGGTTAATATCATTACAGTCCTAGGTTAAATACTAAGACTACCTGTCGATATTATGGTAGAGCACCAAGCACCAAATCAAAAGATAGTCACGACACAAAGAAATAATAATAATTGCAATAAGTCTTGCATGTCTGCTTGATTGTAACTCTTGGGGCCGTTCTCATTGTAAAAGTCCATCACATCAATCCTTTTTTTTTGTATTTTATATTGTCAGCCATAATTCGACATGGTCAAGAGCAAAGCCAAGAAGAGAGCTCTGTCAATAGCAAAGGCCCAAGCAGGACGAGAGCTGGTCTCTCGACTACAACAGACAAATTATAGCCAGGATCGGAAGGGTCAGAAGATCAAAACAAAATCAAAGCGTGAACATAAGATCAATAAAGCTATGAGCATAGGGGATACAGCATCTGCAGCAGAAGGGGCGACTAAGCACAAAGATACCCCAAACCCGAAGACCAAGTCGAGACATGAGTTGAGATTGGAACGAAAGCGTATGATGAAACAACAGAAACGCCAAGAGAAAAAGGAGCTGCAACAGAACCCCCAAAGAGAGAAGATAATCCCAATAATTGAACATCCTGATAGTGCTGCGGACGAAGGTGATGATGAAGAGCCACCAGAGTTGGTGCCAATTGGACGGGACCATGAAAATTTCCCTGATACGAATAGCCATGAGCTCGTGAGCGTACATGAATCTTCAATATCCATGGAAGATGGCACTCAACCAAGCCCCAACAAAAAGAGGAAAGGGAAAAAAAAGAAAAAAAAAGAGTCTAGGAGGGCTTGGGGAGACGAGCAAGTCGAGAATAATATTCTGGATAGGCAAGAGGCCAGTATCGATACTAGCATCTTGCCGATCTCATCATCGTCAGGTTTCGTGGACAACATAATAGACGACAAAATCAGGCAAGCAGATTCGCATGAGTATGATCAAGGGTTGTTGTTGTTCCAGGCCATTGAAATGCGCAAGAAGCTGGATGTATCTAGTATGAAGCCAACTACCGTCCCAGATACTCAAATTCATGCCTCAGTGGTATCTAAGAAAAGGAAACGCGCTACGGAAGAACAGCAGGACTCCAAATCATCTACATCAATGCATCAAAGTGGCTATATCAGTAGTAATGGCGATACAAAAAAAGCTAGTGACAACGGCAATGACAACGATGAGGAAAATGAGGAGGAGGACAGTATATTGGAGAAACCTAAACGGGCCAAATTGGATGCATATGAAACATATGCGTTGCAGCAGGTATCTGCTGATAATGCAATGAGCCGTCGCGTGGACTATACGGATGGGAAACAACTACCGAAGGATATGCAAAAATATTGGTATCAACGGTACCGTTATTTCCGATTGTTTGATCAAGGGATCAGGATGGATAAGGAAGGATGGTACTCTGTGACGCCGGAGAAGATTGCGGCCCACATTGCACAACGGTGCGCATGTGATGTGGTTATTGATGCCTTCTGTGGTGTTGGTGGGAATGCGATTCAATTTGCGATGACGTGCCATCGAGTGATTGCGATTGATATTGACCCTGTTCGATTGATGTGTGCAAAACATAATGCCAAAATCTATGGTGTCGAGGATAGGATAGAATTCATATGCGGTGACTATATGACCCTCATTCCAAGGCTAAAAGCAGACGTAGTTTTTTTGAGTCCACCATGGGGAGGTACGCCAAATGAGTGATCTCAAGCAGACATTGTCATTTCTTCCTTTTTTTATTTTTATTTTTTTATTTTAAATATTGTTGCAAGATATTGAAAACGAGAAAATTGTTGACCGCCCAATCTTTTTTTAGGCCCTGGATATTTGACTCAGGATGAATTTGATATTAAGCGGGACATTCCTATGGATGGGTATGAAAATTAACTATTGGATATTTCTTATAAGGGAAAAAACCATGTAACTGCTTGTTTGAGTGCTCACAGATGTAACACCTTGTCCACGTCTTTTCAATCTTTTCCTCCGCGTCAAATGTACATGATCTATAATCCTGATAGAGAGTTTCTTTTTAACGAGACCTGCAAGATCACCAAAAACATTGCCTATTTCTTGCCCAGGAATTCCAATCCGGAACAAATTGGACGGCTTGCAGGATCAGGGCCAGAGAATACCTGCGAAATTGAGAAGAATGTGCTGAATCATGTTTGTAAAGCATGGACAGCATATTTTGGTGATCTGGTAGCGGTCCCAGAAAGAGTAAATGGAAAAGAGGAGGAAGCTGGCGGAGCACAAGTAGAAGGAGAAGAAGATCAATACTTTGATGGAGGAGAGAAAGAAAGGCAAGATCAATGCTTTGAGGGAAGAGAAGAGGGGTATGAATACGGCTACGAAAATGGCGGATACTATCTTGAGCATGATTAATTGATCCCAAGATAATAATAACAATCAACTACTATGCTACTGAATTGCCATTAGAAATGACAGCGTTTAATGGCATTATTAACTTCGTTTCAGGATCCATGCCCGCTTCTTTTTTGTGGTTGCTATTTAAAAGTTACGGGACAAAAAGCAAATTTACAGGCTCTGGGAAGTCTACAATGCTAGTTCTATAAGACTGGTGTCCTTATTATTACCATTGTTATTTATTGATATATCAAAAGCGGAGGATGCTGTATATTCATCCGATTTTTATCCTGCACAACAAGTTCAGGCCACTCTCGTGCTAACAGGGCTTTGAACCGACCCTTATCCATGGTACCATTAGCCTGGAGTAACGAAATTTTTCTCAATTTGGCCCATGATCGTTTCATCCATGCAATCTCGCGGATTTCCATATCTTCAACCCATCCCGTTACGGCAATATGCTCCAAATTTTGAAGCGTTTCCAGCCGACCTTCCATACCGCCGTCTAAAGTCCAAGGAAGACCGATTTGGACATGGTCTACCTGCTCAACATGTTCACCACTCAAATCTAAATATTGGAGTCGAGTTAGTTTTGAGAGCTGATCCAAGAACGCATTCCGTACATCAACGTTATAATTTTGGCGGCAATGGCAATACTGATAGGATAGCTTGTTTGCTGTTGATGATGTCCGGTACGCTTTCTGCCTATATACCAGTGGGTGTCGTGGCTCTTGTGGATGATGCGGATGTTTTTGCTGCTGCGCTATCCCTTTATCCATTTCCTTGATGTTGAAATTGTCTGCAGCGTCATAAGATGAAAATGCCTGTGCGGAAGAGCATGGTGTGTCCTCCTTATGACCAATACAGAACTGATAAGGATCATCGTATTGTCCGTCATCACCCATATTTGGTTCTAAACAAATATAAACAGAAAGCCGCTCTAGTTTTTGACAAGCCCAGTCTTCAATATTTCCGACGCCTGTAGTTGTACTTTTTGAATAGGATAATGGTAGTGACGATATTGAGGTTGATAAAGTCGGTTTTTCAATAGTCGCAGGTGCAAGGTCGCCTGCATACATCATGATCTCAGGTGCATAAAGGCTGACCAGGTTAGGGCATCGCGTCAAAATCAATCGAATATCTCGGCCTGTAATTCCGGAAAAGCACGCTAGGCGAATACTCTCCAATTGTAGGCCTTGCGCAGCCACGATCTGTGAGACCAATTTGGATTCAATCTCATAATTGGCGAAAGAAATAGTCCGGAGATGTTGAGGGGTGTTCAAGAGCGTTGATGTTGCTACATTTGCTTCTGTCCGGTTGCAGATTAACATTCTCAATTTTGGAGCATCCCAGTTGACTCTAGGTGGATAAGAAGGAGGGAGTTGCGAGTGGTGTTGATAAGGATGCTGCTGTTGATGACCATAGGAGCCAAAGGAAGGGGTGAAAGACGATGGAGATATAGGAAAGTAGGTACTGGAGACAGTGGATTGAGAATAATTGGCTTGACTGAATGAGATGCTGAGAGCATATAGTTCGGGTGCGTTAATCAGTAAGTCATTTAATTGAAATGTACCATGCGATATTGCAAACACTTTGAGCTGCCGGAGGTTCAGTATTGACGCTGTTGAAGTATCCATTATTGTTGTTGAAGCAGTAGAAATGTCTTGGCTTTCCGCCGTGGACTGGACTTCCGCAGCATGCAAGCCTACACCAACACCTGTGCTCTTTTTGAGGACCAGCTTTGAGAACCGAATCAGCTCTAATTTGGGTGAATGTTCGATTAGCATGTTCAGTTTGTCAGGAGTGACTTCCCACTTGCTCAAATGCAACCTGACAAGCCGATTGTCGAGCTGACAGAGCCGGTCTGTAAAACGAATCCGATGATATGATGACATATCATCCCAATTTTCAGTTAGGGTGTGCAGATTTGGATTCTTTTGTATTAAACGAATACAAGCATCTATAGACTGTAGGCACCAAAAGTCGTCCTTTAAAATGTCGTACTGATCCGTCCCTACAGTCCATATCCTATGTCTGGGCACCTGTTCATAGACATGTTTGCGAAATAGGATAGAAGGAAGGATTTCGAGCGAGAGTAGGTTGCAACAATAACCAGATGGCGGCGGTGGTGGAAGCGAGTCAGTGGCTGCAATAGTAGAGATGAGGCTATTGTTAAAGGGCGTGACCCAGGATTCGAGAGTCGACAGGGTTAGTCGCATTGGTTCCATAAGAATCAAATGCTGAATAAGGTGAGCATGTTGACGAAGGACAGCTTGTGGAAGGAGACGGATGGTTGGTTCATCAAGGCGGATAGAGTGATAAAGCATTGACTTGAAGTCATGATACCATTCACGACAGACCAGAATGCAGACAAGGATATCGCGGGTCGCTAGATAGCGACCTACAGCTAGACGAAGCTCTGGCACTGTCAGTGGGTTCATGGCCCGTGCCCGCAATTGTGTTGATGCATGAGATGAAGAATTCATGGGCAGTCAAAAAGAAAGAGATGCAAGGACTCAAGGAGGCGAATGCAAAATGAATTTCATTTCATTTCATTTCATTTCAGCTCAGCTCAGCTCAGCTCATCTCTCTCTTTTTCTTTTTTTTTTTTTTTTTTTTTTTTTTTTTGTAGGTCTTTGGTTTCTTTTTTAGATTCGGAATATGCACGGTTAAACCATTAGCCATTTGTCAGATGAGGAATAAAGGTTACGTCCTTCTACATCGTCTAAACGTATCATGTAAAGGCGATGATACCCTTCCTTCATGTATGAGTGTTCACGATTTATGCTGATGGAGCGCACTCAGTGCTAAAAACTCACCTCACTTTATCGATGTATTAATCTATCAACCCAAGCGCTGGCACTCAAGGTATATCCTTGTCTTAAAAAAAACTTAGCGTCCTTCATTTCCAAAACATGAATACTGGATAGAATTATCTCAAATTAGCCCTCGATAACCTGCTCTTTCAGTAGAAAAGGCTCTATTACTCATGGACTTGGAGACTTAAAAATCTTGTCTAACTTGAGCATCTTGATATCTTAATTGTCTGGATACTTAAAGCGTCTCGAGTAGACTACATGGGCATTTCTATACCATATACCATATGCCATAGCTGCAGCATGATCACTCAATAATTGCCAACCATTACCCTCACAAATACCTCATTAGGCATTTTACCTATCCAAGAAAATGTGGTTGATGTGAGGAGTTTACGCCACCAAAAATTAAGTTCGTGCAACCTTGTGAATAACAAGTATGCAATTTAACTTGGTATATTTGCCTGGTTAGCTTTTTCAGTTAGAGAAAAAGACATTTAAAAAAATATTAAAGCATAAAAGAGATTGGTCAGATGCTGCGGTTGGTAAGGAAGCCATCCCCAAAGCTCCTACTATTACACAGCCTGTAGAAACACAACAACGGTTCAGGGATTCATTCAGCAACTCTCATGCCGACTTCGAGCTCATAACTGCTCTAGAACTATATTGACCTTTCTTAGAGCCATACGGGAAGAAAGAAGCTGCATGGCAAAAAGTTGTTGACTATCTCAAAGAATTAAGCAAGGGGAAGACGGGATCGGATGAAGCCTGGTTTGCGCATATAGAGCCCGTTTCCGTCAAACGACGCTGGGCTGCTCTCCGCAAGAAGTGGGAACAGTATCAATCCTATCTCCAGAAAGGACCTGGTATTTCTCCCTTACCTCAGAGATTGCTCGATAAAATAGGCGAACTCTATGATCAGAAAATGGCTGCAAAGGAATCAGTCGCAATGGAAAGACATCGTCAAAAAGAGAAGCAACTTCAAAACCACATGGACGGAGACTGGATAGCAAGAAGATCAACCCAAAGAAGGGCAAAACAGCCAAGCAGCGAACATACCGAATCCTGCCCCTCCTCCCCAGAAATAATAGCACATCCTCTTACCTCAGTCAGCCATGCCTCGGATTGGGGTGTGGCCTGCATCCGAAGGATCGTCCTCATCTTCTTCGCAACCAGCGAGACCCCTGCATAATACCATATCATCAGCATCTAATCAATCCTCATCCTCAATGCTTGCCAGCTCTTTTCAACCAAAGCAATCCCCCTCATTTGGCTCCCCTCCACTTGAGTCCCCTCATTCATTTTTTCATCTTCCTCGTCTTTATCTGACCGCCTTCTCGAATCAGTGTCCCGCAAACTTTCCGGCGCGGAAGCAGAATCGATCTCCACTTGCGAATTGATTGAACAATGGAAAACGGTTGCCGAAGGGCAATTGAAGGATATTAAAGAGTCGATTGAGAAGCTGGTTCAGGTGCAGCAACTGCAGCAGCAGAACAATAATCAGAATATCAAAGAGGCGATTGAAAAGTTGGTTCAGGAGCAGCAAAGGCAACAACAGAATAACGATCAATTGCACCATCAACTTGTCGAACATCATGTTTCTTTATTAGCAATGATGAAATCTTTAGTTGAGAAAGAGACTCATTGATAATATTTAAATATTTAAAAGACTACTTCTCGGAATATTCTTGAATCCAAATATTCCTCCAACGACGGAGGGCGGACTTCAAAATGGCTCGAAATCTCATTACCGTACAAGCTGGTATGACAATTGGTGAACAATGTCGCGACAGGGAAATAAAGGCCGACGGGACTCTGCAGGATCCGCTGGTTAAGATAGAAGTCTAGAGCTTGAAAGTATTTGGTAACGTTGCCGATAGCCATTTCAGCAGTGACGCGTTCACTAGCCATGACTCGATTTTCTCGTCTTTGCTGTGGACTCATTGTTGGATTATAATCATGCGGGCGTTTGATGTGTACGCCAGCAGGATAGGCCGAGTCTCCATAAATCGCTAGTTTTTGTCCCTCGGGGATCCATGCATACTGTGAGAGAAGCTCAGGAAGCTTCGACTCACGATAGATAGCAGAATCATGCCGCGTCCCCGGTTTGGCATCGCTCATATGAATGATGATTCCGTCTGATGTAACAACAATATGATACTTCAAGCCATGGTAGTGATGGTGACCACTGTAGACAGCCTCCTGGAACCTTTTAGGTCGACAAGTCCTTCGGAGGGTTCCATCAATGAATGCGAAGATGTCGTCCAATACTCCATTGCTCTGGTAGATCACTCTGGCAAAATCCTTCAGCTTCTAACGCGTAAGGCGATATGGATCCCACACAAGCAGATTTTTCCAGTGGCTGTAGATCCAATCAAGCATATCGTTTACTATTCTAGAAACAGCGGTGAGGTCACGCATAAAAATCGAACTCAATCGATCCAACTTGATAGGAGAACTAAGACGATAGAGAAGAATGCATAGTCCCTCCATTCCTGTGAAGAAATCACCAACAGTCGTGTAGCAGGAATCAGGTATGTGAAGCAATTCTTTGAGTAACTGTTATAACTGGTCTCGCGTGAATCGAAACTGTTGATAACAATCGGCGTTAGACCATGTAGTAATGTCAAACACCCTTTCGACTAGGCGTTGACGATGATTCTGGCGACGTCTTTCGTCTCGTAGCTCCTCCCACAGTTGTAGACTTTCTCGTACATCTCTGAGCATACGAATACGATGCTCCAGATAAGGTTTCAAGAAGCCAGCATGGAACATGTTTGTTAAAAATATATCTTAAAAAAGAAGGTTTATTTGTACCCGGCATGGCGTCTTGGTTGCGTAATTTATAGATTTGTAATTGAAAGTAAGCAATGCAGGCCATGCGATGTTTGATCTACCTTCTATTAAAGATAGTCACTTGATTCAAATTGTCTAGAAAATTTATAACTGTTTAAAAGTGGTGAGAACACTTACTCACTCATCACTATTCTTCCTTGCACACCATGCCTAAACATCTTTCCTGCGAACAGAAAGGTAGAATCATCGACGCCTATGAAGTCGGTACTCTACCTTCCAAGATTGCAAAGATCCATAACATTCGAATTCAAACAGTTGTTGAAGTGATCAAGAAATGGGAAAGAGATAGTACGATTGTTCCAAAAAAATCTCCAGGCAGAAGACCTCTTCTCTCACCGCTCGAAGTCAGGGCCCTGATCAATAACGTCAAGGAAAATAACACCCGAACTCTTCAAGAAATCGCTGCAGAAGCTCCGAAGCCCATCAGCGAAAGGACGGTCAGACGTATACTCCATAAAAATGGTATCTTTTGTCGCGTCGCGGTTAAAAAGCCAAGACTGGAAGCAAGGCATGTTGAAGCACGGTTGGCTTTTGTTCAAGAAAAAAAGATTGGAGTTGGGCAAACTGGGAGAAGAATGTCTGGACTGATGAATCTTGCTTTGAAATAGGCAAGAACTTCTCGAGGATCCTCATTTGGCGAACGAAAGAGGAAAAGTATCTTCCAAAAAATATTAGGCCTCTTCTTCAAAGTGGTCGATCAAAGATCATGGTTTGGGTTGCCATTGCTGGTAATAAGAAGTCAAGATTTGTCATTATTGATGGAGACAATAACAAGGGCCAAAGCTTCATTAACACCGTTTATGACCAAGAATTGAAGAGGTTCATGAGTGAAGTGGATAATGCCATTCTAATGGAGGACAACGCTCCTATCCACACAAGTAAGCGAGCGAAATGGCGGAAAGGAAATGGGATAACGGAAATGTTCTGGCCTGCTAACTCCCCAGACCTGAATCTCATTGAGAATATCTGGTTAGTTCTAAAGAACCGCCTTAATAAACGGCCAAGGAGACCAACAAGCAAGGAAGAAATGATAGCAGCTTTCCAAGAAGAATGGGATAAATTGACGCCAGATGTGATTAAGAGGATCATCAACACGATGCCAAAAAGGATTGACGCAGTGTTAGCAGCGAAGGGAGGTTCAACCAAATATTAAAATATATATAAAAATACATATCAAAATTAAGTTTTTTCAAGACCCATTGAATTAGAATAGAATACTCCAATACATTTTGTCCTGGTACTGTTCAACACCATCCGAAGCTGAATCTGACGTTTGAGTAGACCAATGTATCCTAAGATCTCGCAATTGTATCTAACACTTTCACAGTGAGAAGAATTGGCAAAGGGGCCTGGGTTATTTGCAGTCAAGGAAAGGCTGTGCGATATGATCTGATCGGTCCTCATATAACGAGTAATATAAGCAGGACTGAAAGGCATTAACTCTCCATTAAGCAGATCGCTTGGCTTCCCTGGAGTCTAGTTGTCACGTGTATATGCACCAGCATGTACGTATCACATTCATTCCATACGTATGGTTATTAACGAATTGTAAAAATACAATCAACTAAAAAAAAAACAAATAGGCAAAGTGACCCCGATCAAAGTTTCTGACCATAAAATGAATACATTCTTCTATATTCAGTGATTTACATAGGGACGGGGAAATACATGCATAGACTTACACTCATTGTCATGTCATGTCGTTTTATTGACATTTCTTTTTCTTTCTTTCTTTTTTTTTTTTTTCGACTCTTCCAGTTCCCATACAGTTGTTTCACTTCATTTTGAGCTTCTCCATTTCTTTCCACAAATCCAATGCTAATCCCACTTTTAACCACTGTAAGAGAATAGTTCTCCTCATCGGACTTGTATTTCTGGTAGTCTGAAGACCATGGACCAGGTTGACTAATTGTGATTCCTACTACATCTGTTTATAGCCTGCTGCGGTTGTTCGATGCCAGCAACAAGGCTTACGATATGCTGTTGCTTGGGTACCTAAGGATACTCTTCCGTTCTTAGACTCAGAACATACACGCTCACGGTGCAACATCAGGACTCTAACACAGATCGCACATAACAGCAACAACAGTAGCAATAACAACATCGTCACACAGTCATTGTCTTCGCCGCCTTCATCAGCGCAGCCACGGATGACTTTGCAAACTGTTCAGCGGCGGTCATTCTATACTACAATTGTCTCCTTGCAACAGAGCAGTGGTGGTGCTAGTGCTGCTGCTGTAGAATCTAGTAACGACGATATCTACCTACACACTAATTCCAAACCCAACCTCAATATCAATATAAATACCAATTCCACTGCCAATCGCACTCAAAAGCACATCAATAGTTTAAATTTTACAAAAGGCCCCACAGCACCTGTCCGGCAACCTCGACCCAACTTCATTCGAGACTTTGAGGTACCCCCAGACATGTCACGATTACCACCCAAGTTTGGTGATAACCAGCATATAGACATTGATGCTGCTGTGTGGGAGCGTCTCAAATCGGTTGTCGACACTATCCACCACAAGGCCCCAATTCGTTATGCGTTTGCATATGGTTCCGGGGTTTTCGCTCAGAAAGGTTACGACGGCAAGGTGAGTAGGAAAAAAAAAGGAGAATCATTGAGGAAATATCACAAAAGAAAAGGAGCAAAGTTTGATTTAGCATTGGAGAGGGGTCATGTTGGCAGTACTCGAAAAGACATCCTTGATTTGCTTATTAGCTGCCGATCTGATCCAAACTTTTTAGCTTTCTCATTCACACCCTACATGCATATCTTACTTGTTCTTCAAGGGCATGCATACAGAAGTTGAGAGCCCTTTATTGCTTCCCATCCACTCATTCTACCCGCTCAACTTGAAAAAATCCCCACATAAATCAAATTTCCTTTTTTACTAAAGGAAGAAAAAAAATTTCAGAGTTTCGGAATTTTTAATTTTTTTTTTTATGGGTTCGAATCCGCGGACTAGATCAGCCTTAGACTGAGCATTCGATTATTGCACTTCTTTTTTTTTTGTGTGGTTTCTATTGGGGATCCCATTGCCTTTGTCTTGAGTCATTAACCGGGTTGATAACCAGTTTTACGTGTATTTATTTTCTAACTTTTAACCCTTTATCCCATGGATATTCATCACTTTAGAAAAAACCCTTGGTGGATTTCATTTTTGCAGTGTCGCATCCACAACATTGGCACTCACTTAACCTGCAAGCTAATCCGCACCATTACTCATTTCTGGGCAAACTCGGAAGCAAAGTTGTGGCTACAACACAGGAACAATTCGGAGCTGGTGTTTATTTCAATCCGTTTGTGGAAGTGAACGGCATGGTAAGAATCGGATGTGTGGTGATTGGAAGACTGAAACATAAACAAACCTATCTGTGTTGAATTTGGAAGCACTAACAAAGTAGGATGTGTGAACTTTTTATTATTATAGACAATCAAATATGGAGTCATTTCCCTTGATACCCTTTGTAATGATCTCTTGAACTGGGAGACAATGTATGTTTCTGGACGTCTTCACAAACCTGTAAGTGGTAACACAAATACAGAGTACGGATGCATGAAATAATTAATGTTGTGCTTATCGACTCATACATATTTGAACACCTTTTTTTGTCGTACACAGGTTAAGATCTTGATTGATGACCCACGGACGAGACTTTCCAACCAGGTCAACCTATTTAATGCCACGCGCGTTGCATTGCTCTCTTTACCCAAAAAATTTACATCCGAAGAGCTATTCACTAAGATTGCAGGATTGTCATATTTGGGTGATTTCAGAATGAGCATTGGTGAAAACCCTCATAAAGTACAGAATATTGTCCAAGGGCAGCTGGCACAATTTCATCGATTGTATGACCCATTGTTGGCCAATCTGAATAATGTGACGACGTTGCGTGAGGGCCATTTGGAGCAAGATGATAGCCCATTGGTCCGATCCAGGATATTTCAGAAGTTGCCTCCAAAACTGAAGCAAGGAGTTTTGTACCGGTATCATTCTGCTTTATCTAAAGCAGGCGTAGAGATTGTGAAGGAAGAAGGGCAAGAGATTCAATCGGTAGCCACTGCGCCAGACCTGGACAAATACCTAGCCAAGACGATCCATTCAATTGTACAGATCCCTGCAATGAGTCAATCGATCAAAGGCATCGCAACTGCAGGAATGGTAAAGACTGGAAAGTATGGCTTTGAAAAGTTAGGAAAGTGGTGGACCCGTGCAAAATAATAATGAAGTGCTTTTTCACACAAGTTAGCTTCAGTATTACTACCCTAGGATTGTAACTCGCACATACACTTCTCTCCCATGCATGATATTAATATAGACGCAATAAAAATTATAAATGCTTGATGTCATGTTTATCAATCCAGAGAAAGATTTCCACTGGATTATTGATGAGATAGACTATCAGACCATTGGATCCTTGTTTGTAGCCTCAGCTGAACAAAAAGGGAATTTTTTTTTTTTTTTTTTTTTCACACATTCACATTCATTTACTCATTCATTCTTTCTCTTTTAAGAACAATGGCGCCTTCACGCAGCTCACCTTCCACTGCTAAACGTCCAACCAGGACGTCTTCCAGAACTGCTTCTTCTTCTTCTTCTTCAAAAGCCACGACAACTAAGTCAGTCAAAGCAACGAATACAACAAAACATAAAGATTTACCAAAATCTAAAAACATCTCTACAACTACTACAACTACTTCTACTACACCTATTAAGGCTGTCAAAAGAAGATCAACAGAAACATCTAGTAAAGTCAAGCCCAAGCGTGCGAAAGGGGAGAATGTTGTTAAAGAAAGTGAAGGAGAAGAAAGTAAAGAGGATGAGGAAGAAGCAAACGTTTCAGAAGAAGAACAGGATGAGAGTAGTGAAGCAGATTATAAGGAAGAAGGAGAGGAAGATGATGATGATGATGAAAGTGATTTGGATGACTTTCAAGATACAGACTATGGCCAAAGTTCAACAAAAAAGAACCAAAAAAATCAACGACAGACACAGACTCGTAAAGGAGCTTCTGCCTCTGCCTCTACCTCAACTTCTGCTTCTACGTCAGCATCTTCCAAGAAGAATAAAAGTTCCAAAAACAAAAACCACCAAAATCCGGAGAAGCCTACCCATTCAATTCAAAGTCAAAAGCAATTCTTGATATCTGATCTCAAGATCCCACGTCCTCCCAAACCTGTGGCAGATGCGATTCAACCCGAAACTCTGGAGTTTATTCGAGATTTAAAACTCAATAATGATCGAGAATATATGGAGCAGAATCGACAACGGTTCGAGACTGCAAAGGCTGATTTCCTAGATTTTATACGAATGGTCAAAGAGGGCCTTTTGGAAGCAGATCCAGATGTGCTTGATCAAGAACCGAAGGACTCTATGATGAGGATTTAGTAAGTGAAATGAAATATTATAAATGATTGTTTTTCTTCTTCCTTCTTTGACATTTTTTTTTTTTTTTCTTTTATTAGTCGCGACGTTAGATTCTCAAACGATAAGAGACCTTATAAGAGACAGCTGTGCTGTCATTTCTCAAAAGGCGGAAAGAAGGTTTGTAGCAATGAAGCAATGTAAAATCTCTCTACCATAAAAGTTTAATCGACGTGTACCTAAACTTTCTTTCCTTTCACTTTTTTTGCAATAGTCTATTGCGGCAGGATACTTCTTTGGCGTAACTTCTGGAGGTGAAACATTTGCAGGAGCTGGCGTTTGGGATCCTCAAGGACCCGTCTTACATCGGATCCGCCAAGGAATTGTCAATCATTCGGATCGTTTTTCAGCAATTTTGGAAACCGAGCCCATTAAGAAGATCACCGGTGGCAAGACTGGAATCGATGCGCTGAGACCAGGTTCCTCACAACTCAAGACGGGTCCTGTTGGATTTGAGAAGGATCATCCCATGATTGAGTTTCTGAAACGCAAATGTTTTGCGATCGGTCGTCATTTCTCTGATAAGGAAGTCGTGAATGAAGGATTCCTGGAAGAGGTTCTCCAAACCTTTGATGCATGTGTTGATCTTGTTCATATCTTGAATGAGTGGATCGGATAGATAGTGGGATTAAAAAAAAAAAAAGACTTTTTCGTTTATTGCTAACAATGGTAATTCCATCCGAATGAATGCATATGCTTTTTTCACAATGAGCAACATGTTTTCTTTTATTTTTCTTTAAAACATACGCACATTACGGTACATCTTGCTTGGATCTACAAGAGGACCAATGCCACCCATCAGTCGCGCACGCTCTCTTTCACGTTCTCGCTCCCTATCAGCTTTGCTCTTACTGTGACTCTTGCCCCCGCTAGTTGCAGATCCGTCAATGGAGGGTGCTCGAAATCCAGATATTAATCCAGATGCAGATGCAGCTCGCTCATGTCTTGACGTACTGCTACTGCCATCTTCACTATCAGCAGTACTTCGAGAACGCTCGCCTCGTACTCCACTGCCTGTCGTGCTTGTGTCCGAGGCGGTTGTCACATCGCTGATTGCACTATCCGACAGATGCGATACATGTCGGGTGTAGAGCGTGGGTAGGAATACTCCTGAGGAAGCTGCTCTGGCTGCTACAGAACTCTTTGATGTAGATGTAGACGTAGATGTAGATGATGATTCGCCACCTTTACGCTGCTGCTGCTGCGATAATTGTCGACCCAAGTCAAAGATTCCTGGAATATGGCTACCAAGATGTCCTCCTCCACCTGCACCACCAATTCCAGCACTCACATTATGAATGCCACGGTCTGTTTGGGCCCTGTCAAGTGGCCACTTGCTCTTTGTCTTTGACTTAATTCCTTTGCCTTTTCCACTGCTGTTGCCTGTCTGACCAACAGCTCGGGTCGAAGATTCAGATTCAAATGGTGGCAGCTGAGCTGATGTTGAAGAGGAGCTGTCTTTTTCCCCTAAACGCATGGATCTAATTCTTTGACCGATCGTGTCATCCTCATCTTCTGTCTCTTGATAGTTATGACGACTATATCGACCAATCATCCCACTGGACTCAAGGCCACCATCATCTGTGTCACCATCGCCATAATGATGGTCCATCTTTATTGAAGCCTGTGCACCATATGGGACATTCTGGGGTTGCGTTAGAGCATTCGTGTCACTTCCACCGCCACTCACCTCTCCTCCAGCTGTTGCATTGTCGCCCTGACCGCCGAAATCATTGCCCTCCTTATCAGTACCTCCTCTAGTAATATAGCGTTGACTTCCATCATTGCCTCCGTGATGTCCTTCAGTAGTGTGATGTTGCCGCATGTCGATAGCACGCAACGTCTCAAGTTGAGCTTGGAGCTCCAAGATACGGTCCTCTAGTTGTTGGTTGCGCATAGCCTCTCGCGACCATCGGTTGTGTGCTTCCTGAAGTTCCTGGTCCCATCGTTCCTTTTCACGAACCATAAATTTCTGCATTGCAGCTGCTCGCCGCTGACTTTCAAATCCTTGCTGACTACTATTCGATCGGGTGAATGCTTGTGGCCAGTCTGTATTCAAAGCAGTCTTACTGGCGCGATGGTGCAAGTTACTGGACGCTTTACGGTGAATTGAATGCTCTCGTTCAACCGCTTCATCCGCTCGTCCGTGACCAACCTCGTTAGTATGAACTGTTTGCGATACAGTATCAGCGTCTCTATCCCCATTTACATCATCGCTTCTGTCATCATTTTCATCACCATCGTGTTCGTCTCTTGAACAATAATCTATCGAGGGTGTATCAGGGATATCTTCTAGTCCATGGCCTTCACTATTAGCTATCTGAATCCGCATATCATCCATGATTTGGGACTGTTGAGAGACCCTATTCCTCAGGATGCGTGCTTCTTCTCTCTCTGCTGCAAGAAGCAGTTCCAGATTCTGCCAACGGCCTACAACGGCCTCCAACTGACGTTGCACTTCCTGCATTTTTGATTGCTCAGATTCCCAAGTGACCAATTGGCGCGTCATTTCCTCGATCCGCTTCTCATACTCCTCCAACTTCTTGAGCTTCGGAGACTGATCCTCAATCGTATTTTTGAGGTTAAAAGTCCTAACAAAGTACATAATGGCCGTTTAAACATAAAATTGGGATTGTTCCTATATGATTGCTATCGTTCTATAACATTGATGTATGCTTGGTAGGTAAATAATGAAAACATCTTACCCTTTGCGCTCCTCCGTTAAGAGTCTCTCTTGGATCTCCTGTGCTTGCCGTGTATCCTGGATATCTTGCTTCAGTCGCTCCACCTCAAATTGTAGGTTTTTTCGTTCATCTCTGAACATTTGTAGCTTATTCTTCAACTCTGTATCCCAATGTGTCTGTTTGTTCTTACGTTTTTCTAGCTCATTCTTTTCCTTCTCCAACAATAACTTTGTCTCCTGCAGCTGCGCCTTGAGAGACCGACAGGTATTATAAAGGTTTTGGCGTTCGGCTTCCACACTAGCATCAAGCACATGAGCGCGATGAACTTTGGAGATTTGTTGAATATGTTGTTGTTTTAAAAACATCTCAAAATTAAGTTCATTCGTAGCCATGAGCAAATCTCTTTCTAATAACGCAATGGTTTTGCGGTACTCTTTGTTTTCCTGTACCAGACTTGCCATAGTTGCAGAAAGTTGAGGATCTTGGCTGGTTTCTACAGAGTTGTTGCTTAGATATGTAGGACCTTCAGGGGGTATATTACTATGACTAATAGGTGCCGACGCTGTCGTTGTTGTTGTGGACGCTGTAGATGCTGCAGATGCTATTGCCATAGCAGAAGGTCCTAACGCTACTGCTAACTCATCATTGCTCTTCAATACAGAAGGTCGACGCTCACGCAAGGTCAAACCGGGGTTTAGTGCTTTGTTGTTATTCGCCTCCATCAAAATCTCATCGTGATCCAGTCCCCGTAGGGTTGCAAAGTTTCGCAGAATCTGGCTCATCTTGACTTCTTTGGACTTTGTTCGTGCCCTTGGCGTGGTTGACGCGGTTGGTCCTGGAATAGAATGAGCGCGGTAAGACAAAGACGAGGCAGTTGTTGGAAGTATAGGTCTCGATTGATTGTCCCTGACAGCATGAAGCTCAGAAACCTCTTCCTGTGCCGACATTTCAATAGGTATTCCTCCCGATGTCTCTACTCCGAGGGACTCAGCCGATTCTAGAGCCTTTTGCTGGGATGAATCTTCTTCAGACTTCTCGGCAACTGAAGAGCTAGGAGGGGCAGCAACAGCAGTTTTTTCAAGAACCAATGGTGAAGACAGTGAAGTAGAAAGAGCTAGCGCCCCCTCCTCTTTATCATCATCATCATCATCATCATCATCATCATCATCATCACTATCACCCTGCGGTATTGCACTCAAGCGATCGCTATCAATCGTTCTCAAAACTGGCCCTATACCATAATTTACTCCAGCACTCCACACATCCAATCCAACACACATGGCAACAATCTCCATGGGCTCCAATTTTTGCCACCTTGCTTTATTAGTGATCTCCTGTTCGGGCGTTGATGTCAATAGATCGGGGTGTAGCGAATGCCTCTTGAGAAGCGGTTGTACTCGGGATTTTAACAAATCCTCATCGATATACGCAATTTTCTTTTCAACGTCGTTGGCCTTTGGTGACATAGCACTTAAATCCAGAGCACTTTTTGTTGATTCTCCCTCACTCGTATTGAGTCCTGACCCTGATCCTGTAGACGAAATCGCTTGCTTCATAAACATGCGGGGGGTATGTAGGAATTTTAGAAGACTACATGGGAAAAGACCATAGAGGAATGAAAAAATGGCAGTTGGATCTGGTGCCCCTTCCGATGTTTCGCCCGCTACAGCGGGGCCTAGAGGAAAGAAAGGAAAAGGAAATAGCCCCCATACCTCCCAAAGATAAGTAAGGGATCAAAGATGATGGGGTAATTTGACACCGCATAGTAGGGATCAAGTACTTTCCAGACTCACCATATCGGCGCCAACGGACTCCATGACTGTACAATGAGATGTCTTCGTAATCAATTTCATCTGGCGGTGATCCTGAGCTCGCATTTTTGCTAACAATGTTGTTGTCAGCACTACCAGGTAGTTTGATATTTGGCTCATTGCCGCTATCGTCATCAAATTCGTCAAACGATTGGATAGTCTGACCAGTTAAGTTTGCGCCTTCTTGGTTCGCTATTCCTATCAATTGCTGTCTTGATCTTGGCCAACAGAGAATCCTGCTTAAAATCAAAAACAAATCCGGAAGTCGGTCGTTCAAGGTAGCTGGAATTCTAGGCATCAACATGATCAGTGCCATCAGCCCCAACGATACAATCAGAGGCGACGTATCATACTAGTGCAAATTAGAACAGTAGCAACAACAACATGTCAGGCTGTTGTTGTCGTTTTCAATATAGCCATTTACTACTGGTCAAGTTCTGGCAAACCTACCTTCAACGAGAGTAGTAAAGAATCGAACAGTGGTGTGGATAGGATTTGATGCAAGTAAACACGCTATTAATTTTTAAGGTAGTATATAATAATAGGGGTACTGTAAACGTTTGTAAATTTGCCTCTACTGATTTACAACCACTCTGAATCTCAAAGATCATTCCATATTACCTGTCTTCGAATAAATTGACAGAGCAACCCCAATATCTCTGCACGATAACGAGCACCGATAAAATACGTGTAAAGACAGCTGAAAAAATCCTTGACACGTCCAACGTTGCCTCCATATGCAAACAAAATAGCCTCCAGATTCTTGACTAATATATCCTTCTTCCGACGAATAACAGCTCTAGCTTTCATAATGAGCTTCCGTTGTTTCTCCATCTCCTTCATGACTGATGGGTATTCTGATCGCTGAGGGTTCTGGATCGGCCCTAATGTTGAAAACCCTAAACCTGACGGCCCTAGACCATGTCCAGCATGGCCAGAACTTGGCGTTGAAACAGTATTTGTACGAAGCCATGATCCCGTCCCAGCTGTAGCGGATGTACCCATCTCCTCTGTATCAGCAAATCGATGGTTAAGGATGTGAGCTGCCTTAACGTATTTTCGGAGTATAAATTGTGAGATCGGCATGGCAGTCTTGGCAAGAGATGCATCCAACTGTCCTTCCTCATCTCCAGCAATTAAGATTGATCCCACTCCAGTTTGACCATCCATGAGGCTGTCGCGGGTCATGCATTCTATCACAAGATCTCTACAAGCTTTCAATGCCTCCTTTCCCAATTTAATCTCTCCCTGTAGCGAAGGCTCTATCAGTCGATCCCACCAATCGGCCATGACAAGATGTGGGGTCAGAAATGGTAACAAATGTGTCAGGTAAACAAGCATTCGACTTGCAACAGCAGCGATTGGCACTTCACCCATCCCCTGCTGTGTATACAATGAGAGCAGATGTGCTGAAAACCTCTGAGCTGCCAATGGTACATTGGCTACAGGATTTGGTATTATATAAGTTGGTTGAATAGAAGGTGTAGCTGCTAGACCTGGATTGGCCCCAGGATTTGGAGATGTGCTTGGATGAGCCCCTGCTGAACCACTTGCGCCTCCACTTCCGATGATTGGCGAGCCACTAGTTGAGGTATTTTGGGATACTGGTGCAGAGCTGACTGGGGATACTGAATTGGATATGGTTTGATTGAGCTTGTGAAAGGCGAGTGGTAAACTGTGGGAGTGCTGCATGCTGGTATTGTGGGTTAAGGATTGATACCAAATTTCGTTCGCGTGTCGCTGGCCAGCAGCGGCAGCTGAAGACGAAGGAGCGATACCAGACCCTAAAGTGGTAGAAGATGATGACATTGACGCATTGAGCGCAGCTCCAGCTCCAGCTCCAGCAGCAGCTCCTGTTCCTGCTTGTCCTCCTGGCGGTAAGTTTCCAAGCAAAGGGATTGCAGGGGTAGTGCTGGCAACAGAAAGCGTTGTGTGGTTGCTGTGACCATGTCCTGAATTGGAGTTGGATTGATTCTTAACAAAACGGTCGAGGTAATGCTGTATTGTCTCGCGATTTAAGTCGTTTTCCTTGGACTTGTCTGAGGCTAAAAAAGTTGCTAGATCAGCAGTGACAGCCTTGTACAGGTCTTTGACCGTGGGCGTTGAGCCTGACATGATATAGTCAAATAAAGTAGATGTCCTGTACGGAGCGAAGTGAATTAGACGTCAGACAATTTCGAGGAAGTTTGAAAGCGATGGATGTCTTTTTTCTTTTATACACTGGACTAAGAAATCAAGCTGCGGAAGCAAGAAAGAGAATGTGTAGTAGCACAAGAAAGGAAATATATGAGAAATGATTGGCAGTAGTGAGCTTGTGCTGTTGTGAAGAAAGGCACATTAAAAGAGATGGGATAATGGAGGAGCTTCACGACGAGAAGTGTCGTTGGCATAGCGAATTTTGTGTACCTCGCGCGTAGGCAAAAAAAAAAAAAAAAAAAAAAAAAATGTTTTGTGGATCGTTTAATGCAAACTCACCTGAGATTGTTCAAATCAGTCACAACATGCAACTTGCATGCATCCTAATTGCTCACCAACAAAAATCTCATTTACCCAAATTACTTCATCACTCTTTATATTCGGCATTTCGGGAGAATCTTTTTATTTTTTTATTTCTTTTTTTATTCAAAAGTTTGCTCCTCCCGGAAACCAATACCTATCGCCTCATGAGTCACTATCAGCCTGCGACCTTTCCAGTGGACCTGGTAATAAAACTTGACAGCCAAGCTTCTTCAGCCTCAGTTTCATATGAACACCCTAGTGCATAAAACCAACCATTTGGGTTGCACATTGGCTTTGATACGTAATACTAAAAAGTCAATTGGATCTACTTTTTTGTCTTTTTATAATTTTATTACTATTAATTAGACAGTGGAAAGAGGTTTGCTTAAAGACGTACTGCGGGCCATTCTTCACACTATTCTCTTTCACCGTGTTTTCGCCAATATCAAACCAAAGGACATGGATATCCTCAACATTACCATTGTGAGTTATCTGGACCTGACTAGGAAATATGACGAAATGGAGCCTCAAAAATCTTCTTTTTTTGTATTATTGCTTAGAATATATCTAACCCTTGTACAGATCAAAAGGTTGACTGATAACAATTAGTATCCATATCGTTCATTTCCCTTGATTCTCTAAATATTCTTTATTTTATTCTTTACTGTCATTATTATATAGCCTATAATCGATGATCCAGAAATTGAGAAACTAGTTGAGGAGAAGATCGCAGTGTTCGCCAAAGCCGTCGATGCCAATCCGCAGAGCAAGGGACAGGTAAGAACCAACTACAAAGGAAATAGTCTTCCTTAGGCATCCAAGGAAAAGTCCACCATCTGATCTCGGATTCTTAATAAAAAATAGATTGGAGTCATGTTTTATGAGAAGCGGACAAAGCGAGCATGGTTCAGTTCTACATCATCAGAAGTCTGTTGGGAGCAATGGGGAATTACTCTTAACGTTGTCACCAACATCAATGAAAAAGGTATTCTATCGAGGTCTTTAAGACAGATCTTTACAGAAAACAAAAAAAAAAAAAAAAAAAAAAAAAAGACCACTTCATATCTCCGTACCATAGTAGTGTGGGATTAACTAACTTTACGATTTTCATATTCACCATTACTGTTTATTTTATTTTATTTTATTTTATTTTATTGACAATGTTCGTTGCGGACAATATTAATTTTATTGGATTATCGACAACACAGACAAGCAACGATCGATTAAAAACATGGAAAAGGCATTATCAGCATTATTTCTCAATATTCTCCGCACAGTCAACGAACACAAGGACCACATTCCACCGATCACCACCAGCGATGGAAATCCATTTCCTTATCAGGTAATAGCTCATTATCTTGTCCAGCAAGCGTGCTACTGTGGGCAAGTCAGTCATCCGTCATTCATTCATTTGTCTCTATATTAACATTCAACTCGTTTGCTCTCATGATATAGATTGTTATACCAACAACAAATGATACTTGGGGATCCATGTTCAAGCGCATTCTCGACACCTCAGCCTCATCTTCACCCAGCATATAGTTCCTCAAACATTTCCTTCGTCAACATTGGTCTCGTTGTGCTTTTTTTCTCATCTTTTTTCTTTCTTCTAATTCACACAGCTTGGAATGTTTCATTTACAAGAATCAAAAACATAATCCAACACTGAACTATGTAGAGCGAATAAGTAACTTTCCGGATCGTGTTGGGAAAGAAGAGGTAATTCTGTGTGGAAAACTAGCTGATACTTGCGCCGTAGGGCTATTTAAGAAGCCAACAATGTAAAATAGTTGTAATAGATTATTGTTATTATTACCATGGTTAGCATCGTTACTATCTTACGTGTGTATTGATTTAATGTTATATGCCTGTGTATAAAATATATTGGTTGCATCCGCAGAAAAGAAAAAGTCGTCTTTATATCCCAGCCTCTGATTCACGGCAAGTCATGTTATTGGTCGGGATACCCGTATCCCATTCATCATCCTCAATTGTTTTGTCCTCATCCTGATCTATTTCCCTGCTCTTCTCTGTTTGCTCATGGTGTGGTTCCTTATGTTCCTTCATCAGCTTTGAGCTAAATGCCAACTCGCCCAACTTTTCCTCATCTGGCTCTGTCAACTCTTTTGCGGCTATAATAGTGGCAGCAGTAGTGGCACCTACGCTGTTGCCAGTCTCAGTATGTTGATCCTCTGGCTCCTTCTTCATTGTGAATACTCTCTCTTGCTTGTGATCTTTCCATTCATCACCATTAGCAGCAGCAGCATCATTATCATCCTCATCGTCATTGCCATCGTCTCCGTCATTTTTGCTTCCGTAGACATCCTCCTTGTTTGGTTCTGCTGATTCAGGCGTTATTGTAAATTCTCCTTGACGAAACTTTGGCAAGGTAGTTATCTCTTTTTGCTCCTCCTCTTTCTTCTTCTCCTCCCTCTCCTTCTTCTCTGCCTCTATATTCTTCATTATCTCTGCATGTGACCCTTGATCCAACGATCTAGGTGAATCTGGCTGTCTACCACCACTTCGACTTTCTTCATTTCGTTTTTCGTTCATGGATTGCTCCAATCCTCGATTACCCATCAAGGATCTATGTATTCCAGCCATGGAGGGTTTTGGTGCAGACAACGTATGCTTGAGTGACAGTGAATCTCGACTGAACGAATGCTTAGGCATCGGCACATGATCCTTACAGACCAAGACCTTCAGCGGCCGTTTCGTTAACGGGTCTATCTCCGAGTCATCTAATGCTGCCATCTGGAAGTTTCGTAACGTCAACCCCGTCTTACAGTCTGGAGCCATGCACTTTTGTACGAGATATAGAGTAATATAGTCGGGGATATCAGAATATACATTTTTATTCTTAAAGGAAGTAAACGAGAAGCTTTTTTTTTTTTTTTTTTTTTTTTTTTTTTTTTACCTTGAAGCATGCACGGTGATACCATTTTCCCTCTGCATCGATCTTTTCATTGATGTACACTGTCTTTTTGCAGTTGCCGCATGGTTTGGATGACATTTTTTTTTATTTGTTTTTGGATGATTATTTCCTGATTGTCAAATGGAAAAAAAAAAAAAAAAAAAAAAAGGTAACACATGAAAGAAGGATGAGGAGGAAAAGGCTAAAGGGAGGGGGAAAAAAAAAAAAAAGATCGTAATCATTCCATATCCTTCGATATTATGTGAATAACGTCAATTAATGTCTCACACCATACTTAAAAAAGAAAACAAAACAATTGTTCCTGCTCATCCTGGTACATGCACACATGTATAAATTTCTATCCATGAACCCTCTTGGGTCTAGGGATCACTAAGACGCGTATTCCTTTACTTGGAGTCTTCCATTTTGATTGGTAGGCCCCTGTCAATGTTCGGTTGTTCATTTAGATATCAAAAGTTGAATACTCGATTTTATTCATTAATTACAATACATGCATGGAATAAGAGTTTTTTCTTTTTTTTTCTTTTTTTTTCTCTTCAAAGCAAATAAATGAAGGATAAAGTGTTTTAGAAAGGAAGGGTATCGATACAATTGAAAATAAAAAGAATTTTTAAGAAATAAGAGAAAGAAACACGGCTTCAGCATTATTGTCATTAAAAACAAAAAAGTAAAAGACATTAAGCTCGTTAAAAAAAATAAAAAGAAATGAATAAGAAAAAAAAACGTCCTATGCCTATGCCTGGAAAGGGGGTGATATTACAGCAAGACTGTTCATGCTGCTCTTGTTGCTCAACACCTTAGGGGACCCAGTCTTGTTCAACGAATGATGATGTTGAAGACTATGGTGATGATAATGATGGGCATGTTGAGGTGTCGACCCGGCCGTTGAGAGCGAAAGGATACTATTGAGAGATCCAGCTCGAACAAGTCCTCCCGACCGCTCCATACCCAATGTCCGTTCCTCCATTCTCATCAATTCAGTTACAAACCCAATATTAGGGCACATGCATGGCCGTTGAGTCAGCACATGATTGTAAGCCTTGTTCAATGACCAATGCAACTGTGTGATCAAGTATGCAATAATGGCTGTTACTGATCGAGACTTGCCAGCCTTACAATGGACGTAGATTGGAGCATCATTTGAAGCAGCTAAATAGTATGAGACGAAAGATAGAGGTTAGAGTCTTTTTTTTTAAAAAAAAAAAAAAAAAAAAAAAAAGCATAATTCATATTTAGTATCAAAGTACTAAATAATGAATGTAATAGTGGCTTACAGATAATATCAACAGCTTGCAAAAGACCAGCACTGACATCTGCTTCAATGTGGTCCAATACTCCAATCTTATGGTACTCCATTCCAGGACGGTTCATCACCAAGAGATCTTCACATTCACGGGCCATATTCAGCACTCTCTTAATGCCCAGTCGTTCCAATTCTAAAACCTGCTCTTCTGTCGCGATCTCAGGTCCCAGGTACAAAAAGTTGGGTAGAATACACGAGATTTCTTGCTCACCATCATCGCCTCCCTCTTCTGCCATTTCATCATTGTATCCATATCCCTGTTGCTGTTGTTGACTCATCATCGCCAACATGTTGTTGTTGCTATGGAGGCTACTGCTGTTGTTATTGAAGCTGTCGATACCATCAGCAAACATATTGGCCGAGTGCACCGGAGGGGATTGGTCACTGTTGTTGCTACCATTAGCATCAAGACAAGTTGAATCGGTAGATGCCGAAAGCTGCATGGAAGAGCTACTGTGGTGTCGACGGAGGCCTCCATTTGATGTCGGGGAAGCGTGAGCGTCATTTTTATCATCATCCGCACCAGCCTCCTCATCCTCCTCCTGAATGCCCAGAGTAGCTCCGGATGCACCCATTGATAAGAGTGTTGATGTGGATGAGAAGGATCTCTTGGAGCCCATTCGCTGTAATGAAGCACCGGCACTATCTCCGTGGATCGATCCTCCTGCAGACCATGTCGAACTGTGATCTGGAGATGCTGACTGTTGCATCATCTCCATTGTGCTGCTGCTCATTGACATGGCAGGAGAGAGTGTAGGCCCAGGTGCAGAATTACCCGAAGGGACTGTCAGCCAACTACCCTTGCGAGACAGTCCATTGGCATTGTTGTTCATACCACTTCCCTCCTGAAGAGGCATTAAGCCCGAAGGGAGGGTTGGAAGTGGAGGAGGAGCAACTGACAACGGCTTTAGGTTTAGTGCGCTGACACCGACCGATTGAGATCGTGCAAGGTTTGTAGGTCGTTGCAATGACTTTGTGTTCAATGAAAATAAGCTCTCTCGACGGACAGCAGGACCTCGCTGTCGTGGAGCGCCAGCGAGCGAGGCATTGGTCAATGAAACTGCATGATCAATAGCCTGGGCGGTCTTTGCATCCGTAACTGTAGACGAAGATGCGTTGCTAGGGAGCGAAAGAGGCATCATGCGTGGTTGCGAGCCATCATCCTCACCCATAGCTCCTTGCTCCTGCTGCTGATTTTGACCATCATGAGTAACACTTATTTCAAATGTTGAGCCAGGGCGGACTAGGAACTTTTCGCTGACATCCCAAGTCTGAAACGCTTCGAACCCGCCTTCAAGGTACCACAGTCGGATGGGTCCACCACAATTTCCTCCACCTCTTTCAAGGACACTGACCAAGGTCCATGCTTGACTTGCTGACCGTCCATATTCTTCTTGTCCATCCTTCATGTCCTGGTCTAGGACGACAACATCGTGAGTTGCCTCGTTACCATTGTGATCTTGGTCCAGACGCCAGCCATCAAGGATCACATGGTAGAGGTCTTTATCAGAAGGCATGGTGATAAAGGACTCGAGTGCAAACGAAGACATTGCGCCTCCTCTACGGTATCTTCTCATTAAGAGCGTTGGCAAATTTATGTTGATGGAGTGGACGATCGAGATGGGATCAAAGTCTGGATTTGGACGGAGGTCTAGGACCAAGGGCCGTGGACCAGCACTGACGCCTTGTTTGTTCGGCTGACCGCGCTCAATCAACGCTGCTAACTTTGCTGGTGAGATGCCAGAGGCAGGATAGGGTGTGGCATCAGACTGAGGAGGGGACGAGATAAGGGATTTGGAGGACGTTTCTACAGGAGAATTGGAAGGAGAGGTGCTGGGTGATGATGAGGTTGAAACAGATGGTGGAGGAGAGGATGGGGGCGATAGGGAGAAAGATGGGAGTGAAGAAGAAGACAGAGGCAAGGCCACATTGGTTGTGAGTGTAGGAGAGCTTTTAGGCGAGGTTTCAGCGGGTTTGGAAGGAAGGATAAGGGATGGACTAGGAGTCAACAATGGGGCAGGCGAGACTGGCGAGTAGAATGGATTGACCGTTGACAATGATACCAATGATATTTCAGTCGTTTCTGTGGGCGCAGGGGGTGAAGGCTCTACTTCTGGTGGGATCGTCAATGACAACAGAGGTGGCTGTGGTGTTGAGGTTCCTTGAGGAGTAGGAGAAGGTAGTGATGTGATTGAAGCAGGTGGAGACTTCAATCCCAAAGACCGTGGCCCTTCAAAGGCAAGTGGTGATAATGGTCCGGAGGAGGTAGTGTTCATCTTTGAGAAAGAAGTTGATTTTGTAGGTGAAGATGAATCTGGAGAAGCAATAGGAGTCATTGAGTTTCGTGGATAGTAGTACTTTTGGAGAGAGAATGTTTTTGAAGATGTACTGGCAGAAGACTGGATTTGATGTGTTTGTTGCTGATCATCATTATTGTAACTGGAGGATGGATTAGAGAGGAAACCTCGGACAGGGTTGCTGCGCGAAGAGGTTATAGAAGAAATGGAGCCATTGCTGCTTGGTCGACGCGGTTGATGTTGTTGTTGGTGAGAAGGGGATGAAGACGGCGAGTGTGAATTAGGTAGAACAACAGGTGATGGGGGTTGAAGCACAGGATCATTTGTGTTGGTATTGGTATTGATATTAATATCGGAATCGGCGCTATTGACCGAGTCTCGTCCGAGCACAGTCTTTTCTTGAGCTATTTATTATTAAAAAAAAAAAATGACGCGAGAGTGAGTAGCAGAAACTATGGCCTAGAGAGTCATTAGATGTTTAGACGCGTCCCATTTGCTGATTTAAAAACCAAGAGTTTTTTTAGCTCTCAGACTCTTATTGGCCCTCCTTCCCCTATCCATCCCACCGCATTACACACATAACACACGCATAAGACACATGGACACTCCTCCCCCCTGTCTATTGTTAGATATTGACCTCGAGATCAATCAGAAATATAGAAATAAGGGCGTGTATTTCGACAAAGGAAAAAAATGCAAAGACACCGAAAACGAAAAAAAATAAAAATAAAAATAAAAATAAAAAAAAGTATGCAAGAAAGGAAGGGATGATAGTGTGCGTTACAAAAATAAGTGTATGCTGTCTAGGTTTTATCGTTGGTTCTTGATCAATCATTTTTTGGCTGTAAAATGTTAATGGACATTGCACATGTATATGTGTATGTGTGCGTATGTATGTGTGTATGCGTGAATGTGTTTAGGTGTGGGGCAAGGTGACAAACAACAAAAACAGTAATAAATCATTGTAATTATTATTATGAAATAAGGGCGCAACTATTGGGCCTGACTATCTCTGTGCATAGAGAAAAAAATAAAAATAAAAATAAAAAAAAAAGTGTTCATTACATGACTCAACATCTTGTGCCTTTTCACTCGAGTAACTGTTGTCGATCACGCTGCAGGTGCAAGTGGCTGCAGAGTGTCCACTGCTGCAGGGCCAAGCAGGTGACGCAGGTGGAGTCTGTTGTGCTGTCCAGCAACAAAGTGCGCTCTGAATTGAAGTCAACATGACTGAAATGTGACTATGAAGGAAGAATGAGAAAAAGGATTGGATTAAATTGGATTGGATTGGATTGGATAGGATAAGTTTAGAATGTAATGAATGTAATGAATGTGGACTAGTGTAGTGTGAGGTGCAGTGTAGTGAAGTGAGGCGTAGTGTAGTGTAGTAGTAAAAAGAGAAGGAAGCAATTAGTAATACAATATGTCTGTCTGTATGCGTGGAGTGTGAGAAGTAATAAGAAGAGTCGTTTTAAAAAAAAAAAAAAAAAAAAAAATGAAGAATGGTTGTTATTGTTGAAGTGAAGGGGTCATGTAAAGTGAGAAATGGTTTGAAGGTGTATACAAATTAGTGATTCAATAGGTGAGATCAGGTCAAAGAAGAGAGAGAGAGACTGTTGCAAGTAATCGTAAGGGTATGAATGTGTACAAATGAAGCTTCCAAGCGCAGAAAAAAAAAAAAAAAAAAAAAAAAAAGGAAAAGGTAGCGTTTGGTAATAAGAAAGAGAAGAAAGAAAATGGGAAAAAGAGAGAATATAAAAAAAAAAGTGTAATGTGTAAAAGTCTAAAAGTGTAACAGTGTAATAGTGTCTCTGGTGTAAAGTGTATAATGTCAAGAAAAAAAAAAAAAAGTCGCGACCCATGCAAGGGCACTCGGACGTTTGCTTTGCTTGACTCGGCTTGATTCCGAGATTCATCAAGACCCTCTTTCCCATTAGAACCATACCACAGTCTATCATCCATCAAAGCACCCCCATTGCAGCAACCCCCCAAAAGTCCGTTTGTAGTGCATCATCGCTCTTTTTTCTTTTTCACTTGTTTTCTACAACAGTTACTCTTTATATAGCCCGTTTCATTTGGTCGCGATACCTTATATTTTTTGAATACTTTCGAGTGTATTGGCAGCCAATTAGCTCGCTTGTTACGAGTATTGTTGCAAGTCCGTCACGTAGTGAGATGCCACCAGAACAATTCAATCATCGTTTTTAGATTAAAAATATAAGGTATCGTGACCAAATAAAATTGGCGATATATTATATGTATTATTATATAAATACTGTGTCCTGTTTTGCCCCTGTCTTGTCCTTGTTTGTTTAAAAAATCACATTCACATCAGCCTATAATTGTCATTGCCATCTTGCTCACACGGTCACACAACAACAACAATAGCACCATGGCAACCACACATAGTTTTATTACTCTAATTACTCTGCATACCATACACATCGCCAGCAATCAATAAAAGTTGTTGGTGTGCGTACATCCATTTGTACACATGGGAGCCCTGTAATTTGGTATTCAACAAGAAATCCCTGTCTGTTTCTGTTGAAGCCTTGATCCCTAAAAAAAAATTTTTTTTGTTGTTGTTGTTGTTGATCTATAATTCCATACTAATGTCCAATGTTATTACAATTCAATCGGTTAAATAAATAAACACATAATTCATGGTCTATTTCCTACGTGTCCTATGTGAACGAACATGTTTTCAGTTGATACTCCCAGATACCAAACAATGATCTCCTCATGTTCAATGTGGTAGGGGAACGGGATGATCGCCATGTGTATGTAGACAATGGAATCTGGAAACGAGAGGGAAGTGCCTATTTATAGCTTAGAGACCACTAACCTTTTAGTCTTTACTCGCCGCCTTTTTTTTCTACTTTGATTTTTCAATGTCACACAACTTTTTTAAATTCGGTCAAGTCCATGTTTTATCTTTTCTTTTTTTTTCCAACTCAGGGGTTGGAAATCTTCCTTATGCAGGCAGGCCATGCAACTAAAGCGCGCCTTGTCGTCATGTTTTTTTAAAACTCCTTTTTTTTTTAAAAAAAAAAAAAAAAAAAAAAAAAACGAACTTCTTCCCTCAAGCGGTTCCTGGCATGGAAACTTTTTTTTTCTAGGGACACAACGATCCTGAATACAATAGTTCCCTAAACAACCTATAATTCATATCTATATTTTATGTATATAAATCAGAGCCAGAACCATCTATATTTTTTATGAAAATATGAGAACATGCATTTCCCATCATAACACTTGTATACATATACAAATCCGGTGTAAACATCGACATTTTATATATTTATTTATCGATGTACTCCACATCTTGTACTCCTTGTCATTGTAATGTCTAAAATCAAAACGGTGCTTTTCTTTTTATATTTATACTTCAGGGCACGCGCGTGGATATTACTGAAACAACCTATTACACTATGGGAAATTCATCTACGAATTGGGCTATGCCCTGACTATGACTGGGACAAGACATTTTATGTAATGTTAGACTCTCTTGACTAGACTATGGGATGTAATTAGTGTTGCAGCCTACAAGTGTAAGAGTGTAGAGAATACATTGTATATACATTAATACATGTATACATCCCCGTTCATCTGTTATACAAGACTCTACTGATAAAAGAAAAGGAACCATGGTGGCTCTCCTTTGATTATAAGCACAACTGGAGTGCTTCGACACTTCAACTTTGATTGTTTTATGGATCAGCATATTAGGGTTCGAGGCTCTATTCCATGATTCACCATGAAGAAATGATGAATTCTTTTTCCCAAATCAAGTGATAGGCGCCCGATAGGGTTCAGGAGGAGCTAAATATCTATTATAGCTAGAATGGTGACCCTCCAGGTATATATATATATATATTTTTCTACAGTTACCCCCTTGATAGCACATAGTCACCCATTCTCTTGCCTGCCTGTGAGCAGTAATCGTGATATTTAATATGAGAGACATTTGGCGTCGCACTGTTGCTAGAAGAGCCCTTTTTCGTGGAACAATTTGATTAAACATTGGCCCAGGGAGCATTTGGGTACTGACAGTAGAGCCATAAAAAATTCTACAAAGCCAACAGTCAATGTATATACTAATATATATATACTGTACACGGTACAAAGGAGCGAGATAGTACCTGGACGGTGTGCTTTTGACTACAACATGAGCATAGACCCCTCTTCGTCTTTTAATCACATCTTACTGCTGCCTCAAAAAAACTCCTGAACCACCCCCGCCACATGGATGTTTCATTAAAAAATGATAAAAAACCACAAGGACTTGTGCAAGTAAGGCGATATTCAACATGGATCTAAGGATATTGAAACCTCATTTCCTCTTCATTCATCCCCTGCTCTTGAACCCATTTATAGGAATTTAAACACTCAATCATTAACAATGAGAAACTACACGATATTAACTTGTTAGTTTTTTTTTTTTGTGTGTTTTTCCTCTTATGTGAATGTAACCTTTAGATACGTATTTTCGTTGAGTTCGATTCTTCGTAGACCTTCTTGTGTCTTCCAGCCATAGTACACTCATGCTGCTGCCAGAAGGGGCGTATTTTAAAGCTTTCATTGTTGCATCTTCTGTGCTGAAGGTGATATATCCCAGCGAACGGATCTGGAATTGTAAATGATTCTATAATCATTCGGGTTCCTCCATGGCTTTATTAAACTCAACCAATGCCAAAAAATCGACAACTATGTAAGATCAAGCAAGATCAATCGTAGATGATGGCGGTTAGATACCAACAGTATCTATAAATACCGTCCCTGGCTTTTATCCCAAACCTCGAGTAGAGTTGGAGGTGCCAGATGTGTTGGAATGAACGTAGGGCTGCATTATAAACCTTCAAGACTGTGGATGTCTGGAGACGACTGATTCGAGAGAGGTCTTCTTACTCTTATAGATGACAACTGATGCTGGCAAGCTGCTAATGAACAATTGTGTAGATGATGGTGGAAGCAAAGTTTGATGATATCAGCTCAGATAGCAGTAAAAGAGGTGGTTGTAGGATCTGCACGGACGATTTCAGCTCCGTACAAGACGTCTTCGTTGGTACACTCGGACAATGGCGATCTTCCAACACATATCCGTTATTGTATCCATATCAACGTCTAGAATGATCATCTTTATTGCTACCTTTGCTGAAATTGTCAGTCTAAGGGATGTTTTTGGACGCCACCATATCCACCAATGCTTTTATTGATGGTGCTCAGGCTACATATACTGCCTGCATAACATTCTAGTGTAATGTGAGCCATAACATATTGGTCAAGCATGCCCTAGAAGTACTTTACAAAACATGGCGTCATGTTGCCTCTGTAACGTGCTCCACTTAACCTGCTGCGCCCCCCAGAGATAGAATGCACGGATGTCAACTGCCGCACGAGGGATCTTTTAAAAATAAATAAATAAATATTCAAAGACAGAAAGGTAATCATTCTTCTCTAATGGCACCATTGAGAGAAATGCTTTTTGACATTCCGCTCATTAAAGACTTGGTGACAAAACACCTTTCACGAAATGAACTCGCCAAATGTGTTCTTGTATCTAAAGCATGGCATGAATGGTTTACACCTACGCTCTGGCGCACAATCATTTGTAGGACTGCTCCACCTCCTGCGATATCCGACCTACGGCGCTATCAGCATCTTGTCCGTTCCTTATCAATACTAAACACAACCAAAATCCTACCCACACTTGATCGAGACGGATGGACATTTCCCCGGCTCCTGTCGCTCGAGATTCAGGTGGACAACTCTGCACACCGTCATTATTCATCATCGTCCCATTTCAAGGAAGAAGAGGAACATATGCTAAACTTTATTGAAAGCACACCCTCCTTAACTCATCTACAACTTAACTTCAAGCGGCCAACAGTTCGATTTTGGGATCGACTGATCCAACTCGTCCTCTTACCTCATCCAGGTCTCCAGCATCTGACAGTCGCATGGATCTACCCTATCGAGATGGAGTATCTTTGGACCTTGGTGCAGTCTTGTAAAAGATTGACTACTCTCAAACTCTGGCCCATACCTCCCTCATATAATGTCTGTAAACGATCCTTCAAAACATCTTCAAGCCTAAAAGGCCCCTCTTTTGAAGAGTCCATATCAGCCGCTTTATTATGCAAGAGCTTTTCCTCAGATGAAGAATTTCGTTCCATGCGGGTATTGGACTTTGGTACCTTAAAGCATGGCGGCGATCCCCGAATCTTGATATGGCTATTACAACGATGCCCTCATCTGGAAAAACTCATTCTACGGTATTCATTTGCAAAAGACGCTCTGAAACAGATAATTTCGACCCTCGAGGGCCAGATATGTCTGCATTTGAAATGTTTGATTCTCAGGAGCATCTGTGAGGATGAAAGCATGGTTGGAGAACTACTGGAGGCTATCGGCAGTAATAATAGTGGCAATAATGGTAATAATGATAATGCCTGTGGTAATGATAGTGATGGCCTAAATGTCATCAACGACAAGCACAAAAGAATCAGTGGCTGTGGCATACTAAGAACTAATGGCTCGCAAAGAGGAAATCTTGGGTACGAGCAATATATCAACGCCGAACGTGGACTTGTGTCGTATGAAGCCAACTTCGCGCCAGGAAGTGGAAGACACCTGCTAGCCTTAACACGATTTCATGCCCAGACATTGACTTGTCTCGAATTACCTTCTCGCGAGAACCCTATTGATCTGAGGCTGCTCATGAAGCTTTTAAGTAAGCTCCCAAAGCTACAGGTTGTCAACGTTTCAACATGGTTAAATGTCGAAGCAACCGTCGATCCCGGAAAGTACCAAAAATACAATGAAGATTTCATTTTTGATAATGGGCCTCCAACGTGGACTTGTCTCGGACTACAGCAGCTGGATCTACGGTTGCAAATACAACTGGTAGCCTTCGCCGCATCGCCTCCTCAAAGGTTGAGTAATAGTGGTGACGATCCATCTCATCAATGTGATAGGCGACTACAATTACAAAAGTTATTTGGGCAGGTTGGTGAAATGCAGCAACTCAGGTCCTTCAAATTGACCTGCAATGAAAGCCTACTGCATCTGTCTGAAGATGGTTATCTAGGTCAGCTGGCAGGGCTGAAGCGGCTTCGAAGGCTGGGGATATGGGGCTGCTATGATCTGAAGATGGGGTTGTCGGAAGCACAGTGGATTTTGGGTCACTGGAAGGAACTTGTCTGCTTGGAGACAGAGACTTTCAAGCGCGGGTTTGTCGTTGATACGTTTAGAAACCACATACGCGCAAAGAAGCCGTGGATGAAGTTTTAAAGCAACATATTATATCTTTCACAATGTAAGGCTTTTGGTAGTGAGTATGGAAATAATTACAACATACATCCCTTGGCTTCCTCTTCACCAAGTGCATTAAAATCGGTATCCCCGCTATCTACAGATGCAGTGCGACACAAAATAAAACCAGAAGGAAAAGATTACCCATAATTTAGGCTTTAAATGTCGCAGAGTATGAGCTCCTTATCGATACAACTTGCGTAGCATTGATCAGAAAAAAAAAAAAGTAAAGAGTCACTTATATTTGCCATCTGGTCTCAAACAACTACATGTCAACTTGACAAAAGTTTGGTCCTACGCCATGTAAATTCATGTGATTCATCATGCATCAACACTCTCAACGCCGGACGGATATAACGTGTCACAGGATCTCAACAAGCGAGATGACGCTCATGGTTCTTAAAACGCCTCCTCATCCACTCACTTACCATCTTGATATCATTTGTATGCATGAATCTTTGAGGTTCACCACATCCTAAGAAATATGATTACAACAGCTCAAAAGTTGACATTTGTTCAACTAGCTTAATGAGCGTTTTATTTTATTTTATTTTTCTGAATCCACAACAGCGATGCCCTGATGATTTCCTCAAGTCCTCGATGGAGTGCACATAGAGAACCCTTTTTTTTTTTTTTTTTTTTTTTTTTTGCCATGCATATTGTCGCACATTTTCTGGCTGCTTTCACAGATCAAAACGACTAATGGTCCGTGCGCACGTGCAGATTGGAAAGGTTTCAATTCAGGTTTCCCCTCCCTTATTTTATGAACCTGAAAGTCTTCACAATTCTCAAGTTGAACGAAATGCACTTTCTTTAACTGGTTATTTTAGTCTACAAGATAAAAATAAAAGATGGTTGTATCTATTTCCCTCCACGTTCTGACAGTCGCTGCACGCTATCAAGGAGTGTTTGAAGCTCCTCTTCGGTGGCCTTGCCATGTGCGCCCCATCGAATTTTACAATTGCCATCAACAAGGAACACATAACCAAGATACGAATTTGGCATGCTTAGCGGACCCTTCAGATGTTTGATGGACTTATAATGTAACATATAAGTGGCCTATTGAAACAAGAGTACAACGATAATAATAAAGAGATGAACAAAGCGTTCAACAGTAACAATCCTTTTTTTTTTTTTGCAAGGTAATTTTCAATTAAAGCTTATTCAGAAGAGAGTTAAAGAGCGTGGGCACGTACATGTCGTTCTTCAGGAATACTTTTCCTCACGAATGGGACCATCATGCGAACCAACCCTGCCTTTAGTGGGTTTTCTTGTATATTGAGCTATAAGATCAAGTTTAATGGCATGAAATTACGCGTGAGTGAAAGAAGGAAATTATTAGGCATGCGCTTATGAATGAGGTTTAAAATGATTCCAGATCCAATGTTCCCACTAATAATATATTTCCCTCTCCCTCCTCGAAATTACCTCAACAAGTTGAACTTTAGAATTTGCCATACCCATCGGCCATTTCTCCAAAAAGGGTTTCACAAATGTCTCCAGCTGCTCTTCACCAAAACGTGTCCCTGAAATGGCCACCAAAGAGACCTTTCCATGTAAGAGATCAACAAGTTCCACTGGCTTGGATGTCTTTAGTGAAGTACCAGTGATATTAGGCATATACAATGCTTTCTAATAAATAAATAAAAGAATAAATAAGTAATAATAAATGAAGAATGACAGGAACATTTATCACGTCCAAAAATATAGAATAAAACAAAATAAAAAGCATACATCAGCAGAAATCATATTTGGAGTTCCCTTCCACAGTTTGGATCCCGTCCTATTAAGCTCACTAAGCTCAGCAAAGTAGCCTGACTGGAAATCATGGAGCCTAAATAACAAAATAAAAACATCAATTACCGAGAATTGATAGTCGAAATAAAAAAAATAAAAATAAACATTGACCGAATTATTCGTTCTAATACTTACAGTTCCTTCCGTTTTTCCAAGTTTTTTTCCTTATCACCCCAGTCACTCACTTTACTCTTCATCCCCTCTTTAGCCTTTGCAAACGGGGATTTCTTTGATTTGGCTTGGGTAAGGGCTTTGGATTTAGTACTGATGGGCTGTTCCGGAACACCAAACCTTCCGCCATAGGGGGAATAGGAAAGGGTTCTTGGTGCCTCGCTTTCGGTTCCATCATTATTCCCAGCTTCCCTCGGGTCATTTGCATCCTTTTGAGGTACCGTTGTTGGCAGCTGGCTATACAAACGTGAGCTAGTGGTGAAGACTCCCGAAGGCCCTGTGCTTTTACTGATCAGACATGTTTGGTGTGAATTTTTCATTGTTGCTATCGATTTTAATGCATCTTGTCTGGAAATGCGATTCATGGATCTAAGCATCCATGAAGCTTGAAGAATTGTCCTGGATGTGAAATGAGCCATTCCTGAACAGTTTCCTCCGTATGATTATGGAATTAGTTTTTTTTTTTTTTTTTTTTTTTTTTTTTTTTAAAAAAAAAAAAAGCCAACTCTGGAAAGACCAAAACTTTGGATCGTGACTGGCCAATTATCTTTCATTTATTCTTCAAGTACATCTACAGAACGTGTTACACCACTGGTCTCTCTGGATCTTCACTCATAAATACGTCGTAAATGCGTTTCGAGATCGTCCTCCCAACAACAGATCGCCTACCAATGACCTAACATAGTAATTGCATGTAATTCAAGCACGCAAGTATGCAATAAAAAAAAAAGATGTACATAAATTAGCTATATGATCCTATTGAGCAAAAATACCTTTCTTATACAGTTGTGATATAGTCCTCACCGGAATATCCTCTAGCATTGTTTGCGCTTGGTATATGCCCTGGGCTTGACGATATCCCTCATATAAGCTCTTAACTGATGGATACTCTTCTGCAATTGATTTTGCAATCAAGTGTGTTACCATATGAATCTCTTGGAGGCTCTTGATCCATGTGTCGCTGGGATCTAACCCAGAGCGAATACCTTCCACACAAACGTTCAGATTCGTCCTGCGAGCCTCCCTATGAAGATATCGACAAAGATAGAGAGGAAGAAAGAAAAATGTTAATCCTTTAGAACCTTATGATACAGCAGTTACAAATGAGAGTGGGTCATTTCACACATAAAAGTGCTCTAATCGTTACTTGTATGGGCGGAGACCAATTTGCTCCGTTAAACTGACAATATATTGGGCTGATTCTTCATCGTCAGCTGGTTGAATAACAAGGCAGTCATGTTCCAGCTGAAGCTTAAGCATCTCCTCTTCTATACGCTCTTGCTCTAGCACTGTTTCTTTCTCTGCAGCGGCCATATTCAACGACAAAGCTTGTCGTTGTCCGGAATTATTGTCAAGACTGGCCAAGACTGCCTGCTGAAACTTTTTTGTAATTGCTTTCCTAAGCTCACGATAGTAGTTATCTACCCCCGATATCAAGATAATGATACGTGGTCGCTGGCCTGGATCTTCTATGAGATGTGTGTTCTGATGATGTGGCAAACTTGATAATTTTAGACGTTCCTTGTTTTTTCGCAATTTGATATCTCGCTTAATCGATGCCAAGTGGCTCTTGAGACTAGCATCATGGATCATCCTAGCTAGATCTGTTGCAGTCACGTAAAAGAGCACAAATGGCTCAAGTACAATCTCCTGCTCCGGGAGCATGACATAAGCATCGTTTTCTTCGTCGTATCGACGGTCAACAACACGCCGCCAATAGACGAGATCCTTAAAAGGAATTGAGTCAATAGAGTCATCCATTCGAGTGCCAGGTGGTAGCTCAGCTGTAGATCCCCCAGCCCCTGTTGCCCGCAGGAGTCTAACCTGACATTCAATGGAAGCGATATAATCCTGTAGTGTAAGACCGAATGAAGAATGGTAGAGCGATTGCTCGATGCAGACGATCATTTCTTTGACTCCTTCATACTTTGTGGTTAACCTGTTAGCGATGCGCAATTCGCGCTGAGCCCTCTTTTCTGCCTCTTTCTCATCTTCCTTGCTCAGTCGCTCCCGATCTTTAAGCTCCCGCTTCCGTCGTAGCTCTTCTTCTCGAGCCGCTCTCTTGGCTAATTTCTCGGCCTCTTTAGCCTGCTTTTCAGCTTCTTTTGCACGCTTCTGAGCCTCTTTAAGAGCCGCGTCCTCTGCTTTACGCCTTTCTACTTCAATTGCTGTATCAGAAATACTGTTGTCCTCTGGGTCACAATCACCATTATTTGGTTGTGCTTTTGCCTTTTGTCTCCGCTTGGCCCTCTTTACGATTTCATCCTGCAATGATAATGGGGAATCATTTTGCTCTAAAGGACTTAATCCAAAGCTGTCGGAGGATCCGAGCTCTGAATTCCAATCCTCTAAATCTATTTCCGTTGATGTTGAAGCTCGCTTCTTGCCCTTGCGGCTATCACTGTAATTGACCTTGGCTAGATTTTTAGATGAGTTTGACCGAGATATGTTTGTCTTTTTCTTCCCACTTTGTCCTTTCCATGACATGTCATTCATCAGCTCTTCCATTTCCCTATCATAGGTGTCATCCAAAGGGTTCCTTGGTGGACTTAGACTTGTGTCGACCAGATTGTTCCATTGACCTGGAATATCCGAGAGTTTCTCAAATAGCTCTACCCTATAATCGCCAATTAATTTGACTCTATCCTGCGTGTCTTTAATAGTATCACTGTCAAGGCCTGTTTTGCTGGGCATCAAATCACTAGCTGTGGGTGACCCTATACGGGATCTATATGTCGTTACTGGAGACAACAATGGCTTGGGGGACGTGAGAGCCTCTGATGAATTTGCTTTTGATAGGGGCGTGGTCCGATTAATTGAAGATGACAACTGCTCTTTGGACAACCCCGAATCCACTGTCGTCCCGGTACCAGCTGTGGTGGTCTTGATGGTTGACTTCTTTTGAGTAGTTGAGTTGATAATGGATGAAGGGAGTTGTCTTGATTCGGAGCCAGATCCCAAACTTTCAGGCCTGGATGATGATGGTGACGTTAGCATAACAGTGGAAGACCCTTTGCAATTACTTGGTGAGGAGATGAGCTCATAATCCCAGTCCGAGAAGACGTCCTGGTTCAAGGACGACACTAGTTGGAACTTTGTAGCAGTTTTAAGGTCCTTAGTGGGTGTCTTGTGAAGATCAATAATAACTTGCTCGTCCTGATCTCCCTCTATCTTAATAGGAGCTTGTTCGGTTTTCACCTTAGGAGAAGATGATTTTGGTGAATCATTAAGTCGCACTGAAGATGATTTCTGTTTGAAACTTGTTCCAGAATCATTCTCTACTTCCCAAATATCGTCCCAGCCATGATTAAAATCTTGTGGAGATGGCTCACGCGCTATGAAAGGTGGCGATTGCTTTTGTTTGAGTACTGGTGACGGAGTGCGTCTTCTAACCGGGGACGAAGTCCGCTTAGTATCTGGAGATAGCTCACACTTAAGAATTGGTGATGGATTTCGCGTAATGGCCGTATGACGCTCATGTTTGATAAATGGCGAAGCATCCTGTTGCTTGTCAATGGCGTGCCTTCGCGTAATATCAAATGAATATTCGCGCTGCCTACCTTTGAATCCTTCTGTTTCGGTGATAGAAGCGTAGTTGGAGTGCAAAGCGGATGGCTGAGGCCGCTCTGTCTTGTTACTTGCTGTTAAATGGCTTTCATCAGGATCAGTGGTGGCGACAGTGGCAGTAGGAGTAATGGAATTGATAGCGGACTTGGTGTCTGTTGCTCTTGATACTTTCCCTGACATCAGTCGTAGAAACTCGTCATCGTCGCTGTTTTCATCATCAGAGCTGAGCAGTACTGGAGAAGCACCTGTTGTCACATCCGCTGCTTGTACATGGAGTAATGGTCTCAGAAACTAAAGAATTTGTGAACGAATAAGTCCTTCAATTGGAGGAATCTCTCAAAAAAAAATCAATAATAGACTATTTTTCTGAGGAAGATAATAATAAAATATGAAGCTTACTTCTCCTTCAAAGATGCGGTTGATAGTCAGCTCGCTGTTTCTAGTGATGGCAAGGTCTTCGATGATCTCCTTCAGGGAGTGGCCACTGCAGATGGAAAGGACCTCTCGCGCCATGTCCAACAATTCCATGTCAGACGGAGCATTATTATCCATCTTTTTTGCATGGAACCTGCTTATTTAGTTGCCTAATGGGTACTTTTGTCGTCTTCTCACTTTTCCTTCTTCTATTCTTCTTCTTTCCTGATTGTCTATGAGTAAGATGTAATACAAGATTTCCTCAATCGCGATTACATCCTTTGAACAATGTCCAAACTTAAATTCATAAAAGAAAAAGCACAAACCTATAAGCCACAGTTGGTGGCAAAAGAGCATACACGATTTTTGCTTTGCCATTAAAAGTAACAGGTTTCAAGCAGACTTATATCAATCTTACCATGGAACAAGTCCGGACATTTGTACGCGAGACGATCACAGCATTCAATGACAAAGACACTGATGGCATGCTTGACCAGATCATACTTGAAGAGGACAATCCACGGTTAACTCAGCTACACCAAGCTCTGTACAACGTAAGAAACTCACTTGGAAAATTAGAAAGATGCGATAGTATCGCAGCATGGTGTCTAGGATGCCTAGAAACCGGTTTAAGATATAGCAGTAAAAGTAAAAGGACTATTAGAGTAAAAAGTATATACCTCCTTTTGCTATACTACTACTATAAGTCTTGTTATCACAGGGTGTTAGATATCAAAACGCGCCACCGTCATCCTAATTGACCAACTTGGCTTTTTTCCCCATGTTAAGGCGTCTTTCCTTACCCACGACAGCTTCTTGGGATTTTTCTTTCTGTCATTACTTTTTACTTAGATGAGCGAGGAGTCAGTACGAACTGTTGTCTTGAAAACAATGGGAGATGATAACCGTCCTCTGAGGGATTTGATCACCAACTACCTTATTTTCACAATCGCTTCTGCTTTGGAGACGTCGTCCATGGTGGACGTGTATGATTTAATCTCGGCATGCTACAGGTAAACCAGCTATTTTTATGTCAGGATGTTACTACATCTCTTCATTAAAATTGACATGAATATAGTACGTTTGTCATCACATTCTGTCATCTAATTTCTTTTTTTTTTTTTTTTTTTTTAAAAAAAAAAAAAAAAAAAAAAAAAAAACGATGATATAGGTCATTTCTGTCATTATATTCGGCTGCAGATGCACAATGGTTAACACCATTACTTATGAATCTTTCATACTCATTAATCAGATGGGCCAATTTTGTAAGACTTTCTAAACTTATGAATGAACCTTCAAATCATTTGATATTAGTTGATTTGCAGGCTATAGCAATTTGATCCGCAAGTTAAGGGATCTTTGAACAAGCTTTTTTTTTTTTTTTTTTTTTTTTTTTTTGGCTAATTTGGAGCTTATGTCTATAAAAAAATATATCAGGCAGATGAAGAACAGCCAAATGCTAAAGAGCTTAAAATTAGTGATGCTGCATCTTCAAGTCATCTCTCCAAGGCATTACACATCGTCATCGGTGATAAGTATGTTTATTGGTTTCAAGTGTCATGCTTTTCTTTTTTTATTTTTTTATTTTTTTTATTTGGTACATTAGCATTGGCTAATTCCTAGCTTCACGTATTGTATGCACGTTGAATAGATCAACCAATCAAATAGAAAATTCAAAGAGACGCGCTCTTTATTATTTGGCTAATCTCACGTTCCGGGCATATTTCAAGGTAAATTATAAAAAAATGCCAATTGGGAATAATGAGTAGACTACCATGCTAAAAAATACATTTCCACATGTTATCTTTCAATGCCCAATTTATGCTCTGTATAGCTGCGGTCAACCCGCCTCATTCCTACTGTGATGGCCAATATATCCAATGCTGGCGCAGCGCTCTCAGAATACCCGATGAGTGAACAAGTAACTTATCGTTATTATGTGGGACGCTATCATCTATACCAATTGGATCTGAGGCGTGCAGAGTCGGATCTAGCGTTTGCATTTAGAAATTGTCCAGATCTGAGTCATGATGATGAGGACAACAATGATGGCAATATGATAGCATTCAAGAACGGCCGACTGATCCTGATCTACTTGACAGCCTGTCGACTTTGTTTGGGTCGCATGCCTTCAGTACAACTCCTGCAGGAATATGGTCTCGATACTTATTTCGAGCCCTTAAAGAAGGCTATCAAATTAGGAGATTTGAGCCTTTTGGATCAGAAGCTCATGTCGCCGGAACTGATGAGCTGGTTTGTGGAAAAGGAATTGTTTTTCTTATTGAAGGAGAAACTTCAGGTCCTTTGCTGGCGATCCCTGATTCGCAAGACATGCCTAGTATCACGAAAGCCGACAGACCCTCCACAGATGCGAGTTCAATTGTATGCATTGTTGACTATTGTTCGTGCGTTGACTCAGGATGACTCGTATGATATTTACGATGTCGAGTGCATCACGGCCTCTTTACTGGATCAAGTAATTTTTTTTTTAAAAAAAAAAAAAAAAAAAAAAAAAAAAAAAGCGAATGCGTTTACTCTGCTCAATTTCAAAACCTTTATTCACTTTTTTTTTTTTTTTTTTTTTACAGGGATATATTAAAGGCTATATTCATTCACGAAAGAAAATCCTCGTTCTTGGCAAGACCAATCCATTCCCTATAGTTTACTCTGTTGGAGTCATTCAAGAAGTTGCTTCATAAGTCGATTTTTTTTAAAATCCTTTTGCTTCACGAATCGTCTCAATAACCTCTGTATAAAATACAAAAACGCAGTAAAAGCATTGATCAAAAAGAAATAACAGTTTAGATGAACTCTTGCGGAGCAAGCACGAAAATTAAGGAAATAGTGATAATAATAATAATAGTAGTAGTAGTAGATTGGTAACTTTTGCTACTGTAAAGTAGCTCTTAATAGCATGGATATCCAGTCTGACAAAATGCAAGGTTTTTTTACTGCAGTAGAAAAATTTTTAATCCCTGATATTCGGACGGAAAGCTACTCAAACCCATTTAATATCTTCATCTATCATTGAGATGTACCGGAGCCTGTTTCTACAGGCAGTTGAGGTGGTGTGGTCGGCGCTGATGTTGGTGCAGAAGCCTGAGCTTGCGTCTGTGCCTGTTGTTGCTGCTGCTGCTGCTGCTGTTGCTGTTGTTGCTGCTGTTGTTGTTGTTGCTGCTGCTGCTGTATTTGCTGTTGCTGTTGCAAATGTTGCTGGAGTGCAGCACTGGAAGACACTTGATGATGTGTTTGGTACGTTTGTTGAGGAAGCATATATTGTGCATGCTGTCGACCGCTGCTCTTGGAACGGTACAATGACTGACGCTCAGGAACAATGGCGGGCAATCCCGATGATGAAGATAAGGATGATGACATGGACATCATGGGGGAGGTCGATCCCAACGACCCTACAGATGATGAGAATGAGGCTGTGCCAGAATTTCCTGAAGAATACGGTTGATGATGGGGGTAAATGTGATGCGAGTGAGCACTGCCACTGCTGCTGCTATTACTTGTTGCTGTCGCTACCCCAGTTCCGGAAGATGAAAATCCTAGATTATTACCACTGCTATTGTTACTGCTCACATTAAGCACATTTCCGGGGAAAGTTGCTATCGTCGGAGAGGTTGAGTATTGACTAAAGACTCCTGAGCCTGTACTGTTGCCGGAGAAAGGGCTCATCAATGGATTGTGGGGCGAGAGTGTAGCTCGCTGGCTTGAAAAACTGTGGTTGCTGATGGGCGCAGGATTAGCAGGTGTATTTGTCGGTGTGGCTGGAACTCCATAGATTCTGTTCGATCCCGAGGTGCTGGTGCTTGAATTCTATAATGATTCGTATTAAAAGAGGGAAAAAATGAGCTTTCTATGTCAAGCTTCTTTGGTTTGCCAACAATCTATATAAGCAATTATAAAATTCCTACCCTCCTTGATGGGGTCCCTCCAGAACGATGGGTTGATGAAAGCACTGTAGGAAGAGTATCTTCAACAAGCAAATCTGAAGCGACAGGTAAGCCATACTCCTGACGCAGCGTACGGACTTCCGACCGGTATCTGTTACATTGCTTAAATTTGATAAGGTCTTGTCGTTTTTTCGAAATCAACAAGAGGTATCATGGCAGACAAGAGGAAAAAAAGGCAATAGTATATGGTTAGCAACATCAGCTAATAAAGACGGCTGATATTCCCTTACATATTTTGGAACAGATGCTTACATTCGCGCTCAAGTTCATTTAGCGTCGCTTTCGCTGCTGTAAGTTCCGCCTTGAGCATATCCACAATAGGATGAGAAGCCCCGTGGTCCGATGATGAGGGGGAATGTGACGGTATCCACTTCTTGTGCGTAGGAGATGGTGTAGGCGATGGATTTGGATTGATCCTGGATGACCTTCCGCCTCCAGCGATGTTGATAGGCGACGAACCAATGGGAAGAGCAGACCCAATGCTGTGGTCCTTGTCCTGCCAGCTGGATGCAGCCGAGGTACTAGTAGACTGCTCCATGCGCAATGCATCCAGCTGCTTCTGTAGTCGATTGACGATATACTCTTGTTCCTGCTCCAGCGCATTCTCCATATCGATTTTTTCTTTTTGTAGCTATATTAGAAGAGAGAGAGAGAAAAAAAAAAAAAAAAAAAAAAAAGACTTACAGCCGTCAGTCATGCTTTTTGCTCAATTGCACCCATGACATCTACATTTTATGCGAACCGAGTTTAGAAAGCAAAGACTACAACTCACCTGGTTGAGTTTCTTTTGTAGTGTCTTGGTTAGATACTCCTCTTCCTGCTCTACCTGCAGCATAAGCTCTCCTTTCTCCTTCTTGAGTCCGGAAATACGCTTCAAGAGTCTGTTTGAGATATTTTCTTCCTCTTGTTCAGCAACGGCATGCTAAAAATAATGTCATGAAGGAATGATCATCCATTATCAATAACCATCACATTCAATCTTGCTATCGAATTATACAAATTGTAATACCTCTTTTTTTTCTGTGGTCTAATTAATGAATAACACTAACCATATTGGCCTTCATCTGCCGCAGGACTTGGTTATCATGTCGGAGGATCGTGGCATGCCCGCGTTCAACATCGACCTCATGTCTCAGCTTTTTAATAATGGCTTCTTGTTCTTTTTGTTTTTCAAGGGCTTCTGTAAGCGCGCGCCTCAGAGTTTCGGGGTCGCTTGAAAGCAAGGCATCGTGAAATCCGGTCTTAATTGATGAAGATGAGTTATCCTTCAGTCTGGCTGTAGTTTCACGCGCCTATATCATGATAATAGATTCAAGCGCAAAAAAAACATGATTAGCAAATAAACAATCAAAGTAGGTCATCTTTCTTAAAAAAAAAAAAAAAAAAAAAAAAAATAGAAAAGAAAGGACCAAAGGAGGATGAATGGAAGAGATAATGAGATATGCGGCTCCTGTAAGCTGTGGACATGATTAAGGAAAGTAGAAAGCAAGGTAGAAGAATGATGGCAAGCAGTCAATCTTGTCGAAGTTTTGCCAAAATTTTGGGAACCGTTCCCTTCAATCTACGCTGCGCCCTGCCTCAAAAAAAAAAAAAAAAAAAAAAAAAAAACTCTCCCACATTGTCTCTGTCGGTTAATCTTCTTACATGTTCTAGCTGTTTCTGCAGTGACGAGGTCATGTCCTGCTCTGTGCTCTCAATATCCTTGAGATGTTGCGTCTTGGACTAGATTTGGCATTGTGAAGAGAGGGAAAAAAGTCTATATTAGAAACAGTCAGCTCCCTAGTCATGGCAGCAACAGTACCGATAGCAACTCTTCATGCCTATCATTGCCCATATATATATTGTCCAACAGTGTTATCCTGCCAAATAGCACCATGTATCCATGTACCCATTTATCCATCTATGCAGTAGGTCTCCGTAAGTGTGGGAAGAAGTGATTGCCCAGAAAAGCAGAGTGACTGTTGCACATCCATCACACACATCCAGAGGATAAAAGACGGAAATAAAGATGTGAACCCAGGTAAACCTTTTCATACACGAAGATTCCTTTTTTGTTTTATTTTCAAGGGCACTAATCATGATCGAATGGATGTGCTATGTTATGTTGAGAAGTGGGTCCCTTACCAGAGGTTTGGGAGCTGTCAGGTCGGCGCTGAGAGTTGAAGCTGGAGTAGAGTTAGTGTCTGACGGGGTTGGTGCATGTGTCATTGTCTCAAGTGCGTTGGTGGTGTCGCCCTCAGAAGAAGGCTGATCGCTTTGTCGGAATGAGAACATGCAGATGACAAAGCAATAGTAATGAAGACTAAACAACAAGTAAACAGGTAATAAGGGACCTATGAGAAGGAATGTATTTTCTTTTTCTTTTCTTTTTTATTCCTCCGGTTGCAAACGCGTGAATAAAAGGACAAGAAGGCGAGTGTAGAAAGACAGGGAAGTAAGAAGGATATGAGAGAGAGAATGGAAGGGGGAAGAAAGAAAAGAGTACTATACACAAGGATGGACTCAGAGTGTGGTGTGAGAAGAATTTTATGCAAAAATAAAAAAAAAAACACCCCGTGCAACAAGTATGAACAACAAGAAGTCATAGTGGATTTTATGAAAAGTGAAAGTAAATAGATCTTACGCTCTCTTTCATGTATGCTGATGCGACTTCCTGCCATATTGATGTGGCCTTCTCCTGGTGATGGTTAAGGGTTTAGAGCTGTTCGTTGTGTGGTCGTTGCTGGGCTATTGTTACGAGAAATAGAGCACGGTGTCCTTTTGCAACACGACGCGTCTTTCTAGAGACAGTTAGAGACAGACAAAAAAATCTCTGTACAAAAACGATATAAAAGAAGACAAAAGCTACGATCAACGATTCAAACTGTATCTGAGGACCTTGTTGTTGTTGTTGTTGTTGTTGCTTCTTTGCTGTCGCACCTCGACAGAAGCCTCAGCATTCTTGTCTTCGACATTTTTTAGTGCCCAAGTCGTCGATATGCCTCATCTGCCTCTTCCTCGGTAAGAAGCTCCAAAGTTTCCTCACCCTTGACCACAAATTGAACACACTATCCTCATTGTAATCCCCAAAGATATTGTCATATTCATCGGCATCATAACTGTCGCCATTATTGTCATTCTCCTCTTTTCCCTCCTCTGAGATCTGGTCTTCGACATCGCCATTGCCTTGTGTCCACCTGCTGTTGCTGAACATCAATTTCAGGTCCAGGAACAACAATGAGCTGAGCTCCCCAGTAGCTTCCTTATTTAGCACAGTTTTCTTTTCTTTTTTTTTTTTTTTTTTGCGCGCCTCTGTCAATGCCATTCTTTTTGCTGCTCAATATATTGTCCTTACTTTTGGTGTCTCGGCATGGGCAAGGGTCAGAGCAGAAGCCAATGCCAAGATTGAGACCTTCATTGTGCTACTCCTTATTTTTTTCTGTTTATGCGTCAAGGCGTATCGAAAAAATAAAAAATCGGACTTGAGATATTGGTGAAAGAAAGATTACAAAAGGCTTTGCAACATCGCCGTGGGTATTAACGAGGAGTGATTGAAGGACGAAAATAACAACGCTTATTACTCCTAATTAATTGAAGAGAGACCAACCTATAACTACCAAAAGGCTTTTCTAAATTTAAATGAAAAATATTGAATCCGTTTGTTGCGGAACAGAAAGGAAGAAATATAACATTGTGGTAGGACCGGGGGTGCTTAACAGACCCTCAAATGAAAGGTAATGCATGGAAACTGTTTTCACCAAAAAGCAATTGTGCTGGTTTTTCGAGCTCTTGTACTCTTTCAAACTGTAAGGTTGATGTATTATAGATAGTCATGGTTTATTTCATTATTTAATACAAAGAAGAGTAAGCAACATAATGGATACATTAGATATGAGTGTGGACGATGGCAGAGAGGATCAGAATTATTTACAAGATGGATGGGCCGTCCGTGTAATGTGAAAATCGTGAGTTTTAAAACAAAGGTTTAAAAAAAAAAAGGAAAAAAGTCAGATCGTCATCGACATGCTTTTGCATGTTAAGCAATCAATTCAGCAGGCTTTTCAGAGTTCTGCAGTAATCGCTGACACTCTTGCTCCTGGCGAGCCAGGTGTTCGGGGCATCGAAGCCATGAAGCAATACAGTTACGCAACCAAAGACAGAATGGCCCTGCTTGAGGCTCAACAGTCTTATCCTTGACTCCCTCCTCCATCTTGCGCACAGTTTCATCCACATCCACCTCTGTAGCTGAGGCAGCAGAAGGACACAAGCCATTCTTCAACAGTTCACAGACACGTCTACGGTTATTATAAAAAGATGGCCAGCATTTACGGATCCAAGCCTCGCGCCACTCTGCGAACTTACAAGGAGGTCGCTCCTGTTGCTCCTGTCCCATCTTAGATCGCAGCGGCTCATCCATGGTCTGATAGACGTCCACCAACTGGGTATTAGAAAGCGTTGCGGCCTGGAACATCGACTGAGTCAGGTGAATCATCATCATGTAAACCATTGTCTGAAGGAGCAACGTGTCTTGATTGGCCTTATTCGACACTGAAAGCATTGACTCGTCTTTGGGCATGACAATATAAGTTTGTGCCAATCTTTGTTCTTGATAAGCTTGCAGTTCTGTACGCATTTGCTCATCCACCTTGGCTTCATATTTGGCCGCCTCATACCGAACCAAAAGGCCATGATATTCAGCCTCTTTAGGCTGAATGTCTTTAGGATCAAGGACCGGATCGATTTCCATTTCGACTCGGTTAACAAGAAGATCCCAATTGTCATCGAAGGGTACGTACGGTTGCAGCGAACCATGAGAAACACTCAAATTCGATGATGGAGAGGGAGCTGCTTGAGAATGGGGATTTGTCAATGAGTTGTTGAGGATAGTCATGTTATTATGGTTGATACAATCCATGAGCTCCTTCTGCTGTTGTTGGGCTGTCAAGAGATGTGAAGCGGAAGGCGACGTTGTTGGGAACGACTCAGTGTTGGGATTCAGCAAACTTGCCAGCAAATTAGCGTGTTCCTTTGACATACGGCCGTCATTAAACAATGTCTGCGAAAGCCGCAATGTTTCCAACTCCTGTTTCAAGAATTGATAACTTAACTCTGACTGAGTCAATTTCTTCTGCAACTCGGCGGCTTCTTTGCGAGCTTCCTTCACTTGAACTTCGAGGCTGCTGATATACTCTATTTAATGATATAATCAAACATGATCAGTCCATAGGGGGTTTTTTAATACAATTCACTTTGAGACTGAAGATAGTTCAGGCATTGTTATATTACCTTTTCTGCGCACTCTGAAGTTGCGAGCAGATAGTTTGTTACGCAACTGACGGCGCTCTTTACTTGTCATTTTTTTGAGCTCGCTTGGACTAGGCTTGAGAGGATCGGACTGAGAATCATTATTTTGGTTGGATCCATGGTCCGAATCGCTGTCCATGTCAACATCGTCTTTCATAGGAGGCGATGGATAGAAAGTATGTTTTTCCCTCTTGAGAGATAATAAGTTGGAAAGGGATGAGTTCTTGATTGTCGGAGAAGACGGCGGAGCAGAGCACTCAGCGTCTCCATAATGATTCTGAGTATCAGAGGTGGAGGGATGTTGTAGCCTCTGGACCTGCTGAAAGCGCTGCAGCCAAAGTGTCATTTCCTCTGTAGACATAGTACTGGAGGATGCTCTAGCCGTAGCTTCTTGCGTCAAGCTATAAAATTGGTCTTCAGATGTATCTGCAAAACCAGCCGGTGTCGATGGAGAAGGCATGCTAGGAGGCATATCAGGAGAGATCTGCCTGTAAGAAAACATGTTGGATGGCAAGCGTGTTGGGTATGTCAACGATGTGGTAGATGTTATCGATAATTCAGGGTACTGCTGTAAAGGTTGAAACATTTGAATTTGATATTCCAGTTGTTGCTCCGGCTGTTGCGCCGGTTGTTGCTCCTGTTCTTGTTCGAAGTTAAGCTGTTGTGGAGAAGAGGTGACACAGCGATATGGCGAAGGGGAGTCGTATGAGAGAATAGAAGCGACTGGAGAGCCGCCGTGGGGTGAGGAAGCGGTTGGCGATGCAGAAGTGTATGGTGAATGCGCAACAGTGGAAGCTGCCGAAGAAGATGGAGAATAAGTGTCGAAAACTGTTTCGGTCGAGAGGTCCTGTTCGAAGAGCACTTCAGTTAAGGCAGCAGGCAAATCACCAGCATCAAGCTCAGCTTTGAAGAGATACTGGAATAGCTCAGCATTGGACATGTTCTCGACGTTGGGGGTAGATGTGTCGCTAGAAGAGCTCATTATGAGAACGATCAAAGGTGCACTGTTTTGATTAGAAGTAAAATCACCGATATGGACAGCCTGCCTTGGGCGCAAGGGTATGGTTATGGAGATTTCTTAATAAGGAATTAATACTGAAAGTGAATATATGAATTAGAAATAGGAGAGTAGTATACAATACACAATGTTTAGTGAAGTGTAATGAATGTGATGTGAGAATGGATGATGAATGTAAGTTTGAACACGAGCTTGAATATGAAAGAAGAAGAAAAATGAAAAAAGAGAGAATAAGAGAATTATAAAAGTTTTTGGGGCACCAAGGCAAAAAAAAAAGAATGTCTATTGTGAATAGTCCCCATCAATAAGTCGCAGTGACAGCTTTTTTTCTGTCTACTTTTCCTCTTGGCCAGGAACAATCTCTCCACCTTTCATCATTGTGCAGGAATGTCTTAGACACATATGTATTTGTATATATAATTTTTCTTTCTTAAGGACTTTCTCTCTCTGCTCTTTAACCCTCTACTTCCCCTGTGTTGCTTCTCCACAATAGAGGTATTAGGAAATGGATAAATAAATGGCTCACAATTGCATATTTTCATTTATCACTGTCTCTTTGAAATATTTGTCTGCTCCACGATTCATTTCCAGTAGGCTATTTTGAGGAAGTTATCAAAAAGGAACATTTTCCTTTTTAAGGATGATCGATCACTCGTTTGTCATCGACGTTACGCGTCCCCCTTTGGACGGCAAATTGAAGGGCCGGTAAGTGTAAACACAAAGAACAAAATTTTATAAAGCGCAGTCAGCCATCCTTGGCATCAAGTAGAAACAATCAATAATCTTTTTTTTTTTTTTTTTTTTTTTTTTTCATTTGTAACCAGCACATGTTCGTCTGGACCCTTTTATTGCAGTTTTTCTTTTTAATTAGTGGTGACATTGAGTTAAGCATGTTTTATAAATCTTCATAACTGTTGCTTTGTGACAAAACAATAGCTTAATTTGTTTAAGCACTTAATACGATATTCACATACGGAACTGCACATGGTTATTTGAGCCAATATAGTCATAAACTGACTTGAAAAATCGAGGTTTATACCATTAGGGACTCACTGGCTGGTATAATACTATCTCACTGCTACCACTAACACAGCTTTTCACTCAATCAATCCTTGAAATTTGGTATATTGGGATTAGTTCATCTTCTCCCAACTGTGTATCTTTCCTCTATCTCCAAGCGTATGGAATTTAGTATGTGGTGCTAATAGTCTTCTATCTGGTACACATGCATCATATGGATGACGACTGAAACACCGCTGGAGAGTTTCCTGTTTTCTTGTAAAGATGTAAGACCCGTTTCGATAATTCTTGGTACAGTATAAATGTAATAGCAAAAAAAAAAAAAAAAAAAAAAAAAAAGCCTCAATTTTTTCTCTGGATACATGTATTACTACTATGCAATATCTTTATTTGAATTATTGACATTGCAGCTCTGTTGCTTCTCATCACGCGTATCAGAACAAGGTCATAGAGTCGTTCTCATTTGAACAAACATTGCTTCCTTCAATTTGAAACAGTTTGCTGTGTTCACTAAAATGCTCATGCAATGAGCTCGTATAAAAAAAGAGTAAATGGAGTTGTTGCACTAAAACAGAATTATTGCATTTCCACAATAACTATGAGAATCTTTCTTCTCATACAATGAAATTTGATCACCCAGAGGAGGACTACAAAACCAAAATGAAATAGAATAGAGACAGAAATCAAGAATTGGGGAAAGCCATTACACATTATATATATATTTATGTTGGTGCTGTTCAGTACCCATAGAAGTCTATTTAGTCTACTGAATATGGCGCAAGTGCTCTCGGTTGTGCAAGACTAACATCGGAAGTACATGATTGGCTAGTCGAGGTTTGGTGCAATTGTTGCATCGTTTGATTTGTCCATTGCCCAATTGATCAGGGCTCGGGGGAGCCGGGCTCATGCAGAACAGTGCCTTGCAACATGTACCAGAATGTACATGAATAGTACAAAAACACAAGGAGGAGCAATAGCCTTTAGCAGGTCCACGCCCTCTCTCTTTTATTGCTCGTCCTCTCTAGCTTTTTTTTTTTTTTTTTATAAAAAAAAAAAAAAAACACGCACGTAATGACACACTACTGCAGGATCCAATCCAAGCCCAGAAGGATGGGCCACTGTGACGGGCCTTAGATAGTCCATGATGCCATCCGACTACCTCGTTACATGAGACATGAGGTGATGGGATGATGGCAGTGGATCTTTTGCGCAGTCATCATGGGCGTCTTTACCGATCTAAAGTATGCACAGCTCCGTGGGAGTTGCTGGTTGCGATCATCCATTGATCATCCAGCATCCTGATCGTCGTATCGCTATCATGAATGACTTGACATCAACACCATCACTTTTTGAGATGCCATCAGAACCATCGATGGTAACGTTCGATTCTTCTCTTGTAGAGAAAGAAAAGAGCAGACAGTTATAAACATGGAGAACGTGAGAGAACAACAGTTCAGTGGGGCGATTTCTCTGTCGGAGCTTTGTTCGGACATCCTTTATCATAATGATTTCGTTAGTAGGGAATTGTTGAAAGATAGCTTGGTCCAACATATCATTAATCACTCTTTGTCTTGATGAGCATGTAAGAGTACAAAGTGCTCACACATCATTGATTGGCATCATTGACGATCGTGAGCGAAAAAAATAGGGCAGCTGTCCTGTTCTGTCTGAGATACTGTTCTATCCGTCGGGGATGATCCACCTAAAACCCACATCTACCGTCACTCAGTCAGTCCCAATGTTCACTGTTCGCTCCTCTTCATCATTATTCGTCGGATCTGGTCTGATGGGCGATCTTAACTGGTTGGGGACAACCTCAAGATGACATGACATGACATGACCTGATGGTACACCCAGTGATAGGCTAGGTCGAACTTGACACTCTAAAGGGCTAGAAGACTAGCTGACTGGCCAAGACTTTTTTTTTTTTTTTTTACCAAACCAGACCAGGCCGACTTTCTATCTTTACGGGGTTCCCTTCGCCGTCATCAGCATCCGCATCCGAACAGGGGCACCTGGACCACATTCCATTATCCTTCACATTCTCGCTCTGACTCTTTCTCTTTTTCTCTCTCTTCTTTTTTACCAATTTTTTCCTCCCTTCAACAACTGACTGCTACACCACCATCCCCCTGTCAAACCGCACGCCAATCTCTCGCTCTTTCACAGGTACTATTTTATTTAACACTCATTCACCTACACACTGCTGCATGGTGCACACCATCGCTGTCCCTGACCCTAAACGTCTCATTCATTCACCCTCACTCTCTCACTCTCTCGCTCTCTCACTCCTCATCCAACCCATCTAATAAATCGTCATCATTAAGTAAAGTTGAGGAGGGAATCTATCGAGTTTCTGACCTCCCCAACTGATCCTCTTTACCATCAACTTCAAGCCATACTTTCTGCATTGACTTTGTTATTCAATGCACACACATTCTCATTACAACCAACGTCAATACCTGAAGAAGAGCAAATTTTGAAAATAGCTGAAAGAAACAGCAGGGTTTATCGTTTCTTGAATTATACATGTAAGCAGGGAAAAAATCGAAGGCTGCTGCTGTCTGTAGTTGCATCCTTTCAAAAAAAAAAAAGGCAAAAACGTAGGAAAAATGCACCCTCACGTTTTAATATTCATGAGCATGGACTGGATCCTCCTTTTTGCTAGTGATGTGGTACCTGTGTCTACCCATCCTGGCAACGCTGATATCACTGGCGCTATCCCTTCCCTTCCTCTCTTCTCTTTCTCTCCTCCGCCAGCCCCTGCGCAATGGACTCAGTCAACAGTGGTCTGCTCAATAGGCTCTGTCCTCTTATTATTCTCTCTTCGTTTGGTGTTAATCTTTGCCATCACTTTTTGTTACTCTCTTCAACTTTACACTTTGCTTCTGACGCTTGCTTCTGTTTCTGAACCACCTATTCACTATTGCCTTAGGCTCTCAGCAACTAACCTTACATGGCAGAGGCACTTCTCTTTGCTTCCTACATGATTGAACCAAAGTAACATGTACGAGGTGCTCAAGCCTCCTGTTCCCCCTTCCTTTCACCAAAAAGAAAAACAAATTGCGGCATAACCGTTAGTTGCGAGTTTCTTTCTTTCTTTTTTTTATTGTCACGCTTTTGTCGTTGGTATTGCACTATCCCTACATGCCACATGGGACAGTCATCTCTTCGCTTCTTTCCATTCCTTCCTTCGCCCCCTAATTAATTGTATGACAATGACGATGGTCTCCTTGCTGTGTAAAAGGCGCGGTTTTATTATATTATTATAATTATCTGATGCAATTCCAACCAAACAGTTTTTGCATATTAAATACATCAATCAGATACTCTTTCTCCCAACCATGATCTTGATGCTAACTAGAATTTGCCCTCTACTTAGCTCTTTGATCTCATTTAGACATTCACATCCATCCGCACATTGCGGTTTAACGCGCACCTCTATTAGATCCACGCATGTCCATTGCGCCTTCCATATCTGCCAGCACACCGGCAGTGGATCCTCTCAACATGACATCTAAACAGTCCAAAGTTGTTGATTCATCCTCACCCCCTGTCACGCCACCTACAAAATCATCCAGCCCAGACGCTGGATCAGCTGTGCGCTCCAGTCTTCCTTCTCCACCTCCTTCATCATCCTCAAGGCGTTCTCGAGCTCCTGAGTATTCACAAGATCAAGACCATACCGAACCATCAGAGCGAGAAGTGACTCTCGAAAGGATTGCTCGTCGCTTATCACCCACTACCAATACAACCACTATTTCTCAGCCACAACCCTCTTCTAGCCAGCATCTACCTTACAATATGAGTTCTGGTGTATCTACACTAAAGACCCATTCGACATCGAGCTCAATCTCATCCTCTAGTTCCAACAATCACCACCAGCCAGCAACACTCACCAACAAGCACATCGCTGTAACAAAGACAAAGACATTAGGTCATCTCACCAGGAGCACTTCCTCTGAGGTCGACACTGAGGTTGCTAATGCACTCGCATCAGGACGTAGCATAGTTAGCAAAACTGATTGGAAGGAAGAGGATGCACAATATTTGGTTCATCTCATTGAAACACAGTTCCCCAAAGGCAATATTATCTGGGATTGGGTCGGGCAGCAGATGGCCAGTCGCGGCTTTACAAAAAGCCAATGTCGATCCAAATGGAAGCGCATTCGGAACAAGGTACTTCACGGGAATGATCCTCCCAAGGATAAAGAGACCCGAGACCACCTCCGAGATCAACAAGAACAGGATGAACTGATCGATGATGATGATGAAGAAACGATAGATCAGCGCATAGTTGGCGAGTCCAGACAGGACCAGAATAGGCTGCATCATCGATCGGATCATGAGCGCGCACCTGATGGAATGGGCTACTCGGACCCGTATCGCCCACGCCACTATGACCCTCGCAGGTCCTATGACCACCAACATGGAGACGGATATTATTACAGGGAGCGCAGGAATGACTATCGACCTAGAATTTCGCCTGTTTCATCAGCACTATTACCTCCTCATCGAAGCTCTGCATCGCATTATGCTAGTCGATATGCTAACGGACGTGGTGTGCTCGAAGAGGATGAACTTTGGTCTGATGAGGATCAAAGTGGTCATCGTGGTCATACTGTGGGTGCTAACCAGAACCCTCAAGACTATTCTCCCGCCAGACAGCATCATCGCAGGCAGTCAAACCCACAGCAGACTCGAGACGAAACTACAGATGATCCAATACGTTCAGTGTCGGCTATCACAGCAACACCTACAAGCTTTGGCAAAATCGAATGGAAGCCAGAGGATAGTGATTTCTTGGTGCATCTTATTGAAACCAAGTTTGCGTCACGGAAAGTAGATTGGGCATGGGTCTCAAAACAGATGGAAGGACGCGGATATGATCGAACACAATGCAAATCTCGTTGGTGGCGTGTTCAACATCGGCAAAATCAAGCAAATCATTTGGGCAGCACTAGTCACTCCTCATCACGTGGTAAACAACGTCAGGGCGTCGATCAAACTCTTGTAGATGGTGATGCTGGTGTTCCTGCGAATGGCAGAGATGATAAGAGTATGGTATCGGATGATGATGGCGCTCAAAATCACGAAGCCCGTCTATCTAGGCCAGGATCCGAGGCAGGACAGGAAAATTCACAAACACTTCGTGCATCAGTCGGACCCGAGCCTGGCGACAACAAAGGAAAACCTGGTGAAAGCGAACGACAAGAGATAGGAGAAGAGAGGAGGTCGCCAAAACCTACGAAGCATGAGCATCAGAAACATATTGAATGGAAAGAGGAAGATAGTCAATACATGTATCGTCTAATTGAGAAGGAATTTCCTGTTGGGAATGTTGTTTGGAGTGTCATTGCAGAAAAGATGCAAAGTCGTGGTTACTCTCAAACGCAGTGTATGTCCAAGTGGCGCAGACATCTTAAGAATAGCAAGCTACCTAATGAAGCAAACAAACCCGGTATAAGCATGGATATTGACGTAGAGACCGAAGGCTCCGCAGGTGAGACACGTTTGGCAGGTATTAGGCGACGAGGAACAGAGGATCGAACTTCTTATATAGACCCATATGGCGATGGAGCTAAACGCCTCCGAAGAGATATGCATGACATGCGACGGTTTGATAAGAACTATGAGTATAGGACAGTGGACCCTCTCGATGCACGGCTTGTCGAGTTGGAGTATGACCGATATTATGATGCTGGCGGGAAGCGAAGAAGAATGGATGTTGATGGACCTCTTCACGGAGAGCCACGCAATCCATATCATCACCGAAGCCATTCATCGTCTTACGGAGATTATCGAGCCTACGATAAGGACGTGGAGCGTTACCCTCAAGAACCAAACTCTGTACGTTCGAGATATCAGCGTGATTATGATCAGCCCGGGGACGCTTACTTGACAATGTCTACACGAAGCGATGAAGGATTAAATTATCCTCCATCAGCAAGGGCCTACCGGGATGAAACCAATGCTCGTTCTTCTGGTTATGAGCCTGAGCACAGTGGAAACCACATTCGTCATGATAACACTGACAGCTTTGGTCTTGAAGAAGGAGTAATGGAAGAACAGGAAGACCAACCTAAGAGCGAAAGGGAGCTGTCTTACAGAAGGTATTGCGATCGATCATTTCAGGCCTGTGCGCCTTATTGGAGTATAAATAGGAATAACATCGATAACGAACACTCATACCATATGTATCACAATCATAACCATAGCCAACAGCCGCAACCTAGTCACCATCGCTCATCCTCTGTGTCATCGTCTTATCGTGATTCATACGAAGCCAATCACGCCCATCTTGGGCCATATGGTGCAAGTGAAATTATTAGCCAAAATCAACCTTCCAGAGATGAGCCATTGTCGGAATTAAACAAAGAAACGCGACTCAGGCCCCACGAGTCTGAGCAGCGAGGCCGACCAATAGGACGCAGCCCAGTGAGAAATCTCATGAGAAATTCATCTAGAGGACAGGATAGATCAAGCCTTTTGGACGAGCAAGAGGAACGTCGACGAGAGGACATTCTTTTGAATCGCGACACTCGCTATGGTGGATATGACTATCCGGCAGGAGATATCAATAATACCAGCTTTAGTAATAGACGTCGTGCATCTCGAGCGGGCTACGAGTATGACAAATATGACTACGATACTGAATTAGGTCGATACAGTAGCCGCTACTCACAGTCACACCAACAACGCCATCCACATCGGGATTATGAGCAGGAATCAGATTTTATCGACTATGCGTTGGAAGATGACTTGGAGTGGGCCGCAGGTCGATGGGAAAGTCGCGACATGGCCCGACTGGCGGCAGCTGTGGCAAGACAGGGGCGTCGATGGGATGCTATCAGGGCTCAGATCCGAATGCCTGTGTTAGTCAGTCCTTACGATCCAATAGAGGATGAAGTTTATGATGGGATGCGCTTCGACCCACATCCTTATTACCCTGAAGAGCCGAGGAAGTCTCGCCAACCGCTCTATCAATGGCCATCTCCGTCATCGACCTCAACTGCTGTTCCGGCACATCGTTCAAGTGGATCATCACGCCATGGATTATCTTCAAAAGGTCTGACATCGAGCTCAAACGAACCGGTGGGTTCAGAAAAAAGACCCTATAAGTCTATCCAGCCATTAGCTTTGACAGAAGAGTCTTTGGAAGTTGATCTGATCGTAGAAAATGCCGATGTGGAGATGACACCCGCAGAGCCTCTTCAACAACAGGAAGGACAACAGCAATACACTTGCGCTGAAGATGAAATAATGGATGTGGTCTCGACCGAAGATGATAGTGGCACTCAAGTAGCCATAAACCCACGCAACGATATTACCACAAACGTGGATCAAAAGAAGAGTGGTGCAACCCAAGCTACCGATGCAGTTGTACGGATAAGGAAGCAGGAGGTTGAGGTTGCTGAGGGCCACACTAGTCCTGTTCTACTTTTAGACTCCTCTAAATCACCCGGCGAGGGTGAAAACCAGCTCAAGGAGAAAGATCTTGTTGGCAAGGTTGATCCTGTCCAGGCTACAAAAACTGAAGCTGAGGCTACAACAACAACAACAACAACACCCAACACATCATTAGTAGCAACAATAGCTCCGACTGTATTGTAAAAGTCTGCTTTTTAGAAATCTGCATTTTCTTTTTCTTTTTTCTATTTTTTTTTTTTTTTTTTTTCCTTTTTTGTCTAATCTCCCACTCTCACGCCTCTGTAGACGACAGGGCGTAATGACTAATTAACTGGTGCATTACGACCATATCTCACCATTTAGGTTTTTTTTGTAATAAAGGGCCTCATGAAACGGTCATTCTTTGAAGCAATGTGATCACCCAAGCGAGGGTAGACAGAAAACGAAATAGCTAACGATAAACAATGGAAGAAAGGAAAGGCTCTTTGTGTATAGAAGAGAACATACTCGCATGAATTCATAACAAGAGCTTATGCAGATTATCTTATTGTGTAAGATTTGATATATGTATATTTATATATATTCTATACATGAAATATGAATCGCTTTCATTATACTGCATGTACTATTTAGAGAACAAGTGGATAGGGATGGGAATGAAAGAGGGTATTGATAGGATAAGATGGATACCAACAATCCGCCAACCAGATGAGGGGAAGAGAAGTCCGCCCAATTGTTCAATTACGAGCTGAAAAGAAAGACCTGAATGTTTGAGAGCCCTCTTTTAAAAAGCCCAGCCTAAACCTCATGTCAGTCTTCTTCGTTCTCTTTAAAATTGTTCATGGATGAATTATTACTTTTCATTTTTTTTTCCTTCGTTAAGCTGCTATAAAAATATATTATTATTTGCATTATATAGCTGTTTGTTGGGCTTTTAATCATGCACATGCTGTTAGGATGCATAATGAAAATTTTTACAGGCAACCCTTTCTTTAAAAAATATGAAAATGGGCTATGAAATGAACAATGACCGTTAGTCTAGTCAGATGGACATGCGGAAACACAAACCGTTTATTGTACATATATTGTCTGATTGACACTTCATCTTGACTTGCCATACCTTGCCTTGGCTGGACTGGCTAGCTGACTGGACTGGACCCTTCTTGGTCGATTTGGCTCATGATGCTCATTTTAGTCGGCTATTTATCTATCAATACATTAATCATCACATCCTTAATGCTCTCGTTTACAATTGCATTTTTTTTTTCCTTCCTTGATCCTGTCAGCGGCGCGAGGTATTTCTCCTCTAGTCCCTTAATCGCAATGACTTGACATTTTGCATGAGGAATTGAATAAATATATAGATCCATCATTTTTTGATCTATATGAAATGATTACTGATTAGATGTTCTAAGGCCCTATTTTGTTTAAAACAATCAAGGAATACCCTGAAAAAAACAAAAGAGTTAAGGAAAAGGCGTGTTTTTTTTTTTATTTTTTTTATTTTTTTTAGGACGGAGTTAGGATGAAGAGAGGAACAGCAAGGGCTTGTAGTATGGCAAAGTGTTCTGGCCTCTTAATGTATCCATAAAACCGGTTTTTATTTTTTATTATATATCATCATTATTCATATCACTAAGATCGTTCTCTGCTCTTGTTTTGTTGTGCACAGTTTACACAGGGCTCGCCCTTGCATTGAATTTTTTTCAGAATACTCGAGTGGAAATACATGTAGCAAAATGTCAAGAACAACAAGAAATAATCCCTTTTTTTTTATTTGTTGTGAAAGTGGAAAGAAGGATCGTAGTTTCCCAAATAAAATGAGCCCTTGCAACCATAAAACCATACAATCGCATGTTCTCCACTTCCCGCATTGACTGTTGGGTATAAACAAAATATACACCTATGATTAATTTAACTCCGTTGTCATGAATTGACGCTTTTTTGTATGACAAAAAAGTGATGCACGCCACCATACACACCTCACACGCTCCATGCCTAAAGGGTCATCTCTCTTAGAAAAGCTAGACCGAGGAACTTGTAGACTTTTCTCACTTTACATGTAGTCTAACAAAGTCCCTTTTTTTGCGGATGTCTCAATGATAATCTGAACCAAAGGCAAAACAAAAAAAAAAAAAAAAAAAAAAAAAAAGCATGAACCACATCATATGAAAAGGAAGAACTCTTTTTATTTATGCTCATGACACATGATAGACAAGCTTTCGTTACTCTATGCTTCAATAGCCTTGACTTTGTATCAGATATTCATAACGTCAATGGTCGTGATTGGATGCATTCGCGCATTAATGAAATAAGAAAGGGTGAGAGAAAGGGAAGGAGCTCCAATGAGTTTGTTGCTGATGCAGTTTGTTCTCAGGAGAACAAAAAAACGGCTATTGGAAAAACTAATGTATTCCTTTCGCGCTCTTTTAGCGTAATTGGCGTTTGTATTATTTCATATTACTTGGAATATCCCAGGGAGAATAAGGACATCGTGGATAGTCATTGGTGGAGAGCAATAACCGAAGACATTGTTGAGAGGTACTCAGCAATTGTGAGTATGTAATTATAGAAATATATGATGGGAGGAGGGAGGTAGAGCAACACACTCATGTGGGAAAGAGCTTTTCCAACGTCAGCCCTGTCTCGTGCGCAAAAGAAAAAAAAAAAAAAAAAAAAAAAAAAAAAAAGTTTACTCCATTGCGCTCTATCCAGTTTTGCAAAACCAATCCTTCTTTCCTTTGGCAAGCAAAGGCTCGAGATATCCATACATTAGTCTTTCTAGAGCTCGACATTCCCTTCATTGTAGTTACCGAAAGTCAAAGGAGCTCAGCATAGATAATACACCAAAAAGTTGCTATTCCACAATAAAAAATAAACATGTTCTGCAAGTATAAATATTTATAATAATACACATAATGAAGCCGGACTCTTAAAATACGCAGATATAGGCTGTCATGTGACAATAGATGTGGACATATGTCAGTAGAGAAGCCAGCGTACGCGCAGGCCACCGTTCATTGGCATGTTGACATGTAAACATTGATGGATACGACACACTGATTCAATCGAATATTTATTAGATCTACATTAATATATATTATTCAACAATAGTAAGTGTATTTTTAGTCTCATTTTCGTGTCTACAGTCGCACACTTTGCAGGGACGCGTCAAGGGCTACTTGAAAAAATTATTGCTTTTATTGTTTAGGGTAGGACACCACCAGTCTGTCTGTATCACATACACACACATCTTGCAGCCTCCATCTATTCATCTCACTTTTCTTTTCTATTCTTTTTAAGTTGAAGCATGAGGATTAATTGCTCTCCAATCTTATGTATATATTATATATATTCACATTTGTACCTCCTTTCTATTTTATCAATAAAAAGTATACATCTGAAGGATAACACACGTGCATTTGAATTCGAGCACTGGCCAGCGGGAATTCAAAAGAAAAGAAAAGAAAAGAAAGAGTAAAAAATAGCATTAGCATACTATTGACGTCGTAAAACAAAAAGGCTGAGGCAATGGTAAAAACTGAGATGGTAAAGGCAAAAGTGAAGGCAAAGGCGAAGGTAGATTAAGAGACATCAATAAATAGACTAGCAGATGAAACTTTCCATGATCATTGGACACTCAAAGCAAGGAAAGCAAGGAGTGAGATGTTAACACAAGCAAGAACTCTTTTTTTTTTTTTTTTGTTTGTACTCTTATCAAAGACCGCATAAAGAGTCATTTTTCTCATGTTTGGCCAAGTACAAATCAAGATCCGAGCTTTATCGCTTTACCTTTGATACCTTTCTTTCTCATAAATATCCACTTCAAAATCGAGATCGTTAAAAAAATATAAAGAGGGTATATATCTTCACTTATAATGCCGTGATTTGAAGTAGAAAACATAGTGATTAGATTAAAAAACAGAGCCTTGTCTATCACTAGATCACTAGGCTTCTGTAATAGATAGTCTACTTGGCTCTACATATTCCTTGGAAATCTGGATCACGGTTAAAAAATGGAAAAGACAGGGTGCTCGGAATTCTTTTTCGAAACGAAAATTTGGTGTATTGATGCTCACTTGACAACTGCGGCAGTACTCCTATTTTGAAAAGGACAAGTGGCAGAGCAAGGGAGATCAAAGTCAAGCAAACGGAGCAAAGCTGGAGGAAATGTCTTTGGGAGTACCAATGGATTTGTACCCTTTTCTCTTGTCTACTCACTTTTTCTATCTTTTCAATACACAGAAAACAGAGTTTCAATCAAGCTTCATTCCATTCGAATAAATGTGGTGAGTATATATATCATTCACAAACATCTATTTAATTGTATTTAATTTTATTTTGAGCATTTTTTAAAAATGTCAGAGTTGCTAAATCATCCTTCTTTGCTCGTTATTTGTTGCTTGTTGTTCATATCATGTTTCTATGTGCATGTGTGTCTGTGTATGAATATATGGATATAATGTAATAAAAATATGTTGTGTGTGCATGTGCATCTCTGCTTTTGTGGATGGAGAAGACTGTTCTCTGTCTTTTTTTAAAAAAAAGTTGCGACATTTCCCATTACTCACCAATTGTCCTTGGATCCCTCTCTCTTTGTAAGGGCAAGGTCATTGGCTTTCTTTACTACCGTTTCCTCCTTGTTGCCCAAAATGATTAATTGACTCTCCTTATTGTCCGTTGGAACAGCTTACGCTGACCCCCTTCCTCCTTTTTTTTTTTTTTAAACACCTTGTTATTCATGCCAAAATCACTATGCAATTAATAAAAAAGAAGACCAACTGTCGGCACCAAATCACCGGGCATCTTTTTTTTTTTTTTTTTTAAAAAAAAAAAAAAAAAAAAAAAAAAAAAATCATACATGTATAGATAGATATACTGTACATGTACACCTTCATTCCTGTCGGAGCAAACTGTAATGCAAAAAACGTTGCTCTGTACTGTATAAATATTTTATAATATAGTTTCTAAATAGAATATTCAATACAAACACTGTAGAATGTTTTTTTTTTTTTTTTTTTTTTTTTTTTTAAATGCGGTGCAGTGGTGCAGCGACAGTTGCCCGAAGCCAGGACCATCGCCTTTTTACATTGACATGATTGTATATACTGTCTATTAACATATTTTTACAATTGGATCGAAGCCGTTTGTTTCGACCAGTCAATGCGCCAAGCGCGTGCTTCCAGGCTGGGGACTTGTCTCTTTCCATGTTTTTTTCTTTCTTTTTCTTTCTGCTTTCTGGCTTCCTTACCTTCTCTATCTTCGTTTGCTTTAATCCATTCATCATCACATCATCTCTCCCCTCTTCCTTTCCTCTTCCTTTCCTCTTCCTTTCCTCTTCCTTCCCTCTCTTCCCTTCCCTGCTTCCCTCCCCTACTTCCCTTCCTCTTTTTCCAATCTTTTTTATTCTTTCTTTCTTACCTTCTTTACTTCTTCCTCGTCTGCTTCATCTATCCAACTTCTATTACTTTCAGTCTGTCAGTTGCTTCTCTTGACCTCATTCCTTATAACCTCTGATTCCTCATTCCTTTTTCATTGCGATTACTGTTTGCAACTTCATCGCGTGTCACTTGTGGTTGTCTTTTATTTTGTTTGTTCCTGTTTATTACCACTATTTATTATTCTTATTGCACTGACCACCGCGTGAAAAATAGTTCTTTATTTTACTATTATTATTATTAGTACTATTATTATTATTCCTTTGACGACCCCTCCCTCCTCTCATTTCCCTCTCCTAATTTCCCACAACAATTGATTGTTCTCTGTCTTCATTCGTTCCAGCTCTTTACTTCAACTGCTCTTGTCTTCTCTTTCCTCATTATTCATCTCTTCTCATGAATTAAAAAAAAAGGTTCGTTGGTCGCTCTTTATTTATTTTATTCTATTATTTATTTTATATTTACTGGTAAGGATACAAACACTTTTATATAAACACTCTTTTTCGTATACAAATCCGGATATCGTTTTACAAAGATCAATTTCGATCCGCTTCGCTTCCCGCACAGGTGCTTTTTTTTAAAAGAAAAAAAAAAAAAAAAAAAAAAGCGCAGACAAAGGCTTGGTTATGAATTTAAGCTCGTAACATTAACTATTACAAATATTATAGATGTTATTGAATTAGATTATTTTATCTATTTTATCTATCCATTCATTTATTCATTCATTCACTTCAATACACCAATATCGAATATATTTCCCAAACGTCGACAGCACCGCCAGTGCAAAAAGAAACAGCATCAACCAACAACCTTGGCAGCATTACACCATTAACAATATAAACAGCATTAACAACAATGACAACTTTACACCATTAACAGCATAGTATGCATTACTGAATCGTATCATTTCGTTTCTCCCGTCCAATACACAATTTTCCTGCTCACTTCTCTCTGTCACTTCCTCTCTACAGCATCTTCTTTTATATGCAAAGGATTACATTTCTCAGATAATATAATCGTTTCTTGGCTCCAGTCTCTGTGCCCATACTTTGGCTCTCGTTTCTTGTGCTTACTTGCCTATGATTGCCCATCCAACATTCCTTCTTTGTCCTCCCATCACATCGTATCATATCCATTCCTTGCCTATTTTCCTCCCCCATCTTTTTTTAACTCTCAATCTCTTGCGCTCTCTTCTCTTGGGGTACTTCAATCGATCTTCACCTCAATTTCCTTTCTTGAGAGAACGCACATTCACATTAAGAAGAGGACGACAAATAACAATAGTATATAAAAAATATTTTTCTCTTGTAGTATTCTTTTCTCACCAAACTTTTTTTTTTTTTTTTTTTCCTCAGGTCAACAACACTTCCCTTACCCTTCTCATATACAACAAATCTACATCCGACTTCCAGACGCGTCCTCTCTTGATCTTGCCTTTTTGGCCACCTCTGCCTATCCAATCGCACGCCAAGGTTATTTATTTCGCTTCTCCACAAGATCACGTCGTTTAACTGCCTCTCTCAGGACTCCCACAACGTCTTTTTCGATTTTTTCCCTCTCGTTCTTATTACATTGCCCGAAGCGCTTGATAAAAAAGCCTTATTCCTTTCCTTGGGTGGGTGATATGACAAGAACTGTACTGTAAGTGGTTATCTCATGCCAATGCATATGTTTCGGGCTGATCATTGCTCACTCGCCCTCAAATAATTTCATATCTGCTCAACATCTCCTATCAGTCTGCATTGGTTGCTCTAACTTACGTACCTTTCTCTTCCATTTGCTGCTGAACAATATCAATTGTACACCGAAACAAAGCTTTCGACTAGCCTCGCTTTCATTTTCCCGTTCAATCTAAGAAATTCGGCCACATCCTGCGGGGTCTTTTCCTGACTTCCCAATACGAAGACACAACTCTTTTTTTCTAAAGCGCGCAAAAAAAAAAAAAAAAAAAAAAAAAGTGTTACTCATATTTTTTATCGGATACTCATTCTGATACCCCAGCCCCGTTTGTTATGACCTCGAGCGACATGACCGAGTCTACAGACCCATCAACACCCACTACTATTGTTAATTCGCCAATCAATCCTCAGAAAAAACGCTCTTCCTCTCCAATGTCCCCTCCCCATACAATCCCTTGGACTCCAAGTGATCCTATTCACAGTCCTCACAACCATGAGAAGCCATTCAAGGCAATCCGAAAGTTATCTCTGTCAGAGGACGCTGTCAAGAGGCCCTGGACCAACGCAGAGCAGGAAGCTTTATACATTGCTGTCGAGCGATACAAGCTCTATGGACAGTGGGCCGAAGTGAAGGAGCGTATGCATCTTCACCGTAGCACACTTGAGATTGAGCAGGAATACGCACGCCTCTACGGTGAACTTCCTGAATCAGATGATGAGGCCTGGCCTATCCAGACTTCAAAAAGTGTGTCAGTTTCTCGCACGTCCGTGCCGGAGCAGACTACGCCCGCGCTGACCACAACATCCCCCTCTACCCTTAGTGCTCGATCATCGCAGGAAACATTCAACACACATGTTCACCGTCATGCGCATCATCCAGCACCGGAACCAATACACCGATTTTCACCTCGAAAATCTAGCGTTTCCTCACATCCTGCATTAGATGACTATCAGGACGATGAGAATGACGATGTCGGGATGAATACAGAACAACATTCTCCTTTGTCACGCCCTTCGAGCGCCAAAAGCACAATGGGGCGTAATCGATCCAGCAGCACCGTAACTGCTTCTACTGACATCAAACCCACCCGGACTGTAAGAGTGTGGACACCACAGCAATCAGAACAACTCAAAAATCTCATTGAAGATTGCTTTCCAGGCGGCTATCGCATCAATTGGGTCTGGGTTGCGTCCCAAATGGGTAATACATTCACTCGAAAGCAATGCAAAAACAAATGGGAGATTATGCGACGACGCGCAGGAACTGAAGAAGAAGTGGCATTATTGAAAAAGGGCTACGAAGAATTTGGGCCCTCATGGAACAGAATCCAGGAGAAATACCTTCCGGAGCGGTCTCAGGGCGGTATCTCGATCATGTGGAGCTTATTGCAAGCACGTGAAGCCGAGCAGCAACAGCAGCAACAACAGCAAGCTGTACCTCGTGGAGGAGATGAAACATCAGAGCATGAAATGATAGCACCAACAGCAAGGCCACTAATACACTACAAGAAGCAATCTCGGGCAGCATATGATAATTTGAAATGGGAAACTTCGTCACAAAACAAGGCAGTGGGGCGACCATCTACAAAGAAGAGTAGAGATCAACCATACCCGCCACGAACGACAATATTGCCCAGTAGTGATGGCCCAGAGCTGAACTATCCGATTGAGGAGAGGGACAGACAACAATTCGATCACTATTCAAAAAAAGGGTCAACGTCAAGAGAGGCATCACTCTCACCCGTCTGGACTAGAGAAGGGACGTACATAAACACATCGGCCTATCCCGCAATGCACCAGTATAGAGAGGCTCAGTCTGCGCACAGGTTTTCTGTGTCTTCTACAGAGTCGCTCTCAGCGATGACTGGCCAGCAGGATAGCCATAATAATTTACATCAACAAGTGGAGCAGACCCCGCAGGCTGAGTCTGAGCCTTGGACGGAGAGGAACCGACCAATGACCTGGACCGAACCCTTGACGAGGCGCCTTGAGGACATTATTATCAAGAATTTCCCCAATAATCAAAAAGTCTACTGGTCGCGAGTCTCAGAGTTGATGGGAGTGGATCCAGTTGTCACCAAGGAGCAATGCAAGCGACGTTGGTACCTCATGTCGCAATACGAGCATCTTCGATCTCAGCACGACAAAGTTGGAGCTGTTGCAGTATCAAGCACTATGGATGTGGACATAAAACCCTCCACTAGGTATCTATACTCAAGGCGACACGACAGCCAAGGAAGATCATCGCCATTGAACTCTGGGTCAGTCTATATGAGAGGTGACACATCTATTTCTACCTCTACAACCCAGATATCAGGGAATATGGAACTACAGTGGTCAGATCAGGAAGTTGAGCTGTTAGAAAGAGGGGTAGAGCAATTTGGTAGATCATGGACGGATATTCAGCGGATTTATCTGCCAGAGCGATCTATCAACTCAATCGCCGCTAAATGGGACTATCTTCAGACGCATATTTCGACGACTGAACAACTTGGGTCAAAGCGACCCGTCGAGTATGCCCCGTGGTCAGAGCATGAGGTGGATCTATTAAGACAGGGTGTCGAAAGATTCGGCCGAGCATGGGCAGACATCCAGCGACACTACCTCCCAGAACGGTCCGTGGGATCGATGGCTAGCAAGTGGGATTACTTGTCGCACAAGATGCGGTCGACCTCAGGGGCAAGTCCAGGACGATCTCGGTTATCGCCAGGCATCCAGCGCATGGGCATAATAAGTAACACTGATATTACATCAGGAACGAACTTGTCAGAAAACGAGATGGAAATTACAGAAGATCGGTTAGAAGAGCATGGGTTCTCTCAATAGGTCACCAGCAATGCTTGATCAGATTCCTCCAGAGAATGGATATACTCCGCTTCTTGTCTACTTCTTTTGTTCATATACTCATTTCCCACTATATTTCTAACATCGTTATTCTCGCATTCTTTATTTTTTTTGTTATTGTTACTGTCATTTATCATAGTTGCATGCCACTCTTTGTTTGTTTGTTTTTTTTTTTTTTTTTTTTTTTTTTAGAGCACGTCTTTTTTAATTTCCCAGCTGGCTGGGAATATATTCGCCTGTTTTCTTTCATTTGCCCATATGCCACATGCATATCAGTTCATATCATGCCTTTCTTTACCAATCACTCTTCACGTCAATGTGACTGTATTTTAAATTAAACAACCTCGTGGCTTTTGTTGATGATTCGTGATCAAAATAGTGTAAAAGTTGCGCATGCCATAACCTTGACTTGAACGACTACCAATATTACGCAAGAGCAAGAGCCGAAACAGAACAACCAAACATTAAACAGGGAACATAATTAATATTCGCAGAGGACACTTTATTGCTTATCAACATAATGTATGCATGAATTACTGAAAGAAGAGGCTTTTTTTTTCCTTCATGTCATGCATGAAGGTTAAAAGAATAACAGGATAGAAATTAAGCAAGTTTCTAATTATTATTATTACTTTATCACATTCGATAATATTGCTATGATTCATATAGGGGTCGGTATTGCCAACTTGTCATGGGTCCTGCAGGAAGTGGCAAGGTGAGCTTTTTTTTATTTTTTATTCTAATTTTTTACTTTTTCATCAAGTTAAAGACAGCTCTGGAACATGGAATGGTATACTAATGATCCCAAATTTCATTACTATTGTTGCTGTTGTTAGTCCACATACTGCTCAACCATTATGACACACTGCCAAAACATTCGAAGGCCGGTCCATCTTGTCAACCTTGATCCCGCGGCAGAAAAATTTGAATACGAACCAACAATTGGTACATTGCAATAATAATATAATATGAGATATCATTTCTTACCCACTACACTTCATCTTTTTTTTTTTTTTTTTTTTTTTTTTTTTTTTTCTAGTTTTCTCGCTAACCTACCTTTTTTTTAAAAAAAAAAAAAAAAAAAAAAAAAAAATTACCTAAATCAAATGGTTTTAGACATCCGGGATCTGATTTCCTTGGAAGATGTGATGGAAGAGCTTCAATATGGACCCAATGGAGGGCTAATATACTGTATGGAATTTTTGATGAACAATATTGACTGGCTGGAGGATGAGATTGGATCATATACGGATGACTATCTGATTATTGATTGCCCAGGTCAGATTGAGCTTTACACACATTTCGATATCATGAAACGACTGGTTGAAGCCTTGACGAAACTCAACATTGCAATCTGTGGCGTCTATTTGCTTGAATCGGTAAGAAAGAAAGAAAAACAAAAGAGAGACAGATGAAGGGACCGGAAATTATAGTCGCATTATTACAATGATAACATTAATTAACATATTGACTGTTGACGATCAATATTAGTGTGCTTACCCTTTTTTTTTTTTTTTTTTTCCTTTTTTCCTTTTTCCTTTTTTTCTTTTTCCTTTTTTTCTTTATCTTTATATATATGTGTGTGTATGGGACGCATATGTATCAGCAATTCGTAGAAGACAAGTCCAAGTTTTTTGCAGGAGTGATGAGCGCTATGAGTGCAATGATCAACCTAGAGATTCCTCATATCAATGTCATGAGTAAAATGGATCTCTTGCCTAAGATGAAGCCTTCAGAACTGGAACGGTATGTGAAAAGATGTATGATGAGAAAGATCTGGACCATAGGCAAACATGAGGAGCTGATTTTTTTAAAAAAAATATATATATATACAAATATTCGTAATATGGGTAGGTACTACAACCCAGATCCGTTACTCTTGATGGATGATGTGAACAAAAAGACAAGTCCCAGATACCATCAGCTGAACCAAGCGATTGGTCAATTGGTTGAGGATTTCAACATGGTGGCATTCTTACCTCTAAATATTACGGACGAGGATTCAATCACAGCCATTTTATCGCACGTTGATAATGCTATTCAGTTTGGAGAGGATCAAGAACCCAAGGAGCCAGAAGAGGAAATAGAGCGTGAAACTGATGACTACAATGATGATTTTTAGGGTTCATTACGCTTTTAGTCATGAGCAACTTTCACATGCAGGAAGGTAGGATAGAATATAGCAAACAACTATTATATAATACATATTAGACAAGAACGTGAAAATCGGAAGAATATGGCGCTCTTTCTGATTATAATGTGTATTTTGAAAACTCTTTTTTTTTTTTTTAAAAAAAAAAAAAAAAAAAAAAAAAAAAATCTTAATAAATGAATCATAATAATGATGATAATAATAATAATAAAAGATGAAAAGAGAGACGAGGGGAAAGAAAAACAATAGAGGCAGATAATGAAGTATTATTTCTATTCTATGTTATATATGCTATGCTATGCCTATAGTATTATCCATTAGATTCTCATAGGGATCTCCTCCAACGTGAAGCGCTTATCAATCAACAACTCCTTTTTATGCAGGCGGATGGGCTCACGTTGTCGAGGATCAACAATCGGCTGTTGCTCGTAACCAGACGGGACAATCTCGCCACCAACCCTGACTATACGAGGTGGTTGCACTGATAAGCGATGCAATTCCATTTGGCTTTGTTCCTCATCTGGACCTTGGCTTTGATTCTGGCTTTGACTCTGGCTTTGACTTTGATTTTGACCTTGATGATGGCGTCGCGATCCTCCAAACTTCATAAACACAGCACGCTCACCTTCACCTTCATCATCTGCGTCTGCATCTCCGTCCATGCTCTCCATCTGATTACGACCATCTTTCTTGACTTTGCCATCCTCATGCATGTGCATAGGTTCATCATGGTCACTGTCTTGTCCACTATTACCGCCGTGGATAATATGGATCTTCTCCTCTCCTTCATCATCGTCATCGTCATCGATATCATCATCTCGATGTCCATACAGCTTCATGTATTCAGTTTCAATCTCTTGATCAGTCCTATGGAGATTCATCATCTCACGAATTTTGGACCATTGACCACAAAGACGGAAACGAGTCGCAGCCAGGTACAATGCCTCGCGTTCTGCCTGTGTCCATGATTTGGAATCCACAACTATGATTCCCGGATCGGGTGTGGCAACACGTGAGGGTACCGATCCTTGCTTGCTATGTTGCGAAAAATTCCTCGGTTGATCAGGTAGACCCCATGGGAAAACAAACTCCTTCTGTTGTTGATGCTGTTGTTCAGCCGTGCCTTGGTTCGCCTGTGCTGATGAAGATGGAGCAGGATAGGAAAACACGCATACAAGAGGAGCAACCATTGAAGGGATGAAAGAAGGCAAGGCTGCGTCCAACACTCGGGAGCATGCAGTGGTGTAACTAGTATGCATGGATGCAGAGAGAACCTCAGAGGCACCTGAACTTGAGATGGAGAGCTGCTGCTGCCGTGGCTCTTGTGCATGATGTTCACTTTCTGTATCTGTAGCGTGGGCGCTTCCAGCTAGTGCAATTGAATCAAACTCGTTTGAGAGAGAGTCTGCCTCCATCCTATCTCGCTCTTGCTGTTGTCGTGACCAGATATCTTCGTTACCATCTTGATCATAGCGGCGCTTAAGTGGCTTTTTATCATCATCCAAGAATGCTGGTGTATAAGCTGAGGGAGAGAGGGGTGAGGATGATGAAGAAGAATCTGAAGATGGAGGTGGTGTAGGTAGGATGTTGGCTGTGGGCAAAAGTGTATTGGATAGTGATGATGGGATTTGAGACAAAAAACTATTGGTCAATGCAAATGCATATCTGGAACCAGGGGCTTCCTTGAGTCGACTGAGAACGAGTTCCACCTGACGATGAACCTCAGCCTCAACACTTTTGACACCCTGATGAATATCATACAGAATAGTTTCGCGCGTACGTGCCCGACGATGCTGCAGTCGTTCAGAGAGACGTCGTAGGTTTTCTTTGGCAACTTGAGGTGGTGGTACTGAAGGGAGTGTGTCTCGAATAGATGCAATGTTGGCTAACATTCGTGCACGTTCCTTTTCTCGGATCGTAGACCAGTCAGAGTATTGACTATGACGGAAAGGGGAATGATTGGCAGATGGTGATAGCGTTGATGACGATGAAGAAGAGGAAGAGGAGGAGAGAGGAGAAGAGGAGGTGTAGGACCACGCTCCTGTCATGGTACTGTTGGTGGATGCTGCTGAAGAGGGAGGTCGTGCCTGCAACTGTCGTTGTTGCTGAAGTTGGTGTAGTTGTTGCAACTGTAGATGCCGCTGTTGTTGCTGTTGCTCCCTTTGATATTGCTCGCGTTGACGATGGAACTCCTGGTAAGCAATTTGGAGTTGACTACGCTCGTTTAGCTGCCGTTGACTTTCTTCATGACGTTTTTGTAGTTCTATGCGTAGCTGCTGATGCTTGGGTAAGCTACGATGATGAACTTTACTAAGCATCGCCTCTTTGGCATGTCGATTGGTTAGATAGGATGAAATGTATGAATCATGAAAGTGAACAGAGTGTGTGGTTGGTATTGCTGGATTCCTTGAGGTAGAAGTGGAGAAAGATATGGACGGATGGGGAGGAATAGACGTGGGATTGCTGGAGCCGGGCGAGGATAATGTTGAGGATGTATGTGATGAGATTGTTGTAGAGGTCCTTGTTGTAGAATGACTGTGGGGAGTGGGAATAGCGATGGTCAGGGACGATCGTGGAGGGGAAGCAAAGGTGCGACGTTCTGGTGGCATATCAAACCAATGTGTATGATCTAAAATGTCATTAAGCCATTCAATGTGAGTTAGATAAATAAAATACCAGATCCTGGTCCTGGTTTTGGTCCACAGGATAACAAAATCCTCTCTTTCTTAATACTTCAACATCGCTTCTCTTTTCAGCCCCTCTCTGAATATTCAATTCTACGCACCTGTGGTTTTTTTTTTTTTTTTTTTTTTTTTTTATGAGTGGCTTTAGCTTTAGTCGAATATTTTTAGAAACGTATAGCAGTTAAAGGAGGAAGAATTACAGGGAAAGAGAACGACGAAATGAGAAATGGAATAGAATGAAGAGAAAAGAGGCCTTGAAGGTCAATACAAAATGGATGGAAGAGTGAATGATGAATTAATGAATGAGAATTGAGTTGGAAAAGAGAAAGAAGTAATGAACCGCTTCTCAGCTCAAAGTGTGTAAATGTGCAAATGTGTTTGCTTTGTGCAGAAACAGGTGTCCTTCGGAAAGCACTAAGGTTCAATAAGAGAGCCAAGGATCAAGCCGAACAAAAGCATGCTACTTTCAAGTGATTTGTAGGAATTTAAAGTATTAAAGTACTCGATCAAAAGAAGACAGAAATGGTGGACAAGAGACGGATGAAAACTGTAAGTATGGGGCAGAAGAAAGAAGTTGAAGCTGATCTGATGATGAATGATGTCCTTTATTGATTAGAAGGATATCAGTAGTCGTGGTTTTGACAGACAACAGGCTGCCCAGAATGTCCACCTGCCAAGTACTGAACTACAACTTTGCTGTTGTTGGATGAATGTCTTTATTTTATACAAATATATTATATCTCAGTGATGCTTATAGGACAGGAGGAGATCCATAGGCCGGTTGCACAGGAGAAAATAACCTGGCAACTCACAAAAGAAGAAAAGTAAAAACTAGGAGAAAGAAGGAGAGAACAAAAACACTGCTCAATCAAACGGACCGAGGGGTCAATAGGACTCTTCTAATACTGCTCAAATGTTAAAACCAATAAAGTAGTTTATCACCCTTTTTCGAATTCTTTGTGTAGCCACGGCTGGTGGAAATCGGGGCTCTCTCTCCTCGGGTTCGCCCCGGTTCGCTTCGTGCGGACAATCAGTAAACGGTAAACTGTAAATAAATAAATAAAATAAAATATTATATATAATATATACCTACAATTGAACATCTTTTTATATGCACTAAGTTTCAGTTTCTTTCAGCACTCCATTGTTATGCCGTACTTTTTTAATCGGCTTTGCTATCTCAGTCAGAAAGATAAGGGTGGTGGTTTTTTTTTTTTTTTTTTTTTTACTGCGACACTTTATCGAGCGTTCGGACGCGTTATTTGCGTAGTTTGAAGGTCTTATCGCTCATCGCTTTGTCCAATTCCTAGAAGAAAGTTTGGTCTTCTCCACAATCAGCGATGGGCAGCGCATTGACATCGATCTGTCTTGAATTTAGTACAGGTAATGGAAAATTTCGGACAGCATCCTTGCCATCAAAGACACATTTATTTTTATACTTTTACACTTTTATGCACTAGATTAGAGGTTTTATCAAAGTGTCACTCTGGGCTGTAAATTACAACTACGTAGCATATAGTTCGCTGTCTAGATCTACTCTTCGCTTGCTATGAACACCAACTGATTCGGGTAGGGTCGCAATAGATGAGGAAATAGCCGCTTGGACCATTATTCTGTTCTTTTTCTCCTTGCTCCCATCGACTGTTCCTTATCTATCTTCTCCTTCTCTTCTCTGCCTCTCAGCCGAACTTTTTATCTCTCGGCTGAGCTTTGACCATCCGTTCAGAACACAGTCTGCCCAACTTCTGGTTTAGTTGACAAGCAACTCTATGTGGGTATGTGAATCTGTGAATGAAAGGAAAGGACCGAAGGTCATCATTAACGCTGCTTGCTAAAAGCAACATTCCCTATTGTTAATCTGTTATATCAATGAAAATGGATATTGTTACTTTTTTCTTTTTTCTCAGTACTGAAAGTCTGTACATGTATGTACTAATGGCTCAATGGCAAGCGAGATACTTGTGTAGGCGCAGATGTAGCTCCATTTACTGCTTTTTTTTAATCTTTCAATTGCTGCTCGTGATGGGATACGTGCTGCTACGGTACTTATTTGTGGGTTAAACACGCGACCGACGTCTCCCGCTTCAATCACATCTTAAACAAAGTACAATTGGCAACGGCACCAATATTCTAAAGATAGTCTCCAAGAAGTAACAGGCTCTAACGGAATACTTGTTAACGTCCTATATGGAGTCCCAAGGATGTAAGGTAAGTCATACAAAAAATAGAATAGTTGGCATATAGGTCTGCTGGTCCTTGTTTCCATTATCCTTGAAGTGATTGGATTCTAAAATGACGATGTATTCTGTAGGTATGCAATCTCGTGTACTTGCTCGTTTCTCTCCAGCCTGAGCATCAACACACCTTATTGACCGCCGAATATTAGTATTTTTCGCCCAACTAATTTATAATGTGCTTTTACATTATATCCATTTATTTTTTATAGTTATCAATTGCAGCTCTAACGAATTTAAACAGATATTAAAACATCCTGCTGTGTAGTATTAGGCTATGGTAACGCTGTGGCTCATTGCTCCCGCTCCCTTACTCCTTCGTCGACCCGAATATCAATTAAGCAGCAAAATCTTCTTCCAACTTCTTACTGCCCCTCTACTGTAAGAGGTTCTAATGTTAGGGGACTATTTTCACCACCAATCCTCTATAAAGCAAAGATCTGTATCCTGTTTTACCTATCCGTGGGCGATAGTGTCTGGTAGGGGTGAGAAGCGCTTCTTTTACATTCTTTAGAGGCTTTGACTGTTGGTGCCGAATAGAATTTCAAGGATATTCGTCTGTTAGTGCGACCAGTTACTAGAGATGGATAATGGTATCACGCCGCTCAAGTGCCCCCTTCAAAAAGTCCACTTCGGCGCTCCTATAGCATATAGCTGACTGCTATTGCTTGCCTAGAGCTGCATGTGTTAGGTAAAATATTTGAAGAGTTCAGCTAGACAAGTTAATAAGCATAGAGAGAAATGAGAATAAGATGTGGGTCCACATACCGCGTCCATAAAGTATTTATTCATGTTTCTCCATGTTCAACTGCCTGTGGGCTCCATATTGACCCCTCATGTATTTCATATGTGGCAAAGAACCTGTATGCTCACACTCATATCGTCCTCTAACCCTTATTTTGGGTGAAGGCATGTGTTATGGTGCGTGTGATCGACCAATAATGGTCAGGAGATAGATAAGTTCCTAAAGAAAGACGCGTTTATTCTAGTATAAATTCCTAGATGAGACACGTGTCTTCAATCAATAGTGATAACAACCATGTGAATTGTTAAAAAAGGATGAATGCACGAGCCCCGAAAGGAGTCAATTTGAGATTGTAGTACAAATAGTTTTCTTGTTGTGCTGTAAAAAAGCATGAGACTCGTAACCCTGGGACGGAGACGGAGAAGTTTAAACGAATAAAACTCCTTATGTAGGTTTCTTCACGTCTCGCGTTCGGCTCCTCACGCTTTGGTCCTTCAATCCAGAAAATCCAGCATTTTGTTGGCGCAAGAAGCCGCGGGTAGCCATTAGGTTAATACAGAGAGAGTAAAGAAATGGCCATATTTAAAAAAAAAAAAAAAAAAAAAAAAGTAGTGATTTCTATGAGTTGATTATATGGTGTGTTATACACTTGTGAGCAGGTAAAGCTTTGTTTGGAAAGCAATCATAGCATTGTTATTATTTTGCAGCGGTCTACTGTGGTAACTGAATCGATTCTTACTTGTGAAATGTTTTATGGTCTGTATAAAGCCAAGCAAAAGCTTTATTGCTAGGCGGACGCTTTATGTTAAGTCCCACCGTAGCCGTCACTAAATATCTGACCTTGTGAATGGGAGTACACTTCAGGGGCATTTCCATTTCCAAATCTCAAGGCGCAACAGTCTGTAAATCAATAGATTAAAAGAATAAGCTATTCTTGATAGTGCTTTGTTTAATTTCTTTGGAACCAATCACTCAGTTGTCCGAGTTTCGGATACATTCCGTGACAAGGTGACCTCGCGAGCTGGGGATACAGATTTTATTTGAGCAGTTACGGTCTGGTATTTATCATCTCTATTGTCATATTCTCCACCATCGCCATCAGCAAAGAGATAACCACTTCACTATCATCATTGGTTCTGTACACACGGCCACCCGCCAACTTTACAAACTGATGATAGGTCTCGCGCGCACCACCTTGAGATGGACCTGTGGAGTCCTGGTAGCTGTTGAAGGGGCGACCTTCTCCTTCGAGTTTGTAAACTGAAGAGGATCCAAAAGGGTTCAATTGCTATCTGCTTGATCGCCTTGAGCTTCTGAACTGCTGTATCCAGATTCTACTCAATATTACCTCCTATCTTGCTGGCGCCTTGCTGGATCAGCAGCATATAAATGAAGTAGGCATTGCGTGTAATGAGCTCTCGTTACAACTAGTTGATCTCGACTAGTATATGTGTATCGCTACGTTGCATTACAAGAAATAGGTGTGAGTCTCTGCGCCACACTATATCGTTGAACAAAGCCCATTGTTGTACTATGTATCTCTACCAGAACCTTGAGTTGTGATAGCACTTCTTGGGCTGGTAAATATTGCTCAGAAGAGACTTGCTGGATTTACTTCGGTGGATGAAGCATAACCGTCAGTCCTTCTAGCTTTCCCAGATGTTGCCGTTGTATGTTTGTTCATGGTCTCTGCGCAATGGCCCCAAAGGTTATCTATGGTGGTCTCTCCTCTTTTTTATTTTATTTTATTTTATTTTATTTTTTTTTGATAACAAGAACCCCAGGGTCATAGGATTTAATTTCTACACTCTATGAACAAAATGCTCCAGAAACTATAGTCAATAAACAGTTATTACTGCACAAGCGGCGAGAGCCGTTCCATCCATGATTTCATAAACCGACCGCCGTGGTTGCTACTCAAAGTCCACCTTTCCGACGTGGCCTGTTGCGCAACGCGACAAACTATCCGCTATCCATAGTCATCAAAAACTTCATTCCACCTAGCCGCTCCATCACGTCCAGTTTAGTTTTCCCAAGATAGCTGTCCCGGACCCGGTCATCCGCAATCTTGTAGATCTCTTTCACATTCAGTTTCTGTCTTTGTCTGAGGGAAGGGACAAGGAAATCATTGCTACTACGTCTGTGCTCCCCAACACAGTTGCGTCCTCTGGCGCGTTTGCTCATAACAGTACGACCGAATTCTTCATAGCCTTGACGTAGAGCCCTGTCATGTATGTAGCTATCTTGTTTTGAAACCAACTTTCCGCCTCTGAGCACTTGGGCGTAAGTCCATGGTAAATGTCCTGCACAGACCAATCTGGTGTGTGCTCTATCTCTTCCTCATGCTCATCATCGCCGTTCCTATCACCACGGCGTCTTTTTTTTTTTTTTTTTTTTGATAACAAGGACCCTCAGCCCTCGGTAACATGATCATGATGGAAATAAGCTAAATAATACAAGGAAATAAAGGAGGTCTAATTAGAAATTTATAGTCCTTAGATCGTCAGGTATTAACGAATTCCTAGTTGGTCCAGTGGTCAGGATTTGTCGCTCTCACCGACAAGGCCCGGGTTCGATCCCCGGACTGGGAATACTTTATTTTATTTTGTAAAAATGTTGTGACTGCTCCGTAGATTGATAAGTTTCCGTAGTTGACGCTCCTCGCAATGTGATTCGCCAAGAGGATGGAGATAGATGATGATACCATCGCGTTGCCAGAAGACGCAATATGGCGATTGATGCTATTTGTGGCGCTAGCAACAATGCAGTTGCAAAAAAAACTTGAGACAACAGTATTTGTCAGAAGTAGACTGCGAGCCAATCGATCTATCGATAATGGATGGTTCGTGTCCTCTTTGTGTTGAACGTACCCTGCCCCTTCCTAATGGGATATCTTCACAAAAATGAAGCTGCGTACTCATGTTGGTCAAGTCAAGTCAAGTCATGACAGTCGATTAGAAATCGCCAACGTACCATCTGCGCATTTGAACTTTCGAGAATGATTTGTCATAGGCCTTTCTTGTTTTTATTAATGATAATATTGACATGTTTACGTTTAGTCTGGTAACCGCCTTATATTATTCACGCCCCATGTTTGGTCCGTTATCACCGAAGCAGAAGATCGAGCCATTTTGAAGTTGGTTTTTTATCATTTGAAAACAAAAAAGAGCTGTCATGTCCGTTATTTAACCCTCGCCGGAGAACTAGAAATATTCTTCTTCCTTTTCTTTTACTTCATTCCACTCTCACTTCCTTTTGTCTCTCTTCTTAAATAGCTTCCCTCTTCCCCCTCTTTTTCATACACTGTACTCTCACCTCAATTCACTCTAGTGCTTGCCAATCCACTCCTCATACAAACATATCAACCTCTACATCCTTCATATTTTATATATTAAACCTGTTTTATCATATCATCATGCCAGAGTCAACATCCACCACACAATCTTCTCCTTCTCCTACCGCCATCTTTACCCCTGCTCATCTCAAGTTCATCAATGCAAAACTTGAGAAGCTCTCTGCAGAAAAGATCATCGAATGGGCTATGCTCACGCTCCCAGGACTTATCCAGACCACGGCTTTCGGTCCCACTGGTCTTGTCATCTTGGACATGATCAATCGTATCCACATTGATCAACAAGCCGCTGCAAATGCTCATCCAACCCCTGCCTCTTCATCCGCTTCTGAAGACGATGAGGATCTTGACGATAGCCAAACTAAGTTCAAGAAATCCGGCTACAACACTCGTCGCCATCCTGTTCCCTTGGTCTTCATTGACACTTTGTATCATTTCCAAGAGACCTTGGACTTGGCTCAACGAGTCCAGGATCATTACAACATCCCTTTGAAGGTCTACAAGCCTCAAAATTGTGAGACCACTGAAGATTTTGAACGCCTTTATGGTAAGCAGCTCTGGGAGACGGATGAGGTTTCTTATGACTACTTAGTAAAGGTCGAGCCTGGTCGAAGATCCTACCAAGAGTTGGGTGCTCAAGCCGTCATCTCTGGCCGTCGTCGTTCTCAAAAGGGTGATCGTTCTCATTTGAACATCCTTGAGGTTGAGGCGGGTACAGGTTTGCTTAAGCTAAATCCTTTGGCCACCTGGTCCTTTCAGCAGGTTTGGACCTATCTCCGTGCTCACCAGGTCCCTTTCAATGTCCTCTTGGATCAAGGTTACCGCTCGATCGGTGATTGGCATTCAACGAAGCCTGCCTCCAATCCCGATGACGAACGCTCGGGCCGCTGGGAGGGCAAGCAAAAGTCCGAGTGTGGTCTCCATGTTGATTACTTCAAGATGAGGGCCGAATTCCAGGCCACACAGAAGAAGAAGCAGGCTCTTTTGGCTGCTCAACAACAGGCAGTACTTGAAGCCCAACAACAGCAGGTTGTTCAAGTTGCATGAAAAAAAGAAACGTCCCAGTATTGGTGTAAAGAATAAGGAGGGCACATTCACATACCATACACAAAGACACAATAATCTTTGGAAATCACCTCATTTTCGTGTGAAATTATTTAGCTCCACTTTTTCTTATCCGATTGCACATATTCATACACATAACGTGCACATATGCATGCGCGTGTAGCAAACACAAGAGCGTTCTTTTTTTTTTTTTTTTTTTTTCTTTCTATAATGTATTTGTAGTCCTTTCACCCCAACTTTGTTTTCCTCCTTTACTTTGACCAAATGGAAAAACTCCCCTCTCTTCTTCTTACCCATTGTAAATATATTTTGCATTTAATCATTTTAATAATAAAAAAAAAGTTGAAGACAGGTTCTTGAGTATGGAGTAGTGTTCATACCTGGACCCTTATGGGATCATTATAGTCACTTGTCCTTAGCTCCATTTGATTAGATGGTAAATCTAGTTGCGGAGCAATTATCTTTTCAAAATCGCATGTCGCTATGAGTTTGGTTAAAATTGTAAGTCTTAATTTGACGACGTCCCATTTTATTGTTGATCATGCATGTTTTTTTCCGTAACTCCGCTAGCATAGAAACATAAGACCCAAAACAACAGACCCTATACCTAGTTAGACTAGTATTTCTCAGCGTGGTGAATAGTTAAGCCCCCTTAGAGTCCGGAGGATGATGGGAACTCTATGTGAAAACGAAGGAAAAATGCTTGTTTTCTTCAGTCTAATGGATGGAATACGCGCGGCAGTTTCCCAACACGAAGTTCAGAATCGTTGTACGATTGTTCCACCGTATTGAGTATCCTAGTTAATTTGTTATCATGATGCTCTGATGCGAATGTAGTCGAAGCAATTGATGCCATCGTATCAGATGGTTTGGTAGACGTAGGTAGAATTGCCTTCGACATTTTCTCCAGATATCCTGAGGTTTTGTCCTTCAAGGGCTGCTCCGAATCCGATGTATCCAACGCACTCCCTTTCGGCCCTTCAGGCACAGTGGTTGGTATTGAAGCGTTTGTAGCCTCCTTCTTTGCCTCTTGCTCTTGCTCAATCACAGTCTTGGACCATTTATCTGTAAAGAAAGTAAAGGACAGAAAATTAGAACTGGAATAATAGCGAGTAAAGAGACTCTAGTTTGCGCAATAAGCAGAAAGACGGCCATGTTTTGCCCTGCTCAATTCGTCAAAAAAAAATAAAATAAAAAAAAGAGGCACCACGTTACCTGGGATAGCCAAAAAATATCGCTCCATTGCTTCTCTGAAGCGAGTCTTGTATTGTTGTGGAGGTAACACCGTAACACTATCTTTGGCTCCTCGTAATGTGGTCTTACCCTTGGACTCAATCTTCTTGTACCAGGTATATGCTCCAATAAAATCTATGCAAGTGAGTTAAAAAGAAGAAAAAGGCCACGTCATTTTTCGATTTCTCAAATGAACTTTTATGAGATATCTACTTTAGTTGCAATAACAATAAAGAGATAGAAAGCTTACCGACGATCCCAACAACCAATTCTTTCCGCTCATCATCTACTCCCACGAGAAGCGAATAATCCATAATATTGGCTCCAGCCAAGAATTCAGTGTCATTTAAAAGAGATTCTCGGATAATCTTCTTTGAGTGCGAGTAGAGCAATAGTAAGGTCTTGTATCTGCCCTCAATAAAATCACCATCCCAGAGCGTAGTCGAAGCATTATTTCCTGCATTTATCTTTGACCCTGCATGTCGGTCCTGTATCCCCTTCAGATCAAAAGTCTTGCATAAAGATAAAATAAAAAATAAAACAAAAAATTAGTGCTTTCGTTAAGCTCAAAGTATTTGAGTATTTTTTGTCATATTAAAGGTGATAATCATACCCTGGTGATTTTTTGGTTATAGAACAAATGCTCCATGACCAAGACATCAATCCTGAGAACTTGTCCTGAGTCGCGGCTCTTGATCTTCAGAGTATAGAACCCAAAAATCTTTGCCAGGACTGTAGGTGCATCATGCGGCTTTTCCATATACTCAAAATATTTTGGAGCAAATTTCAGCAGCTCATCTTTTTCTGCAATGTTCCAACTAGAGACCATTTGCTTAATCACAAATCGGTCGTCTAAGAGCCCCAAGTTACATATTACAGTGTAGAAGAAAAAGTTCAAGTCATTAGCAGGTGCCTCTTAGACTGGGGCGTGTTTTTTTTTTCTGTGAAGTATTCAGTGTATAGACCGGCTTACAGCAGAACTACAGCTTGCGAGTGCGAACGCATACCTTTTGTTTTGTAAAAACTACTTTTACTCTTGCCTCCGTTCGCACTCCAACTAGTGCATCTTGAGAGCGATTGAACATATGTTTGATGAATGCCACAGCGACGACGAAGTGTATCAAATTCAGCTGCATAATAAACAATGCATGAAAAAGACATTTTTCCGTGAGAGAACCCTACACGTATTATCAGATAGAATCATATCAGGTAAACTGTAATCTTCACTTCATGTTAACAAAATTTTAAACCTCAAATGTTGAAGCTCAATACTTACGGGCCTTGAGATGTGGACTTTTGGTTGTCGATTCCAGCTCCCGCTCGATAGCCAACGTCTCTTTTATAGTCTTTTCGGTAGGGTCTGTTTTGAGCGTGTCCCTCTCATTCTTTTCATCAGAGCCATTGTAGCCAGCAAACCCACTACCAAGCTTATCTGAAAGGGAATTAAGACTGAGCCCCTTCATGGTTCCACTCAGTCCTGATGTCAAAGTGCGGTAGCCGAGTGAACCCTTGAACTTGGAGCCTGGATTTGGCGTGGTGGGCTGGCTTTCAGAAGGTGAACCAAAAAACGAACTTGCAGTTGGTTTTTCTCCAGGGCTTGCCAATAACGAGCTCACAAGAGCTGGCGTCGAGCTCGGAAGCGCCATCATACTAAAAGGCCTGATTATAGTGGAGGTAGAGTCACCTTTTTTGTTATCTGCTAACCCTGCACCTAGCACTGATGTTGACGTTTTGTTGTGCCGACTACTACCAAAGTGCAGTCCAATCGTACTGCGTGGAGACATAGTGCCGCTTGGTATCAGGCTAGTGAAATCAACTTTAGGGACATGTAGGAATCTGACGCTGGTTTCATATCCGTCCACGACCAAGAATGAGTCTTCTTCACACTCATCGTCTTCATCATTCTCTTCGCCTTGGCTGTGAAGTATCTCCTTATTAATTGAGCCATTGGTGACGGAATTGCCAGTCGTGCTGGCTTCGCTCCCGTTACTACCCGTCTTTCTCCCAACAAGAGTCACACTTCCATCAGATCTCGAGGTTTTTAGTGGAGTACGCATAGGGATAGTCAGAGTACGAAAATGGTAATCTTTCTGGGGCGGCTGAGGCGCTTTCTCGTCTTCAGTATCAGCTGGGTTACATTCATGATTGATTATTGACGAAACCAGAGTCAGATAATCAGAAGAGCTGTAGTTATGATGGTGAATTGAAGGAAGAATGAAAGAACGAAAGAAAGAAAGAAGGGAATAGTTAGATATATATATACATTAAGACATATATAGAAGGCTTAGAGTAGATGCTGCCTAATCATTGACGTCTATTTATTATCTACCTTAGAGTACATCCAATGATAGAGCTTATCTCATCTTCCCGTACGATCACCGAAGAGCCTGGGAATGTGTGAAGAGTAGATTGTCTGCATCAAGGTGTTAGCCAAGCCTCAGTTATAATATAATTCTTGAGAGCATGTGTATTTAGTTTACGCTTGTATCCTTACATGTAATATTCTGGTAGTACCCAGTTAACCGACTCTTTTTCGAGGTTGGCTAATGATTCTGGATGGTGCTCTTTCTGCCATGCTTCCATTGATCGCATAGTTCTTTTGATACAATCCTTAAATCGATTACGAGTATCATTCAGCTGCGGGATGGAGATGTATTTTAGCTGGTTGTAAAGGTCAAATTCATCCTGCTTCCATTGGTCGCCAAACTCATCTAACGTTTTTAAGGCTACTTTCTTAACTGGATCGATCACTCCTGACGCGGCTGAATCCATTTTCTGAGCCGTATTTTTAGGACGCTTTGAGATTGATTTTGTCTCACCTAAGTGCTGCTCCATCATTACAATGATCTTCTTACAGGATTCATAAAAACGCAGGATCTCTAGCCGAGTCTGGTCTAATAGATTGGCTTGTTCTTTCTCTGTAAAATAGTCAATGCTGGTAAGAGACGTAGAAACAGTAGGAACAGTATTTATTCGCGGGGGGTGTCCCATCGAGAACGATGACGTAATTGAGTAGCCTCGCCTATCATCATCCATGTCGCCTGGTTCATAGCGAGGCATCGGTGGAAAATCTTCATGGACTTGTAGCCTCGATATGCGCATCTCAAACAAATCAATACTCTCGTGCTCAAAATTCACCACAAGTTGTCGATATAAGAAGCAACGCACGGTGGCATCCTTATTCACAATGTGTTCACAAAGGGGCCGAGGCCCTGGTTCAAAATGCCGAGCATAAAATAATAACTCTAGGTATTTCCCAAAAGAGTAAAGTCGTGAGGCACGTGAGAGCGCATTGGGTTTCGTCCTTGATTTACATATCTTGCATCGAGTCCAGACTGCCATTGTATTGTTGTCAGATAAAAATGGCTCGAAATCCCATGAATCGAAATCTGTAGCCTGCGTAGGCTCCTCTGCCTTGAAGTCTGTAGTTGATATAAGCTCCTTTGCTTTGGAACCTGTAGCTGGGCTGACATCCTTTAAGTCTGAATCCCTAGCTGAATCTACCGATAACTGTTCTACTGTAATGTTGACCCTAGCTTCGCCGTGAGTGTACGAAGAGATATGCTCAAGTCGTTTATGGCCACATGTTTTGTCGAGGCAGTTCGAATTGACTCGCTTGCAGATGTGTTCAATCATCTCACCCAGGCTCATATCTTCATATTCTCCTTCTTTGCGATAATATTCAACTGTAATCATATTTGGAGGATTACATGGTGCTGCGGCGGTTGCAGACCAGTAATAAGAGTATGAAAACGAAATTGATTGATGGTTGAAGATCCCTTGTAGTGAGTTAAGGTTGGTCATCAGATGTTCCAGCCCAGCCCGAGAGTCGATTGGGAGCCTAGTTCTCTTTGCGGAATCGCCTTTCTTCATGGAATGACGCATGATGGTCCCAGAGCGTGCATTAGATCGATTCATACGGTTACCGAAGCCAATTTTTTTCGCCACAAACTCCACATCCTCCCATGTATATGATTTTGTTTTGGAATTTGAGCCGACAGCTTCCTCGTCCCGTAGCCGGAGCAGAAGATGAGGCGGCGGAAATGATATGTCTGGCGAGACAGAAATGATTGCCTTTTCTAATTGTTGAATTATCTTTGCAAATTGGTAGCTTTGGAAATTCTGTATATCTTCTGTCATACCAAAATCTTCTGCGAGGCTGGTATCAGTACTGGTTTGGTCTAATCGACGTTGTTTAGGCTTCACATCTACGTCTAGGGCCAATTGTGTCGTCCCTCTCTTATATTTCGCTGGCAGTGTGCCCCGGGATAACCATCCAAAGAAGCCAGATCCCTTCGATGATCGTTTCAAAGAGCTGAAAGTGTTTTGCTGCGAAGAAAGTGAGGCTTTGCCAAACTTGGTATCTGTGTCGATGTTCAGGCTATGTTCCGGTCTCACAACGTCGTGATCACGCATCAAATAGGCCTCCAGCTGTAAAGAGCAAAGAGCAAAGACTAAAAGTTCTAAGATCCTTTCTACCTTTGACAAATCATCAGCGCTCGCTGAAAGTGTGATGGTGCCTCCTAGAGCAATTCGAGGCTGTCCTTCCATTGGCGCTATGTACCAAATGTTGGGATAAATAAGCCGATGGGGATTAATTGTATGAAAAATTCGTGCACAAATTATGGGGCAATTTATATTAACATACGTCTTCTTCGCTCTATGATCGACCGCTCCTCAAGCAAGATGGATTCTCCCTCGAACTTGCCAGGCGTAAAGATGCATTCCTGCGTGGTACTAATGTGTTTCTTGAGACAAATACTGTAAGAGAAGGTAGGCTTAGTACCGCCACTCTCTTTTTCATTTTCTTTGCCGTTTCCCTTTGACATATTCTTTTCTTTCTCATCATCCTTGTCTTTCACTGCCTTTTTATTGTTAGTATCTGTTGTTCTAGCGCGCTCCAATCTATTGTTTTCACATTGACTCCTATGAGCTGCTGCATGCGCTGCTTCAATCCGCACCCATGCATCCGATGCATTAGCAGCAATTTTTTGCATCACGTCCATAAAGAGCCGCAACCACAGTATCTCTGGCTCAAGACATGAGCTTGCAATGGATTGGCGAGCAATCGCGCGTAAGTGCTGAAAGGATCGTTGATCAAGAGAAACTACGTTGGGAGTATCTAGAGACTGAGTGATATTTCCTAATGGTGTCGCAGTGGGCGATGCAGATGTCGTTATGGGTGTTGCCGAAGTAGAATCCGGTGGAAGTTCAATAGGCGGTGTTGGTGTAGATGCTCTTGAAGGATCATTTGATTCAGTGGTTGCCACTTTGGAAGTTGAAAGTCCGGCAGAGAACATAAGTGAGGACAGGATGCTGGTGAAGGTGTCAACTGGGTGTGCTCGTGGCTCCTTTGTCGTTTTTAGCTGTGCCTGGATCTGCGGTTCTTGGGAAGACGTCGCCGGGTCAGCTGCGTCATTGACAGTAGGAGTAGGCATTGCTTCAGACTTGCGTTTGTGGTGGTGAGTCGTAGGCGAGAAAAGATGAGATCGCCGCTCTTTCTCTGTTATATTTGCTGGAATGGGAGGTAATGGCTTCAACGACATTATACAGTGAGAATTGCTTTTTAAGAGGAGTGATGGCGTTACTCGTTCCTTTGTAAGAAAGAGTTAAGTGAGTAATGCAACAAAGAATCGTTATTGTTATTCAGCACTTTAATGGCACTCGTTCTTGTTTATCGCTATCACTGTCGTTTATTGTTATCGGTATCACTGCCGCTATTGTTGTGGTTAGTTATAGTTGTAGCTGTGGTGTTTTAGTGATATAAAGAAATAAAGAAATAAAGAAATGAAAGAAAGCATTGGAAGGTACCAAAGTCCAAACAATTTGGTATTGCGAATGGCGAATGTGATGTACTCAAATGCGTTGAGTTTTAGTACCTGCTCCAAAAACATGACAAATGACCCCATGACACGACCCTGGAGAATCATGTCCATCCCTGTGCTCATTTCAATAGAATAGGGGAGCATGTCGCTGATATTTTGTTGTGTATCATGATGAATGACAACATGTTTGGTGTGTGTGCCTACACACCTTTGAGAAATTTTATTGCACTTTTTACCCCAATAAGGTTTTCAACGACACAATGTAGATCATTTCCTGTACGCAGCACTTTCTGTCTACACCACATTGTCAGTGTTCACTACAATGTCATTCTTTTGAATGTCTTTTTCATGGACGCTTTGTGAAAAACAATCTTGAACGATATAAGAAATGGCAATGTCTAAAAGAAAGGCAATAAAGTAAAATGCGAAAAGTAAGAGCCAATATTCATTTTTCGAGGCGATATTGCGTCAGTCTTTTTTTTGTAGAGTAAGCGTAAGACAGTTCTGTAGTCTAGTCCACTTTTTGATATGTTCCGAAGCATATGAATAATAGGAGAGAGAATCGACCTAAGACCACTGGAATCTGCGCGCGACACAAAACATTCTCCTAGGTTTTTGTTTTGTAATAGAGCTTGACAGAAATGACTGTAAGGAAGCTCTTAGAGACTGAGAAAACCCTTGCTATGACTGCTGTCCCTGCAAACCACATCGCTTTCCAAAGATTTATTGTACATGTATATATTTTATACGACCAAAATAACATTAGTATTTCTTTATCTCTGTTATAAGGTATTCTTTACAGTTTTTTTTTTTTTTTTTTTTTTTTAATAATAATAAACAGCCTAATGTTATTAAGCGCACCATGAGCATGAATCCTTTAGTGGGATAAGGATCAGAAACATGCTCACGAGGGCATGAGTTGAATTTCTTTCCATGAAGTCAACAAGGCATTAACAAATATCAGGATGTGGCATCTTTCACAGCACTCTTGAAAGAGAAAAACGGAAAGCGGAAGCTCTAGGAGCTGATAGATCGCATAATTCTGACGCCTTCTGTAGGAACATGATGAAGCTGTTTCAAGGAAATCAGTGATATTCGTAACCAATGGCTGTGCAGCATTGAGCAAGGCAAAGATATCAAATATTAGTAAAAACTTCTCACTTTGACCCTACTCGCGATGTTTGTTGTACACCACCTCTAGTCTTCATTTCTTCCCGATTCGTTGCTTGTGAGACACAACGTCCAGTACTCCTTGACTCACCTCATCTGGGGTCCTTGTCACGGCCTTTCCTAATACCTGTCCAATGGCACAGCTCATTCCATCTGGAAGCTGCATGAGCGCATTTATTAGTTGGCATATTTCTTAGTACTCAAGATGCCCAAAGGATCAAAGGATTGCAGTTTGTTGCCAGTGGCGTAGGATGCCACACAATCATCCAGCCTACGACCTCGGTAACATCCTTTTCGAAGCTTCTCTTACCACTGACAAACCGTACATTAGGACAGACCAAAACGTGTTCAATAGGCCGATTCCTTACACATTCCAGGCCGCAAACCGCCGTTCAAGCATATATGCCTTACCATAGGGGATCTACAATGACTTTCAGACTAGTACCATTGTTGATCCTAGCAAAACAGCACTTGGAAACATTAATTTTCTGTATTTCCAGAAAAATTTGTGACACTTGCACACCCATTTTTGCGAACTATATTCTGTAGATCTGCTGTCACAGTTTGCCTTTCCCTATGCGGAAGTCGCGTTATGCTTGCAAAGGAGTCCAATCGCCTCCATACGCCCATCATCTCGTAATTATTCTGTCTAGACAATTCAGCGTCTGCTTCCTCTCGCTCTATTCTTTTTCTTTCCTTCTCTTCAGCTCTCTCTACCTCTAGTTGTCGTAGCAAAGATGGTGAGAGGAAGCCTTCGCGAGGCTGTCCAAGATGATCATTGATATCAATCGTGTTTTGGACCTGCTCCTGTTGGGTACGTGGTGCAGTATTGTATTTGACACTGAATCCGTCGCGGACCCTCTCCGCAAGGTACATGTGCTTGCAAGGAATCCTTTGCTTTTCATGATCGAAGCTGTCAATGTTGCTGAAAACGCTGCACCAAAAAACATCCAAACTAGCTTTTTAGGCGCGCCTGTCGTGCGCATCTACACTCGTGAGCCTCCCAGTGGCAAAGGAATGGGTCTTTTCCATTTTAAAAGATTTATAGATAGAACCAAGGGCTTCTTGCCAAGCATTGCAAGCCGCGATAAAATCAAGGAAAGGCAGACATACCCTGGATCAATAGTATTATGGTCTATTGCTTCGCAACTGGCTACCGAATTGAAGAGCCACAATGTGAAGGGCTCACAAACACATTGCGAAAAGGTACAGTTCTTTCTCACACTGGTAGATATTAATACATCTAAGAAATAAATATCTTTGATATCGTAGATCCAATCCCTAAAGGATAAAGGTGCTTTAGCTGCTGACACGCCAAGTATCATTGACTACAAAATCCCGGTGATTGGAAAATTCATCCGTATGAGGAAAACTCTGGGGAATTCACGAAGGCTAGCTCCACTATCATCATTTGAGGGCTCCTTCATATGCTTGTCCGGCTTATCCTTATCCTCTGGGAAAGCGGGCACGCAAAGCTGAGCTCCAGAAATATGCCAGAGGTGGGTTTCCCAACACTGAGTCTGCCTCTCACTCAGAGTGACCTCGTGAGCTGGCTGTCTAAAAAAGAGCCTGGGTTCCTTATCAGCAAGCTAATTACCGACATTGGAGGCTTTAACGCAGAGCAGTGCTGAAGGCTTAACGAATTCAAAGCCAAGACTTACACAATGTCTCTATCAGAAATGAGAGACCATTTCCGAGGCATTTAGGGCGATAGCTTTGAGCCACATACATACACGAAGAATGGCTATGTCTTGCGAGGATCGATTCGAACCGATGGCTTCCTTCTTCAATTGCTGGCATTTAAGATGAACGAGCTGAATGCGGCGAAGTCCCGACGATTGCCTGAGAACAAATTACCTCCTCGAACCACCTCTGTGGTTGGTGGTACAGATTATTATTTGACCGAAATCAGGGACACAGTCAAGGCCAGTAATGATGTTAATGATGTTCACCGCTTTTGGGATGCCAACCAGAAAACATCAAGGGTTTGGGCCTTAACCTCGGGCAAGCGTATGTGGTTGGTGCCAGTGCTTTGTTACCAAATCATGGGAGCTCCAATGGCACAGCTATACAGCGCAAGTTCTATAATCTGGCTGTCGAGCGAAAGGCGGTGTATCAACCCATATTTAAGCATCGAAACTGGATGGAAAGGAGGAAAGCAGCGGTGATTGATGGTTCTACAAAACCCATCAGCGATATTGAGAGCAGTCTACTGCCTCTCCGTGGCAATGGAGCAAGCATCAAAGAGCACATCATCAAGCTTACAGAAGTGGAAATGCAGCTCAATTCCTTCTATAAGAAAAGAGCCATCAAAGGGCGTCGAACGCGAAGAGGGCGCGAGATGAAGAATATGTTCAAGTCGCCAATCGTTTGCTCAAGATGGCGGGTGGTTCAGTTGAGGCGAAAAGAAAAGATACCGATAAGGTTGTGATTGCTGTGAATCTGGGAAAGTTTTATTCCAATGCCAGACTCCCTTCCTTATGTGAGTCGTTCCAATCTTCATTCAAATAGTAAGTTTTTTTTTTTACTCGATAGTAATATATCTACACTTCCTCTAGGCCAGGTCACTTGAATACACTTTTGCCAGTATGAATGAATATTATACTTCTAAGAAGTGCTCGAGTTGCGAAGCATCTGTAGGGCGAGTTGACATCCGCCGACTCTATTGTTCCAAGTGCAAGACATTTATGCATAGAGATGTGATGGCTAGTCATAACATAGCCAACGTCGTCCGCGGTCATCTAATACACCAACAGCAGCCCCTCTACTTTCAGCCGATAGGTGAGGATGAAGCATATCCATGGACGAAAGACAATTGCTCAGCGCGCGCCAAACGTCAGGCACCATTCGAGGCTGAGGAAACTGCAAGTAGCAAATCAGCAATCTTTCACGGTCACATCAATGACGTATTTTGAGACGATTTTGTACTGTACTCAGTCGAATGTGGTTTATGGTGACCTATTACATCTAATTGATGCTCATTGCGAAGACAACTCAAGACATAGAAGCAAAGAGGATACAAAGGAAGCATCAAGATATATTAAAGACGAGACGAATCGCAAAACAAAAGAAATCAGGGACATCACGGATCCATTGACAGATCGAAGTACAGCTCAATCTGCACATCGATTGTCCAGAGGGTCATGGCTATGGCAGCACAGGACCTGCAGTTCGCGCTTTATGCACATTTAAATGAAGCGTCACTCGCTTCATCCCCAGAAGAAATTAATAAGCATCTAGAAGCTTTTACGCGCGATTGGAAGAAGGAGCCTTCCTTGGAGCAGTTTGGCGCCGCTTTAGGGCTATTGCGGGATTCGAAGAGATCGCCAAATGCTGAAGCTGTATCACTATGGTGGCTGGATTATATACAAGACATATGTATTAGCGACCATATAGGAAAGTATTCCTCGGAACTTCACGATGGTAATGAACCTCTACACGACTATAGCGCCCGATGGCCCAGGTATCAAACACAGCAGGGACGTTTTTGCTTCAAATATCTTGTCATTTTTTAACTCACATTCCATAAGCGCTGTATTGTCCCTGCTATGGTCAACTCAATAGCGTTGCTGAAGGCAGCTGGGGAAATTAAAGAGCTTGCAGTTGGTGCATCGGGGCCGATTGTGAAGCGTGCCTTGCAAGTTTGTTCCACGATCTATCCATTTGTTTTTCTAATCTGGTAAGATTGGTCAGTTAATCCTGACGCTTATTATGCTGTATACTAGTTGGAAGGAAAAAAAATTCTGAGATCTTGTTCCTTGTAGCTGCCAAGATTCTGCAGCATATATGAGTCTTTGGAATGAGTATGGCATTGGGATCAAGCTTTCAATATTAGGTCGGTCTGGCGATACCAGCGATGGTTATATGATCTCGCGTTGCAAATTCATACAAACTATCATTCAGACACAGTCTTATAGTCAACCAAACTCAACACCGCAAGACACTGAAGTATGAAGCATTCAACATGACAACCACTCTCATGAAACAAAATAAAACACATCATGGATTCGCTTGCTGACATGCGAAATATATGCATCTGCGGGACGCTTATACTGGATTTATTATTTAGACATACGCATTGAACAAGATCCCTCCGAATCATCCGTTCCTGAATGCTGAAATGCTTGCGAATGAGTCTGACGGTCTTCTTCAACACTTGCTCTCTATCATTCGGTCGCCTACAGTGTACGTTGATATACAGGGAGTATTTTTCTTTATCGTTTTCCCCAAGGCTGAGTCATTAGAATGAGCTATAGGGATAGTCACTATGCTGATATGCCGCTGTTTTGCTTGATACGCAGTAGTTCTTCCACAGTCGTCACCGCTGTCATAAACCAGACCAGTGCCTTGCAGCGAGCGCGGCCTCAATTTATACCGCTCGTTCTTGGAACATGGATGTCTTTCATAAAACCTTCACTTCCATCACATTTTTCGCCACTACAAGCTAGGTTTACCGAGAAAGCCATTAGGATACAACTGCTAGCTCTCACAAAGTAAGGGACTTAAGTTGGAGAGCGGGTGCGATAGATGCTCATACATGTTGGTTACTGCAATGCTTATGAAGTCGCTATACTCCTATTAAACCTCAATAGAATGCAGTTACAGCCGTCTCAGTTGCAGATCGTGGTAGAGGCATTATCGGGGTATGGAATCAGATATAATGGCGGTACATTGAGTCGTCAGCAACAACAGCAGCTTCTTCATGTAGATAAAGACAGTGGAGATGATTCCAAGAGATCTGGAAAACGTTCACGATCATCAAACCAAGAATCTGATGACATTGATATGAAGCGATTGAAGTCTGAACAAGATATAGGAGCGAACACTCCACCATCGGTAACTTCGGGCGCTCCTCCGCCACCTCTGCCGGGCTCTACATCAGATAGCGCTCAGCCACCTGGCATCCCGCCAGGGTTCGGGCAGACATTACTAGGTCAGATCAATATTACTCAGCTTCCGCTACATCATGTCGTAGATATTATTTTCGAGTCCCTCGCCGCAAATAATGTGCCCCACCTCTTCCACTCGTTTTTGGTAAGGCCGTCTTGTGTGCTAACTGAAATTACTTCAATAGGAGATACAGAATTGAAAGTATTCTGCTCCGAACGACACTAACATGTATATTTGCAATAAGTCTACATTACATCTTTTAAGGTTGAAAGAAGGGCCTCTTCCTATGCCACCTCCAGGGGTTGGCCCACCGCCACCGGGGTTCGTGCCGCCACCACTACCACCAGAGATGATGCCGTCTCTTCCTAGTGGCATGCTACCACTCCCACAGCCACATATGCTTCCGCCTCATCTCGCCGGCGCGCCAGGGGCACAGCCTCCTGCTCCTCCTGTAGTAGAGTCAAAAGCAGAGATCAAGCCAGAAATCAAAAAAGAAGCCAATTTTTCCAAGCTTCAGCTTCCACGGATCCCTGACAATGTCCAGGTTAATATCACAGTGTTGCCTCCTAATCACACGCCGACACAACTTCCGAGACGACCAATGGTAGTTAAATCGGACACGACAACGAATGTTCCTCGTAAAGATACGCCGTCTGAAAAGAATGTCAAAGCTGAGCCAAAAAAAGAATCAGACGAGGTTCAGCGACTGAAACAGGAAACATTCCAAGTGAGGCCTTTTGAGCCTTCCGCTGAGATTCCTGGTAAACATGCTTCACTCGTCCCTGCAAGGAAGCTTTTGGAGCAGACATTTGAGCGCATCCTTGGTTCTGAACATGTGGTGTCGGTACCAGGGGTATCTGGCAGGAAGATGCTAGAGGCTGCTGCCTCTCATCAGGCTGGCCAAAGACCCAAGAGAGATGAAAGTGGTGCAGTAGTACCATTTGGACATGGTGATGCAGCAGGTTATCCAGCCAAAGTGGTGACCAAGGCGGATTGGATGTCTATTGTGTCTAGGCTTTTGACTAGAGCATTTACAAGGGAATCAGGAGCAAGTGAAGGCACTGCAAGTGCTGTTGATAAAGGAGTTAAGGAGAGAATGGTTGATTATATTTGTAAGGATTTCAAGCAACGCAGGGAACTTGCATTGACGTGGCTACATGAGGAGTGGTACTATGATGGGATTTGTCAGCGTGAGGCTGCAGATATGGATGACCGAGAACCTCAATATCTTTGGTGTCTATATAAAATTTTGGATGGTATCACTTCTGGATCGACACAGCTGGATCTCAGAGACCGAGGACTGACTCGGTTCTTACTAGAAGTACCCGAGTTACCGGATGGTGCTGTTGATATCATTCAAAAATATTGTGATGATCCTGCTAGAGCGCAACTTGGTATGGCCTGTTTACGAGATGTTGTGAACCTGCGACCGCCGAGTCGGGCTCGAGCATTAGAAATCCTCCTTAGCTACACAACCCACCCTGAAAAGGCACAGCGGTCCATGGCGATCGTCACTGCCAAGAAGTGGTACTTGGAACACCCCACTGTCGGCGTGAAAGTCGAGGAATACGCACTAGCTCAGCTGGAAACGCTTAAAGATTATCCTGTACCCAAGCGTGATGCTGTCATACCAGTGCCGAATGAGGATTCGAATAAGAAAGGCGATGTCGATACACCTATGACAGAAGCGGGCCCTCGAATCAAAACTGAAGTCGCGGATGAATCGATGGTGGTCAATAATAATGATAATAATAGTAGTAATAATAGGGCAAAATCAGCCTCATTGGAACCACCATCTGGATCAACACCATCATCTACATCCAAATCGCTCTCGACACTAGCCATAGATAAGGCATTTTTGCAGGCTGAAGAGGACATTGGAAACTTATTAGAGTTGTATTTATCACTTTGTGCGAAGAACCACGCCCTCCTTGAAGTTCTCTTCAGGAACTACATCTCTTATGATCCATTTGTACAGCGTGTGATCCGGCAAAAGATCCAGCCACTTATAAAGTCGATTAAATCAGACTCGACCAAGCTTCTCGCGCTCATCCGGGATTTCCCAATGGGTGCAGAAATGTTGGTGCTAAGAATCATTGTTATTCTGACAGATGGAGGTATACTTTTTTTGATTATTGTTTATATACATCCCTCAGCTAACATCTCGTCTCTTGTAATTAAAAACTTTTTGCTTCAATTCCGGTATATCTGTTATTAATTATTTTTCTCTTTCATAGTTCAACCTTCACCCGGCTTAGTGAGTGCTGTACAAGATGCAGTGATCAAGCACGATCTCAATGCTCGTTTCTTGATCCCAATTATCGGTGGGCTAGATAGAGAGGCTGTTTTCAATTGTCTACCGCGAATTGTTGGTCTCTTGAAAGGCACAGAACGCGAGCGTAGGACTGTGACAGATGTATTCCTCAAACTCTTGACAGGAAGTGGAAGAAGTGGAGGTCCTGGACAAACAACATCTAGTGCTCTCTCAACTGGGTCTGATAGAAGAACCAGCAACGTTTCGGCTATAGCAACAACAACATCGTCCTCATCATTACAGTCGTCTTCATCTGCTTCTCGTGGCCCTATCATGTCACCATCAGAGCTATTGATTGAACTCCATGCTATTGAAGATACCGTTGGCTGGAAAGCAGCCTGCGAAGGTAAAAAAGAGCGCCAGTAATCTTTGTTCTATACATGCCATCTACATACGTTTCCCTTTCGATATCCGAATCCTGAACTGAACTATTTATTATTCCTATGCCTTTTTTTTTTTTTTTTTTTTTTTTTTTTCCTTTTAGCTATGGATATTTGTTTTAACCATCCAGAAATTTATAAGTCCGAGATCATTGCTGTAGTCTTACAGCAGCTTCTGGAGCAGCCCACAATACCTTCACTCTTTATGAGGACTGTGATACAGGCAATCACACTGTATAAAAACTTAGTAGGGTTTGTTAACAGCATGATCTTGGCCAAACTCATCCCTAAAAAAGTATGGTCAAGAAAGGTGTTGTGGAAGGGATTTGTTCGTTGTGCGAAGATGACTCAGCCCAGTAGTAGTAGTGTCCTGGCCAGTTTACCGAAACCTCAATTGAAGGAGGTCCTAGCTATGGAACCATCCTTGAAGGAGCCCGTTGAGGCGTTCATTAAGGCCAAATCTTCAGGAAGAAGAGTGGGTGGAGGCGCCGCGAAACAAGTGTCGGTGCTTTCAGTGCCTAGCAGCGACGTAGTGCCTAATACCATCCCTACTTCAACTCCAGCTCCTACTCTTGCTATTAATCCTGCTTCTTCGCCTGCTGCTGTATCTACCTCGTCAGCAGCAACAGCAACTATAGCAGCGTCAATTCAACCAGATATAGCGATAGAGAATGAAGTCAAAAAGGAATATCCGTCAGAAATGGACACTACAGTCTCATCTACTCCGATGGACATATAACCGAATAAATATTATTATTTTGTCCGATTAAAATGTCTAGCTCATCTAGTAATCTAATCCACTTCGATTGCTTATGAATTTTTTGGATAAAAATATCAAAATTGTATTCCACTGTTTGTCGGGTCGGAAATGTCCAAAAGTACAGGGTTGTACATCATCGACGTGTTTACAAGGGAAATTTGTCAGTTGAATATGCCATGAAAACTTCCTTTTTTTTTTTTATTATTCTCACTATATTTTACAAAAGATCCGCGTAGCATCGACTGTTCTTTTTCTGCCTTGTCTCATTTTATGCTTTCTTGTTGATCGAATCCAAAGATGCAACTGTTCGTCCCAATTCATTGCCAGGTGTCAGGTAAGAAATATCATCCCAAGGGTGTCTATACAATCCTTGCTTCAATCGCTTCTGATCCAGATAATGTCCAATGAATCCAATGGATCGTCCCAACACAAACAAACCGTTCAATGTTCCAATCTTGATATACTCCTCAGCCTCCTCTCTCGTGAATGCTCCAGAATGTCTCAACAGATCTACAAACAAGATTCCAATTGCTCCATCCACATTCAAGATCAGGTTATCCTTCTTGGACGTTGTAATGTTCTCGACCTGCAGTGCATAGTCCAAGATTGGTGTGGCGGGGAAATGTGTCTTTGCATATGACTTTATAATTTCCACTCGCAAATCGGGGTTGGTCTTTGACTTGATCTTGTGGCCAATACCCAGGATAAGTTTGTTTTGTTTACGCATCAAGCTCACAAATTCTCGTGGTGTTAAAGACTTGTCATAGGCAGACGAGAACTGCTCTGCAGCTCCATCCAATGCTCCTCCGAATCGATCTCCAATCGTCAAGAGACCTGCACAGAGTGAAGATACTAAATCTTTACCAGCACGAGCTGTGACGATGGTGTTGTGGGCTCCAGAAACCGCAGGTCCATGGTCTGCTGTCAGCATCAATACCATCTCGATAAACTTGCATGCATAATCTGGTAACCGACGCTTGAACCACAGCAATGACAGGACACCTCCGATACCGATATCATCCTTGAAGACATCAGAGATACGCATGCCGGCGTACAACAGCTCCTGACCACGATCATCGCAGATAGTCGAAACAAAGGATGCTGGCTTTCGGACCAGACCTAGCTCTTGAGCCCAAGAATAGTCGATCGGGATCTTGGGTGTCTCAGGCTCGGGCTTCAGTTGAATTGTGCCTTGCTTGACCAAGTTCTGGAACGTCTGGCTGAGGACCAACGGCAGCTTCTCAAATGTCTCTGGCACGACTACGCCAGCTGCTCGGAGAGCCTTATTCTTCGCATCTGCAGTCTCAAGATCTGATTGGGCCAATGCTCCAGCATGACCGAATTGGACTTCAGTTGCAAACATCTTTGCACATGTGCCGATACACCAAGCGATTACAGGCTTACGAATTTGTCCATTCTTGATGGCTTCACAGACTCTATACTCTTCCACTCCTCCAACCTCTCCCAAGAGTACAAGCATTTTGCAGTTAGGGTCTTGTTCATAGCGCAACAAATGATCAATAAAAGTCGAGCCCGGGTACCGATCACCTCCAATGGCCACTCCTTCATAGACACCATCTGTCGTGCGTGAGATAATGTTGTTCAACTCATTGGACATGCCTCCAGATTTCGATACATAGGCCACAGATCCTGCACGGTACAATTTAGATGATACAATATTATCCATCATGCCTCCTGTGTTTCCAATCTTGAAACATCCAGGCTTGATACCACCCACGGTCGCAGGCCCAATCACCAGCACATTTTTTCCCTTGGCCTCCCAAAGGATCTGACGAGCTCGACGCTCTGGAACTCCCTCAGCAATGATTGCGATTGTTTTTATCTGATTCGAGTACTTGAGAATATCCAACGTGGACTGGTACACTGAACGGCATGAGGCAAAATTGACGACTGTGTCCACTTCAGGGAACTTGGTAGTGGCCTCCTCCAGAGTCGTGAACACAGGTAGGAGAGTCTCTTTTGTACCCCAATAGAATTTTTGAACATGAGCACCTCCAAAGGGGTAAATCATCGCCGCCACTGAGGGAACTTCACGTTTGCAGATGAAATCAAAGTCGAGCATTCCTTGGACTGCACGAGGTTGCATGCCATAGATAAACGAACGAGTATGAGCTGTGAAGGGAACATTGTTATCATGGCCTCCCGCCGCTTTGGTCTTTGCTTCCGCATCTGAGAAAAAAGTCATTCTGTCTTGAGTAGTGGGTGGTGGTGTAGGTGCACGAGATGGAGGGTTAGTGGGAGCAGGGGTACTGATGCTGCTGTTGGATCCCAAGAGTTGATCCTGCAAGAGATTGCCCGAGGAAGCGCCGTTGCCGTTGATATGGGCGCCATTAGCTGTAGCCAAGTTGTCAGAGGACTTGCCCGTCAAAGCCAAGGGCACGACCTCGGTGATGTGAGTCTCAGGTCCAAAGACCTGAATCTCTACGCCCAAAGATTCACCCAACTGACGCATGGAACGCAGACCTTCCTGATAGTTGGGTCCACCACGGCGGACAAAGATTCGGACCTTGTGAGCGATCAATGATTGTTTGAACTCTGTTAAAGCGCGGACAATGCCCTTGAAAGTTGAGGCTACATTTGTGAAATTGGCAATGCCTCCTCCGATGATCAACACTTTACCCTCAGGATGGGGTGTGGGGGAGCGAGTCATAAGGTCCAAGATTGTTTTGGCATACTCGTAGGTCTGAGTTTCAGTAGGCGCGCCTGAGTACTCTCCATAGTTAGCTAACTCATGTGCCTGGCCAAGAGCAGCAATTGCATCACTAAAAATGGTGTACATGAGAAAGGAGAAGAGTGCTTAGTTTGCTTGACGATATCTATGGATGTAGAGCATTACGTATTTGGTACTGCTTTTATATGTATATTTTATATACCTGTAGACGACAGAGGCACCACCACCAGCAACCATAGTCCAGATACGTCCATCCTTGTTTAAGATTGTCAGTTTGAGAGAAGCGCCAGTCTTGGAATCCAGCTCCTGAACATATGCCTCTTCTTTAGTCAACTCACGACCAAAAGGAGCTGGGAATTCCATACCTGGACCAGCATCTGCGCCGATTGTTGTAGATGGTGCAACACCAGCAATACCAATATTTTGAGGTGCTCTAGCAATAGCCCATTTGGGGCCAGCCTCAAACTCTGCAGTCTGATCTAACTTGGCAGCAAGGTCAAGATAGTAAACACGGGCAGGCTCTTCTTCTGTAGGATCCAAGACCACAAGGGGGTTGATTTCGAGGTATGTGAAATGAAGATCAATGTAGACGGCATAAAGGCGGGTGATAAAGTCTACGAGAACATCATGCTTGACTTCAGGGACATGGGCCAGTAATGTAGAGCGGATAGCCTCAGCCGTTGGGAATGTATCTTGGACTTTGACTTGAAGCTTTAAAGCTTTGGCATCCACGTCTCCGACTTCGATTCCACCCTCGTGGGTAAAGAGAATATTGTCTCCTTCACGATCCGAATTAATGCAGATATAGTACTCGGTGTTGGAGGGATGAGGGATGAATGGTTCAATCAAGAATGTCTTGAGCACTCCGGCTACTGAATCAACCTATGACCAGACAAAAACATTGTACGAGGAAAAAAAACAAATGGATCAGTCTTTCATGTAAGTTTTTTTTTTTTTTTTTTTTTTTTTTTTTTGCCCGCAGCTCAGCATTTCATTTTCAAGTCCCGTAATCACCCTTGCTTGCACCCTTATTTTTTTTTTTTTTTTTTTTTTTTTTTTGGCTTTAATTTACTACGCCAGATGTACATGTACATTTTATTGCGTCTTCCTTGAGAGATCTCCAAAAGAACATTTAAAGAATGCATAAATAGTTGCTCTTTGACAAATAAGCCAAATAATCAAACGAACATAGAAAAGTCCAGATGGTTCTTTTTCTTCCGTCTCAACCAAAGTGTTCAACTTCGCCCACGCAAAATCCCGATACTTTCCTCTCATTGGTCAATTTTTTTTTTTTTTTGAGACTTGCATTCTTCAGATTACATTTTTTTTCTTGTCTTCTTTTTACTTACAAGGACTTCTTTGCCAGCATGCTTTTCGATCCAGGCGCGAGCCTCAGGCCAATCAGCATTCAACAACAACAATCCACTCTTGCCACGACGCTTGATCAATTGATCAGGCTTGGCTACCAATTTGTGGGTCAACAGCCAAGGATGTGAGACCTCTAGTTGATCCAATACAGAACGAACATGTTGTTCAAACTGGGCATTATCCTTCTGTAAGAGAGCAGTATCGATGGAAATATGGGCCAAACGCGTCGAGGGTTGGATAAACTTGGTTTTGGATGCTCCTGTAGCATCAGTTCCAGTGACTTCGATCGCCGGGATGGGTGCACGGAGGAGCCAGTGGGCCAAAAGGAGCTTTCCATCGTATTCACGAACGGCTTTAGCAGACATGATTGTAAAATTTTTTTAATAGAATAAAAATAAAAGTAAAAAAAAATATAATGTAAGTGGTAAAGGGTGGATATATTACTACAAATGACTAGGAAAAAGAAATAATGATTTAGATGTGAGAAATGCAAGTGTATGTATGACTTTTTTGATGAGAGGGAGAGGATGAGTGATTTGTGAAGAAGAAAAAGAAGAAGAGGAAGAAGAAGAAAAAGAAACAAAAAAAAAAAGAGAGGAGGTGTTTTATTGATAGACAGTGAAAGATAGTGGGTGGTGGGTAAAGCACTAGAGATAGACAACCCTATTGCTTGGGGCGATCTAAAAAAAAAAAAAGTGGACTGATGTAGTTTTTATTTTTTATTTTTTTTTCTATCCACGGGGACAAGGAACAATTGAAAAAAAAAAAAAAGGAAAAAAAGAAAAAAGCCTTGGCGAACAGTAGATAGAGATAGAGAGAACAGCAATGATATTCGCAATGCGCAATGGCCAACGGAGAATGATTGCTGGGGTTGATTCTAACTCTCATCTAGGTATATATATGCAATTACAATAAGATAGTATATAAGATAGTAACAATAACACGTATATATTGTTCTATATTATTCATTTCATTTTAATGAACGGAGACGGGGAAAATAAAAAAAAGATGGGTCAACACTAAAGTGATCGCAATAAGGTTGTTTCCCCCCTCAAAATGTATCCGTGGTTCTTTATGAAAAAAAAAAAAGTTGCCCCAGTACATAAATCTGTATAACATGGCATGTGTGACAATGGACGCAAAAAAAAACATATAAATATATATATTATACATACATAGCATGCTTATTACAAGATTAGCATTTATACAAATGTATACATTCACATTTACAGTTGATGTGTCATTTGTACATGTGTACCAATTAACCCATCAGAAAGACCCGTCTCTTTATCACCCAGAGACATGTTCATACAGCTCTATCTATGTTTATATATCTATATGCCTCGCTGTTCTGTGCTATGCATGTACAAGTAGTTCTAAAGATTTTTTTTTTATCACGCCACATTTACTTGCTTTCTAGGAATGCTCTAATTTTATAGAAGAGATCAAAAGAGAATCAGCCCACTCACTTCCTTGAAGAGAAAAGGAGGGCAGAAACGCGAGAAATTCACTATTTGTTCCTTTTCGTTCTTTTCGTTCTTTTTTTTTTTTTTTTTTTTTTTTTTTTTATAAATCCATTCTATAACTGTGCATTATAAAGTAGAAGATTGATAATAAGTATTAAGAATATTGATTATTTTTTTATGTAAACTTGCGACAGAGAAAAAAAAAGCAAAAGTACTGACTACCCAACATACACATACACACACATATACATGTTGAAGTTGTGAAGTTGGGTTTCCCACCAAAATTCTTTTTCTTTGGGGATCGAATTCCTTTTCCTTTTTTATAGTGACTGTTAAAATTCATATTGATGCCAATTCGAGAAAAGGATGAAACATTAGTTTTATAAAAAACTATCTAAAATGAACAAATAAATTTTTGGCAGATGTTTATAACGACCACCCTCGTCTTTATCGCGATAACCGGACTTGAAACATCATTCTTGTCATCTGCTTATATCGCCAATTTTATTTGGTCACGATACCTTATATTTTTAATCTAAAAACGATGATTGAATTGTTCTGGTGGCATCTCACTACGTGACGGACTTGCAACAATACTCGTAACAAGCGAGCTAATTGGCTGCCAATACACTCGAAAGTATTCAAAAAATATAAGGTATCGCGACCAAATGAAACGGGCTATATATACAAAATATTCGTATATACACTCCTCACTCCCCACCAAAAAAAAAAAAAAAAAAAAAAGCTTAGCCGCTTATATGTCAAATGGACTGACAATTGCAACGGAATTATTCATTCATTGCATTATCAAACCCATCTTTGCCTAGTTTTTTTTTTTTTTTTTTTTTTTTTTTGGGCACAGGGCACTCTGTCCTATTTATCGTTATCATTTTTGCTTTTCACTTATTTATTCACAAATCTACTTCCTTTTAAATATTTTACATTGTCATTTTCCCACACTATATTTCTTTCTTTCTTTTTATTCTTATGCAGTATACCGAGGTGGCTGCACAGCATAATCTGGTGGTGGCATGTTCAAGATTGGTCCAGCTCTGTCATCAGGTGACTGATCCGAAAATGAATAGTGATGGTGTTGGTACCATGGACGGGCCGCATTATCAGTACTATTGATACGACTTGTAGTATTAACGTTGGTGTTATTGATACTGTTGTTGTCGTTGCTACTGCTAATCCCGCTAATCCTGCTACTGCCAGTGGCATTGGTGCTGATTGTCTGTATCATTGGGAACGAGTGTGGTGAGAGAGATCGTGATCGGATTCTATTTGCAGGATGTTGATGGGCTGTCGTTGACCGTCTAGGTCCCGAATCTGGTCCAATTAGCTCCTCCAAGTTATCCAACCCTTCACCCTGCTCTGCCAATGAAGAAAGTCCTTCATATGTCACAGATGTCTGCATAATTTGCAACGATCCTGGATCTATAGCCTGATGTCGATGATGCTCTTCATAACTTGGAATCAATGGCCCAGACCGAGCCAAATCAATTGGCTCTGGGCCCATAAGACCATCTATCCGTTCTATAATAGGTCCGACGCCTACATACTCGTCCACACTCATCATCTGTGGTCTGATCATTGACGATGACAGTGAGGGTGATGATCTCGATGAGCTAAATGGAGTGCTGGGTTGCAGTGATGATGAAGAGCCTGAACCAGAAGCAGGAGTAGACCAAAATGGAAGCTGTATTAGCGGTCCATTCTCAAGGATGGATCTTCCGAGAGGGTGTTGATTGTCCTGATTAATCCTACTCCCGGGAGCTGTATCATGATTCGAGACTGAAATCGAAGGCACGTTTCTACGATGGCCTCGTTGTTGTTGCTGCTGCTGAGAGGGGACATCGTTGACACCCATTGTCCCTGTGCCATGGGTGTTGGAGCTCGTTACATCGACAGTACTACGGCTGTTACAATCAAATTGAAGGACCGTAGGTATACTCAGTGTAGGCACAACCACATCCTCAGACTCATTCCCACTGTTTCGTCTGCTACGTACAAATCCAAACAGTCCTCTTGACATCCTCTTCTGACCTTCACGATCTTCTTGAGCTCTGTTATTACTATTACGACTATTGTTGTCTGAACTATTATTCATACCAATTAACCCTAGAGCAGAGAGATCATTTGCTCCCTGAGCTTGTCGACCGTCAATGTTTGTGTCAACAGCCGCCTCCGAATCATGTCTTGATCGAGATCGAGAACGCATCCTTATTTTTTCCTTTTTAGCCTTGTGCTTGGTTTGCCTCTCACAATCCACCTGGATTAACACTTCTGACCCAAGCACATTGTTTGGTGCAAGAGTTGACAGCGGTGCCTTTCCAGCAGTCAAGAAAGCCCGTCCGCCGTTTACTTGATTAGGTCGATGATGGTCCATAGTGCATTCTGAGTCATCAATATCTGGTACGCGGCCAAATCCTCTGCGCTCCCTACTTCGTGTGTTCATTATTCCCTCAACTTCATCTTCAGCACTGTTGCTATCCAAGCTCGGCCGAATTAAGGTTGGAACGGATTGTAATGATGAGCTAGCAAGAGCTGGCTGGGAAAGAGTTGGAGTTCCGATATTATGAATTCCCCCACGGACCAGAATATCCGCCTCGGTGCCCAACAGAGACTGTCCATGCTCATCCTCCCATCCCTCAATCTGATAGCCGTTTAAGCGCGAATCTTGAAAAACATGTCTCCGGATCCTCGCCAGCAGTGGAATGATTGCCTCACGATAAGCCTGCATCGAGTTTAGACGCACTGTTTCCTGTGCTACAAGCATTTCTGCAGTCTTGTGAGCAGCTCGAAGATGAGCAATATATCCTCGCAACCCCTTCTCTATCTCGGTATTAAATGGCTGCATTGCTTTCCTTTTTGAAGTTGGTTCTATATGGATTTTAGAGAGTCAGAACATTAAACAAATAATATTTAATCCATCTGTTTTTTTTTTTTTTTTTTTTTTTTTTTTTGGCCTATGCTTACCAAAGTATGATTGAACTGTGGATGGCTTGATAGGTGTGGGCAAAGGGGGAACAATATTAGGACATGCCTCCCTCGCCATATTTTCGTTTTGATAAGCATTTGTAAGCGAAAGCTCTACACGGAGATCTGCAAGTACACCATTGAGTTTATATTGTTAAAAGTATATCGATGAAAAAGAAGAGGAGAAAGGACTCTTAATGTACTCACGATTATGGATGCCAAACTTGCTCAAGAAGAGAGGACTAAAAAATATAATTATACTTACAAAGCCTCATCTTCTGACTAGCTTTGAGGGCATATTCTACCCTCCAGATCTTATAAGCAGCATCCGGATATCCCAAGAACGCGACCAAAGCAGCTTCTGATAGATTGGCTGCTCTAGCAAGATTCGACAGAGCTGTGTTATATTTGGTGAGCTGACGACTTGTGTCTGTTATCTTCACATCATATTCTCTTAGTTCCAACTGCCAATAAAGTTCCTCTGGGAAATCCGCGTTTGCAACTTGGTCTACATTTTTAAAAATTGACAAACAGTTGACATGAGGGTCAGCAAAAGTTGCATTGTTACAGTACCGTTTGTTCCGTTTAGGATTTTTGCCGGCATGGTTGCACAGGCTGCTCTCACCTTTGGACCGATCAAAGACCTTTAGAAAAAAAAAGAAAAATAGGAACCGCACAGACATATACAGAGTTGAGGATGCATAAAAAAAAACATTGTACAAATAGCAGACATGCGAGAGTGAGGAGACGTAAGCGTGTTATTAAACATGTATCATTTGTCTCTCCATCGATCCATATCTTTGCACTCTTACCGATTCCGTTAATTTTTTGAGCTGGCGAGTTTCTTCTAGCAAAGTGGCACGCTCCTTCTCCAACTGATATTTCTGTGAAGGTTTGAAAATTTAGACTTTTTTTAGTATGATATACATTATATAGACACCATTGCAAGAGATATTTGCTTGCGGTTTTAAAAAAAAAAGATAAAATTCTACCTACCACTGTTACGACACTATCTCGTTGACGCAGACATGCACGTCGCTCGTTCTCAACAGCCTTGAGCTCATTAATCTCGTGGCGATATGACTTTTCAAACTCGGCTTTGTTGATGGTAAAGACAGAGTCGAGCTGCTTTCTTATTTTTTCTCTGTGTGTAGAAATGTAAAATATTTATAAAGAGTTAATTACCAGATTGTAAGGGAAATATTCGACTGTAACGATGTTGGCTCGAGTAAAAATGGAAATCCTCTTTGTGATCTGTCCGTCTTTTTTTTTTTTTTTTTTTTTTTTTTTTAGCATGGAATGGGCATATACTTCTTTTTATTTCAATGATTGAAGGGCAATATGAAAGGGGTGAAGGGATGTACTGACACCAAAGGGCATACATTGCCTAGAGGCGTGAACATGTATCATCAACTGACACCTCTAGAATTACATATACAAACGTATATAGGACCGATCCGATATTTTGTCTCGGACAAGTTCACTTTCTCTTCTTCTTTTGTAAGCAGTCAACATACGGTGTATCCTTATCTGGTATTTATGATATGGGTCTCCCGATCTATTTCTTTCTTCTGTGTTTTTTCCATTGCAAGATCCGTATTAACTGAAGGATCAGAGAAGGAGACTTACACCTTGGATTGTCTAAGGGAAATGCTTTCCTGTAACTGTCGAAGCCTGTTATTGAGATGCACAAATTCGGCTTGATTAGTCTTGATTTTCTCAAGAGAAGGGGTCAGAATAGGGATGCTAGTGTAGAGTTTCAAGAGGTATTCATGGGCCTCCTCGAGTCTCTCTGCAACCGTCGACATTAATTTTTCGAGGAAGGTTGAGTGTAATGAATGAACAAAACAAATATTAGTAAATAATGAGGAAATGAAAGTTACAAAGAGAGCACAAATTGGAAAATGGTATACAAAAAAAAAGAGAATGAAATGGAGACTAGAATGAGGAGAAAGCAAGAAGAGTGAAGAGAAGAGAGAGGGAGGCTGAAGCAAGGGTCCTTGTTGCGCCACATCACTTGGTTGCACAGGCCAATGTGATAGTCGCAAACGTGACTTTTAGGATTTTTGGATTTAGAGCCATTCACTCAAACCGTTAATTTTTTTAGAATGTCCTGCTAGAGATGATTCCACTTCAGTAAAAGAGAAAAAGCACAACTGTGGAGCAGTTGCAAAATTTTAAAACAAGGCAGGAAGACTGCCAATGAGAAGAACAGGATCATGATCATCGGCAATACGGCTTTCAATATTACTGGAGGATCCGCCGAAGATGTCACTATGAACATTGTAGCCTTGTTTGCAGTGAATGATTAGGTCAGGACTTACTTGGTATTCCCTATCACTCATTGAGATTTTGCTGAATGCTTCCAACAAAGTTATCGATTTGTTCCTTGTGCCCATCTTTAAAGCTCCTGATCGAACTGCAAGGACGAACGTCCATGTAGTCCTGACGGCCCTCCTTCTTCTAACGGAACAGACAGGATAGATGCTTTAAGAACAGAGATGCAGCTGTTCCTCCAGGGTATCAACCTGGCTGTTCTTTTTGCGGATGTCTGAAAGACAAAAAGTGATGCACAACAACATTCATTCATTTCTGATCATTCAACTGAATACATCTCCAAAAATGATTCTACAAACAAAGTTGATCATTACGATTTTAGTGTGTGTTATCTAAAAGGTGGCGCAATATGCCTCAAGTGATAGAGATCTAGCATCTTTTATTGACATTCATCCTTCTCATCCCTTCTCGTTTCCAAAATGCACACACTTGAGATCACCGAAATCCTTGAGCGCGTTGGCTATTTTATTCCACTCTGGGGTGTCGACGATGATGGTAACCCTGTCTACCTTCCATATAACATGGCCCCTTGTCTTGCTGTCTCCCACCATTTTCGGGCGACCTTACTCCCTCTATTTTGGCATACAGTTGACTTAAAGGTCATGACCCGCATCCATGTTAAGCTTATGTTAAAATACATTGGTTATGTGAGAGTGGTATACAACTTAGGAGCCCAGAATTATGATCTATATCAGCAAGCTTTTTCAGCTTGGACAAACCTGATCCATCTAAGCAATATTGAAAATCGATCAGGAGAACTGGATGCTGATGTGATGCAAATCATCCAATGCAATCCAACACTCAAAAGCATTGGCTTGGCATATGATCTGCGCTATGTCAAGGGACCTCCACAAAAGTTGCATCAAGACTTGGAAGCCAGTCTGGCAGTGGGCATGGGTGGGATGGCAATTGTGGACGATGCTGCTGTCCTCTCAAATCTCAATACCCTGGAATGCCTAGAACTCATTTCTAGTGGTTGGGGAGACTGGGTCGTTGACATTGAGCGTCTGAGTGATTTGCTTCGGCCTGTTGCTTCCACGCTCAGGTACCTACGCATAAGTAAACCTATGGCAGAGCGCGATATTAGAGCCCGGGCGCTGATAGAGAAGTCGTTATCAGAATCAGAAGAGAGGAAAGAGAGAGAAAAAGAAAAAGAAAAAGAAATAGACAAACTTCTTTTTCCAAGGCTGGAGGAATTACACGTCCCAAGAATTATGCCAGAGGATCTTCAGCCATTATTCAGTACAGGAAGCTGCCCGAAGCTCCATACCATCTCAACAGCGGCCTTTGGGGAAGAAACACTTCGCTTCCTACAACAACTCTCGCAACAACAGAAGCAGCAAGAAGGACTGGTCCACAGATCATCAACAACGTCTCATAACGCTGTTGATAAAGGATACCCACAGCAGCTTTACAAAGTCAGCTACAAAACAAGAGGGTTCCTCCATCAAGTTGTAAGAGAGATGGTGAAAATACTACCTCATGCCCATAGTTTGGACATCTCAGTAAATCTTTGGAGTATTCGCGGTCGCATAAAGTTCGATCCTCTTGAAACGTATACGATCCAATCTCTCCATCTTGAACTGCATCGTTCATGCGAAGGAGTAGAGTTCTTACTCAAGGAACTAGTTGGATTGAGATGCTTGAGATTACTTTCATTAGAGATTAGTCAACTGTATTTGTTTGATCCGAGCACTCTGTTGAACCCGGAGGATTGGACGTACCCAGGCGACTTGACCTCACTGTCGTTTAATGGCACCCATATACGCTACAATACTACGCCATACAATGCATCTCAGTGGAAAACAAAAAAGGACTCAGAGGTGCTTGCGAAAAAGCTATATTACGGCTGGAAGGTGCAAGGACCATTGTTACGACAGAGCTTGAATTTCTTGGAACCTCTTTTTAAATTGGCCAATAATCATAAATTCAAGAATCTGAAGACACTGGTGTTCAACGGAAATGTGTATCGAAAGATCCTTGAAAATTAATCATAAGCTATAGATGTACTTTTAGATTAGTTTATTTAAAAAATAAAAATAAAAATAAAAATAAAAATAAAAATAAAAATAAAAATAAAAAAAAGTCTTGTTCTTCTCAAGGATGTAAGCATTAGGGGCAATAAAACAAAACCTATGATAAAAGTGTTCACTTCGTAACATGATGAAATTAAGAATCAATGAACAAAATGCCACATAAATATAGATTATTTTTTGTCTATCGTATGATCTGGTTACATATTGTTGCATTGGAGATTCACTGGACGTTCGTTCAGCTTGCGAAGTTCGATATTGAGAGGAACGCTGTTGAAATGTCAATCCCCAATAGCATCCAAGTGGACATTTCTTCCATCTCTTTTGATCGCATCACCGCGACGCTGAAGTCATTTTCCCTCGAAGCATTCCGGCAAATGAGCCCCTCAGGCTTCAAATCTTTCTCTACAGAGCCCGCAGAACGATCTTATAGACATTCTATCAACGCTACTTGATCAGAGGCTATGTCGTTCTTCCAACCCAACTGCCATATTGAATTTTGATGGCAAAGCCATCACCCGAAAGGCCAAAGCTCCATAGTACAAGGACTAACGCCATCTGCGCGTGCCCAAATGAAGGAGTCCTAGTAATAATCACTCATGGAAAACACACCTACTCCTATCTTCAGATCCCTTATCAAGGATTATCAGGTGCAACGAGACAACTCTCATGAAGTATGCCAGGTACCAAAGGAATCAACTGTTTCCATGTTATCACTGTTTGTGATGGGAGATGGCTCCAGCATTTTTGTATGTACTCTTCTTGAAGAAAAAATCAAATCGCTATATATCTTGCATCTGTGCCACTATACACCAAGCCTAGATCGTTGCCCTTGGTGAAGCCAGCGCATACAGTGATACAGTGGTGAGCATCTTGCGTCCGAGTATATTGCCAATACAAGACGAGGATCAGTTGATTGGGGGCTCTTTGCATTCTCCATTTGGTATTGATTTCAAGAGGTGAGGCTTTAAAGATTTAGATGAACCTTCTTTATTTAATTCAAAGAAAATATCTTGCTTAGTGCTCGGCGAATCATCTTTCCACCTGAAGTCTTTCTAAATTGAATATCCTCATAAGCTGTTGCCGCTGAAGGGATTGTTGTAGTCAATGTATTATTACCGATCTGTTTCCCACCCACAGTTATCTCTGTACCGCTGGAGCCAGCAATATCAAGAACCGCAGCAGTAGCAGCAGCAGCAGTAGCAGTAGTAGTAATAGTGGTGCTACAAGCTGCAGCGGTATTTGAGGAAGCAGTAGCCGTGGTGGATGGAGCAACATTATGATGAGTTTCGGCACCACTTGTGAACTGTTCAAGTGATATATTTGAGGCAGAAGCATTCCCCGGGCTGTGCCGTGATATCATTTCTCTCGTAGTTGAAGGAAGTGACGATAAAGATGATGTTGGCAATAGCATACCCCTGTCAGCCAATGTTAAGGATGCGCCAGGGTCCATAGCTGGTAAATTCAAGCAGGGCATGCTCCTCGACATTCCAGTTTGATTTTGGATTCCTGAAATATTAGGCAGTATGGCATCAGTCGCATTTTCACGACCTCGCTCTGATGATTCCCGTGGATGGTATGCTCGCCCAACTGGATACGAAAGGTTTGAAGAGGGATCAGGATGCTGTTGGCGCTGATGTTGATGTTGGCGTTGGCGCTGTTGGATCTCTTGCTCTCCTTCGTGGATATCTGTATGCTCACGAAGAGCGTTGCTGCTGATTGTGAACAGAATAGCATCCCAAGGCTCAAGCGCATTAATCTTGAAGACTTGTCGGATTGCTGATCGCAATAAGAAATCATCATCCGAGGCTAAGTATTGGAACTTGTATTCGACATTTTCAGACTTCCCCACTGCAATGATGGCGGCATCAGCGGTAGAGTCAACACTAGGATTAATAACAGTACCAGAGCTTGATGAAATAGCAGAAGTGGGGGAAGGGGTCTCTAAAGATGGCGACAGTGGTGATAGAGCTTTATCATTGCTAGGGGTCGTCCTATCAGCCACATCAATGGACGCGGTGCTGCATCCAGAGACATGACTTTGGTCGCTGTTAGAGCTGTTGATAGATGATACTATTGACGCGGCAGAATTGCCACTTCCATCGCTTCGAGCACTTGTGGCTGTGTTGGAACGGGGACGGTTGCAGATCTTCCCATCCGTTTGGTTCCGTGGGGATGGGCTACCTCGCGCCTGCTGTAATGAATGAGGATACGGGCCGGACTGTTGTTGGTTTTGTAGAGAATCAATTGGTGGGCTCATAGAACTGTAGATCGGACAGTATGATGCTGTCGCGTCTTGTGACAGCTGTACAGGAACCCCTTCGAGGTGATAGTCACCAACTTGCCTACACCTATCGTTGTGTATACTCAAACCTGCTACATCGACAGCCTGACGGAGCCGAGAGGGTTTACCTGGCTGGAACCCATTTTGCGAATTAGTAGATAAAGACGAACAAGCAGACACTGTACTTCCTCTACGCGATCTGATAAGGATGTTGCCTGTCAACGCTGCATCAACCCGATTGTCGTCCAAACTTCCAGTGACATTACCACTGCTGCCATCGTCACTGATACTTCTGTCACTAGAGCTGTTAGGGTTGATAGTAGTGTCTATATCATCGGGTCTCATGCTGGACATGACCAACATAGGAGGAATAACTGAGATAGGCGACTCTATCTCTGATGTTCTCGAAAACAATGATGAGTCACTGCCAAGGATAGGTGAGGATCGAGCTGAAGCCGATTGACAGGCAATAGCCTGCGCGGCTAGCTTGCTACAACGACTCATACGTGATGAATGGGACGCGACAGATGCACAAGAGCTGCGGACGGTAGAAAGAGGCTGGGTAGCCTTCACTTCCTGAGATGAGATAATATAATAATGGACATCCCCTACGATCACCATATTGTTCAATGGCTTGTAGAAAAAGCGAAACAGTGACACATCGTGTTATTGCCGATAGCATAAGATCTGTCAAAACTCCATCTCCCTTCAGCTTCATCACCAATTTCATTTATAAATGAGATCGTCGGCTATCTTACATTACGCGCTTTCATGCGATGCAGCAGTCCTTCTTCAGGCTGAGTCCGGAATAAGACCTTGTTGATCTGATGTGCACTATAATATGAATGATATGTCTTGGTCCCATCATTTGGATCTTGAGTGGTAACTCTGGCAAGAATGAAATCCTTGCTTTTGTTTGCATGTAAGCGCATCAAATTCTCAAAGCTGTCAAGCGTGAATGGTTCTTCGTCCATGGCATCTAGCTCATCAACTAAAACAATGGAAAAGAGGTTGTCTGCTTCTACGAATGCTTTGAGTCGATCATAATCCATAAGCTGTCGTTCATGATCCTGGCGAACACTAGAGAGATAACCCTGTATTCGTGAAGCGTATTCAGGGTTTAGCTCGCGGTCATTCTCATGTATAGAATAGCGCTCCAATTCCGTTGGGAAAACAGGGCGAGGAGGAAGTGGAGGCGTTGGCATTCCTGTCAATGTTATGCATCGCTTTGGCTTAGGTTTTTTAGAGTCGGAAGGGGCAGTTAGATCCGTTTCTTCGGCTAGCAAGACATTTACTGGAAGCTTGCTGGTTGAGGATGGCGATAGTGTCATGTAGGCAGTTAAGGGGGTTGTAGTTGCTACTGCTATTAATGCTTCTTCACTATTCTTTTCTACATTTTGCATATCTGAGACCGGCTCTTGTGCAGCAGCTGTTGAATCGATCATGCCGCTCACTCTACTGATGGGGCTCCTCGGCTAATGAACAGCAACAACAGCCACTATAACAGCAATCACAGCAACAGCAACAGCAACAACAACAACAACAACAAAAAAGAAGCTTAGGAAAGTATGCTTTGATTGGCTGACAGTCAAAGTTCTCTGAATGATGAATTGCCTCGAGATCGACGAATGCGAGAGGGAGGAGGCAGTATTGAGTAGAAAGGAAAGAGTAGAAAGGAGGCTTGAAAAGGACGAGGAAACGTTGGATGTAGCAATTGAAAAAAAACCATTTGAAGGAGAGTTATTGTTGGTATGATTTACAATTCTTATATCTCCTGTGTCTTGTGAAACTTGATTATCGACAGATCATTGACATAATCAACATACAATTGTTGCCCTAATTAACCCGCACCTGAAATCGAATACTATTTCATCCTAAAAAAGGAGTTTCAGAACGACTATTATTATCTTTAGACGAATAACCCCTGTGAGATCATAGATGCCGATCATTATTCCCACAAGGTTGGTTGTACATGTACTCGAAAGAACTTTATTTAATTGCACAAGGTTCGTGCACTAGTATCGCAATTTGGGTGTCAATCCAAACCAAATGAAAAGCCATTTTACATCAAGGCACTTAGGTTTTTTTTTTTTTTTTTTTTTTTTTGGCATTGCACTGAAGATTGCCTTTTCCTATCTCATTTTTACAACTCGTCTTTAAGCCCTCTAAGCCAGCTTAGGAATTAGAGACCCTCAACAGAGTAATGGGACCCAAAGTGGGAAATCTCATCGGGCAAGACAGATCAATGTTCCCTGGTGTTTCGCCATGAAGGGCTTGAGCTCGATCTGAGTCCACCGCTCCTCTTTCCCAGCTCATAGCAGCATGTTAATGCACTCCATTTCAGCCCATCACAAATGCCGTAAGTCACGCCACTATGATAGTGCTGATCTTATGGATGTATGGCTGCCTATCAACAGAAAGTGAACATGGATAAATCAGTCAATATAAATACTTAAGTATCTAGCAATGAAGCTGATGATGGAGACCTAATGTATCTGACAGTGCTCTCTTTTCCGAATATTCACCTAGGCCTTCAAATTTACTGATGTGAGATCTGTATAGTGAAGCCTTTTTAGTCAAAGAAGCTCATAAAAATGAATTTGTTGCTGAAAATGGCCTCTGCTAATGCCAGATAGATCCCAATAGTCCAAGAACTGGATTGCAGTGCTTGAGGGTAGTTTCCTTAGATTAAGTGCAAATAACCTGTATTACAATGAATGAATGGTGCTCGCTGGTTGCTGAACATAGAATTGATGGACATTGTATTCAATATTTTTTACCCAGGCCACTACATGAGAATTATAGCGCAGCATTTTATGTATTGAAAACATTTTTTATTTCTTATTTATTCAACTTTCGATATACATTTCCGTTAAGTTCAATTCTTCTCAAGGCCCTGAACCCACCATTAGCCATTTTGAACACAGACATCATGATATCTAAGCCTTGTTGCATCAACCCACCTTGTACTTTCCAACCAAAATGCACTCGTGCAGCTAATATTTCAGCGATATTGTGGCCATCCTTGTCATATTCCTGCAAGGGTAAGTCAAGCAAGATGTTCTTGAAACACATGCGAGCTCCATTGACAGTCAACGAGGTCAAGTCATCTGGATTGGCCCACACGGTGGAAGTCAGGAGGGTCAATAAATTGAACCGTTGCATGTATCCAATCTTTAATGACATCAATCGTAGGCTGCTGGATGATAGTAAGTCCCATAGGATGTAGTGTTCTGTTCTATTCCAGCTGTCTTGATAGAGTGATAGATGCCGGATCGTATGAACCGGGAAGTGCCTAGGTGTACTATAGGGCATCATTTTGAACAAGTCAATGTCAAGACTGTGGGAGTCAGGTAGCATTTCCGCAATATCCTGTAAACTGCGTTCAACTCGTTGTCTCTCCGCGAAGCCGATGCTACGGATCTGCTGGTAATAGTTATTCGCAGTAACAGTTGGTTGTGAATCTTCAAGCGGCCACCCTTGTGGGTCCAGTTTTTTGCACCGCTGTTGTTGTTGCTTCAGCTGGCATTGCTGATGCTCTTGCAAGAACAAACGCAAGCTTTCCCAAGATGCACCCGTTATAAGGATTTGGAGGTTTGGGCAACCTTTGGGACTTATTATTCCTCGAAGATCTACTAGGTCTATCTTTGGGATATGTATTTCCTCTAGCTTGGGAAAGAAGAGGCTATATTTTTCATCCCCTTCTTTTTCTTCATCTTCTTTCTCTTCGTCTATTTGTCCATCACCTTCTTCTGTTAATGGCGAAATGCCGTTGCGAGGAGGAGCTTTCTTAACGGTTAAACACTTGAGTGTTGCTGTAATTGGCTGGAGCAACCATCTTAAGCGATGAATGTTCAAAAGATACCAGTCCCAATGGCAGTTCATGAGACATAAACGTTCCAGTTGGTGCGCGTTTGCAAATATGGTGGAATCGTCCATGTCTAAACCTCCATCTTCGTTTACTTTTGTAGACGTCCTCGGTTGATCAAAGTCGTGCACCCAGCTGATGCTCCTGAGTGTTGGGTTGGACTTGATAACCTGCACAACACTAGCACTTAGTCCTTTGATTGGCTTGATGGTAGTACTCAACAGGACCAGACTTGCTAGAGGGATGCGATCATGGAGCGGATAGTCTTTTCGGGCGCCAAAGTTATACACCGCCCTTATAAAGGGCGTATATTTCTTGATGAGATACAGAGGCACCCGTGACATAGCAGTTTCATCGAATGTATACCAGAAAATAGGGAGAAGCGTCTGCCGAAAGTTGCGGGATACGGAGAGACATGGTAACATATTATGGGGTAAGAGGACGTTGTCTCCGTGATGGTTGACGCCCCATAATGGAAGAAACCAACCAATGAGCTCGAGGATTTCTGGAATGTTGAGAGCATGCATGAGAACAGAAAATATTTGATTGAATCTGAAGACTTTGAGTAGTAGAAAGCCATGGTGTCATTCATTAATTGCCACAGGTTCTGCTCCAGATGGCACAACACTACATTATGATGCATCGCCTTTTATTTTTTTTTAACAAGAGTTCCGCGCAAAGAAGATAAACTGCTGCGCCATATAAGCATCTTTTCCCTAAATGGCACTTTTTTTTTTTTTTTTTTTTTTTTGACATTGTTGGAATGAAACCCTCCAATTATTCAGATTGGTTTTTCTACTCCAAGGGCGTGTGTTTTGGAATTAAAAGAATTAAAAGGTGGCTACTTGAGCCTGGTGAATATTTCTTTTTGTATTTTTAACTGTCAATTCCAATTGTCACACTTATATTTTCTAATCCATGGCTGACATTACTGCTGGCACACAGAGTATAGGATCTAGCGCTATGCTGCTACCTCCAGAGATTCTGACGCGTATTGCTCAGTTTGTCGACAGAGAGTCGTTGATTGAAGCTTCCATGGTCTGCAAAATCTGGTTGTCATGTTTTCGACCCATGCTATGGCATACGATTCAAGCTGATGGCTACATTTCGAAATCATTTCTTGATCAGTTTCCTGATTATTACCACCGGATTTGCGACCTTACACTTTCTCTTCCATGCAGTACAGAAGAGACAGCGGATCTTCTGGGCTTTCCTTTCGATTCGAATGGAGAACCTAAACTCAAAAAAGGCATGTTGACTAAGACGTTACTAGACTGTTGCCGTCTGGAACGCATCCGGATCAAGTACGGTCGAGAAATGGCTTCTATTTCGCTAGGATCAACAGCCAGTTTCAAGAACACTAGCTCTCTTGATCATTCACATGAGTATTACGCAAGTGCAGCTCTTAAAATCATGGAGAGCAACAGGGAGACGTTACGCAGGCTCTGGCTCACTGGTGTTGGTCTAGATATTGATCCACTTGTCCAGAAGTCCATCCGAGATATGCCAGTATTAGAAGAATTGACAATGGAAGAATGGAGTGCCATGAATGGAGAAGGCTTACGCACTATGCTGAAATCTTTACCTCGACTTCAAAAACTATCATTGGAGATGAACGAATTTATGGACCCAATTTGGGAATTGCGCCAATGGCGTATTAATTGGGATGCGAGCCAAGCCGATTTTCACAACGATTGGAAGAGTGACGATGAGGATCGTTCGCAACGGCCCTCAGAGGATCCATTAACGCAGATCAGAAGCCTGCATTTAGATCGATCAAACATCACTATGAGGACGCTCTTGGATTTGACAGCAGTTATGCCAGAGTTGACTGAGCTCTCTCTGGGTTACACATATGGTATTGGACTTGATGATGAGGAGCCGGATTCTGATTTTTTTGATCCTCTCGGCGCTGCCTTTGAGTCCCAAATGGATGATGTTGGTGATAGTATAGAGCAGGAAGAGGAAGCAGAAGATGAAGATGAGGAAGAGAATGGTGACGATCAAGTTGATGTAGGGATGGACGCTATGACTACCGAGTCTCCTGATATAGGCAACAACATCACTTCCAACCATAACACTAACTCAAATACTAGTATAATGGAGACAAATAATGCAACTGCAACAGCCACAATCGTTCAGCCCCATCCGACTGATTATGGCCCTGGACACTGTCCCCTAACCTTGAGTATCACAGCTTTATCAAATATGCAAACGCCATGTACAGTCACCGAAAGCTCAAGTAGCAACGCTTCAACTTGTCAACCTGAAAAGACTTTGCAACATTATGATGTCCACAGGGATGACGGTGAAGAGGAGAACAATAACAACGACATGATTAGAGATAAAGGGATATCTAAAGGTGAAGATGAGGATAGAGGTACGTCTGAAGATGAACGTGAGGGAAGAGGTCCGTCTGAACATGAAGATGAAGACGAGATTGACGAGGATGAGATTGATGAGGACGGCTATTACGATGATGAATATGATGCTTTCTATGGAAGTGAAGGCGAGTTCTATTGGGAAGACTGGGGCCATGAAGGCCTCGGTTCATATGCAGGTGATTCCGAAGATTTCGACAGCTGGTATGATAACCAACTTGAGCTCCAGGGTCAAATGTCATACGCAAGCCTCCGTAACATAGATATAGGAAGTATATCGCACGCCTCACCTCAGCTTTATCGCAACATGCGACAACTGCATGTGCATTGTCCAATGATTCAGTCCTTTGATTTTTCGGGATGTCGGCCCGAAGGGATCGATCAAAAGTTCTTGGAGTTTGTCTGTGAACTCTGGGGACCTTATGGTCATGCGAACGATGCTGCAAAGCCAGGTCGCCTCCAGTCCAGTCGACTCCACTCAGATAAACAGAAACAGACTCTAGCGAGATCATTAGGATTGAAGTCCTTGATAGCAGCCGATCTTTATGCTGTCACCCCTCAGTTCTTTCATAAACTTAATCATCACTGTGGCGACACATTGACAGCACTCGATCTGTCTTTAAGTAGCGACTTGAATATTACGGATAGACGAGGGGCGTACGCGCGAGAAGTGGAGAAATCAATCTATTACGACGCTCTTCTGAATATGCTCTCTACTTGTCCGAACCTGGAGAAAGTTCAGGTTGAGGCCTACCCAGTGAACGCGCGGTCAATCGCAGAACAATGTCGGCCCTGGGCATGCGCATTCCGGCTTCGAACATTAGCTATCACCATTGAATTTGATGCCACGCACAAGAAGTCCGGGCCCTCGCCTGAGGCTGAGGAGGAGGAGGATCGCCAGATACAAATCAAAACTTGCAGGCAGCTGAGCTATTTAACACGTCTTGAAAGCTTGTTGTTGCATGGTGGGCGACAAATGGTACACTATCAGTCGAGATGGGGTAGTATGGGATCTCATCATCTGCGATTGGGAAATAGATATGAGAAGAGTACACGTCGGTATATTGAGCTGTCAATCAGCACTGGTTTGAATCAGCTTTCGTCCCTGAACAGCCTTGTAGAGCTGAACATAGGTCTCCTTGGCCCACATGGTCTCCGTAATGAAGCTGAAGTGAAGTGGCTGGGTCGGAATTGGCCATCATTAAAGCGCGTGAGCGGATTTTATGATCTGGAGCAATTGAAAGCAGGTGCGGTTCAACTTCGTGAACAGCTAGGGCCTCCTGCCCATACAATGCCATCTTCTACATCTCCCGAGCGAGGGGCCAAAAAGAAGGTTGAGATGCAACAAAGGAAGGGAATTGTACTGCCAGAGACGATGGATCTTGATCGAGATCCTGTGGCGCTAAAGCTGAGACAACTCCGAAATCATTACTTGCAATTGGATGAAAACATAGTAGATAAAATTCTTAGGACGGAGGGTCTAGAAACCGTGATATGTCTCCGTAAGGATGGCGCTCATATGGCGCAAAAGCCGGGCGGTGGAAAGATGACTGAGAAGGAGAAGGAAAGCCAACGATTTGATTTCATGGTGACCTACATAGATCGTGGGTTTCCTTTAGGTTGGGATTAGAGACACATATGAATAAGTCTATTACTTAATAAACCTTTTATGATTGATAGCAGACTAATCAAAAATGGCATCCGTACGAGTCTCTAGTTGGGATCTTGATTCAACAGCTAGAAATCGACTGACGTGATCCCGTGGGGAACGTTCGTCATTACCTCCAAGGACATGGGTCTGGGTTCAATGCTGCATGTTTTCGTAACCTTTTGCTTTCTAGCTTCTAATAAATATACAGCAATTTCAAAGCAGCATTACTATTAAAATTTTATTCGTTTTATAAGTCTATAATAAAGTTCGTTCACGACTTTAATTGGCACCATTATTGAGCCATCGCTTCTTCTCTTCTGCCCTCTTTCGCAGAGGGATTGCTCTTGTTCCACCAGCCGCTGAGCCAGCCATCAGACGCAGTAGAAGAAGTAGAAGATACCGCTCTAGAATGAGCTGAACCTTCATCATAGCTCTGCTTAGACCACATTAAAGATACTGGGCCTCGCTCGAACTCTCGACGCACATACTCTTCAGAAGCTTCCGACAAGCGTGGCCGGCCTGCTAATGATGGTGGGATTGCAAAAAAGTTAGAAAAAAAGGAAGAGGAATTGTCACTTGCGTTGTTGTTGGCATAATCATCATTGTTGGTTCGGAACGCCTCTGTCGTGCTCTTAAGTGCACCTGCATCCAAGGCAGGGTCGCTGAAGCGCTGCATCTCGATCAGACGTGGACTCTCCAAGACAAAATCACTAGATGTGATGGCATTATTCCTGGACATAGTGAAAGATGAGAAGTCCTTGTCGGTGTTTAGAGAGATGGTGTGCAGCGGTGTTTTGACCTCTGTGTGAACTTCCATCGGTGGATCAAGCACCAACTTTCCTGCAGCTTCAGAGGCTGAGGTAGTGGAAGGCCCGAGAGATACCTCAGTAATGTTTGCCCTCGGTCCTGGCAGAGCGCCAGTAAGATTGCGAGTGGGGTAAGTTGCAGAAGAGGTAGATTGGTGATGGGATGGTGTGTTGGAATATGAGGGCGCTGGTGGGGTGACGTAGAACGCTAGTTCTGGCGCCGGCTCCATGGAGTTTGGATCAATGGGGTCCAAATGGTTCTCATTATAGGTCTTGTTATTACTGGCTATAGTGGCACCAGTGCGTAACGGAATTTCGACAATGATGGACTCATTTGTAGCTTTAGCAGCCGTGGTTGTTATAGCTTGGCTAGATCCCATGGTCGGCTATGATAATGAACGTAGATAGTGGCCCAAAAGAATAGCAATGAGAATGCACAAGGTCAAAAGGATGAAGGAAGTGAAAGTGGATAAACAATGAAGGCAAGCAAGATAAAGGAGCAAAGTACATTCAGTCTCCGCACCATCAGCGTCAGCGTTTTGCAAACCTCTTCGGAAAATCGCCTTAAGACATCTTATCTCATCGATGTTTCATGTCTTATTTTATGCAGGTGATTTGGGCTATCTTGAGAGCCTTATGGGACCAATAGGGCTATGTATTGGAGAAACTAGCCAGGTGTTGTGTTTATTGAATCATATTTGACAGCATTTTTTTCTTTGAGGATGAATTAAAATTGGCAATCTGTCGCGTCTCAGATTAAATTAGTCAGTTACCCTTTTGAAGGAGGAAATAAGAAGGGATTTAAAACATTGCTGTGCTAAGCACGTGATTATTCCATTTTGAGGTTGTTGCCACCTTTGTTTCATTTCTCCATTCCCTTTATCTTCAAAACTTAATAATGACCTTCGAGATGGATGAAGAACTCCTCGAGTAAGTTATCCATTCTACAATTCACACGACGTGCATACCTCCATCTGTTCAATTGTTTATCATTCCCGGTTAATTAATATAATTTTTTTTACCCTTTTTCAGGAGTATACGACAGGAGCTTTTGAAATCAATAGATAGCCTCGAAATAAACAACCTATCAGACTCCGAGGACGATGAAGGCTTGAATGATCACGAAGATATCGCTTGGGTTCACTCTGAACTTGACCAAGATCATGGCGATGAATACGTCGAGGACCCAATTGAGTGGTATAACAGCGATGATCCCGACGAAGATGACACCGAGCTTGAATGGTATGAGCCCATCCAGCTGCCAAGTGACGGACCTGATGATGATAGCAACGAAGAGGAGCCGAAGCAATTGGGTGAGACTATTCTTTATTTTATTTATCTTTTTTTTTTTTTTTTTTTTTTTTTTTTCGTAGGGTGTACCATAATATCAGACAAATTCATCTATTTTTTTTTATAAATTGTGTTCCTGAACCTTAGAAACGCTCCTCGAAACATCTCCCGAAAGTCAGGAAATGCCTGACGGCCAGGAAATGCCGGGGACGCTCAACGAGAGTAAGCGCAAGGGCGAAAAGAAGAGAACGAACAAGAAAAAGGCGCGCAACTACCCGCAGGTTGAAGATGATGAGGCTGAGATTGAAGTGCTAGATCTAGCGATCACAGATAAGTTGTATGATCCGTAAGTATCAAGTCACGTCTCTTTGGCTGAGAAAGGATATTACTTCCTACATTACACATTACATGAGTTTGTCATATGGTTTATAGACTAATTTTCCGTATGTATGATAGCTCTACAAGTGCTGACAGCAGATTTAGACTAGCGATGGAAAATTTTCGAAAGGAGCGTAATTTTACCACTAAGTCAGCTCAGATCCTTAGTACATACTTTAGTTATGGAGGGATGGACGAGCATATCACTGACCCCAACAACCCTAGAAACGACAGCAAGGGCACCAAGGAAGAAAAAGATATTGACTTCTCGTTCGTGGCAGCATCATATCTCTCGTCCTATATCATTAACTCTAGCATTTGGAATGATATAACATATGTAGAGATGGCGCCCAAGATTATAGCCTCATTCCTCAAATATGTGCTGGCTAGAAGGGTCGTTCCAGAGTACCAAGAAGATTTAGAAAAGGCCTTTGCGATAGCATCGCTTGCAAAGACTGAAACCCCCGCATGTCACCGGTTCAACTCGAAAATGCCCGATGATTTCAATCATGCGTGTTCAATCTTGTTTTGTCAGGGCAGTTCAGATCATCTGCCGATGAACACAAACAAGATGATGAAGGAAGTGATGGGGGAGATATCTACAGCACATGTGACGCTCAAGAGCAAGCGGTTTAGACATGCGAGGGTTGTGAAGAAGGTGGAGTCCACGAGAGAACCCGGAGCAGAGCCTGCGATGACAGTAGAAGTGGTTCTCGAAGAAATGGATATTGACAACGAGAAGAGTGACGATTTAGATCAGCAAGAGCAAAAGCCAAAGCAAGAGCAAGAGCAATGGTCGATTCATATCTCAAGCGAGACAGCAGCACTACTGCAACTGAGGATGGTGGTGTGGGGCACATTTTTCACTCTATCCAATGGGGTCGTGTTTGCGCAGCCTTTGGTATCTCTCCCAACATTTTATGTATCGCATTTCGAGGATGAGGCCTAGGGATGGACCGTTTGCCAACTTTTTTTTTTTTTTTTTTTTCTTCACATAAAGGAATTGAGTTGCATTAGACTAAAAATGGTTCATCACGTAGAAAACCTACGCGCTATTCACATATACCAGGTAGAAGCAAATCTTATGCATCACCGAATTTGAGTTGGCGCATTTTAAAAGATTTCCCACGAGACGATAAATAAATTTTCGTTCTTTCACAACCATCCATCTCTTCGACTTCCTACAAATATTTATTATACCCTTTCCTTTCCATTTGATCAAATCAGTATGCCATATGATCCAACCTCTCAGTCAAACCTCAATGAGATCAAGACGAATCATATTCATCTCGACCTAACAGTTGACTTCAATACCAAGGTCTTATCTGGAAATGCAGAGTTAGACATCGAGGCTATAGCGGATCAAGTCTCGTACATTGTACTTGATACCAGTCATATTGACATCCGTTCTGTTTCTACGGCCGAAAAGATGCTTAATGTAAACATATGTTCGCCGATATTTATTTTAATAATTTAGAAATGTCACAAGAACATTATTGATCTTTTTTTTCTAAGTTCGAGTTGGGTAGTAGGAATGAAAAATATGGCTCGGCATTGATAATTAATCTGGGCAAGGCTCTTGAAAAAGGAAACAAGACCAAAGTCATTATTGAATACGCAACTACTCAGTATTGCAGTGCTTGTCAATGGCTGGAGCCCAGCCAAACAGTAGGCAAGAAGTATCCATACCTCTTTACACAATGTCAAGCTATCCATGCACGGTCATTGTTGCCTTGCCAGGACAGCCCTTCTATCAAACTCACCTATAGCGCCAATATCACTACTCCACTGCGTGCGGTCATGTCTGCAGTCCTCATAGGGGAAGAGAAGTGTCATCAAAGTGAGTCATCCACTATAGCCGCAGCAATTACTACATACAAGTTTGAGCAAAAGCAACGGATCCCATCGTATTTGATAGCACTTGCTGTCGGAAACCTGGAAGGCCGAGAAATTGGGCCCCGTTCGATGGTCTGGACAGAACCCGAGGTGTTGGAAGCAGCAGCCTGGGAGTTTATAGACACAGAGGAATTTATTCGAACAGGTGAGACTCTATTGACGCCTTATAGCTGGGGTCGTTATGACTTGCTTGTGCTGCCAGCCTCGTTTCCTTATGGTGGAATGGAGAATCCTTGCTTGACTTTTGTGACGCCCTCGCTTTTGGCTGGTGATCGCTCCTTAGTGGATGTGGTAGCTCATGAAATTGCACATAGCTGGACGGGAAACCTGGTCACAACCGAAAACTGGGAGCATTTTTGGTAACCAAATTAGACCAAATCAGACCAAATCAGACCAAATCAAGCAAAAAAGGAAAAAAGACGCCCCTTTATGCTAATTTCTTCAACGTTGCAATGCAAAACACATATAGGCTGAATGAAGGATTCACAGTTTTTGTAGAGCGCAAAATCATTGGACGCATGAAGGGCAAAGAGCATAGCGAATTTAGTGCTATCCTAGGGCATAAAGCACTTCAAGAAAGTGTAGAGCTCTACGGCTCCAGTCATCCTTTTACAGCTTTATGTCCTTGTTTGCGTGGAGAGGATCCGGACGACGCCTTTTCACGCGTCCCATATGGTATTTTTTTTTTCATTTTTATTATTATAATTTTTTTTTTTATTTTTAAGGAAAGGCGATATACGTAGTAGAGTGCATATTTGAAAGGAGTGAAAGGAACGATTTATATTAACTAGTTCATTGTTTGGAACGATCTCCAAAATTTTGTAAAATTACAGAGAAAGGATTCAATTTGCTCTATTACTTGGAGAAGCATTTAGGCGGACCAGAAGTTTTTGAGCCGTATCTTCGGGCACATGTTCGACAGTTTGCAGGCCAATCAATCAATACAAACGACTGGAAGGCTTTTCTTTATTCTTTTATGGAGGGAAACTTTGGTCAAGAGAAGGTTGATCTTTTGAACAAGGTCAACTGGGATGCCTGGCTTTCCGGCACTGGCATGGTAAAAGAAGTGTAAAAAAAAAGAGAGAGGATTACGCATTCCGTTGTCTTCTATGAATTATGTCGACCTAATATAGTATTCTTTTTTTTTTTTTTTTTTTTTTCTAGCCTCCAGATGATAATATGTTCGATGATACGCTCGCAAGAGCTTGCACTAGCCTATCTAAAAAGTGGGACGAGTCACGTCATGTTGCTCAGCCTGTTACAGCTGAAAAAACAGGGTTTTCCCCAGTCGACATTAAAACCTTTTCATCCACACAAACTGTTGTGTTTCTGGAGAAGGTTGGTGAACTAGAACCTCTTTCCCACGAGCATTTGGATTTGATGGATCGATTGTATCAATTGACTTTGGTCAAGAATTCGGAGATTCGATTGCGCTGGCATCTACTTTGTCTCAAAGCAAATTACAAAAAAATCTATCCTGAGGTCGTTCAATTTGCATCAACCATGGGTCGTATGAAATTTGCAAGGCCATTGCTTCGGTAAGAACAGACATTATGACTTTTATTTTTTATTTTTATTTTTTTAAAAAAAGTTAATAAGTTAAACCTCCTGCTCCCACAAAAGCTCTTTGCATAGGGCCAAGGACGGCGCAGAACTTGCACGAGAGACGTTCCTCAAACATAAATCATTCTACCATCCTATTGCTGCGACAATGATTGCTAAGGATCTTGGGCTTACAAAATAAAAGCCATCACATGGCACTAGTAAATAGAAAGAAATAATAAAGTGCTTCGGGTTGGAATGTTAGTCTTAGTATTAATGAAAGGAGGAAGAGACGGCTCTCCAAAATGATGACGGGAGGTTTGTTTCTTGGCTTCAGGCATTTCCATCTTCTATACCTTATACCCCATACATATGTCTAGAAAAAGCGCGCCAGACGTTCTACCCATAGTTGCAGCATGATCACTCAATAACTCCCAACCAATACCCTCATGAGCACCTCTTTATGCACTTAATCCATCCAAGAAAAGCGCTTGCTGTGGAGGAATTTAAGTTCATGCAGACTTTCTGAATGAGTCAAGCACGCAATTTAACCTGGTATATTTGCCTGGTTAACTTTTCAGAGTAAGAGAATAGGACGTTTAAATAAATATTAAAGTATAAGAGAGTACCAGACTCTTCGCCTGTCTGCAGATGAGCAGGAAGCCCAGGGCGTACCACGTGGAGATGGTCTGATTATTGCGCCTCCACCTGGTTGCTCGCGAATCTAGAGCAGCCTTTCAACTAACTCATCATCGAGCTCAACACCATTCGACACTAGATCTGGCTTTCAATCAGATCGGTCTAAAAAACTATGCTGAGCAGCGTCCAAGCGCCTGTTTGAAGTGCGATATAGGGATTCGGGAAGAGGGAAAACAGGGTCTTTTATACATTTATATGGCATGAACAAAGCAAAAACTAGACATACAAATCCTTAAATATAATCATTAAATACTATGCAATCAAGGCGGAGCATAAGCCCCAAAAAAGAGTCTTTCATCATCTCAAATCACAGCCAAGACATGCAATGCTATGCTGGGGCTTTATTATGAAGGCTCCTATCTGCTAGTCCCTGTGGAAGCTCCGTGTCCAATCACATCTTTTGTGGCCCACAGAGCCAAACCAAAGCCTCCTACAAACATGACTATGACCAAAATGTGCATGAGGAACTATCGACGCTCTTTTGGAGAAGGCAGGGAGAACGCGCCATTAGAGATCGTGTACTGACGCATCATGCTGGGGATACGTATCCCTCCTATTAGTAAGTGCATTTGGGTCACCAGGCATGCTTATAAATGCCTCTACTCCAAAGTTAATTTTCGTGCTTGACTCATTCAAAAGGTTAGCATGAACTTAGTTTTTAGTGGCGTAAACTCCTCTTCTTCTTCCACAGCAAGCACTTTGGATGGGTAAAGTAATAGAAGTGCTCGTGAG